GATGGCTCCTCTCTGTTTCTTGAAAGCCTGTATAGTTGGACTGTGGCTCCAGCGATTCCCTTCTCAGAGCAGGTACCATACCCAATACGGTCAATGCATATTGGACAAACCTGTGTGCACAACAGAAATAGTGGAGAGAAATCTCTCAGCTCATGAACACATCAGTGAAGTTTGAACTGCCGTTGTTTGTGGCCATCAGTATAAATCTATCGACTATAAGAATAATGTGCAAAAAACCCTCTATAACTACAGCTGGGGCCATGGAATTATAAAGCATCTAACTTAGGGAACTGCCAATTCTGGTAGGAGTTGCGTTCGAGGCCTGCAATTCATGATGGCTATTGTATGTTGCATTGACCAGAGATCATATAAAACTTCCATGCCACATTGAAACACGCACTACTTTCGAGTACAGTCAAATCTGTCGTAAGCGACCGCCCCTTGGTGCAAGAAAAAGCGGTCGCTTACGGCAGATGGTCTCTTACGGCAGATGTATGGTAAATCCGGCATACCAGGTATATGCTTCCATGTACTCAAATCGACGAGAATAATGTGATTTTTTATATCATTTTATTGGATATTCAACGACGACCATACCCGTATAGCATGATAGTATGCGTGTGCGACACGGCAGTAGATCGACACTGCCTGGACTTGAGTCGGTTGAGAGCTACAGCACAGCCTCAGTACAAGCCAGGCGCCAGTCGATCGCACTTGCAAGACAGCGCATTTTCACACTTTGCAGTTGACAGCGCACTGGCAAGTACAGTTTCGCACCTTACTGAACCTGGGTCGCGGTCGCTTACAGCAGATTTGAATGCAGCCACCGTGCATGAAATCGCGGTCGCTGGTCGCGCACAGCAGATGGTCGCTCTGGACAGATCAGTTTGTATGTGAAACCGTCGGTGCACGGAAAATCGGTCGCTAACGGTAGATGGTCGCCTACAGCAGAGGTCGCTAACGGCAGATTTGACTGTACTTTGGTATCCCCCACCAAATGGGCATTCGTTCCCGGGGTGGCAGGCGTCACCATTCGTTATGCCTGGATCAGATTTCATTGACCCCAACTGTCATGAAGAATCATTTTTACTTCGACTGGATTTCAGTACAAGTTAGTTGTAGAACTGCAGAATAAATTTTGTTGTATTTGGGCAACCATTTCTCTACAAACGCTCTATTTGGAAAAGAATTTTTTTAATAAAATACATGTCCAAATCCACATCTACCCAAATCGGAATACTTGATCACGTATTCAGTCCTACACGGAATGTTTAGAAAACGCCAGGGAATAGGAATTTGCTAACGAGAACTCCAGGCCAGGGTACTAGCATACGAACAGAAACAAGATAAAAACTCACCAGTATACTTGTAGTAATTCATGCCGGTGTAATATTCACGATAAGCAACGAGGCACCCTCCGATTTGGTCAAGCTGCTTTGAAGTCTGGTTGTTCAGGTGATACAAACGGGCTCCCTGTTGTTACTTCCAGCAGCTTCACTCTCCCTGCGACAGCGGCTATCAGCCTCTCTCTCCATCGTCGACAATTATCACAGATTCAACATTCTACATTTATCAGCACTGCACTGGGTGAATATGTCTCGAGACGAATTTAGCGGATCAACAACGCTTTGATGGAGATAAATTCTCCTCTGGAGGACCTTCAGGGTACCTGGAAGGGTATAGAAGACGGGATCGCTCACGGCGTTGGGAGAACATAGCAAACAACCTCTTCTTCGATTGAAAATTGGCCAAAAAGTGTGTGAAATGTATGTGCGCAGATGCATTTCCACTGGCAAGCTAATCCCTCATTACGTCATCAGCGCTCGCTCGGCCGAAATTCAAAAGTCGTCTTCCTGCTCGACTCGATCGCTTCTGGAGACTCGTTCTTGTTCGAGGTGTCTTCTCTTTCACCTACCTTCGTCTTGGCATCGAAAACTCGGCGTCGAAAATGAAGCCGGAGTGCCCCTTTAAGGCAAAAATCAAAATTTCACCAGTTGTAGTCTTCGGGGTGCTGAGTCGAATGGTCTTGGTCCGAGAAAGCTGAGACGCTCCCTTCCTACTTGAATCCCAATCGAACTCGCGCACTTCCACCGAAACTGGGTGACTGCGCCCTACTAGATGGGGATTTGTATGCAAAATGTCACTAAAAGCGCCATTTCGTTCTTATAAAAGCACGGATGACCGCGATTGGCCCATATGTTGTAGTTTTTTGGACGCTGAGTCGACTGGTTTTGGTCCGAAAAGGCTGCGATGCAGCGTTCCTCCTTTATTCCCAATCGAACATGGTTGAAGAAGCGGTCACGTGCTCCTGGGTGCCAAAATCACCTGGTCACCACGCCAGCAGGCGACAACTTTCACACCAAGGTTCAACTCGAGTGACACAGGACTGCACCCAAAAAACAAAAGAAAGGTCAAAACAGGCTGTAAGTTGTACCCTGCAGGCACGGTGACCAGGTGACTGGTGTACATGTACGCAGGAGCACGTGACCGCTTGTTCAACCATGTTCGATTGGGAATTAGGGGCGAACGCTGCATCGCAGCCTTTTCGGACCCAAACCAGTGGACTCAGCGTCCAAAAGACTACAACATATGGGCCAATCGCGGTCATCCGTGCTTTTATAAGAACGAAATGGCGCTTTTAGTGACATTTTGCATACAAATCCCCATCTCGTAGGGCGCAGTCACCCAGTTTCGGTGGAAGTGCGCGAGTTCGATTGGGATTCAAGTAGGAAGGGAGCGTCTCAGCTTTCTCGGACCAAGACCATTCGACTCAGCACCCCGAAGACTACAACTGGTGAAATTTTAATTTTTGCCTTAACTTCCCCTTTAAAGAAAAGAGCGAAGAAAACAAGACGACATCAGGAGTAGTCTCCTAACCCCCTAGCATAATGAGGGTCAGAACCGGGTGCGATACCCATATGGTTCAAATGGTCCGCAGGGACCGGGGCTCTGCCAACCGCGGAAGGTTGTAGTAAGGTCACTGTTTGTGTTTCCGAACACAGTGTCCTCCACCTTGTTTCATGCTGTCAATCCAACAATTGCGTGAACTATAACAAGGTTTATCTACGTGTAATACTGGTTTTTAACCAGTGTTAGGTTATAATAATGTACATGTACATGTACATGGTCCGCTGGTCAGTGGTAGCGCCTGATGAATGCTTGCCTACTCGTACGTACTCCACAAACAAGGACATCGGTCAAAAAACCCTATACTTTTTACTACTAGGGCCTTACTGCCTTATTTAGCAAAGCCTGTGACCATGGTGACAAAGCATTCTTGCATAACCTTGTTAACATGTTACATTTGCCTGAGTTTCTTTTGATTTGATAATAGACTTTCTTCAAATTCTCATTTTGATTTCATCGTCGAGTTTCATCCCTTGTATCTTTGGTTTTCTTCCTTCTTTCCATGTCGTATTGTTTGAATAAACCCGTTTTGATACTTCTTGCACTGCAACAATGGTTTTTAGTTAGTTACACATACATGTACATGTACTTGTACAAGCACCAAGACTCCATGAACACAGTCACTAGTCTTCTTGATGGACTCTTGCCTCTTGGGGGGGGGGGAGTCTTGCATTATACCAAGAGTACATAACCCCGGGGGTTATGTACTCTTGATTATACTGACAGTGATTAGGCCAGCAAATACTGTGACTCTGGCATAGTCCTCAGACTCCTGGCACAGGGCTAGACATGAGCAACTACTGACACACTGTAGACCATGTACTAGTACACAATCATGTACATGTACTTGTATGAGTCAAGCTCAGAGTCTTAATTCCGATCTGCAGGTTTGTGTATAATTATGTTTAAAAAAAAAGAAGAAAAAATGGTTTATCGGGTGTTAACATGTTAGCGGCCGTCGTGAGTTCCCTTCGGGAACGGACACGATAATTTACCCTTTTTTTTAACAGTACTGGCACTGCTTTGAGCAACTGAGAGTGAACTGCACTACTTTCCTATCGTTGAACTAATAATAATTATCCCGGCGTTATTCCGTTCCAGTGCTTGCCTTGACAATGGCAGAAGACTTGATTATGAGAACCAAGAGTACATAACCTCTTCGTTGGGGGGTGATCATGGTGATCGCAATCATGACTCAGAAGTCAAAACCCATGTGACAAAAGGCGTTCTCAGGGTTGGGAGCGGTCTTGGCCCACATTTCGTGTAGATCCACTGTATGTATTACACTCTTTCCTATGGATGAGTAAATATGGCCTTTGGAAATCATTCTTTATGTGAAATAAAAACAAAGATCACCAGCGAACAATTAATTTCCTTGGAGACAAGAATGTAATGATGAGAGAAGTAGGACACACGTCAGGCTTTCGAACATTTTGAAAGTTTTCACCAGTATACTTTCATGCCTTATATTCATAAGAAGAGCCAAAACAACAGCGCCAAATGCGTGACCCATACCGTGACATAGAAAGTAATGCCTACTAATGGGGAAAAGGTGCAAGTGTGGGTAAACCCAAGAAGCGTAAAGTACTTTCTACTTTAAAAGTATGTGTATGGGTCTCGCATGTGACGCTGTTGTTTTGGCTCTTCTTCCTTGCTGGCTGTTTCTATCACCTCTCTGCTGTATTCAAAAAACCATTGTCCGTGTTCATTTGATTTTGCCTATTTCACCTGATGATAAGACATGAAAGTATACTAGTGAAAACTTTCAAAATGTTCAAGAGCCTGAAGTGTGTCCTACTTCTAAGTATCAAAGATCACCAGGGTTCCAGTGGTCCGAAGGTTGCACACCTGGCTCATGATTTTGGTGGTCTGACACTGGATGACGATGTAAAGGAGATCTGATGCATGCCTCAGTGCTGCTCAATAAAATACGATCGGTGTGAGTCAAGCCAGTACAATGTAGTTTGTGCCCTGCACCAGTGCATGCAAAGCTCAGTGCTCACAGCCAGTCTGGGTCTGGCTGCATAGGGTCCGGCACTGATGTCACATCGACTCCCGTGATCGGATAATCATGTCATCAAGCAGCACAGAAATCCTGTACAGGACTTGCAAAGCATTGATACCGGTCTGAATGCCACTATCCAGTCATGTACTTCAAGACAGTTCAAGTTGAAAAAGGAAAACAAAACAAGTTTGCAATTGATGATCTTTAGTGTACAAAACAGAGTTGAAGACCATAAGTCAGAAAAAAAGAAGAAAAATGCCCCCCCCCCCCCCCCATTTACTCTACACATAAGGGTTGCTATCCCATACACTGATTCTCTGGATAGCGGGTAGAGCAAACTGGTGAGGGGATCGTAGCGGATGCCTCAAATATCATGTGCAGTCCACACACTGTAGCTGTCCCAGTAACTGTATAAACTAGATTTCAGGCCAAGCAAGTGCATCACAAGTGCATGGAGTCAAGACAATTGGCGCAACCAACATGCAGTAGTATCAAATGGCATAATCAAACCTCAAGTCCCCGCAACAGGGAAGATGCTTTGTGACGGTTTTGCACTACCGGCCGAAGAATACGTTGTGCATTCCCCAGACGACTCCTTTCTGAACTACTTGATTCACTACTTCGATTCATCTTCATCCTCTTCATCATCCAGCTCCTCAATTTTACTGTTGGTTGACTTCTTTGCTGACGTGCCGAGACGCGATGCTGGGGCACTCTTGCTGCGCGCTCGTTTTGGTGCAAGGATAGATGGTGGCATGGGACGAGGGTCTGATGGTGTGTAGTGGCCAGGTCCAGGCACGGCCTGTACATGCACACAAATACACATTAGCATGCATGCACGTACTCGCACACACCCGCCCGTCCGCACGCGCACACGCGCACACACACACACACACACACACACACACACAAACACACTCGCACACACTCGCACACACACACACACACACACACACACACACACACACACACACACACACATACACACACACATACACACACATACACACACACACACACTCGCACATGCACACACCGGCACCACACTCACACACACACACACACACACACACACACACACACACACACACACACACACACACAAATGGGCATATACACACACGCATGCACACGCACAAGCGTGCACCGAAACGAACAAGTCAGGCAAATCCCCAAGGCACTCAGGATAACAAAGTGCAGTAGCCATCCCTAAGCCGCAGAACTGTAGCTATGCTGATAACAAATTAACTATGCAGGGTATCGGTTGCAGCTTAACTTCACTTTCCAGCCTGACCAGGGTTGACTCCATTCCAAGAACATTCAGTGCAACTGGACCGTTGAACTGTCCATGGCTCACTACAATAAGGCCAAAACAAAAAAATAGGCTTGTTTCGGGTCGGCAACCCCTCAAAAAGGAGACTCGGTCGGCCGGAATGAGACTTTTTTCGGATACTTTTTTTGGTTCATCAATCGTTGTGTTATTGATGAACAAGAGCACCTACACATGTACAAGTACACATGTTCAGGTATCATGGTAGGGATCAATGTCACAGTTGACTGACTGGTCTTGTAAAGCCATATTCCTGTCGTCCGAGACCCTGAGAAATCAAGCAAAGCGTTCGAGTGCTTGCAGTTCCGTTACACAAGCTCATATCGACCCCTTGGAGCCGACAGCTGAGAATCTCTGCTGTCTCATAAGTAGTTTGATTTTTGAATTCGTTTGAGATTTGACAGAGTTGTGACTCGTTGAGTGCACTTGCACACATGGCATTGGCACCTTCCGTATACATTTGGGACCAAAACAAGTTTCAGAATTTGGGGAAAAATGGCCCGGTCGGCCGACCCGAAACAAGGTCATTATTTGTTTTGGCCAAGTAGTAATATTACTATCGATACTACATGTATTATGTGCACCTGAGCAGTCCTGCACACCACGGTCCGTGACCTGGAGGTCATCGGACAGTTGGTGAGTGCGTACGGATCGCTATCGGTCGTTTTTATTATTCAGTATGTATTGCCTTTTGTTGCAGATGAACTCGTTTTTTGAAGGAGCCTATTCTATTTTGGTAAGGGGATTCTATGACAACTGATTTCCGTTCACAGCAGAGTTTACAAAGTGGTGATGCAATCCGAACCACAACTGTGTGCAGGGTAGAGCAACATGCTATGGCTTCTCCTGTGTTCATACCCCCCCCCCCTCCCCTCCCCACCCTTCTACACTTGACCGCCTGTGTATATGGGGAGCCACCTGCTGTTCAGCTTACCGTGTGTCGAGAGGGCAGCCGGGACACACCGGACATGAACGAAGATGTTCCGCTGTGTCGGGCACCAGAACTACCCAGTGGTAAGGAAAGGTCCCGGGTTGCCGGAGATGGTCCAACTTTCTGTAGACAAAGCGACGCGGCAAGAGCACCTTAAATGCACCATTGTGAAATCAGAAAACTGTTGAGCTAATTGAACAGATCTGTGAAACGAATATGTAATACATATTCGTGAGTTGAAGGAATGGAAATGAGAACTTTTACTGTAGCACTTTGAAAGTGTAAAGGAGTGGCTACCTCTAACATTTACGAGCTTGTGCTTCTTGCAGACTTTCCAAACTTGGCCTGCAAGAAATTTAAGCACCTCTACTTGCTCATCACACCGTGTTTCGGGGAAATTCCCCCTCATCAGTTGACTTTGACTAGGCTAATGCCATGATGTGCTCCAAGAGCATGCCTATAGAGCTACCTCAGCCCAAACATCACTACAGTACTACTGTCGGTCGCCGAAGAACTGGGGGGGGGGGGGGGGGTCGGCCTCCTAGCCTAGACCGTTCTCATTTCCATAGATTACAGTCTACGCACAGTTGAGTCACCGTGTATACATTGGTATGCTGTGCGAGGGTGAAATTTTAGCCTGGCCCGGTTCTTGGGCGCTCCGTTCTTGGGCACCTGACAGAACTGTAGCGAGTATACCCACTTGCAATGATGCTCCGTTTCCAGCACAACAAACACCTCATGGGGCACCAAAAAGTAGCGTGAGCCAGTAACTAGTTGGAAAAGCATAATAAAAACAACATGTTTTCAGTGATGGGTAGCCCGGGTATCGGAAATACACCAGAATACATGCACATATACTCATACCACCATATAAAGCGGAATGTGTGAAAGTCTTGTGTAATTGAGCTTCTATGCTATCTGATCCTGCAACTGCTGGATGGGAGCAGAACTCACCGGAACAAACGGTCCAGATGAGTGCCGTTTATACTTGGATTTGAAGGCAGAGTTTCTGCAATAAAAATAGGCATGCATTGAAGCAAAGCACATCAAAAGGCATACAACATTACAGCAGTACGACCCACACTTTACTACACTACATTTTGAAGGACCTACATTGTACACCACAGCACAGCACACATTCCACCTTGGACATAGAGTGACTTGGATGTAAAGCACAGATCTTTGCAGTCATCGGAGGTACACGATTACGCCTATACTAAAGTGTCACCGTATGCACGAATAGCAACTGAATGGAGTAGCTGTGCAGTGACACTTGTCTTTCCCTAGATCATATTTTTGTATAGGTACATCAGTCTATAACGGACCACCGGAAGCAGTTTTCGATTCGTCCAGTCATAACACAGCCTTCCATACTCCGACGGTGTATGATATAGTGCTTGCACATAACCTCTTCAAATGTAAACAAACGTTAGTGGCCAACAAGTTGGTCTGGTAATGACCTGACCAACCAGACCGATTGGTTCGGCGGGCCTGCTATAGTGAAGCCATGGTACTCCCTGCACCCAGTGATTTCAGAACATCTCAAACACAACCTTGACCCAGTTAAATTCGTCCTGTTAGAAATGTTGCATAGAAGCAAACGTACATAAACAGTTAGTGTGCGGTTGGTAGAAGTGAACGGGGAGAAGTCTGCACACTCTCTCTTGACTTACGTGCGCTCCGCTCTAGCTTCGGGCAGGAAGTTGACAGTGCGGTACATCGTTGGATCCAGATTTGCTAGGTGCTACAGATAAGTTACACGGTGATGAGAGACAAGAAAAAGGCAGCACCACGGTACGCACAGATGGTTAAACCGATACAAATATGGAAATTTCCTGGGGAACGTAATTTAATCTACATGTAGTTGAAAGTGCTACCTACGCCACTGCCAAGCCGGAGTCCTGACCAAACTGACTTTGGATCAAGAATTTCGGCCAAGAATCTTCCATGGATGATACCTAAACCTACTGAAGGTCTAGATGCAGCATGTTGTACACAAACGTGACCCACACACACCATTGACATTACCATTGACATTCACAGGATCAAGTTTCAATAGATGCACAAACATTCGAAAAGTGCATTGACACACAAGCCTTGTTTCGAATCGAATGACAGTATGCCAGTCTGAACATCGCCGAACCTATACGCCCATCATAAATCCATTTTCTATGCTGCTTTTCAGACTTTTCAAAATACACTCGACACGACTCAGTGCATAACGATTTAAAAATGTCAGCCAGTAAAGTACTGTAGAGGCAGAAAATTTCGTCGGTCAATAATTTCGTCCAACTCCAAAGAAAAGGAGTTCGTCCGGTTGAAAATTTCGTCCATGGATCATAAGAGTGCATAGAAAAGCTGGACAAATCGATATTCGCCCTACATTTAATTTCGTCCAAAAGCTCCTTGGACGAAAAAGACGAAATTAAATTCCAGACGAATATTTCTGCTTATACAGTATGCAGCATCTACCCTCTACTACAAACAACAGTACTTCGGAAGGAGTGGATTTACAGTCAACTTCGCTAATAACGACTGCGGATATAACGACAATTTGCGAATAACGACGGAATGTCCATGCCCAGAGCAAAGTCCCATCTAACTGTATACATTTTTAACTTCAGATACAACGACTATCTGAATAATGACAATTCGCGAATAGCGACATGCTTTTAGTGCCCCGAGGTCACATTCACTGCTTAAATAACGACTTTCCGGGCTTTTGACAGCTATTTCAAGTACCTGCCATGCAGAAGTACCAGAACCCATGGCCATGGCGATGGATAAAGGCGCATATGCAAGAAGATGCAGCCAAGGGGGGGGGGAGTCTTTTCTATTTTGCTTCAAAATACATGTAGTTGAAGTGATCATGTATATCAGCACAACTACAGTCATGTACTAGTACAGTAAAATCCCGCTGCCAGAGTGCCCCGTCTCTCCCATCCGCCCCTCCCTGACTTCTTGTCAGGGAAGATTGATTGTATCCTCGTATGACTCCGTGATGCCGTACTGTACTGCAGACTGGTGCTCGATCCGGTTGGAAATGTACGCAACAGTGCCCACCCTCTTGACCAGGGATCGCACAAACCCTGTAGTTTTGACGGGTCTGTACGACTCCTGGCTCTTGACCTTTGGTCGGTGTACGAGATGCACGAGCAGTTTTCGTAGGGTGAGTACTTTTTCATGTAGTACTGAATGCGGCAAGTAGGACTCGCCCATCCGCGCCTCCCCAACAAACGTCAAGGAGGTAGGGGCGCTCTGGCGGGATTTCACGGTAGTTGTACATGATTGTACAGTAATCATCACTACGTGTATATGTCCTGTAGATGGCTCCAAAAGGCTTATTTTTCAATCTATTTCCCTTGCATATTGACTTTATAGTTCCTCAAGTTTCAATTGTACAGTAGGTATCGGTTATAGCGTGGGTGTTTGAAAAACGACTTTCTATTCTTATTTCCGATATTTCTCACACACGATGCATCAAGTGTGACATATCATATGCATGTGCGCAGGGGCAGGAAGATCATCGTACGTGCAACGTAGTGCTGCTGTGCATGCGGCTGGTCATAGTCCCATCGGCTTACCATGTGGCTATCCAACATGAGTTACATGACCACAACAGGTGAACCTGCAGCACTACGACGCAACGCGAGTCAGATCAGAACTGCATGGGACAGATGTTATTACTACTTGCGATACACTTTGTACTAATCTGGCATGTTTCGCTACACAAAGTCCATTCTTAGGACCGATATATTATACTATGCGATAAAATTGCTTGTAAGAATAAAAGTGCACTTGAAACCGATTTTATGATTATGAAAACATGAGAGTTCATTCTTGTAGGCAGTATATTCTTTTACACGAGCACGCTATAACCGATACGCACTGTAATATGAAAATAAAGTACACATTGACATAGAGCATGAAAAGAGCTTCATTTTGATATGCATGTCATACTATACAAAAATATGGGTTCACATATACATTCAAATGGGACTTCGGGTATAAGGACACTTCGCGAATAAGGGCTGTTCTGATGCCCCGCCGATTGTCGTTATTCGCAAAGTTGACTGTACAAGTACTTGTGAACGGCAGCAGAAATATAGTGGTGAAAGGTAACCTCCAGCCTTGTAAATGTATCAGTCCTAGGGATACACAACCCCGCAACCGATACCCACACTGGGTTGTGCAGGGAGCATGGGTCGGCTTTGTTCACAAGGATTCCATTTGGCACAACAACAGACGACTCTGAGTGATAGGGCGACCACCTGTCCCAGGCAACCACCACAATTTGCACCGGCAAGGGATAAGATTTAAAGTCAAATGAGCCTAGATAAGAAAACCACCTGTACGGCACGAGGACCATACTTGTAAGGTCCTTTGAGCGGTTGGCTTTAGACAAGTGTTACCGTAGTGTGGATACACTGGCACTATTACATCCTACTCCCTGACAGATACTAGTGTGTCTTCTGTACATCGATCTTCTAACTGCTACGTCACCCAGTACTATTATCTCAGACTTACTTTGTCGCCAAAGCCATCACCAATCTTGGGTGCTTGATCACGCTCGGTGACCTTGAAGCCGTACGTCAACTTCTTGGCATTTGTCTCAGCTAAGAACGACTTGTGATCGTATCTGTACGGGTCAAGCAGTTCTCCGGACTTGCCAGGATCGGCAAGCTGGCACTCCCTCTCCGGTGCGCTGAAGCGATACGTAGAAGGCTTCTTGTCAATGTCAACGAGAAAGTCAGGCAAGTTGTACGCTCCAGGCTTGGGTGTGTCCTATTGACATATTGTGTGTGCATGCCAACATTCGAAAACATTATGAATGCATGCATCCACATTCAAGTATCATTGTTTAGTTCGATTGGTTTTGCAGCAAGACATGCAGATCCACTTTTATCCCCACAATCTTCCCTGAGCACTGTCCATTCAACACCACGGGCCATCATTTCCCACCGTAGGCTGCAGTGTTCCAGTTTCCTGTTTGTTTTAATGATAGTATTGTACAGCGTCTTTCCTGAAAGACAAGAAGTTCATCTGGAAGGATGCAAGCTAATCACATGTTTTATGTGCTTGAAATCATCCGATTCTGAAATGATGCATTTCCCGGAATTGTCTCTGAAACGGTCTCATTCACTGCAAATACAGTTCAAGAACATAATCAACTAGTTCCGGTCATATTCGCAATTGCAGCCCGTTGAACTCATACCTGTGATGGACAAGAGCCTGAAGCTTGTTCTATTTCCCAGTCATATGTCTGATTGCAGTTCTGTCTCCAAAACACCATTCATCTCTTTTCCAGTCCCTTTTCACTACAGCCTGGAGTGAACCGTTCCTGTACAGTGGTCCATCTCGCCATTGCTTACCACAACATCACGTCTCCACCATCCCTCTCGGCCCGTCTTTGGTCGGTCATAGTTCATCCACTTGTCAGGACCAGCCGCCTGCACGATGTGACAAGGAACAAGGCATCACACCATCATCATCATGCAACCAGAGCAACGGCCGGATTCAAACAACTTTGTCGAGTCAAACCAGCTTATAATTTCAACAAGCTATAGCAGACCAGGCCCGCCAGAAACGGTCCGGTCCTGTTGGTCAGGTTATCACCGGACCAACTTTTTGGCCACCAACACGGCGGGCATGTGCATCCACCATATCGATACACAAAGTATGAAAGGCCACTATACTACCGGACCAATCAAAGCTGCTGCTTCCTGGAGTCCTGCAGACATCGGATGGATAGCAGTAAGCTGGCCCACGCCACACAAAGGGCCTGGATGTTAAGCTAGGCTAGATGCAGGACAGTGGTACTCTCCATACACCCATTGGATTGGAGATTAGGCTTTCCCCCTGCCGACTTGCAGCTGTTCATTCAGCTGCAGCAGGAACAAAAACCACCTCCCCCCTCCCAATATTCTTGCTTTGCCATGTAATGTTAGTGAATTTCTGACCGTTTACACTCTGATGCCTTTCTCTAAACCCCAGTAAAGCACATATGGCAGAGTCTACAATTATGTACCCACTGCCGGTAATAATCTTGGCCTAAAGGTAAGATCTTGAGAGTGATTGACCACTGACATGCCTGCTGCTTGCTAGTAGTAGTGCCACTGACCCGGCTACTACAGTCAGTGACTGTAGTAGCCTTGGCACTGACTGTAGTAGCCTTGGCTGGGGTACTATGCTTACCCATCATGGTGCCTGGCGCTGACTGTCCTGAGAGCTTAGAGGTAGGATTGAGGACGTCTAATCTAATGGACATTGAGACACGTGCTGGGAGAGCCTGTGCTAAGGGAGCATGTGAATCATATTGCACCATATGTACAGCCTGGGAGTACGGTCAGCTTTGATGAAAAAGTAACTGGTTTCGTGGTGAACCTTTGGGCACGGTTATGTACTCCTGATGTCAGTGATTAGTTCTGTTACTGTAGTGTAGGGGCAGTGTAGCATCATGCAGCCTGCGCCAGTCATACTTCTGTGTGATACAGTACAGGCAGCTGTTGCTTGTGTAGATCTGGTAAACCAACGCAGGGAGGGGAAATATTCCCGGCGTAGTAACTACAGGCTCATGTTGATCTACATGTAATGCGGAGTTGTATTGAGGTTTTTCTACTAAGGCACCTTTACAGATACTAGCATTCTGCACGTTATCATTATTATTGTTCCTACTGGTAGCTACACTCAAACCACCTGGTCATATGCAACAGCCTATGTTTCTAGCAGGATGATAATTGTTCCTACTGGTAGCTACACTCAAACCACCTGGTCATATGCAACAGCCTATGTTTCTAGCAGGATGATCCTGCTTTGCCCGTAAAAGAGGCCTGTAATAATATTATTATTATGATCCTGCGTTCTTGGTCTGCCCCCCCCCCCCCTTTAGTATTTTGACTGACTTGAATATTTTGTACCTTCATGGCAGAGTAGGTCCTGGCTTCAACGCGGACCGATGGCCGATTGCTGCTGACACGTGCGCTGAACGTTCGCTGCCGTCGCGAGAACTTCGAGACGTCCATCGGATCGGTGGGCATGTATGCGCCAGTCGCTGGGAAGGCACTCATGGCACGACGCTGCGGAGGAGCCGCAATGCCAAACTCCGAAGCGGAGCCGTCGACACTCATCTTTTCTGTCTGCTCTAGAGATAAATCTGGTGCTGGCTGCCTCAAACGCAGGGACGGCACTATCCACTGCTCCACTAACTTCAGATGACGCCGCGATGATGCCGACAATGAAGCCGCTGACAAGTACAGTTTAGCCAAACAGTGATTCTTTCACGACCTATCAGTCGAGCTACAAGCTCATGCTGTAGATCTACGCGGTCTGTGAGCTCGAAGTCCGGGCAAATCAGCGACTACTCAGCGCTCCTTGCGCTACGAAGACGGAGGAGTGTTCGCCACGAACTTTCGCTGTGCAAGTGCTGCGCAAGACAGCAGAATAGTCATAGATGTGACAGCACCCCCAAACGGGCCAAAGCAGAAGGATAAGTCACAGGCAAAAAGAAGTACGACGCGTCGATCTACGCAAGCAGAAACGCGATGAGTGGTAACAATTATTTACATGGTGTTGTAACTAATACTTGTAGACCGGCGTATCGCGTAGTGGCGTAGACTAGCCCTCTAGGCTCTACTCTAGCTCTGGCAGGCTCTGCTTTCTTGTTTACTCACCAAACAAAACCATGACTGCACTGCATGAGAACTGAGTCTGTTCGTGTTGCGTCGGTCGGTGTCACGAGACCCATTCGTAAAGTGTCGCCGTTTACGGTTTAGGTCTTTGCGTGACATGCGCGTCCGCCTAACGACAGTACTTCACTGGGCGTAGTAAGCCCGCTGTGTCCTCGGCAAAAACGAAAGGAGACACCGGCATCTGGACAAGACTTGTAGCCCACCCTCTCACTGAGTCTCAGTAGAGCCTTACTCCCACGATCATGGTGACCGGCGTAGTACTAGTAGTCTTTTACTTTTACAACAAACCTTCTTCAGACACTCGTCAGCGGCCTGAATGTTTTACTGTATGTAATTGTTAGGCAGACGACTCTGAGACTGAGGTCATGTCAATGGCACCATGTAACCATCCATGCCATGGTCCCGGTACTCTTGATGATTGTCTACATAACCGTACCCTCAGGGCCTAGGGCTTCAGGCTCAGCAGTTACTAGCCCAGTGATTATGACTTTGTCCATGTCCATGACGACCAGGCACCGGCACGCGGCAGATTATACTCGAAAAGGTGGCAGGTTCTGCTCGAAAAGCAGTGAAATTCAAATTGGCAGAACCATACAAACCCTATGGCGGGCAATTCCTCGAATTCTGCTCCATTTCTTTATCCACATACCAAACATGCATGAAACTTACCTGAAAAAGTACTGAATTCTGCCAATTTTTCTGCCGGCATAATCCGCCGGTGCCTAATGACGACTGACTCTGCGCAGTGGTTGGTTGACCTTGTCCTACTCTGTATCCTTCGACAAGTTATTATTACTTATATTCAAGGCAAGAGGGTGCATGGAGGGTGCCTGGGGCGGGGCTCTTGACTTTATACCCATACAGAGCCATCCGGACCTGGGGAAGACTCCGGACCTTCGGAAGACTTTTGAAAGCACCTCTAATGGCCCCATCACCTGATCACTACAGTCTATGGGTCTGGGCTTGGCTCTACACAAGCTACCAGTAGCTAGCTAGCGGTGTATGCCACAGTCAACAAAACAGGGAATACTGACCATTGGCATTGGCGTTGTTGTAGTGTAACACTACAACAACGCCAATGGCAATGGTCAGTATTCCCTGTTATGTTGACTGTTTTGCATTCAACAAAACAAGGAATACTGAAAATGATAATAAACAGGCTGCATACAAAATCAGGACCCGCTGCACAGTACAAGGTAGTCTTTACTTGAAATCCAGAGCTAGGGAGTAATGAAATACACTAAAATCATTGAAATGCACTGGACCTAGACCTATTTCACTACTCCCTGGCAGATCTGCATCGCCAATAGGTGTGCCGGATCCGGCGTCATTCGCATGCCGGATGTAGTTGGCAAGGAGGCACTCCACGTACCCCATAATAAGCCACACACCTTTCCAGTTAGGATCTAGGAAAGCATGTTCTTGTGTCTATGTACACATATTTCACGAGTCATGCACAAGGGAGCGTTAAAAAATTAATAATGTACTCTTGGCACTAGCGATACGTCACACAATCTTGGTCCCAGGCCTGATTGACTGATTGAGTGTATGGACCGTGGAGGAGCACAATACAGTGAAACCTGTCTAGCTAAGCCGACCGCTCAAGGGACCTTCGAAATGTGGTTCCCGTGTACAGGCGGTCTCCTAATCCAGGATCTTTGACTGGAAACTACACCCATGGTACTAGTTGTAGTGGTCCTCTAGGACAGGTGGTCGCCGTATCAGAGTGGTTGCATTGACAAGTTTTACTGTATTCTTGTAATATGCCTTGTTGTGGACTGCGTGCTATTCTCAGGTCCCAGTCAACATCAGTTCAAACAGCGTGCAGTGTTGTACAGCTTGCACTGACACACACGCTGAGTGCATTGCATCACGGATCAATACAGAGGGCCTCGTGCAGTGTTGTACAGCTTGCACTGACACACACGCTGAGTGCATTGCATCACGGATCAATACAGAGGGCCTGCCTCACCTAACTGCAATGTCGACGAAAATCACCCAGTGATGGTTGAGAAGGCTAGCGTATCAGCGATAGTCCAGAAGCTTGCAATAGCAAATATGCAGCAACACCTATAAGGAAGAAAATAGTTTAAAGTTTTAAAAAAAGTAGAGGAGGAAAGTGGGTCCACCACTACATGTTGAGTCCAGCAACCAATAATTGCCTATGCACCCCAAGTGTCGTCGTCATCATCAAGACCATCAAGCTCATCTGCAGACAATTCGCACAGAAAGAAGACCAAGCACATACAATTGTGTTTTGCTTCCTTTCTTCTTCTTTTTCCAAACTGACACACAAACATACGCCAAGGAAGCAGGCAAAAGACACCCATAGGCCTGGCTTGCAGCATATGGACAAGAGCATGACAGGATAGGACAGGAGCTCTGCGCTGAACACCCAGGCTGACGCTAGATGTTGTGCAAGGCTCGGGGCACACATGATTACAGGGGGGGGGGGGGGGGGGCATAGCTGAACAATCTGTCACAGTGGTCGAAATCACCCATGCCATTACAGTATCACTCAGACAGTGTAGGGACAAAAGGGCAGGGCACATTTAGCCTGGTATGTTCTTGCTCCTTGCCAATCCGCGTTACAGAGCAATGTTGACATTTGGAATGAACACAGCCTGACTGTTCTTCAGCATGCCGTTCTTTGGCACATCATTGTAGTTCGGGTCCAAATTCGAAACAATCTCAAGGAATAAAATTAATATGAAAATCAGAACGAGACTTACCATACACATCCACAACGTCTAGCAATGCCTCCAGCTCCGGTGCAAGCTCTCCATTATCGTCATCATCATAGTCGTCGTCCATACCACCGGTCACAGCACCACCGGTTGTGGCCGACGCTGACGCAGATGGTCGTGATGCACCTCCACGACCATGCGCTGACTGGCGACCAGCACCGCGTGACGCTGCTGCTGCTGAATAACGACCACGGCCACGTCCAGTCATGAAAGGCTGCCGGAAGAACTTGTGCAGACGATTTGCCTGATAAGAGAGAAAACACCCATAATTCAAGATCACTGTTGACCAGCAACAACCTCTACGGCACCATAGACACACCATTGCACACTGCAGTGCTGTCACACTCAATACACATTTCGGGAACGAAATGCTCCCTGTCTTGCAGTGTAAAGTACTCGTATTTACAGTACACGGAGACCTACATAAAGACGCTTTCACTCATACCTTATTGGCACCAAAACCAGGACAAAGCGCCAGCGCTTGTGGTGAGGCATGGATGACCTTTTCCAGTGAGCCGAAGGATGAGGACAGCGTCGATACATTGGCCTTATTGATGAACCGAAGAGTTGTTAGGCAATCTGTAAGCTGAGTACAGGAAAAAAAAAGAAGAAGAAGAAAATGAGCATTACCTTTCCGGAGAATGCCGCAGTCCAATCAACAAAATACAAATATTGCATTTTCTGAAGTTTGGGCTGATCTTTACTACCGCCTGTCTCAAATAAACACCAAATCATTTCAAGGCTTTTGTATGGATATAACTAGGGGTCAAAGGGGTGTTCCGGGTACTCGGGTACCCGCCCGTTAATCTCTGGTACCGTTAGTAAAAGGGTACCCGTTTGGATTTCGATGATCCAGTCAGTACGGAACAACACCGCTGGGATCGCGCATTCCCGGCGGGAGTCAATTATTTACAACTCCACCCTTGATGTCTGCATTGTTGTTGCATTTTCGCACCTAGTAGGTCTGCCTCTGCAACTATCAGACACAAATCAATCCGCGAATCACAATGTGATATCAAAATGCATCCGGAGACCAGATACAAATGTAAATTAAAATCATTATTTATGTAAAAATGCGCAAAAATTAAACATGGCTGCTAAAGGGTACCCGTTAACCCGCCCGGTAAGAAAATTACCCGTTCGTTAGTTAAAGGTACACCCGTTTGACCCCTAGATATAACGAGACCAACGCATATGGCCGATTGGAATCATGAGGTCCCGAGTTCGAGACCCGCGCTGGCAGCAGGGAGCGTGTAAAAAGACATTTTACGAGTGTTGAACCGCGCCGACACCCACGGTCAACTGGGTACTCACAGCTCGAGTGAGGATAACAAGGATGCAGTTTACAGGGTTATGGGCCGTTACACGCCCGATTGGTTGAGAGACTCACCTCCTCTCCCCTGACTCACTTGTGAGGTCTGCATTCGCCACTAAGGTGTAAAGGCATAGTGGTGGCCTGCGGAAGCGAAGGCTATAGCTTGTGTGTTTCTGAACATTCAAGTGATGCTAACGCGGATCCCGCGAATATTATATAACGATTTTTCCATGGAATTGGGTGAAAAATCTGGGCTCGCAAACTACTGATTGCCTCGACAATTATTCATGAGTGACAGTATGGTGTAGGGACTTTTGCTTCAGCCACATCTGCCCCGGGGGGGGGGGGGGAATATGCTCAAATTTCAACAGAATTCATGGATTCAAGGAATCTGAGTGAGGTCAAACAATAGTATACGTTCTGCGCAGTTTCGCAATCTCCGCAATTTCGAATTTGTGCTGCGCAGTTTCGAAATCGAGCGATTGCGAGATTGCGCAGTACAATTTCGAAATTGGATGCTCAGCAGTCTCGCAATCTGATCCTGTTTTCATTCTTCATCTCATGTTTGCCTTGCACGTGCTGTTTTCAGTTTTTCTGCCTAACTGTTTTAACTGTTTTTGGTCGTGGTTTTCGTAACTGAAGAATGGGTTTGTGTACCGCCAGGACAGCACCGACAGATTCATCTAACCTTAGACGCATAGTCTCCCGCCACACGCTCCTTTAGCAAGTCAGCCGGCTTCTTCTCATATGCCTTGTAGGTCTCCAGATACCGCGCTGCCTCCGCATACCTGCCGGCATTGGAAACATGTCAGCAAAAAGAAGATTTTCAAATCCTCTTCTGTTATGGTTTTCCCCAAGTAATTCTCGCCTTGCTCCCTCTTATGTTCAGGCTGCCTGTTTTGGAGCCATCAGTCTCTCTCTCTCTCTCTCTCTCTCTCTCTCTCTCTCTCTCTCTCTCTCTCTCTCTCTCTCTCTCTCTCTCTCTCTCTCTCTCTCTCTCTCTCTCTCTCTCTCTCTCTCTCTCTCTTCCATTGCCCTCATCACACCCTTCCTATGCGCCTTTCATTAAGCGCGGCAACATATTTCCATGCAAAGAAAGAGAGAGAGAAGGGGGGGGGGGCTGGATTCTTGCTACTAGAAGAAACCGCAGTGCTGCTCGGTGAAATCCGATCAAGCGAGTCAAGTACGTGCTGCGAGCTGTGCAGCCCCAGGCCTGCGAACAATGGGCTGCTACATTGTGCAAGGCACAAACTTGACTCACGCGATCGAATTTCATTGAGCAGCACTACTATAACAATGGCCTTAATGGACAGTATAATTCCGAGCACTTACGACCATGCAAGGATGAGTGTGCACTCGGCAAGGATCGATATGGATGTTAGCTGCTGGAGACATGACTGAGAGTCTTTCTGTCAACAAGAAAAGAGATAGGTACCATACAACAAGACATAGAAAGCAGATCATCAACGGTGGGAAATAGGATTTCTTTCTTGCCGTCACACAAAAGGCAAAACGTAGGTGAGAACTCTAACACAAGACACAGGTAGACTAAGGACGCGTTCGAATTGTCTTCATCAACTGTTCAAACAAATTTTATAAAGAGATTAGTTGAAGTGTCCCATTAGAACAGCTTCTATCATTTTAGAGTTTTTCAGTGGAACTGTCATGCGATGATGACGTCCGATCAGTTTGACCATCTCCACGTAGAACGTGACGTAGCTATTCCAAACTCTCGAAACTAATCCACCTCTCCCATCGGATGAGGTTGTGGAGTTTCGTTTTTCTGAAGAGGCACCTCTTCAGAAAAACGGAACTCCTCGAAAAGTCGAAGAGTGACAATTCGAACGCGCAAAACCAATACATCATGACTTTGTGTCGATCAACATATTATACTACAACAAAACATTTATTGAGTATATTCAGAGATTCCCAAAGTACACTGCATTGCATACAATGTACACTTGTCCCCAGCATGATCAGATAGTGAATGTCTATATCAGACTATTGGTCTGTGACAATATCACAGCTGGTCAGATATTTACTGTCCACCTTGCAAATAGCAACCCTCGGTCTGGCACGGGAAGTGCTGTTATTCGTGAGTTGTCGTTATTCATGAGCTATTGTTACAGACAAGGTTGTTATTCAGGGGGTTGACTGTACAACCAAATATCAAAATACTGTATTCGAAATATTTGAGCAACAAACTTGGACAATGACTCAGGATTTCACACACACACACACACACACACACACACACACGCACACACATACATACACACAAACATGCACAAACACACATACATTACACACAAACACTCACAAACACACATACATACGCACAAACAGACACGCATGCATGCAACCCATACACAAGCATGCATGCACACACAAACGCACACACAAACGCACACACACACACGCACAAATGCACACACACACACACACACACACACACACACACACACACACACAAAAACACACACACACACAAACGCACACACAAACGCACACACAAACGCACACACAAACGCACACACACACACAAACGCACACACACACATACACACAAACGCACACACACACACGCACACACACACACACACACACACACATACACGAGATAGGATGCTGCTTTGCTGTGACTTCAAGTTTCATGCACGGAAGCAATCACCAGGCAGCATTGACATTGTGCATTGTTCCTCTCCTGGCCAGGATTTTACGTTATATTCTACATACAGATGGTTTTTCACCCTGGGAAATGCAAAAATGTGAGCACGCCAAAATACTGACAATAACTGACAATGACAACGGCAAACAAGAACAATAACAATAACCGATGACAACAACAACGGTGCTCACTCCCTTACCACATCCACATGGACAAGTATTACTCGCAGATCGTATCTGCGTCCCAGACTTTTCAAACGGTCGTAAATATACTCCGGGTGAAGCAGGTGATATCGCAAACTAAGGAAAGAGAAATAAAAGCATAAGCAAATCGCACAAGCGTGAACTCTGAGTTGCAATACAGTTCTGCTCCACCTTACTTGTAAGCAAAATAAGGAGATGAACAACAACTTCCTTAGCCTATTAGAGATTTGCTACATGCCAGCCAGAAAGAGATCAAAGATCATTATTACTGCCACTGAAGAAGACGACCAAGGTGAAGAGAAATCGTCAGAAAAGCACCACCACCCAAAGACGTTAAGTTATAGTTGAATACCATTCAGCAAAGCAATGATGGCCGTGGCACAGACGCCCTGCTTGCAGACATGCCGTGATTTCTGTCATCAACTGCCTAACCCCCCCCCCCCCCCCCCAACACAGTCTACAGTAGTACACAATGAAGATTGTGAATCAGAAAGAAGTCACATCACTAATGTATGGCCTTGCTATCAGGACTGCAATGCAGGAACAGGTTACAGAGCAATGCAGACACAGCCCTGGCCAGGGCCAGCGGCTGACACTACACAGTCACATAGACTGGTGCAGGCTGCACATTACATACATATGCAGGCACACACATACACCCACAATTATATGCACATGTGTGCACGAGTACGCACATGCACACACACACACACACCTCAGACCTGCCCATCGCGGAAGCGATGATAGCGAACAGCTATGTTAGACATAGCAACTTGTGCTGGGATTACACCATTCAACAGCTTGCAAGGCTGATGAATGGACCGCCACTAATTTTTAGCCTGGTATCCACCACACAGCTGATTGAAGTGGCTTTATCTGGCCAGTGAATCCCTATTTTTCATTAACGCACTCTCCACATACAGGCATGCACCCGGCTCAGAACACATTGTTTTCTGGTTGGCATATCAGGGATATTGGGCGGAGCAGCTGGCGTGCATGAGAAAGACAGGTCGGCCTGCTCTGCGCAGGAGCTGTGACCCGGTGCACACATAGTGTGTGTGAGAGAGAGAGAGACAGACAGGTCGGCCTGCTCTGCGCAGGAGCTGTGACCTGGAGCACACAGAGTGTGAACGAGAGACGGTCGGCCTGCCGTGGGCAGGAGCTGTGACCGGTAGTGATTGAAATGAGCCAGCTGCGGAGATAGACTGCCCTCACCCGATATAAGTATATTGACAAGAGTTATACTGACACTGTTATTGAGGAAATTATGGTGACAGTGACGGAGAGATAGTGATCCCCAGTCGAATGGGGTTGGGAGGGAAGGGGAAATTGACAACTGACGGACAAACCAGTGAACAGTCAAGTCGTCGGAAAGCAAAAGTGACAAAGGAGTCTCTCTTTTCTCCTTCTCTCTCTCTAAAGCAAGATTTGGAATGCACGCGTGGGAGAGTGGCGCGCGCTGCGCATGCGCATGTATAGCAATGACATCATAATCAGATGCATGATCATCAGACTAAGTATGAGTGGTAGATGTTCCACGTTCGTTAACAGGGCTTAGCGCACACGCTAAACCACCATTAACGCACTCTCCACATACAGGCATGCACCCGGCTCAGAACACATTGCTTTCTGGTTGGCATATCAGGGATATTGGGCGGAGCAGCTGGCGTGCATGAGAAAGACAGGTCGGCCTGCTCTGCGCAGGAGCTGTGACCCGGTGCACACATAGTGTGTGTGAGAGAGAGAGAGAGACAAACAGGTCGGCCTGCTCTGCGCAGGAGCTGTGACCTGGAGCACACAGAGTGTGAACGAGAGACGGTCGGCCTGCCGTGGGCAGGAGCTGCGACCGGTAGTGATTGAAATGAGCCAGCTGCGGAGATAGACTGCCCGTTCCCAATATCCCCAATATGGCATGAGAGTAATAATGAAATACGACTGGTGTATTGTGCTGTACTGACAGCAGCAATGTAAAGCTAAAGCTAAGCAGTTCAGGCATGATGTGGTCACTACCATTGATGACTTTGAACTGCAGCTAATTGACGTGACACTCGCAGGGTGTCAGCTGTAGCAGCCCGGATGTAGCGGTGGACCGCATCACTGCGCCATCTACCCATGATACGGATGATGTGTTCGGGGACACCTGCCATGGCCGCTGATGTTGCGGCGCCAATCCGGAAAGAGTGACTGGCATATGCACTCGGGTCCGTGACCCCACAGAGTGGCAGCAGGTTGCGCAGTTCAGAGGACACTGCATTTCTTGTAAGCGGCTGGCCATTAGCATAAGTGAACAGATGGTCGCCGCCGGGGCGAAACTCCAGGTAGTTTGCCATGGCCTGCACTGGGCAGATCAGTGCGTCCGTGCTGGCTCCAACCAATACTGTGTGGCCCGTGCTGTCGGGGTCCGTCTTAGATGAGCGCACGTTTACCGATAACGACCGCTGGTCAGTACTGATCGTCACATCACATCGCCTCAGGCCAGCAGTCAGTTCTCTACAACGGAAGAACCCATGAAACGCCAAGGAAAAAGCTGCCCTTAGCATGGCCTTGTCGTGAGGGTGCCGCATGCGTGGAACGGCAACATGCCGGCAGATCTCCCTGAGAAGTGGAGTGGTTATCGGCAGACGATGACGCTGTGTCGATGACGACCTGTCGATGCCCCGCAGGACCCTAGCGAGGAGAGTTGTTGGGCCCGACGGGTAAGCAAAGCCAAGTTCCACATGAAGGTTGCGGATTGCCGACATGTAGACACGTACAGATCGAGGCTGAAGAGTCCTGAACAACTCGGCAGCAAAATAGCACAAAGTAAAGTCGTCGCCCGGCAATGGGTTGCAGGCATGCACTTGGCAGAACTGGAAGTAGCGGGTCTCGGCGGTAGAATACGTCCGGCGGGAGGATGGTGCTATTGCCAGTGCTGCTAGCTGTAGCACGGAGTCTGTCAACGGAGAGTTGGCAAGACTGGCTGATCTGGCTCGGCTGCTGCTTCCGGGGCCTGGTGCCTGAATACCTGCAGCAAATTGCGAGACAATGCATCGGCGACAGTGTTAGTGACACCAGGAATGTGGACAGCTGACACCAAGAAGTCATGCTCAATACACAGCAGATACAATGCCCGGATAAGTGTCATGACTGGCGGTGAACGGCAGGTACCGGAGCGTATACAGTCCACCACGGCCTTGTTGTCACACTGAAACTGAATGCGTCGCCTGCTCCACTCCGAACCCCAGGTCGCGCAGGCAACTATGATAGCATACATTTCTTTGAACTCAATGTTCTCGTTCTCGTTCTGGGCTGTCCACTCTCCTCTCAGCCACCGGCCGTTGTAGAAGGCACCATAACCGTGAGTGCCGCTGGCATCAGTCTGTAGTTGCATGTCGGTGGCTGGCGTCCACTCATCCACCAGGAAGAATGACTTCCCATTCCATATGGTCAGGGCCTCTGCCCACCACAACAGGTCTGCCATTGCCGATGCCGAAATGCGTAGCCATTGGTGCAATGGTGTTGCTCGAGTTGCTCTGTCCAGGTCGTACAGGCGTCTCAGGAATGTGCGACCAGCTGGTACAGCTCTGGACGCGAACGAGAGTTTGCCCAATACGGAGGCGAGGTCGCGTTTCTGAACCCGGCCGGATTGGACGAGGGCCGACACGGTGGTAGATAGCTTAGTCAGCTTTGAGGGTGGAAGGCGGATCTCCAGAGCCATTGTGTCCAGCTCTAAGCCCAGGAAGGTGAGAACCGTAGAGGGGCCGTCAACCTTCTCAGGTGCAACTGGGACCTGTAAATATGCAAACAGGTCGAGCAGTAGTGACTTCTGGTGCTGGGCAAGAGGAGGACTGGGAGGCGATACATTCAGGAAGTCATCCAGATAATGAATGAGATGGGGAAGGCGGCATGTGTCCTCCAGAACCCAATGAAGGGCAGATGCAAACTTGTCAAATATGTACGGAGCTGACCGAAGGCCGAACGGGAGGACTTTTTCGAAATAGTAACGACCATCCCAAGAGATACCCAACAAGTGCCAGTCAGAGGGGGCAACAGGGCATAATCGGAAGGCGTTTCGAATGTCCACTTTGGTCAGGTAGCAACCACGGCCTAACTTCATGATATAGGAGATAGCCGAATCGACAGTGTCATACTCCAAGCTGAATGACTCCCGGGAAATACCATCATTGACACTGCGGCCAGTGGGGGAGGATAGGTCATGGATGAGGCGAAATTTGCCATTGGATTTTGGGATCAGGCCAAAACCCGAGGTTTGAAACAGCTGATATGGCAGCTCAGCAAACGGACCAGCTGTTTCCCCAGCATCGCAACAAGACTGTAGGTACAGGGTGACAAATTGTTTATTGCAGAGACTAGACGGATGATTGACAGATTGAATGCATGATACCAGAGGAGTGGTGTGACCAATCGAGAAGCCGTTAAACATGCCAGCACAATACATAATCACGAAACAGGGCATCAGGGTGAGCAGCTAGCGGTGCAGTTAGCCGAGGCACGTTGACTGGAGTGACGACGTCACTGGGAAGACTGAGAGGCCGCTCGGGTGCAAGGCTTCTTTGGGTGTTTGCCGCGGCATGACAGACAGACATGGGTCCGTATGCAGGACGGGTATGTGCAGGCGCCGTTGTTGTAATTCCGGCAGATCTGGCGGCCGTCGTGACGAGGAGCTGGGCTGGTGGCTGACTGGCTCCCGCCTGCGTGCTGCGCAAGAGGGAGCCCTCCACGAAAGGGGCAATGCGGGGCTGGAGATGGGTGCACGAGAGAACAACGCGAGCAGATAGGGCGCCCGCGGCTCGTGAAGCAGGACTGCCAGAGGTTAGGGTCCAGTTGCCGCCAGGAATACAGGTGCGGCATGGCAGCAAGACCAGCACGGAAACGACGGTCATAGGTCAGCCACGCGTCGGCCAGATAATTGTTGTTGGCCTCGATGATGTTGGCTTGGTACGCCAGCAAATCTGGAGCTTGGTCCGGCGACGCATCGACCAGGACTCTGGTGAACAAGGTGAAGGCCTCTAACCACGTCGCCAAGTCATGGACTCGGCGCTTGGAGGGCTGGGGAGTGGACGAGCTCTGCACCAGCTCAACGGACCTGCCGTTCACCAACGACAACTGCAGGACATCACTACTGCCGGACATGGCTTCAGGCAACAAGTCCCCAAATTCGACAAACTCACCTCGTGTGATACGTTCCTGTAGCCGTGGAGGGATGACGGGGAGTCCTGGAGAGCCGGCTGCGCAAGCCAAGTGCATCGGGGAAGGCTGCCCCAGCGGGAGAGGAGCTGATGCTGGTGCTGGTGCGGCAATGGGCGAGGTGGTAGGGGCGACGACGTTGGATTCCAAGCGCTCCACGCGCTCCAGGAGGGGCTGGATAACACCAGTCAGGTCGCTCAGGGTGAGAGGAGCTGGTTGTGACGGCGCAGGAGAAGTCACCTGGTCCGCATTGGCTGAAATGTGCCCATGAGCATGGATCACACGGGACCTCGCTCTCCGATGGTCTTGAGAATTCGCAGAATTCACAGCCCGCTGCGGATACGGGTAGAGAGCTGAAATTGACAACTGACGGACAAACCAGTGAACAGTCAAGTCGTCGGAAAGCAAAAGTGACAAAGGAGTCTCTCTTTTCTCCTTCTCTCTCTCTAAAGCAAGGTTTGGAATGCACGCGTGGGAGAGTGGCGCGCGCTGCGCATGCGCATGTATAGCAATGACATCATAATCAGATGCATGATCATCAGACTAAGTATGAGTGGTAGATGTTCCACGTTCGTTAACAGAGCTTAGCGCACACGCTAAACCACCATTTTTTTCCTTTTTTTCATTCCTTTTTTTTTACACACACACGCCACATCACATACTCCGGCATACACTGGCTGTTGGTAACCACCCAGGAGAATGAATGAAGAGCTAGGAGAATGAGGAAGAGAAGAAAGACGTGTGCGACCATAATCGTCGGGAATTGAACCCACAACCTCTCGATTGGAAATCGACTGCACATACCACTGCACCATATGGGACACACACACACACACACACACACACACACACACACACACACACACACACACACACACACGCACGCACGCACACCACCACATCAGAATACTTGAAGTACAGTACACGCTATGGTAAATATACACCTGGCAATATGGCTGTAAATATACGCCTGTCCACACATGCTCTCTAGGCTGCAAAGTTATTCTGGCGCAGAGCTCTCCTTCTCATCTCCACCATCATCAGTTCGCGTCCATTTGCGTGTATCAGTATTAGTTTGTGTGTATTTACCACGATACGAGTCAACCATAAGTACAGCTGCAGTGGAGTCTTCAAATTCTACAGTACGCGCTAAATCCACTAACCTCAGAAAAAGAGCACATGCCCTTTCACCGATGACGTAGTCAGGTATAATAGAGTCGTCAAATTCATGCGGGACGTTACGGATTAACGGTAGAATAGGGTTGCCTTTCTACAAACAGTTCACAGCAACAACAAGCAACAGGAAAACAACTGGATATGTATTTCACTGATGTGCCACACACCAGTGACCAGCATTTACTAGCTTGTTCTGACTCTGCACAATCACCTCCACAACTCAACAATGAGGGGAGAGACCGGGAGACAAACGACTACCGTATTTCCCCGATTATAAGTCGCACTTGATTATAAGTCGCAGCCCATTCTCACGTCCGAACCAAATCGTCTCAATGCATTCACATAAGTAAGAAGTCACACTCGATTGTAAGTTGCACCCCCTTCTTTGCCCTTGAAGTTAAGTGTAAAAAGGTGCGACTTACAATCGGGGAAATACGGTACATGATGGAACAAGACTGCGGCAAGAGAGAGGGAGAGAGAGAGAGAGAGAGAGAGAGAGAGAGAGAGAGAGAGAGAGAGAGAGAGAGAGAGAGAGAGAGAGAGAGAGAGAGAGAGAGAGAGAGAGAGAGAGAGAGAGAGAGAGAGAGAGAGAGAGAGAGGGAGAGAGAGAGAAGCGAGCAGACCAGTTGCCTCGGCCACTGCTCTCAGTGATCTAACACAATGCAATGATTTTAGGGCTGCTAGTGATAGACTTGAATGATGTCTCTTACCTGGACAGGATTGACAAGGATGGATAGCGATGATTTGGTCTTGTTCACTACAGCAGGAGCAGCAGCAGCAGAAGCAACAGCAGCAGGCACGGCTCTCTCTTTGCCTTGCTGCTTCTCCGAGGATACTGTTGCTTTAGCAGCTCCCTCCAGGCTAGCACTAGACGTCACCGTCGTCGTTGCGGATTTCGTGCCAGCTACTGCAGACGTAGATGACGCTGATGCTACCCTAGGTATGGCAGCAGTCGCGGCGGTGTCTGCCCTACTGGCTTTACCGACAGGTGCTGCACGTGCGCTATTGGCTGGCTTAGGTGATGTGCCAGACAATACCTCTTCTTCGTCATTATCAGCATCATCATCACTACTAGTAACTAGAGTGACTTGCGTAGTGCTTCCCGATGGACTGACTTTGCTTGTGCCTATTGCTGAAACAGAGGTTGCCGACGTTGAGGGTGTAGGTCTTCCTTGAACAGCAGAAGCTGCTGGAGCAGCCAAGTGTGCTCTTCCATGCGCTCCAGTTCCTACTGAAGACGACGTGCTAGCATGGAAAAGCATGCATATGCACACACACACATGCACACACACACCCACACACACGTACACACACCGGCGCACACACACCCACACGCGTGCGCGCGCACACACACACACACGCACACATGCGGTATCAAGGTCTGGGGATGTTAGCTAAGAGCCTACAACTTGATGCGGAGTAGAGTTCCCAAAAGTTCTTGTGATCAATATTTCGGCGCTTGAGGTGGGCACCTTGAGTATTTTTTGCAAGTAAACTAACGTGTTACTTGACAGTGCCACCATGCTGTTCCCTAACCTCAGCCAAGCTCCATATTTTTTTACAGTCTGGCTACCAAAGCAGTATGCATCAGGTGATGTGCCGAAAGGTCACACAGTGGCTGCCAGCCCACCGTCTTTTCTTCCCCACTCTTGGACCGAAATGTAACAAAACTCCTGCAGTCGTGGCCAGTGAGTTAATTTAACAGTGTGATCAGTACCTTGTATCACATGTAGATGCGGCAGCAGACGCTCTGCCAAACAGAAGTGTTCCTCTTTTCCCCTGAGCAGTACCAATTGCGTTTTGTTGAGAAAGGACAGGTACGACAAACCGGCGCTTTGCTGGCGGAGAATTCTCGTCTGAACCGTCTTCCATACTATTACTAGGGGTTATTCCGAGATTCGACGAGACGTCTCTATTGAAACCAGCGAAGGAGGTACATACTTGCACAGTCAGTTAGACTTAGAGTTAGACTTTTACTTTTAGTGGTCGAAAAACGATTGTATTTTTCGAAATGTGTAGTGCAATCGTTTTCAAGCTGACATCACCATTATTTTATACATGATCACGTGCATGCATGACGTCGATATCGCGCGATATAATGACATGACGCAGTTTTGTGTGGGAAAAACGTGCTTTGACTGTTTGAGTTTGAGTACGGTGTTTTTGAGTTTGACTTGTGAGTTGGCTGTGCCTTGTGAAGTAAGTTGTGTAGTGAACATAAAGTCATTGCTTCAACTTTTCAAGGGTGTTCCAGCTGTGAAGACAGATGAGAAACAAACACTTTGTTTTCATAGGGTTCGGGGAGAGAAATACTTCTCCTACAGTGAGCAGATGTCTTCTGGGATTATCTTCTTTCCATTAGCTTGCTTTGAATAACTTGCAATCACCTGAACATTCACACATTTGAAATTGATTTTGTCATCATGTATTAGAATAACAAATATTCGTAGATTCAAACACGATGAGTGGTGCTACAGATCCTCAACCAATTCCAAGCGATGGAAGGGGCCGCACTGCTACAGTTGGCTCCACAACTGCTTCGAGTGAAAGCACTGGCGCGATGCGCGCGGGCGATGTAAACAAGCTGGTCCTCAATCCGGCCATGTCTAAAGTGCAGAACATTGCTGTGTATGGGACGAAAACGGTGAGCTGCTCTCTGTGCAGTGTGCTGAGACATGTTACCTGTGTTAGGCAGCTTTGTAATATGTTAGGCAGCTTTGTAACATGTAGGCAGCTTTGTAATATGTTAGGCAGCTTTGTAGTATGTTAGGCAGCTTTGTAATATGTGTTAATCTTGTTGGTACCAGCTATCTCTATCTGAGGAACCTCGGGTTTTGTCACTTGCGCATGGCATTACAGAATGCAGTACAGTACTAGTTTCCTGATTTACAATAACAGCAAGCTATACAATATCATCAAGAGTCCATAAACAAGGCCTAGAGTATACGACTGTGGGAACGGGTTAGTGCGTGGCACGCTGCCTTCATATCATATAAGTACTGACACTGCATTATGGCATTGTGATGAGGGCAGCGCCCACACACCGAATAAAAGTCAACACCAACAACAACATCTTGCCCATAGAAAAGGGATCACAGTTGTATACGATGCGATGGGCGCGAAACCGGGAAATCCCCAAATCGCAGCCGTCTCGTAGCTCACGCAACTGCCGCAACTGGGCCAAGCTCAACTTTTGTGATGCGACAAGCGATGTGGCGTACGATTTTGACCTTTTCTGCAGCAAAGTTGTACAAAGGTTCAAGAGTTGCTTGTAGATTTGTACAAGTTGTACCAAGCCGCGCGATTACCATGGTGACGTACTCACCGCCATTGAACTTCGCGCCAAATCAGCAAGGCAACGTCGCATCGCTGACTTCTTCTGTGAATGGTATATTGCGAGTTCGCATCGCCCATTGCATCGCCAAAAAAGCTTCTGTGAATCTCGCTTAACCTTTGAACCCCTCAGTGGTATGATTGTAGGGTGTGGCGGGTGGAACATCGCTCCTCAGTTCTGTTCACGGCAACCCTGGGTCAGTTAGTCCTTTCATACTTGCAAAGCATAGAACCGGCACCACATGCCCAAATACATGTACCGCCTAGTATTATGGCTTGCACGAGTGCATTGGTCTCTATCCGCCTACTAGTACTTCGTTCGTGATACATCTATGCCCATTGTGCGAGTATTCGGTTTGGGGGGGGGGGGGGGAGCTTCGAAGGGGGTCTGGGACGAAATGAACACATTTTGTAAATTATGAAGAATTGGAAGAACATCAAGTTCGATGTGAACAGTCAGGGGAGTGAACTCTCAGAAAAGCGAGAAAAATGCCAACCCCTCCAGGATTCAACATGAGACCTTGCTTGTCATGTGTTATGGCTTCTGCTCTAACCATCTGAGCTATGGCCCAGTATGGGACCAGGCCGAACCCAAAAGATGCTGACAACTGTTTCACTCCACAGGCAGCCCACAACATGTGCCACACATACAGATGGCACTTGGGTCCTTCTCCCTCCCCCGGGGACCAACTACGAAATCATAATCATCGGTATTTACGGATGGCCCCTTTAATAACACACGAGGAAAAAGTGACCATTTAGTGGGCACCTGGAAAGGGTGTCCGATATGGGCTGGAAATTGGTAAGCAACACTGCATACGAAAATAGAATTCTTGTGCGCATACATGCTGACACAAATGTATTTGATTTTGAAAACCTCGGTCCACACACTCCTGCGGGAGCACTTGGGCATGCAGTTTACAGCCAGTAACTCAGTCAGCATGTTTTTCTTTCATGACGACGAGCCCATATGCTAAGGGTTACACCATACAAGCAGTTATTTGCATTGGCATTTGCTAGCTTCTGAACTTGGCAGCTGCTGTCCAGATGGCAGCTCTGCCAGCCATGGCGCATCCTTCCTGTTTAAAAAATGTACTTTGACAGTGAGTGTGCCTGTGGTACTAAAGCAAGAGGAGACATAGATGCATTGATGCTGTGCACACAGACCAGCAGCCCAGTATGTATCACACGGTGGAAAGTATGTGAACAGTGCTGCATCACCTCAACAGGAGGTCGCCTCTATTCATTGTGCATGTTGAGCCGCCACTTCCGGTGTGGATCCACACGAACGAAGCGCTATCAAGACGACAGACTGCTATTGCCCAGTCTGTAGTACTCTTTGCGTGTGTGTGTGTGGGGGGGGGGGGGGGTGAAAATGCCTTTCCTGATAGAAGTATCTACACGTTGTCAACTTTTTACTTTGTTTGTGGCCCTGTGCAGCGATTTTACTTGATTGGTTCCAACAACACCGAAACTGTATTCCGAGTGTTGAAAATCGACCGGACGGAGCCACGCGAACTTGTAATCATTGATGACAAGGTAAGAGACACTACAAGAAAGCCAAACCAAGCAATGTACTTACTTCAACACATACACAAAGTAACACAATGTAACTAGAGTGTATCCATGGCCATCCACGCCCATGCCATGTACACATGTATGTGCGAGCGCGCACTTACAGGAAGGAGGAGCCACTTTTATGAATATGCTTTCATTTGATGGCTTTTCTTGGTCGCCACCTGCGGTACTGGTGTGGTTGTCCTATAGTAAGCTAGTTGTGACCCTGGCCCAGGTGTCTGCATTTGAGCAATTATGTACATGGATGTGTTTGTGCAATGTACATGGATGTGTTTGTGCAATGTACATGGATGTATTTGAGCAATGTACATGGATGCATTTGAGCAATGTACATGGATGTATTTGAGCAATGTTGTATGGTATTGTACTGCTTATTCTGTTTGTAGATCAAGTACACAATGCGGCAGATCCGAAACTTGTTGACTATGATCGATAGTGGAAACAAACAGCAGCCAGGAAGAGCGTACTCCAAATCAGGTGGCCTTCAAAAGACTGCGTCGGGCTTCGGACTTCTTGGTAAGTTTCCTACTCCATATTATCATCCAAAATTATAAACCCTTTTTCATTTGAAACTCCCTGAAACGGAGGTGTTTTCTACCTTTGCTTTATCTCTAATACTTGTAGTTCCTTCATAGTAACTTCAATGAACTCTCCCTTTCTTCTTTATTTTTGAGATTTCGGCTTGTAATGGTTTGAAGGCTCTACATGCAACTCTATGCAGTCTCTAAAATTGCGGTCAACACATACCATCCGAACATCGCACGCTCTTTCTAGCTTCAAACAATGTTCTTTCACATCTTGCAAATCCATACCGTCTCCCCTTACCTTTACCATCAGTTTGCGCCTGGTTGATGGGTGGCAATATCTGCCTTGGCAGGCTGGTGCATCAGTTCGCATATGGCGCATAGTCGATGACATGACAACGGCTTCCTGGATTGCGACTCAAGTTTTGTCCCTCCTGGACTCATCTGGCAATGCCAGTTGAGCGATCTTCCATTGTCATGGGCATTGTTTGGCTGTTACATGCATGCTGTTGTTGTGTGATTATGTGTTGTCAATATGTCATCTGGCTTGTGTAGGATTTGTTCGTTTCCTTGAAGGCTACTACCTGATTCTCATCACCAAGAAAACATGGTAGGTGGATGGCTCGTGGTTGATCTCCTGTGCTGCACTCAACACGATTGCCTTGTAGACCCAGGTGCTCGAAGTCCGGACATGGTATCCTAAGTTCGTACGCCCATAATTTCGTGTTCTGTTATTGTATTCGACTCAAATATTTTATGGAGGGGACAGTGTGGTATGTTCTCCTCGCGTAGCAAGTTTCAGGGATCGACGATACGCAGAAGTCCCATACCACGCGAGTGGGTTTTCGAGTGTCCATACGAAATACAAATTGGGTTACATTTCATGCAAAAATCAACTTTGCCAAGACCGATTTCGAACGGACACAGCGTCAAACAGACCTTCACTCAATCATCAAGAGCCAGCTTAGAGCTGAGAATGGCCAAAGGAGAAGAATTTACAGAGAACCACCAATCCTTGCAGAAAGGTTGGCACTCCTGGCATCTCCACCACTGTTTTCCCGCGGTTTTCACAGCGCAGCTGCTTCTTCTCTGAGCCGACTAAAAACAGCTTGCATTTCGGCAACATACTACGCTTTTGCAAGAAATACTGGTGGAGGCACATGCCAAACATATCGCTTCGGTGATTTCGTCGTAACCGAGGGATTGCAAGTTACCAATCAGCAGAAATATGTGTGTATTTCGAGTCACCTCTGAGCAGTATGAACTTAGAGCACCCTCTGCGACACCAAAATTTGATATGAAAAATCAGCGAACTCCAGAGAAACAGATCGGATCGAAAGATGGCCTGGTTCCATCGAGCCTGGCCTCAGAACAAACTTGGACAGGATACCTTCCATCCACGAGCAGGATTCTGGCAAGTAATCATTGCTAGTGTGAGTTTCAGCTCGGCAAACACACACTGTAAAAGTGTCCGGACTTCGAGCACCTGGGTCTACAGTGGAGCTTGACGATTACCTACTCTGATAAGACGTACACTTGCTTAGTTTGAACATTGTCCGGGGCATGGATGCATTGCGCTTGATTGAAGTATATTCGGATAAGAAGTACTAGTACTCGAAGTGCCTCGGATACTAAGTCCTCTGTTCCACATTCTTGTAGGGGTATGTCTTTTCGGAGTTCCACTTTAATTGCTATTACCTTGAACTTAGATTATCAGACAATGAATGTCATCAGTCATGTGTGATGTGTGATTAACTGTCCCCCGTCCAACTCCTTCCCTTCACAGCACGCCATTATTGCTGTCTTGTATGTGTTTGTGTGTGTGTGTGTGTGTGTGTGTGTGTGTGTGTGTGTGTGTGTGTGTGTGTGTGTGTGTGTGTGTGTGTTCAGTGCTGCGTTGATCGGTGGACATGCCATACACAAAGTAGAAGACACCCAGCTGATATACATTCCGCATGAAGGTCGCGGCAGACATGATCCGAACGAGGCCAAGTAAGCCGAAACAATAACTACATGTATCTGTGAGTTCTGGTCAACATTTGGTATGTTACGAGCGATTTGTGTTCTTTGTTATGCTAGGACACCCCCTTACAACGCACATTCCAGTGTTGATTCCTGACCCATGCTCAACATCTCACTTTGACATGTGTGTGTTTGTGTGTGTGTGTGTGTGTGTGTGTTTGTGTGTGTGTGTGTGTGTGTGTGTGCACATATGTGTGTGTGTGTGTGTGTGCGTGTGTGCCTCGCAGATATGCACAGGTCTTTCAGAATGTGGATCTGTCGAGTTCCTTCTACTTTAGGTAAGGCACAGAACGCTGTGTGTAGTAGTAGTAGTACAGTCAGACCTCGCTTAACCGCACACATCTGTTTTCCACAAAAATATGCGGATAGGCGAGGTAACCGGATAACTGAACACATATACTGTATATGCATGTGGCATGTCAAAAGCAGTGACATCGTACATACATGTAGATGGGTCCTATGCAGTACAACTAGCGTGCACAGTATGTAAAACAAGCGAGAAGAATGACAAGTGCATGCAACTGAGTGCTGTCCACATGTACCCAGCAGGTCAAGGACCTCATTTGGCTGTACAAGTCCCTGATTCTAGCTTCTGCAAGGCACATGCAACCGGATACGACGAAGCTTTTTGTACACGTTTCAACCAGTTTGTACACAAAATCATGCACCGGTATGCGGATCGCGAGGTCCGGTTATGTTGTATGCATAACATATGCTGCACATCGGTAACCAGCGATTTTCTTCCGGATGGCGAGGGATCCGGATAAGCGAGGTCTGACTGTAGTTTTTTTTCGCATTTTGGTGGTGTCAACATGTGGCTGAGCCATCCATCATACATACTACTTTGTTTGCCCAATAGGTTTGAATGAGTGATGTCGGTTGGCACAGCCCATGACATAGTGTGCAAAGTGTCGACTTTTGTGAAAATGTCGCAGCACTTGTAGCATCGCAAGAAGTTGAAACTTAGGAAATAGAGAGATTTTCGCTCCGCCTGACTTTCTTCTTTCCTGGAGATCTGAGTACGGGTGTTTCCCATGCTGACTGCTGGTCTGTGCTCTGTTTAGTTACTCTTACGACATCACACATCCGCTACAGCATAACATGCGTACACGCGGCTTCTGGGAGCGTGTGCAGCGTTCCAAGTCACCGGCAATACCCTGGCGGCCGTGCTCCAAGTTTGTCTGGAATGAGTACCTGCTGGAGAGCGCACACTGCACCATGTCTGACGAATGGGTGCTGGTAGCCACGCAGGGCTTCATCAGCCAAGCCAGTATCCTCCTCAATATTGGGCAGGCCTTCCATCGGCCATATTTCTGTTTGCGCGATTGTGCTGACTTGTTCTAAATGGTAGTACACACATCGCAGTTCAGCAGGTACGATTCCCGATGTACAGTTCACCCCGCTCTCTGGTCCATCTCTTAGGGGAGAAAGAGGGGATCCACGTGGCCACTATTCCTTTGGCAGTTGTTAGATGTGTATTAGTGGAATTGTACTGATACAGCTCTGTCCGAAACTGGCATTTACATTGGAGATCAATACCATGATTCAGGAGACAGTACAAAAATACGGTAAACACTCACACACTCACTTTGACTCCATGATTGCCATCGCCATGTATGTACATGCTGAACCTAGGTTGGCCTTTTAGGGGTGCATCTGCCCCTGCCCCCCCCCCCCCCCCGACATACCAGTACACATGAGCTACCCACACCTAGGTGAAGACCAAGAACAATAAAGAGTGGGACGAGCAGCAAAGTAGAAGAGGGCTTAATGCTCGCGTGTTATTATTGCCCTTGATCAGCACTCTGTCTTCAGATATCTCCGTGTACGGCCGGCCTATTTACATCAGCCTAATAGCGCGGCGCTCCAAGGAGTACGCTGGCTGTCGTTTTCTCAAGCGTGGAACGAACGATGTGGTAGGGTGACCTTGTACTGGCGAAGTTTTCTTCAGGATCTGGTATCATTTGTCTTTCTGTATCAATCTCTCCAGTTCTTTAGTTCTTTGTGTATGACTGTCACTGAGTGTGGCTATATTATCCATCTACAGTGCTACCTGCTAGGTGTGTGTTGTTGTTTCTTTATTTGTGTGTGTGTGGGGGGGGGGGGGGGAGCATTCCGTCCTCGCCACATCGATCACGATATTATCGGTGTGGACGACTGACCAATAGGACTGTTTTTTCTTCTTCTTTTCTTTTGCTTCCTGTTGAGCAGGGTCACGTTGCCAATGAAGTGGAAACGGAGCAGATTGTGCATGATGCTGCCCATCTCTCGCACAACACAGGTCGCTTTACGTCGTTCGTTCAAGTTCGCGGTTCCGTTCCTTTATTCTGGTCACAGGTAAATCTACGGTTTCTGTCTCGTAGAATAGGATTGTAGCTGTTATGATCCAGTAAAGTTTTGTTCAATTGCTTGACAAGATCTTGACTACTCTTGAAAGCTATTATAACCTTTCTGTATGTTGTACAATCATTGTTATTTTGAATCATTTTGTTTTCGACCATGTCTGGACAGCATGTACATAACTTTCATGGTTGAATGTGTGTGTGTGTGCGTGCATGTGCGTGCGTGCGTGTGTGTGTGTGTGTGTGTGTGTACCCACGGGTGTGTATGGGTGTGTGTGTGTGTCTGTCTGTCTGTCTGTCTGTGTCTGTGTGTGTTTATGTCCATGGGTGTGCAGGATCCATCTGGCATGACTCCCAAGCCTCCCATCGGTAGTAAGTACTATGCTCAGTTGTGGCTGATCACATTTTGGTATTGTCCTCAGGTCCAGGACCTGTGTGTCCAGGACCTGTGTACTGTAGTCTAGTTGCAGCGTGCATGTGTGATAGCTAAACTAGAGTTGCTGTTATTGCAGCACCATACTCCAGGATGATCCCGTGTGCCTCCGGCCACTACCACACTAAGTCATGTGTTCAGCTGTTCATGTCTCATTTTCGCTGTGCTGTATGATGGCAATGTGGTGGGTGTGCTCTATTTCTGCCACACCGCCTGCAGAATACTAGTATTAGAGAGGTTCCGCATAACGTAATTACGTTAGTAAAAAACATAGTCGATCTACGGAAAGTCTTACATAAACTGCGTACGGGTCTGTGTTTTGCCATACGGAGTTTTCAAATCACTTAGCTGCCCTTGGCAACTCCGAACGCGGCAGTGTACGACCGGATCGACCTGGGGAGAGAGTCATAAATTCGTACCCCAATCCACTTACGGAGCACCTACGTTATCAGAGCCCTATGTAGACAACTCTACGTAGACAACTTTCCGTAAGTGGAGTGCAAACTCGCGAATTCACTGGTTTTTCCCGCCCACTAACGTAAAGTTGCTCAACTTAACGTAGTGCGGAACCTCTCTATTGGAGTTCAGAGTCGTCACTGTCATTCTTTGAGTTGTGAATTGCCAGAAAAGGGTGATTGTATAGCCATTTGACAACTTGGCTTTTTGCTCTAGCTCTCCTGTAATGGTAGCTGTGTTATTTTTAAATGTTTCCCCTTTTCAACTCCCTCAACTAATTAATGCTATTTGTCTACTGGCATTTTGTACATCAGTCAGTGCATTCACTGCAGGACAAGCAATCTCCCAGATGTGTTCTAACAGCTCAAGTGTGTTTGTGTCCTTTTTCTCTGCTTGCCCAGTTGATAGGAACGACCCGTACTTCTCGTCCGCTGCCATGCACTTCAACAGTCTTTTCGAGCGCTATGGCACACCAGTGTTTGTGCTGAACCTGGTTAAGGTGAGTTGGCATGGTACACATGCTTTGAGTGTACTGTAGGCAGGGGCGTCACAGGGTGGCTGGGAGTGGTACGACCGGGGGGTCCGGGGGTGTCCCCCGGAGAAAAAAATAAGGATTTTTCGGCTAACAGACCACGTTTTAGCACTCTACAGCCGCAAAGGAGGGTTCCCCTAGCACTTATTCGACAACCCCACTCCAGCTCCAAAAACATACTTCTCATGGATTTTTGGTATTTTCTGTACATCGTAGGTAGCCAAGCAAGGCAAATGGAACCCATTGATTCAATGATTCAGGGCCATTGCCCTCGAAAAAATCGCAAAATCCGAAGTACCAGCGTGCTGAGCGTTCTAGCGCCAGCGGCTATGCAAAAACGTACATGTATGTCGTGTCCTCCAAAAGTCTGCCGCGTCGCGTACACTATGCACACGTCCGGCCTGGACAGTCGCAAACAATTTTAGTTGTTTTTAGAGAGAGAAGAAGATCCTTTGTTTTTGTTCGGTGGGATTGAAAGATCTGCCAGTGGACCGGAGAGCTACAACAATGGAAGCAGAAGAAAGCGCTTGCGGAATCTTCTCTGTCTTCGTGGCAACAGGACTTTAGTTTGCGAGAGACTTTCATCCTGTCGTCGCGGACGAAATTCTTGTTGCTGCTACCGGAAAACTCGGGGAACGAAACGATCGTAAATCGTTATAATATAGGTGAAGCGGGTCGTGTCGGTGAACAGCTGCAGAATATTCTGCCGCCGTGGAGCAGCAGTCCAAACACTTTTCAGCTTCGGAGAATGAAGCGCTTCCCTTTTCCGTTGACAAGCGCTGCGTTCGCGGGTGTAATGCATTTTCGAATCCGCTTGCAGTAGATCGTCAGGAGCCAGAGGTACTAGGTAGGTGTCGTTGTGGAAAGAATATAATTATTATGTTGTAGCTGACAAGTGACATACATGTAGTGTCTCTTGACGTGCTGATCGCCATTGTAACATGGTAGATCTTGGAAATTTTTAGTTCTGGACCCAGTGATTGCCGCCAGCTCAGCTCTGTTTCCGTCAAGTTTGCAGTGAATGCGTCCGCGAGGAATCCATCGTCTGGTTGTCTCTAACCGTGACTCCAACCGCCTATCGTAATGGATAGCCACCTGGAGTCTTGGGCAATAACTAGCTGCTAGTGCTAGGCATCAAGTCTGTATGCTCCTTGCAATGAAAGTAACAGTTGCGATGTTTTGTACAAGTCCGAAGATCCTTGAATTTTTTTATTGCTTTTTCGGATGAATTGGGTGGACCATCCTGGACGAAAAGTGGTACGACCATGGTCGTAGTGGTCGTACCGTGTGTGACGCCCCTGGTAGGTCTAGGTCCACATTGATTGAAGCAATGGCCTTTTAATGGTGATCACCAGCATGCTCAAGGAAGCCAAACTCCAAACTGCACGTTGCGAAGATGAGTTTGAATTTGTGTGCTAGAAGGTTTATGCTTTGGTAATGCCATGTAGCATGCAACCACCGAAAAAAAACCCTCCTTGTATCTTGCTGTTCTGTGTGCTTGTAGAAACGTGAGCGTCGACCTAGAGAGTCAATCTTGAGTGACAACATGCAGCTAGCGCTGAACTATCTGAATCAGTTTATTCCTCCCGAGCTGCACATTCAGTATGTTCACTTCGACATGGCACGCTACTCCAGAAGGTGAGCTGCGTGTATGTGTGTGGGGGGGGGGGGGCGGGGGTGCGTGTGTGTGTGTGTATGTGTGTGTGTGTGTGTGTGTGTGCATGTGTGTGTGTGTGTGTGTGTGTGTGTGTGTGTGTGTGTGTGTTTGTTTGTATTTGTGCATGTGCTTATGTACATAATTATGTTGTACTAGTTTTAGTTTGAACTCTTTTGTTAAAAGTTGTTTTGCTTACTTCATTACGGTGTCTGTGAACAAGAACAAAATGTGTTTTGTCTGCGTGCTGTGTGTGCGATGTCTGGTTGCCTATGCAGCAAAGACAGCAATGTACTGGACAAGTTGGATCAAATAGCAGAGAAGGTATGGCCTCTTTTTCACAGTCGCATCTGTTGCCATGGTCTCTTGTTTTAGTTGTTGCCTGTGATCGGACTGTTTTTTTTAAACAGTCCAATCACAGGCAAAAAAGTTCTGACTGGTACTAGACTTGGGGCTTGCTTTGCTCTCACATACCGATGTATGAGTGTAGTACTTTTCTCATTTTTGTTGACCTGAGGATCTGAGGATCTACAGGGTGCCATGTGGCCTTTTCTGAAGTTCCACGGTGCATTGTACCTATCTTTTGTGTCTGCTGCCGTCCACTCAGGCGTTTGCGGAGACCGGCTTTTTCCATGCTGGACCCGAGCTGCTGTGCAATCAACACTACCGTGGAGAATGGTATGTGACTGGTTAGGCTTGACGTACTTGGACGTACATATGTGTGCATGAACCGACTGTGTTCACAGTGCTTTTATGATCGTCCTATGTCACGATTTGTGAATAGTGTTCTCTTTGCTGCTTTGTTGTCCCTGGAAATCACTTCTCTTTGCTGCTTTGTTGTCCCTGGAAATCACTTCTCTTTGCTGCTTTGTTGTCCCTGGAAGTCACTTCTCTTTGCTGCTTTGTTGTCCCTGGAAATCACTTCTCTTTGCTGCTTTGTTGTCCCTAGAAATCACTTCTCTTTGCTGCTTTGTTGTCCCTGGAAATCACTTCTCTTTGCTGCTTTGTTGTCCCTGGAAATCACTTCTCTTTGCTGCTTTGTTGTCCCTGGAAATCACTTCTCTTTGCTGCTTTGTTGTCCCTGGAAATCACTTCTCTTTGCTGCTTTGTTGTCCCTGGAAATCACTTCTCTTTGCTGTAGAGTAGGGTCACAGGTCACAAGGCTGTTGTGTCCAGGTGTATGATAATGATCTGGCGCATTGTATGCGAAAGGGATGGGAGCTGCGTAATGGTCTAGTTCTAAGAATGCAGGCCAAACAGCGTGTGCTTTGGGTCTTTCTAGACGTTTATGACTGACACTGAGTGCTGATCAGTTTCTTCTCTGTACCTTGGTATGAGGATTATGTCAGATGCTTGCTGTTGTTCGTGTCTGTGTGCATATTATGTGCCTGCATGATATATTATGCCATTGTGATGTGTTTGTGCATGTTTGTGCGTGTGCTGTACCGTGCTGGCCATCTAGCTACAAGAGAATAGGTGGTGTTGGATACCGGCCAGGACAGCCCTTCCGCCTGCAGGTAATGTGTGTTAGAATGAGTGTGCTTGTCCGACAGCTGTAAATTCTTATAGCAGTTGCCATTGTAAACTGCTCCACCAACTAGACACTCGACGGAGTAGTCACTGGCAGGGTGTACAACAAGTCTGCTAACTTGCACCAGGGTTCCGCTAGGTATCTAAACTATACTGGTCGGCGAAACCATCTCCGTGAATTCTGCTCCACATGAAACTGACAAACTTCTCTCCAGGGAAGAAGATCGCTCTCTGTGACTTACTAGATATCGTCTCAAATGGTCGGTTGTTATTTGGGCGCCTTCACTAAACTCGGAACCAACACCTTCCTTTTTTGCTTAGCTAGCCATAACTACAGAGAAGGGACCAACGCCAGGAAAACTACTCGACAAAAGATCTAAAATCGATCTCGCCCCTGATGTATACATGTACACGTGCTGTCATGCTGTGTCCACTTTGCTATCCGACCCCAAGCAGAAGATGGTGTGCTCGGCACTGTCACCAGCCAATGACGCGAGCAACCCACTGTCCTGTCTTGTTCTCTAAGATTCTGCTGCTGTTGCATCTGTTGTTGGTGTTGGTGTGGTTGTATCTTTGTCGTAGACTGGTGTGGTGCGCGTCAACTGCGTGGACTGCCTGGACCGGACGAACACGGCGCAGTTTGTTGTCGGAAAGCGTGCACTGGGATTCCAGGTATGGACCAGCATTTGTAGCCCGTTTTCCAGCAAAGATAGGCGGGTGGCAACGTGTGTGCATTGTTGTACAAATCTGCATCGCTCTACACATGGAGTAGAACAGGATAGTAGTGTGGAGTAGAGCAGGATAGTAGTGTGGAGTAGAGCTGCAGGATAGTAGTGTAGTTCTATTGTTAGTTTTAGCATGGAGCTGGCGCACTGGTCTACACAGTAGTGCCTGCATGCATGCATGCAATGCAATGCACCTGCATAGGGAGAACAGGGGTGTTGAACAGTCAAATCAAGCATTGTACAGTGGGGCTTTTGGGTAAGAGAAGGCGAGGGAGAGAAAGAGGGCGGCCAAAGCTTGAAGGAGGGTGCGGAAAGAGGGCGGCCAAAGCTTGAAGGAGGGCGCAGAACCATGTTGTTTCGCTTTGGTTACAATCCTTGGTGGACACCAGTGCACACACACACACACGCTAGTGCACACACGTCATATGTCCAGTACTAGTGGCACCCTTTCCGGATGGAATCTGCCCAGAATGTCGAATAATATCCCTGTGTGTGCACATGTACTTTGTTCTTGCCGTGTAGTTGTTTGCTCTCGGCGTTGTGGATGATCCCATTTTGGAGCTGGACACCGACTGCATGCGGTAAGGCTGTGACACGCTTATACCGTACCACCGTGCTTACACTCGCCTTGATGGCATTCACAAGTTTCACATTCAAACACCCTACAATGTTGCGGAGTGCAATGTAGGGAATACCAAGTAAATATGCATGTAGATGATTATGACTTCTGAAGTACTGAGCGCATGATGAGTGTACTGACACATGACAGAGCAGTGGTTGTGATTACAGTACCAAGTACTGTAAGACCAGTAATGTTAACGAACATTTAATTCCAACAATTTAACGAATTTAAAAAATCGCTAATATTTGAAGTCAATATGTTCAACACGATATGTACATGTACAGTTATTTGCCGGTTTGGGGACGGAATTCGTTAGAATATCACCTCGCTAACCCACAAAAACCCGGAGATCGTTAACTTTAATTTGACGTTAAAAAATATCTGGTCTTACGGTAACTCCTGTAAGGAGAAGGAAGTGTATAGAACAGCGGAGGTAGGGCTCCATTCTATTTTTTTTCTACAATGGTGTTCCATTGTAGAAATTGTAGAAATTGTAGAATTATGGACTGCTCTTTTGTGGCTTTCAGAGTACCATTGCTTTATTTACCTGATAATGGCTTCACTTATCTGTTGACGATAGCTTCATTTACCTGATGATGGCCGAGTGCCAGAAGAATGTTGTGAGCTAGAGGATCTGGTTTAGGTTTGCAGTGTTGGAGGAATGGCTATGTGTCCATGCAAGTCTATTCTTCTACAACGGAATAGTCTTTGAAAATTCCAGGCCTGTGTGGACGGTGTGTGCAGAATGCTGTCTGCATCTGTGCACTCACACCACTCCTGCGAGCAACCTCGTGGAAGTTTGTTGTAGAAATTCTTGAGTTTGTTGAAGATTTCCAATTTGCACTGTCCGCATTATGATCTGCGTGGACATGAGTGCATGTTTTTTAGAGTGGATTTGCGGGATAATTCCTCCTCTTTTTGTGTGTGTGTTGTGTGTGTGTGTGTGTGTGTGTGTGTGTGTGTGTGTGTGTGTGTGTGTGTTGGACTGTTGTAACAGGATGTTTGAAGGCCTGTATGAAGGTCATGGTGACATCATTGCACTGCAATATGGTGGCTCTCAGCTTGTGCACAGGTCAGTGAGCACCATTGTAACGTACGCACTAATACTAGCCATGCCTATTGGCTTGTCCGCATGCATTCACGAGGACCGTGATGCCCGCCTAGATACTAGAGTGAATTTGCTACAACTATCCACAAAACGATCTCAATAGTTGGGCTACCATAGAGCATCTCCATTGAAGGTTGGAATGATCAGTGTTGGAAGCTGTGCCTTTGGTTGTGAACTGTGGCAAGTGTCTCCGCTCATGGTTCTCACTGCAACCCGTGCAGCATGTGCTGCAGCTCCGCTGCCTGGTGGAAAGATGTAGATGTGTCCAGGGTCGTCAGTACTGTCACAGCGCCGTACACCCTACCGCAGAGTGGCTGACACTGGCGTCGACTGATCACCATCTCCGGTTGCACGGGTGATTCTGACGTTTGGGGTGCTGGGAAAGCAACCGGAGCTTACATTTACCTTGAAAGCAAATCGTCTTTCGCCCCCGACAACTGGTCTCCATGCTCTTTCAAGTACTTCCTGAGCATGCTAGCATTCCATTGACTGGTTGGCAGGTCGTCCAGTGCTCCATCACCACTGCTGCTCTCCTCCACACTGCCAGAGGACACAGGCAGCAACGCTACAGGAGCTGAGCGCCTGAGCCTTTGGTTCGACACTACATGTGCCATATGGGAGAGACAGTGCACGTCACCTTTGGTCCGACACGACACTACATGGGCTATATGGAAGAGACAGTGCACTTCGCCTTTGGTTCCACACTACATGGGCCATATGGGAGAGAGAGTGCGCTTCGCCTTCGGTTCGACACGACATGGGCCATATGGAAGAGACAGTGCTCTACAAGAACATGTAAACACAAGGAGATGTTTGGCTCGCCGAAATGTCGCTAGGCATTCCTAGGCCCATGCCAAGGCAAGAGATCAGACAGGCGAAACTTCCAGGCGAAATGGATTTATGCATTTTACTTACCGCTCGAGCAATTCATCTTTCCTCCCCAGCAGCCAACCTCCGCGTGCTCTTTCAAGTAGTTTTTTTTTGCTTTGGGACGATCCAGGTGCTATTCGGCAGATCAAGTGACTCCTCCAAACCACTAACACTAGCAGCAGCCTCCCCGCTTTGAGCAGCAAAGTCTCTCTCCTCCGCCATTACACGAATCAAATATATATCTATGTGCTACTTTGAATCAGCTTGCTTTGACTCGTGTCCCCTTTCTCGAACCCGAGCAATATTTTCGGAGGTGGGTTATCATTGGTGTTGGGGGTGACGGCAATGACACCGTCACACCGCAGTGAGGTGAAGGCTGACATATGTGGGTGTTGCACGGGACATGCCGGTCCCAATATCGGTGCGGCACCATCATATCCACTTGTGCTGGCTATTGAGGAAACGGACAATGTTCCAGGAAGTGATCGGGCGCGGGTATTGCCATAGTCAAGAGTATATACTCAGTAATTAAGTATGACGTGAGGCTGGACACAGAATTGTTAACATGTTCCACGCCTACAAGCCGCCCGGCTAGAACTCAGTACAAGGTCATAATATGAGCCTGGCCACGCGAAAAGGGCCCTAATGATGATTTTTGTCAAAATGAGTTTAGTGTCCAATATTATAGCTGAAGCTGTCAGGATTGCTGTGCAAAAAACCGTTCCAAAAAATGTCAATCCAAACCAGAGTTATAGTGATTTTTGTAACCTGCGTTTCAAGGTATTTTCTGAGTAAACGGCTGATAAATTAATGGAAACTAGATTATTGGACAGCGGTTCGTAATGGCAAGAATAACTCAGCTAAATTAATTAAAAAAAACCCATGACATTCAGTGAATCATAAGCTTGTTATATCCCTGTTTGTTCCTCAAGAGTCATGCAGATTCCTGTGTAAGTCAATCCGACATCTCGGCTTCTGCAGGTACGGGTTGTGGGCAGAGGTCGTCCTTGTACGGGTCAGCAACAAACGGACGGATCTCCTTGTACAAGTACTGCGCCCGGTCATCACTTATGCCACCAAGAGGAATGGCAGATGTCAGGGCATTGTGCGGCCGCCGTCCCGTGTTACGGTTGATGCGTGGCACAGGTCCGCAGTTTTTCAGGTGGTTGAGTATATTTTTCAATACTCTCTGCGACACGTCATAGATTTGCCTGAATGCTCCGGCGCATACAACCTCTCCGCGGAACGAATAATCAAATGCTGCACGTCTTCTCTTTCCTCGCTGAGCGTCAGAGCGCTACTCCGCCGACAACAGTACTCCCATCAACAGCATATCCTTTTTCTGCTTTTTCTAGTCCTCTCATCGTAAGTTGGACATCGTCCACTTCACTGGATGGGAACTTGCTGAGGCAGTTTTTGGTGCAGCCGCAGGACCTCGTTGGAGTGTCAGCTGCTGCTGCTGCTGCAGCAGCAGCCTGTCCCTCACCAGCATCAGCAACATGCACCTGAGCAGCAGCAGCAGCAGCAGCAGCCTGTCCCTCAGCAGCGCCACCAACCTGTTGCATAGGGGCAGCAGCAGCAGCCTGTTCCCCCACTGGTTCTTGATTTTCTTGAACCGAAAAAGCATTTCAGAACAAACTCATGGACGGCTGTGTCCGTGTCCACATCACCTTCCCAGTACTGAAGCGATCGCTCGTCACCGTCATCCTCACTGGGCAATCCTGGCGCATCACAGGGTTCTGAGCCATCTGGAACGTCACCATGAAGGCTGGTGGAGACACCAACGACAGCAGCGGAAAGTGGAACAGCTGATCGTGACACTCGAATTTCTTCTCCGTCAGAATCGTCATCACTCGCGCTAGTGTCGGCATTGGATTCAGATTCAGCGCTGGGCGCGAGATACTGATCCTCACTGGCGGTGAGGACCAGGCTCAGTGCTTCGTCAACAGTGAAATGTCGATAGATACTCATCTCGGCGGAGGAATAGCAAAACAAGAACAGCGATGGAAAATCGCACTCGAGAAATTTCCAAACTAGCGCAGCTCGCTCCCCGAAGCGCGACGCAAATTTTTTCGATCTCAGCCGTACATTGGCCGATTTGAAAAAGGGAAATACCCACGTAGAGCTGGGACCTTGGGCCATCGCACTGTGCTATCCTGTAGAGCCTAGCGCTTACCATACTCGCGTTGCGAGCGCACGAATACTGTGGTGTATGTGAACTATGACGTAATCGACCTGTCAACTTTCAAGTGCGTGTTACTGCACTGTACAGTGAACATCGTTAGGGCCCTTTTCGCACGGCCCGGCTCATATTATGATGTACACTTATCACGCATCAGAGAGGCAAGGATAGCAGCAGTATGTGCCGTCGGAACGGCTGCGTGTACTGTTAGGTTGCTATGGCACTGGAACGCTAAATCTTAGTACACAGAAATAGTTGAATAGTGCCGATGTGTGTGCACCATGCGGCGCTCACCGGTAGCACCCGTGCGTCTTACCTTTTAAACGGTGCGGGAGAGTGGGTAAACAATTACTGCGGCGGGCAGGTACAACAAGCAACTGGCGGGAATGTCTTTACTTGTTCCTGCCTTGCAAGGGTGGCCTTGGATGCGCCTGTGCCCAAGGCAGATAGGTGGTTTATGATGCGTTTTAGCATCTGCACAACAGATGAAAGTAGGGAATGCCAAGCAGTGGCACCGTAGAGAAAGATAGGAATAAGGTAACGTTCATAAAAAGAGACAAGTGCATTCTGGGGACAAGTGGGAGCAGTTAGACACTAGACAACCTACAGATTTGCTAACTTTTCTTGCACACAAAAATCTACCTGAGAATTCCAGAGGACAATTGCGAGGGGAAAGCGTATTTCTGTCTTCAAGATATTGGGTCTCAGATGCCAAGACACTACCCATTTATGAACTACATTGATTCCATGCTGAAGCTTCGTCCGCAGGCTTACAATGTCAGAGTCAAACTGAATGAGGGCTGCATCATACCGTGGTTGGCTATCACCCCTCTCTCGCACTTTGTGTGCCAATTGGTCATGTACCACGAGTTGAGTGAAATAAATTAAGTTAAAATATCATCAGCAAATACTACTAATGAAAACCCTTCTATACAGTCAGGTAGTCGTTTATATACAACAAAAATAGCAGCGGTCCCTGTATAGATCCCTGAGGGACTCCCGACTTCACAGGCAGTGGGTCTGAAAGTACCCCTTTGACTGACACTGCTTGAGTTCTATGTGTCAGGTAGTTCGTGATCCATGCAAGAGATGCTGGGGGGGGGGGTCAGGTTTCTAGCCTAGCCCGTTCTTATTTTTAGCGAACACAGCGGTTTCGTTCTTATTCGATGGTACAGTCTTACATGTACATTTATGCAGAGTAATACGTCTGAGTGTACATTATACATTACGGTTTCCGTTCTTATCTGGAAAAAATCCAGCCTAGACCGTTCTTAAAAATTGGTGAAATTCTAGCCTGGCCGTTCTTCGGCGCCCGACAGTGCTGTATTCAGCCAATCTTTGGACAACAAATGCTCTGGAGATTTGCTGTAGTTGAAGATTGTGTTGCTGCTTTGCATCCAGCATTTGGTTGTGATTAGTAAGTGATTTGATGTTCCTGTTTCCTTGGTCCTCTATCAGAATTCGCACGTATCGCAAGCTCTCTCAGTGGACCATCCACTCTCGTGAGATCATGAATACGATATCACGCTACTACAGCAACACATTCAACGATCATGACAAGCAATGTGCCATCAATGTGTTTCTCGGAAAGTACCAACCGGCGCGTAACCGTACTCCCATCTGGGACATGCCCACGGATTACTACCTGCATCACTTGGAGGCAGCAGGCTTCACGCCACTGCGAGAAAGGTACATGCATTCGTAGAGCGCTGCTGTTGATGCGTGCGGGCGTTCGTGTGTGTGCGTGTGTGTGTGTGCGTGCGTGTGTGTACTGTGTATGTGTGCAGTGAGTGTACAGAGATCGATGGTTTCTTGCACTGTATGAGCTACGCATTCAAGTACTGGTTTTACGCATTTGCACGAGTAGATGTACATTGAGCATTGAACTGATCAGTTTTGTGTATTTTGTCTGTGCTCAGTTACACAGCATGGCTTTCACAGCATCTCTACACATCCATTCCATTACCGTATCAAGGTAGGTTGGCATTCATAAATGTCACTTGTCTAATGTAAGACCTCGCTTGACCTGCACACATTTGTTTTGTCCTGAAGTACCCGAATGGGTGAGGGAACGGGATTTTCTCCATTTGCTGAACTCCTTCTTTGCCAGACATACAAGAACGCCTCAACCAACAGTAGCAACCTGCCAAATAGTCAGGAGGCATCTCCACATGCTTTCAGGATTTCAGTGAGCGCCACTATTATAAGCTCCTAATAGTGTGCAGCTCTGCGTATGGGGTCTATATTGGAGAAAACGAACATCACATGTTCCACTTCCGAATACGATTTGTACTGCGTACAGCAAAGGCCAGTGTGCGCACAGTCCGAATAGCTGTCATGATCGTATTGATGACTTGTACATGATGCTCAGCGGGGGTTTCTGTCAGGGACCCGGAGTGCTACCCTTATACTACTCCATGATCCACTGGGCAGGCTGGAAACGTACAACGGCAACACTACACCGCGTGACGTGAGTTTTCACCGTCTGCAGACCCCATAGAAAGAGTATCTCGAGTTGCACACTCTTGGGAGCTTGTTTACTCTTGTCTGCTCTCGCTACCTCAAGTATTGGTACAGTGAGTGCGTTCGATTGCGCACATGAATCGATTCATAAATGGAATCTCACCGTTCGATTTCTTGTCATGAGCCCTGGAATCGATTCGAAATCCATTCACCCTATTCACATGGGGTGATGTGAATAGCCAGGGACGATTCATGAATGGATTCATGAATCGATTCGCGGGCATAATAGGCGATTCAGACTACGGCCAAAATCACGTGTCAACTTGAATTTCCATGGTGATGCAGTCGTGTTTCAAAATGTTATGCACAATCGCGGATCAAATATGTCTGAATCGTAGAAACGTGGTCACCGTTGGCCGTAGTCTGAATAGCCTATAATCGAACGCGCTCACTGGTTCTGACTCTGTAGATGCCTGGTATGTTCTTGTTCCCCTGTCCATTGCTCAGAGCAAGTGGAGCTAGCGTCAGATGACAGTGACGTCTGCTCTTCGCCAGATCCAACTTCACCACTATCCACATCCCCACCATCCACATCCCCACCATCCACATCACTGCCACCGGCGTATGACTCGGCTTCTCGCCACAGTAGCCTCAGCCACAGCACCAGTCGCCACAGCACGGCCATATTTGGCGGTAAGACGGGCATGAGGTCGGGCACGTACCTGAAGCACACGTTCCTGGACCACTATCAGCCTTGGGAACTCTCTGGCTTTGAGGACTACGAGTTCTGCCACAGCATGCTTACCACACTACAGTGAGTACTACTAGCATGTTAGTCTACTCGTATGGCAACTACTGCCTGTTATGTAACATCACAAGCAACCACCAACCCACGCCTAGATTCCGTAGGCTACCTGAGCTTATAAGCAGTTTGCATGAATGTGTTCTTGCATGAAAAGCTGAAAACCCCCGCTGATTGCTTGTACGGGCACGACAAAATTATGCAAGCCCCTACGGATATTGTCACAATGTGGGTTCTTAAACTTCTTTCCCTAGTGGAGCACATTTTGTGCACACCAGGCGGATCCCTTGTCTGCACCTTTACTGTGTTCGTTTAGAAATAGGTCATATTTTCTTTCACCCCGAGTCGTATATATGGCACAGTTTTTGTTGTTGTCGTCGTCGCCATCGTCGTTGTTTTCAAATCTCCAGCTGGGCCCTTGATTATTCCAATTTTCGCCCAGCTGATCCTCACTTGTCTTGTCTCCCCTTCCTTCTGTGTTGAAACTATCTGCAATTGTTTTGGATCGGTTTTTTTTCTTTTCAGGTTCGTGCTTGCAGATAAAGCCAACCCAAGTCCTTTTGTGGTACGCAAGAAAGTCAAGAAGCACATGACGTAAGATGAGCCGTGAACGTGCGTTGCACGACCCTATTTGGCTTGGCCTGTGGGTGCTGTTGTGTATTCCTGTTCATAGGGTGGTTAGTTAACGACCATATTTGGCTTGGCCTGTGGGTGCTGTTGTGTATTCCTGTTCGTAGGGTGGTTAGTTAACGACCCTATATGGCTTGGCCTGTGGGTGCTGTTGTGTATTCCTGTTCGTAGGGTGGTTAGTTAACTTACCACAGTCCTCAACTTGCTCAAGGCTCATGTTGTTCAATTTCCACATGTTACTATGTGGTAGAGCATCGCCGGTCAAAAGCGAGTGTCCCTGGTTCGAGTCCTGGTGTTGACTTGACAGTCAATGTTTTCTTCAGAATGAGTGTGTGCTCACTCTGAGTGCTATGTAGAATTTCACTGGCAGAATCTTGTGATGAAAGCGTGTACAGATCAAGTCTTGATTGCACCAAAACCCCGAATAACTCGAGGCACACACACAGAATTTCTCGGAGAGGGGTCGGGGGGGGGGGGGGGGGGGGTACGATCATAATAATTCTTTGTGTGAAGATAGTAGATTGAACTACTAGATCTAGATTCTATGCACATTATTTGTGTATGCAAAGTTGCATGGCTGTACTTATATAGGTTATGGTATCAAAACTCCCTGACTAGTCCTGTGATTGGTGAAACTCTGATCAGACGTAGCCCAGGAGAACGTAGCGATAAGGTACAACCCTTACCTGAAGTATCAATGTACAGTGCACCTGCCCATGAACTACTTCATGAGTAGAGTAATTTGACCATGTGTGACAGTAACAGATCAAACTGAGAAACGAGACCGTACAAGACCCATGATGTAGCACTGAATGCATTCATTGTAGTCGCACTGTGACTGCTCCTTCACAGTTGATCTTCGACATGAGATATTCAACGATGCCGGGCTCGAACAGAAATGTCCGTTCATGCGAACCTCCTCGAGCCCCTGGGTACACACTTGAATTTCAACAACACAACCCGCTGGTACGAAATAGTGGTAGCGACTTCGGCGATAATTTTATAGCAAATGGTTTGCTCCCACACACTGGAGCTAACGCTTTTCAGGCGACTTGACTGACTCACGACTGACTCACGACTCGCGTCCTATGTCAAGTCGGCTGATAAGCACGAGCTTCAGTGTGTGGGGGAGCAAACCCTTTGCTGCAACCCACTGATGCCTGATGTATTGCTTTATGGCATACATGTGTGTGTGTTTGCTACACATGTCAGGCCTCAGGCCGGCGTTGGCCCACGGCGCATAGTGGCTGGCTCTCCGGCCGTGCACACCAACCAGTCGGGCAGCAGTACTGATGACGATGCTGACACTTCCGATGAAGAGCATGCGGTGGACGGTGCCTCCACTGGCCACGGTGATGATGCAGAAAAGGTGCGTGCTGTGTGTTCGTTCCGCTGTGGGCATGTGTGTGTGTGTGTGTGTGTGTGTGTGTGTGTATGTGTGTGTGTGTGTGTGTGTGTGTGTGTGTGTGTGTGTGTGTGTGTGTGTGTGTGTGTATGTGTGTGTGTTGTGCCTGAGTGTGTGCCCATGCGTGCGTGCTTGTGTATGTATGTGCATCTGTGAGTCCCGTTTGCTCGTATACCGTAAAGTCTTGTATAGAAGCTGCACTTGAATAGAAGCTGCAATTTTGGGCCCATCAAACCACACATAAGCCTGGTGTTAGTGTTGACATACATAGAAATACCTGCCGTGTATAGAAGCCTGTCTCATATAGAAGCCTGCAAAATTTCACCAAGAAAGTCATAGAAGCCGCGGCTTTTATACAAGACTTTACGGTATGTACTGTAAAACTGGAAAATTTCGGTGGAGATTTATTTTCGGTAACTTCAGTACAGGTAATTTTTCCTAAAATAAAACGTTTACCTAAAATTCAACAGTGCCATTCCACACATATGCACAGTGTGCAAAATGCATTTTTTGCCAATTTTTGGATCTGGAAATCTGATTTACCGAAATTTTCGCGCTACCGAAACGTTCTTTTTTGGGAAATACCGAAAGTATTACACTGTCCCCCGTGAATTCCGCGGCAGAATATCAGAAATTCCGTGCAGAATTCTGCGGCTGAAAACAGTAAATTCTGCGCTAATTCTGCAAATCCTTGTATATTCTGCGGCAATTCTGCAAGGAAAATGCGCGTAAAAACAGATCGAATTTCCGCAACCCCACCAAAGTTTGTTGTCCCCATAAATTCCGAACCAAAAATATGCGAAATCCTGGTCCAAAAGAATCGAAAACTCCACAATATACTGCAAGTTGATTTTAAAAGTCACAAGCAGGTTGGTTTGGCTGTGAAAACACATCGAAAATCTCCAGGAAAAGCAGTTTTTTTCTCTTTTCTGCAATATTCCGCGGGATTTTCTGAATTCTGCGGACACTACTGGATTCCGCGGAGATTCTGCAATCCACGGAATCGCGGAATTCACGGGGGACAGATTACACCACCAAAAATTCCCGGTTTTCAGTCTATGTATGGCCATTTGTAGGGTTTGGCCGCCCTTGGTATATTATGTGCAGTGGGAGCAATATCTTTCTGCTGAGACTAGTTTCATGGGTTTCCATCCATCTTGGTGTACATGATGTGTACTGTAATTGCTACATCAAGTTGTGTGTTTGGATGTTTTGTTGATTTCGTTGTTCTTGACTCTCCAGGTACCCACATTGCCTGGTGAACGTCGTGAGTTTGACCTGGCGTTTCCTAACAGTGGTGATTTCCAGCACTACATGAGGTGAGTGAATCTGCTGCTGCTGCTGCTGCTACTGCTGCTGCTGCTGCTGCTGCTGTTGCTGCTGCTGTTGTTGCTACTGCTACTGCTACTGCTGTTTGCAGTCTTTGCACCTTTCCAGAGTTCTCTACTTGCTATAAGTACATGATCATTGTACAGATGTAGGAATCCCCGTAGGTGTTTACATGCCCAGTTGTGTGTTCATTGGTGTGTTAGACATGCCCAGTTGACCAGTTTCGCCCAACGCTCAATGGCAGACTATTGCTTTTCCAGCTTCAACGCTTTCGAAAGAGCTAGTGACTAGCTCGATCTTCGTCCGAAAAACAAGGTTGTGGCATGAAATGCCTGCAGGGCACGTTTGGTTGTGTAAAATACAGATAACACAATACTATGACAATTGGGTCCTGTACATTCTGTCATTCAACTTCCAACCGGGTCTACGGGATCCTACAGGATTTCGTATGATTATGACGTTTATGTGCATAAGCATCATTGTGCAGTACTGCACATGCATACTTCAGGTAGCTGCCCAGAATCAATTTTATGAAACTTAGCTTCTTGCGAATTGGAGTTTTCAAGATTTACTACAAGTAAGGTTGTGTGAGTAGAGCTATTGTGGCTCCACCACCTGCGCTCTCTGGCCGACCTCATGTTTATTGGTAGACAGGCTGAAAGGTGCTGCTTACCGTTTTAGTAAGGTTGTATAATAATAACAATATTCATAAAACAGGTCGCGTGATGAAGCAGCATAACGATACATGTGCAAAATCATGACGCCTGGTCCGCTTCTGTCCTGGGTTCACTACCCCGTGCATTGCAGCCGGGAGCAAAACCAGCTCAGGCGGAGAGTTCCCTCCATGGTTGTATGCTTACAAAAATTAGATTAGTTGAGTAACAGTCCATTTTCTCTTTAGGAAAAACTCACTGATCAGCTGTGACACCGGATGATTTGTGTGTTTGGTTCTTTCCCTATGTAGGCATGCTGACCAGTTCACATCTGCTTCCGGGCCCAAGGAGCCAATGTCATCACCATTGTCTATGCTCAACGACAGTCTCTGGTGAGTGTGACTGTGTGTTTTAAACTTGTAAGGAGGCTCCAACCCATTGGGGAATACTATTCCCAATAACATGGAACAACCACAAGCATATGTGGGCGCGTGCACATTTGCCCATAATGATACATACGCTTACATGCACATACTCGCACTCACAAACAAGCATCCCGTGCACGCACCAGTGTGTCACACATGCGCACCGCAATAGCATACACACACCAAGTAAAAGGCATGCTCTTGAGTTTAGTCACCATATCCTGCTGTCCATGCACATACTCATGTGGAGGTTCGCATGAGGGGGGGGGGGGGGGGGGATGAAAGGAGGTCCTACACAACTACTATTACAGTGTATAGGTATAACATGCTGACAACTTGACATTGGTGGGTGGGAAGCTTGATTTGCTTGTTACTCAGAGTCTTGTTGCATTTAGCCAATCATCAGACAACATGCGAGGGCAACTTAGCTTCAACGCACTGTGTAATATGATTATAAGGATAGGATTTCTGACAGAAGCAAGTACAATGTAGGCTGCTCATTTTCCTGAACAGTACTCTGTGCCCTGAAGCAGTGCTTTTTCACGAAGCAAAACAAGACACCCCTCAGGTTCATGTTTATACGTGATCACTAGGCAAAGAGTTGCAGCGGAATATTCCTCTTTCCTTACTCTGTAGAATACTTTTGGGCTTGATTCAGCTAATTCCCCACCACCTCTGGGATAGGTTACTTACAAAATTACGTCACATGAGGTCTTAGGGTATGATCGATTGGACAAATCCCGAGCAAGTGCGCTCCGAGTGAGCGTGATCGTTGGCCGAATCAGGAGTAGGTGTACTTGGAGTGCAATCCGACCACACGGGCCCCCACAACGGGTGTGGCTGGAGTGGAAATGGAAAAAAATGTGATAGCTTTCACAGAATCTTTGTACGATATGCGTACCTTTTGCGTACTACACCCTTGCTTTGTTCGATTGGACCAATGTTGCTCGGACCACACCGCCTGCTTGCACTCAATCCTGATTCGCCGATCGATGACACCCTTAGCCAACTCTCAGTTCTGTGCTCTACCCCTACTTTTCACCAGCATACAAGATTCTCACTCTCTCTCTCTCTCTCTCTCTCTCTCTCTCTCTCTCTCTCTCTCTCTCTCTCTCTCTCCATCTCTCTCTCTCTCTCTCTCTATCTATCTATCTATCTATCTCTATTTATCTCTGCTTTGCAGGTGCACCTCTCCCGTTCGTCCATTCACAAGCACGAGCTATGAAGCCAATCAACCGATAGTGTCCATGAGTTCTTACGACACATATGCAGCGGCGGTGGATGTAGCACACCACGGCGCCCGCTACCCATCACATGAAGAGTATGAAGTGTACAAGGTGTTCTGCAAAGCTGCGTAGAGTATCAACACACTCTGTAGGTATTTCTTTGACGTGACGCTCCACTGTTTTAGTCACCAATCTTCCTTTGTACGTACATGCAGCATCTCCTGTTCAATTTTTTAAATGTATTCTATGGAAGATGTAGTTGTGTTTTGTACCGCTTTTTTTAACCAGTTTTATCAAATATGTTTCAACAATCTATTCTCCTTCAACCACCTGTGGGTGAGTGATCGTCCTGTTTCTCACCCTCTCTGCTTTGTTTCAAACTTTTTCTGATGGTGAACAATATGTACCTGTGAGCCCTGCTGTACCACAGGCTGCTACTGGCTCGCCGCTACATTATCTGCTACAATCCGCCAGCACAACATCTTCTGTGCTAATTGTGTTCCTTTTCACCCTGCAACTTACAATGGATGTGACTTTTTGCAACTCAAGCTGAGCATTAGGTAGTTAGGATTGGCGAAGTCTGTTTCCTTGCTCTTTGCCATGATTTATAATCGCTAGTGTATTTGTTATAATCTTACTCTTAGCTTTCCAGCTCCTCTAGCATTAGTAGAGTGTGATCTCGCGCACACTGCTGTACAAACCCTTGTGTACCTGGCTTTTGTCACTAGCCCGCTGATTGTATTCCACTTGTCTGCCCAACATGAAACACACAACCAACTGCTTTGGCATTTTTGCAGAATTATGTTCTTGGCCCGAGCCAGGCCTTTTTTGTTTGTAATTGTTGTATTCCCTCCCGGTGCAGTGCACTGGTATATATATTATGTCAGTTATTTGAACTTTCTCTTCATGATACAAATTTTAAAAATTTCACTTGCGGCATCATTGCCGTACAGTGTAACGGACAACCATGACATTATTTCAATCTGATACTTCAGTAAAATATTTTTCGATATATCCGTTTCAATGTGAATCATGCTATCTCTAAGCTGCTTGCTGTTGGCTGTCTGTCAAATGCTTTTTTCCCCATGATTCTCTTCCAAGAAACATCACTGTTTTGTCATGCGACTATGTTCTGCCGATCAGATTGCTTTGAACACGCGTGTGCATGTCCGGTACCCGTGCACTGATGCGGATGTGCACCAGCCCACTGACATTTCGACAGAGGGGATGGAATTTTTTAAATGTTATTATAATTATACATATATGACGCAAGCTGACACAGATGCTCTAGATCAGGCGGGCTGAAGAAAGAGAAAAGGCACTACACTTTTTGATGCAGAATACTGGGAGTTGGCCATGGCCATACCCAAAGTGTGCCATAAATCAATGATCGCAGTTGACCCCTTCCCCCTGTGTAAGTACATGTACATACTTAGTTGTTGGGTTGCTTGCAAATACATGTGCATGGACATGGGCATGGGGAGTAAGTAGATGTATTTATAAGATATTATCAAAAGTAAGATTCTGCTTCATTCTGTGCTGGAAATCAGTACATAAAGGGATAACCTGTGCTGTTACCGTTACTGCCAATACTGGGAACTGGGAGTGGGAGCAGGCGAAGCGCCAGCACCGAAAAAGAGCCCTAAAAGTTGCACTTTTATTTTCCAAATCCGACCCCAGGCCCGGGAAATTTGAAACTCAGCTCAATATCGCCAAAAAGAGACTATTTTATCCCTTGCTCACAAGAGCTTCCCTGGTGGTATCGTCTTGTTCCGAGGCAATGTTTGGGAAGGTGCGGGCATTAGCTGCCCTAAGTTTCGCGGAAAGCTCCAAGCGACATCATTTTCCTCGCTTTCTCGCCAGAGTTTTCAAGACCGACGCAACTCGTCGTCAAAAAGTACTCAGCGTGGATTTCGTGCCGAATTCCGCCCCAAACAATTTAGGCTGACCTCTCGCCACCAATCGAACCCACTGATATGTATCTACCTATACACGAGCAATGGTTTGAGCCCAAAGAAGGACAACTTCACAACGAGCACACTTTCTGAGGGTAATATTTTCTATGTATATCAGTATTAGAACACCACCAAGACGACAAATTGACCAGCAGAAAGACAGAAAGTTGCACTACAAATACATGCATACAGCAGCTGTATAAACATAAATAATTGAACAGAAAACTATGTAACTGGATCCCACCAAAAACAGTAAAGCATCCCAAATAGTATGCGCATACACATATACATGAAGGAAGGCTATGTTGCCACCATACACTGGCTACGCACACGGACATCATTCTGGAGAGCTGAGCATCAGCGTGCGCACACACCCACACACACATCTGCATGCACGCGCGCACACCCACATGCGCATGCACACGCGCGCGCGCGCACACACACCCACATATACACATGCACGCGTGTACACTCCTGCCCTGTGCTGTCGAGCCACTGCCACAAGGGTTGCGTGGGCCTCGAAGGCACCGGAGAGAGAATAGGAGAACGCAGTCCCATAGATACACACGCACACACACACACACATGTACACAACACGTGCAAGTACACACGTGGCAGCTTACTACAAGAGAACCACACAAGTTCACATGTGGGCGCGAACTGTATTCACAGTTGGTCATACTGTCTTGGGCATATGAGGGAGGAGCAGGAGAGTGAGTGATTGACTCAGACACAATGCGCTTCAACATGCTAGCACATGCACCGGTTTCGGACAGTGGCAGAACGTGACGGAGAGAGAGAGAGAGAGAGAGAGAGAGAGAGAGAGAGAGAGAGAGAGAGAGAGAGAGAGAGAGAGAGAGAGAGAGAGAGAGAGAGAGCACCAGCGTTCCAGCTCAAGCTCCAAATTTCTAGTTGCTTCTCCTGGTCACAGTAAACACAGAACAGGGCTCAGGCAGTGCCGAGGAAGTGCTTGTACTTGGTGCAGTGTCGTGAGCAGGATAAACTTCCAACATCTCTACACAGTGTAGCTCTTCAGGCGCACACGAAGACTCAGAAACCGGAATATACTTTACATGATGATTGAAAGTCCAGCAGCACAACAAAACTTCCAAGGACTGGTTTGGCACTAGCTTCCGTCTCATTGGCGTGCGCCCAGCCAGTTTTGGAAAGAAAGAGTAGACGTTCATTCCTCGTTCAACCTGCAATGAACTGGAGACAACACAAACCAACAAGACGACGATGGTTATCATCAGCTCATGTGTTCACCACCGCAGTGCTACCATTCACTTTCCTGCTCCAAATGCACTACCAGGCTGCATGGTACTACTGTCGTGGACATGGAAATCCGGTCGCACGTATAGCGGCCCCAGGGCGCTGGCCATGCAGCCGTAGCACGGTTTATCATGCGCTGCTGATGGTCGCATTGGATCAACATGTGCACTGCATGCAACGTTCTGTACGTGCTGAGGGTGCCGGCCCCGGTCAATCGACTGGATTTCCATGTCCGCGACAGTACGATGTGTCGATAATAGACCGTGATTTGCATTTTCCAATGATTAGGACTGGTATTATTTCTATTTTTCACACTTAGAAAGAAAACAAGGGGCAAGATTTGATCTGGATTATGTGGTTGTTGGCTATGTCAACATTTGAAAGAGGGTTGCAACCGTGATAGCACTGCAACATGAGTTTGCATGGTATACTCAACAGTTGGCGAGCAGAGAATTTCGTGCCGAATTCCGCCCCAAGGTTGTGCACAGCAAACAACTTGATATATCATTAGCCCTACCCTTGTGCTATACGTACCCGTTGTGCCGATCGAGCCTGAGCCCTCTACTCGACTCCACGGTCCAATGACATTCGGTCATCATGGCCAAATTCAAGTCACTCAAGTGTTGAGAAGTGTCTACGTCGTCGCACACAGCATGTGTCGACATACAAAAATATGTGTACGATAGAGAAAGAACTACTGAAGAGCAGCCAACTGGTATCAGCATTCTCCTTCAAAGGATAGGTCGGTGGCAGAGGGCCAAAGCCGGACAATAGTTGGAAATTCTCAGCGTTGAATTTCTACAGGCTGTAGATACCTGGAAAAGCTCGATTTCCCGCCACGGAAAATAAAAAAGTCTTGATTTGGGGTGCTGGGCCTGCTGGCGCTTCGCCTGGGAGCTCTATTTTCAGTTTCCCAATTTTTATTTTCGTTTTTTCTAGCCCACAGCTCGTACACTGACGTACAGTCTGTCAGTCAGACTGTCCAGAGAGTCGCAGAGACTGAGACTCAGGTCTGACCTGCCACGTGACCACTGTGCTCACGTGATTGGCTAATCCACGGTTCGGCCGACCCGCGACATTCAAAATCCGAAAATGTGTTCAAGGTTGGGATTATTATTTTTATTCGCGAAAGGCTAAAGGGACAAGCTTATCTATTTTTGCGGATTTTCTTTCATAAAAAATAAACGTCACAGGCTGCTCTTCGGAGGTGTCCGCGTCCCAGCGGTCCGGGCAAGCGACCGAATCTCAGTGGGACACTTGGCCGTGGCCTCTGTACTGGAATCTGTGGGAGAGCCTTTCCAGGGACTACAAACCTGGGTGTACCCGGGTATCGGGTATGGCTCCTTTTTTGTTCCTTTCCTTTTTATTTGTTTTTGCTGAGAAAGAAACGTTGCTGGATGGAAAGCTTTCTGTTCCCGCCATGCGCCAGCGCCTTTGCTCTAGTAAAACATTGCTGGCTGATAATGGTCATTGCTCGTGATGTCAACTTAGAAGGTGACGGGAAGCTGGGTTTCTTGCCATTTCCAACTTCCTGACTCTGAAAATGTAGCTTGAACTAAGAGCTCCAAATATTTCAGTTTTTCGATGTGCCAGACCTATTGTTACGACCTGCAGAGATGAGGAGCAAGTCAGGCGTTGGATTAATGCCAATAATGGTGTTTATGGCCCGGACGACGCCAGCGGTTTTCACTTGTCAGGAGGACAGCCGAGTTGGAGCAGGCAGATGACAGATTATTAACTTCGAGCATTTTTAGCCGAGTGGGTGGCTTGCCAAAGAGAATCGTCTCAGTTCCTCATGGTTACTAGTATCTGACAAATGCCTCTTATTGCTAGTCTGCACTAGAGCATTAGCAGAATTGATCATGTCACAAGTAGTGTCAAGACTTGATGTCCTACGATTATACTCAGATCATGTTGCTACTTCAAGGAATATTCGTCCTGCCACTGTACACTCTTCCAGAATTGCATGCAGAAGTCACATGCCTGTCACAGTGTGCAACTTTGCAAGGGACACCGCGTTTGCACTGCTTACGGATTCAAGCGGATGGAGTGCAGGCCAGATAAGAAGACATAATCCGTCTTTTCAAATAGCTTGGGCTGCTATTAATTGGCTAGACTCCTGGAAACATGGACAAGAATCTAAACCAGTCCACGGAAACAATATCACGCCACACAGGAAGCTAAATGGCAAACCAATCAAGTTCTTTGGTAATGAAGCCGTTCACCAACATTGTCCGGTTGCATGGCTAGTGTCACTCAAACAGGACCAATGGACCTAAAAGATACGCTGTTGATCAACCACAACTCCAATACCACTGAGCAGTGTCTTCTATACAGATCCAATTAGATATTCAAGAATATGAGTGGAAGTTGCTGGTATAGTCTCTCCTAATGACCGCGTATTTGGCATAATGTTCTCTATACTGCACTCTAGAGCTACTTACCTTTTCCGGCATTGAACTCAGGCAGGGACCACTCGCCTGCAGAATGAGCCAATTGACACAGAAGCTAAGTACCATGCGCATCCGTCGCAAGAGAAACACGCAAGTCTGCAAGTGAAGTGGATGGACACCCGCTGATTTTCTCTTATGCCGATATCAGACATGACCTGAGTGAAACGTATGAAGACTTGCACCACATTACTGCACAATTCCGTATAATTATTGCGAGGCCTTGTGAAATGATTCTCAATGCACACCTGGTCTACGCCACACAGAATACATCGGATTATAATCGCCAATACAGCTGCCTATGTCTCTCTCTCTCTCTCTCTCTCTCTCTCTCTCTCTCTCTCTCTCTCTCTCTCTCGATCTTCATCTATATCTCTCTATCTACCTATACCGAATCTGCGGACAGAACTCAGTGTTTCGTCCTTTGTGGACTCATCAGCGCAGCACAGAGAAAATGAGGCCGAACCTGATTGCAATGAAAAATAAAATTTCCAAAGCCAGACTTAATTCTCCACCTATCAACTCCCTTCTGTGTGTATGCGCGTGCATGGGTGCAGGGTATATGCGCACATATCTTTCTCTCTCTCTCTCTCTCTCTCTCTCTCTCTCTCTCTCTCTCTCTCTCTCTCTCTCTCTCCCTCTCTGTATATATCTGTCGGTCTGTCTATCTCTCGTCTGTCTGTCTTTCTCCTTCTGCCTGTCTTTGTGAGTTTGCCTGTCTGTGTGCCTTTCGTCTGTCTATCTGTCGTCTGTGTGTTTTTCTCCTTCTGCCTGTCTTTGTCAGTCTGCCTGTCTGTGTGCCTCTATGTTTCTCTTTCTCTCTCTCTCTCTCTCTCTCTCTCTCTCTCTCTCTCTCTCTCTCTCTCTCTCTCTCTCTCTCTCTCTCTCTCTCTCTCTCTCTCTCTCTCTCTCTCTCTCTCTCTCTCTCTCTCTCTCTCTCTCTCTCTCTCTCTGTCTCTCTCTCTGTCTGTCTCTGTCTCTCTCTCTCTCTCTGTCTCTCTCTCTCTCTCTCTCTCTCTCTCTCTCTCTCTCTCTCTCTCTCTCTCTCTCTCTTTCTGTGTGTGTCTATGTGTTTCTCTAAGTCTGAGTCTTGGTCGTTCTATCTGCCTCTCTGCGTAACTCTCCAACTGTTTCCTTGTCTCGGTCTGTCTGTTTGGCTGTCTCTGCTTGTCTCTTTATGTTTGTCTGTCTGCCTGTCCCTGTATTTATAGCTCTATTTCTCTCTCTCTGCAGCTATTCTTCTGTCTCTCTCTGTTTCTGTCTCTGACTTTCTATGTCTGATTGTCTGTCTCTGTCTGTTTTTCTCCTGAGTCTGTGTGTCTGTCTGTCTCTCCTGTTTTTCCTTAATGTTTGTCCCTCTCTTTCTGTCTCTGTCTTTCTGGATCTAATCGTCTGTCTGTTCGTCTTTGTCTGTCTGTCTTTGTCTCCTTCTCTTTGAGTCCGTGTCTCTGTTTGTTGCTCTTTATGCGCATCCCTCTGTTTCTGTCTCGGTCTTTCTGTGTCTGCCTGTCTCTATCTCTGTACCGGCCGCTGTTCTGCACATAATTTAATCGTGTGGCACCACATACGTGGCTGTATATTTACCTATGCGTTGGACATTCACACCCAAACACACACACGCACACACACACACACACACACACACACACACACACACACACATTGTCTTTGTCTGTTTTTCTCCTGATTCTGTGTGTCTGTCTCTCCTGTTTTTTCTTAATGTTTGTCTCTCTCTTCTTGTTTCTGTCTTTCTGGGTCTGATCGTCTTTGTCTGTCTGTCTTTGTCTCTGTCTCTTTTTCTCTGAGTCCGTGTCTCTGTCTGTCGCTCTTTATGTGCATCCCTTTGTTTCTGTCTCTGTCTTTCTGTGTCTGTCTGTCTCTATCTCTGTACCGGCCGCTGTTCTGCGCATAATGAAATTGTGTGGCACCACACACTTGGCTCTACATTTCTCTTTCTCTCTGAGTCCGTGTCTCTGTCTGTCGCTCTTTATGTGCATCCCTTTGTTTCTGTCTCTGTCTTTCTGTGTCTGTCTGTCTCTATCTCTGTACCGGCCGCTGTTCTGCGCATAATGAAATTGTGTGGCACCACACACTTGGCTGTACATTTCTCTTTCTCTCTGAGTCCGTGTCTCTGTCTGTCGCTCTTTATGTGCATCCCTTTGTTTCTGTCTCTGTCTTTCTGTGTCTGTCTGTTTCTATCTCTGTACCGGCCACTGTTCTGCGCATAATGAAATCGTGTGGCACCACATACGTGGCTGTACATTTACCTATGCGTGGGACATTCACAACCAAACACACGCACACACACACGCACACACATACACACACACACACACACACACACACACACACATATTCACACACACATTATCTACCTCTGTCTGTTATTCTCCTGAGTCTGTGTGTCTGTCTGTCTCTCCTGTTTTTCTTAATGTTTGTCCCTCTCTTTCTGTCTTTATGGGTCTGATCGTCTGTCTGTTCGTCTTTGTCTCTTTCTCTCTGAGTTCGTGTCTCTGTCGCTCTTTATGCGCATCCCTTTGTTTCTGTCTCTGTCTTTCTGTGTGTGTCTGTCTCTATCTCTGTGCCGGCTCACTGTTCTGTACATAATGAAATTGTGTGGCACCACAGACTTGGCTGTATATTTACCTATGCGTGGGACATTCATACACCCACACACGCACACACACACACTCGTACGCTCGATCATACAAGTACATGTAGTACTGCAGAAGTCACATCAGAGATATAATTAAAACTCTCTCTCTCTCTCGGGTGCAGCGGCAACTTCCTTGACACTGTCTCTCTCTCTCTCTCTCTCTCTCTCTCGCGCGCGCTGTGCCTGCCGCTGTGCTGTCATACAGATAGTGAAATTGTGTGGCACAGAACACGTACATGACTGTATATTTACCCACGCGTGGGACATTCACGCATGCACACACACTCACACACACACACACACACACACACACACACACATGACCAGCAGCAAATAACATTTCATAGCTACAGGACCTTCAAAGAAAGTCATGGTGTCAAGAAGATATACAATGTCATGTAGAAGGATAATTGTAAAACAGCTTGCTGTCTAGAGCATTGGTAATATAAATTATCATATAATACATGTAGGGAAACTCCTAGAGAGTCAAACTATCGCGAGAGTCTATTTTAGAGTAGAGTGGGTGGGTACGCAGACCAGCGTAAGTCATAACAAATATTAATTGATAATAAAGTGTAACCAATGCTGGTAATGGATCATGTGTGAGCGACCAAAGAGGCGTACATCACATGTCCTGTACCACTATAACCACACACAAACGTCCAGGAGAATTTCACGTACCGATGGATCTATCATGCTGCCGGGATCCCTCATATATATCATACTGTGGTACAAAACCATCGGAGAATTGCAAGGACCTAAATACGGCAAGCAAATCAGGGACATTAGGTGCAAGACCCGTTGTTCTAGTTGTCTAGACTGCACTGTGTTCTTGAAAATACTGAGCCTCCACGTTGTATCTGCATGTGGCATCCCTTGATCTCATTTGAGTAGTAGTAGTAGTAGGCATGCACTGCATTACGTTTTGATGAAAGGTTCGATAGCTGCTGAATGGGTTTATCATTTGGCTTCCTGTGTGGGTATTGTTTCTGTGGATTGGTTCGGAGCAATGTTCAGATGGTCCAGGCATCTGGCCAATTAATTATGGCAGTCCAAGCTAGTTGAATATCCGGATCACTTTCTCTCATCTGGTCTACACTCCATCCGCTTGCATCCATAAGCAATGCAAAGGCGTTGTCCATTGAAACTGTGACAGGCATGTAACTTCTGCATGCAATTCTGGGAGAGCGCACAGTCGCAGGACGAATATTCCCGTGAAGTTGCAACATGATCTGAGCATAATCGTAGGACATCAAGTCTTGTAACTACTTGTGACATGATCAATTCTGCTATGCTCTAATGCAGACTAGCAATAAGAGGCATTTGTCAGATACTAGTAACCATGAGGTGCTCAGACGATCTGCTATAAATACTCAAATAATCTGTCATCTGCCTGCTCCAACTTGGCTGTCCTCCTGACAAGTGAAAACCGCTGGCGTCTTCAGGGCCATAAACACCATTATTGGCATTAATCCAACGCCTCCCTAGGCTAGGCCCTTGCTCCTCATCTCTGCAGCTTCTAACAATAGGTCTGGCACAACGAAAAACTAAACTTGATACTTGGAGCTCTTAGTTCAAGCTACATTTTCAGAGTCAGGAAGTTTCAAATGGCAAGAAACCCAGCTTCTCTTCACCATTGGCATCACGAGCAATGACCATTATCAGCCAGCAATGTTACTAGAGAAAATGCCAAAGGCGCTGGCGTGAACAGAAAGCTTTTCATGCAACAACGTTTCTTTCTCAGCAAAAACAAATAAAAAGGAAAGGAACAAAAAAGGAGCAACACCAGCAGGCCATGCCAGGGATATTTGTCCATACCCGGTACCCAGGTGTGTAGTCCCTGGAAAGGCTCTCTGACAGATTCCAGTACAGAGGCCACGGACAAGTGTCCCACTGAGATGCGGTCGCTTGCCCGGACCGCTGGGCCGCGGACACCTCCGAAGAGCAGCCTGTGACGTTTATTTTTTATGAAAGAAAATCCGCAAAAATAGATAAGCTTGTCCCTTTAGTCCTACCCTTTTTATTCCAACTTCCAAGGTGTTCGTTCCATTTGCAGAGGTTTCGATTTGTTTTGTTGCTTGATTACCCGATCGGGTGTGTCGTGAGTGAGTGGTCACTGTGGTTCGACTGGTTCTTGTTCTGCCCACCACCCCCCTCGAATCACCTTCTTCGCCCTCTCTCTCTTCAAGAGAGACTGAGACTTGAAATTCACGGGGGCGAAAGGACACTCGTGGTTGCTGAGCTCAGCCTTCATCACCCAACTGGACCAAAGGTACTAGACTAGAGCTCCTATAATGCTATATCCGCACGGGGCATAATTATAATTTTGTTGCCAGAAGCCTCACCGACTGCTAGTCACGAATGCAGTCGTAATCTGGCACATTGTCCTACCGTATTCCTGTTCCTCTCGTATGTCGGGGAGAATGCCCAGAATCGCGAGTGATACTTCCCACCACTGGTAGATCTACCAGGGAATACTAAATACATTAGTACAGTACTCCCTGGTTCCTACTGTCCTACCTGGTTCCTACTATACTGTCGCCTTTGTTTTTTTCTGCGTGACTTTTACATTGCTGTTAGGGTGCTGTGTGTACTGTATGTGTCACACAGTGCAGTGGTCACTTTATGGGTGATAAATCGATAATTAAAAATACACACATCTCAACTTGCCCATCAGCACAGCTCTGTAGCTCGGTAGTCAAAGTTGAATAGCAGTGCATTGCAGTAGTTGGAAAGATCCATGAAGGATTTCTACCAAGATTATAACACGGAGTGTGAAATTCTGGGAGAATGAGCCCACTGTGAAGTTTCTCATTTAGGTCCATAGTGACTCACCTGTGCTGCGTATCACAACCGTTTATGCACATGGACATTTTGCATTATCAGTTTTAACCAAAAGGTATAATTATTCTGTTGCGTATTCACGATTGGTGCTTGTACAAAAGGTCAAAAAAATACATGCACGTGAATTTCCCTTTTCACCTTGGTAACACAGTAGTCTGGCCCTGACCCTATGGTATGACAGGGTGTCCTGTGATTCAAGATGACCTAAGGGAAACAACTAACTTTACTGGTATTTGTAGCATAGATGCGGAGTTGCACCTTCGGATCCGGTTTATGCGCAGTTGTGTGCTGTAGGTGAAATCCAGCCCAAAGTGCACAGCTGGCACCCTGGACCAGTTCCGATTACATTACTGTGTTTGTACATGTGTATGTCCAGCAGCATTCGCACCACTTCCAGGGCATCGATGGCCGTGCGAGTCCAGGGTGCCGAATATTCACTTTGGGTTGGACGTCGCCTAGCCTAGCTGTACATGTATCTGTAATTATTCCCGTAGCTATGCAGAAGACGTTACTTCAGTAACGTCTGGCGCTAGCCAGGGTCCACACAGCTTTAATTTGGTGTTTGTTTGTTTGTGTCACGGCTGGAGCTATCCCGTATCTGTCCCGTATCTGTGACTACAAAGGCTCTACAGGATTGTACATAACAGCTGTCCACTATATTTGCGGGCCCCTGTATCTGTCCCGTACCGTACCAATATTCGTCGTATTATATATACGACTCCCTGATGTAGAGGGAAATTTGAAAAGAAATAGGGAGACGTGGAGGAAATTAAATTAGAATAGACGCCGAATAGGTGATAGGATGCGTCAGCATAAACATACTTTGGAAGAGAGATCCCGTCGTCTCCAAAATAAGCGTGAACGAGCGATTCAGCGCCGGTCACAGGAAACGTCGGAAGAGAGATCCCGTCGACTCCAGAACGCCCGTGATCGGCAGAGTCCGCCGGTCCCAGGCAACGTCAGGACAGACATCCCGTTGAGTCCAGAACGCCCGTGATCGGCAGAGTATAAGCCGGTCCCAGGAAACGTCAGGACAGACATCCCGTCGAGTCCAGAATGCCCGTGATCGGCAGAGTCAGCGCCGGTCCCATAGCTATGCAGAATACGTTACTTCAGTAACTCATTGAAACGTTTTTGCAATAGAATGATGTAGCTTAGCAAAGGAAAAAAACATTTCCATCAGTTCTAACAACATGCACGATGAGCTAGTCAACAAAGCATAGCGCAGGGCCCTGAGCTTCCAAGCTCTCTCGTTTGCAACTACGAATGCGGAGAGCGGCAAAATATACAGGGTGTGCAGAACTGCTCTATCAGGATTCAGTCCTGCGGTGCGTGACCCAGCATCCTATGATTGCCAGTGATTGGTAACTGCTGCTTGTCCGTTGCTGTTTTATTTATTCATCTCCTGGCTAGGTTATTGTGCGGTTGTCGCTCTTCTCTTTTCTCTCAGACTGTGTGTGGGTAGCCTTGCAGCTAGCTAGCTGCCATGGATGATACCGCGGGATGGCTTTGTGAAGGTACGTGGTGACCAGGGTGACGGTTGCAGTGTTGCAACTGGCTGCGTGTGTGTTGTGTGTGTGTGTGCGCGCGTGTGTATGTGTGTGTGTGTGTGTGTGTGTGTGTGTGTGTGTGTAGTTCATTGCTGCCAGCCAGCACTCCCTGAACATGCAGATACGGCATTGACGGCGTCTCTCGCTAGTTGCTGCTTTCAGCATTGTCAACGCTGCAATCGCTGCTTCAAGTCCCGGGCTGGTTTTAACCGCCATAACTGCAACCGTGGAAAACGTCTTGCTGCAGCCGATAGGGAATCACTGCCGCTGATCTGCATGCATTGCCCAAAGTGTTTCCGACGACAGCAAGACTTGACGAGGCACCAGAAGTCCTGCCAATGACGGTGCCCTCCAAACTCTGGCCCCCTCCGGGGGTGACATTGCCCAATGGGCAGTCATGCTATAGTAGTAGTAGTAGTAGTAGTAGTAGTAGTAGTAGTAGTAGTAGTAGTAGTAGTAGTAGTAGTAGTAGTAGTAGTAGTAGTAGTAGTAGTAGTAGTAGTAGTAGTAGTAGTAGTAGTAATGTGTGTGTGTGCGCGCGCGCGTGCGCGCAGTTCATTGTATACCTTGCAACTATGCGTATGTATCTGTCAGTGTCTTCAGCTTTATGCTATGGTGTAGCAGCACATCCTACATGTTCCACATCTACACTTGTCAGAAGAGCAGATTATCATTGACCAACAGTACAGTGCCGTGTTATGTTGGCAGTCAACAACCCTCCAGTCTCGTCTCAGCTAGGATGGCCACTAGTAAACGTCTTGTCATAGGACGGGGACCAGTTTTGGTAGCTATACTATAAGTTTTGAAGTTGATTGTTCCAACTAGGAACACCTGCTTCTTGCCGAACTTGACACTTGACTGACTCACGACTGCCATCCGGAGCACACGAGGAGCACGTCGCACCTTCCACTCGGCAAACCTGCAAGAAAGCACCACTCCCTGCTCAATACACGGTGTTTCGGGGAATTCGTGTGTTCCTAGTTGGAACAATCAACTTCATGACTATTACCGCCGAAGTCGCAACTTCTAAGTTCGTATTGTTGTCCCTCACGCGGACGTGCGACTAGTTGTTGGAGGTGACAGCGTTGCGAATAGCTATACTGGCTCTCAACGTCTGTTTATCACAACTCCATGAGCGACTCTGACTCACGCTGCTACCTGGAGCTTCACGAGGTGTTTGTCGCGCTGGAAACAAAGCGTCTCTGTAAGTTTGTATCCCTGGTGATGGTTTGGCCTGGAGAGCAGTATATAAGTGGTGCTTTTCAGGCACAATCTTCCTCAGCCTACTCAAGCTCAACTGATGAGGGGTGAATTCCCCGAAACACCGTGTATTGAGCAGGGAGTGGTGCTTTCTTGCAGGTTTGCCGAGTGGAAGGTGCGACGTGCTCCTCGTGTGCTCCGGATGGCAGTCGTGAGTCAGTCAAGTGTCAAGTTCGGCAAGAAGCGTGTGTTCCTAGTTGGAACAATCAACTTCATGACTATTACCGCCGAAGTCGCAACTTCTAAGTTCGTATACTATAAGTTTGTTGTAAAAGCCACTGCATGGTTTATTGAACTGATCACACGTTTGTGATGGATGTGCTGTTTTTGTACAGAACCTGGCTCTGGTTCATTTCATGATCTGCGAGATGAAGTTGCACCACCCCTAGTGTGAGTCGACCGTGGCTTCCTGCTGATGTGCTTGTATTGTCTTGCCTCTCTTCGGCGAATCAGTCATGGTGTATATGTTACACTCAGTATGGCATCATTTCTTTATTTTCATAATCGTCACTGTCTCTATATGGCATCACCTGTTTACTTCGTACCTATATGGCTACACTGCGACTTTCTCTATGTAACTCCAGGTCATTCTCTATATAACTCCAGACGCGACTTTCCCTATATATCTCCACTCAGATTGAGACTTTCTCTCCCCCGAGTCTGTATGACTCCAACTCAGGTTTTGTATGGAGAAGTTGGCAGTCTGAGTTGGAGTCATACAGAGAAAGGCTCAGCCTGAGTGGAGACATACAGGGAAAGTCGCATCTGAAGCTATGTAGAGAATGACCTGGAGTTATATAGAGAAAGTCGCAGTGAAGCCATATGGGCACGAAGTAAACAGGTGATGACATATAGAGGAGTGAACACATATAGAGAGCTGGTGGACTACTGAGTGCTACACATACCATACGTTGTGAAGTGCTCACGTTTTGTTTTGAACACAAGCCTCCGTGTGTGTGTCGGCACTGGTGCCTCAGCTGACGCGCGGTGCAATCGATGAAAGTTCCCCTTCTAGAATTTGTGCAGTTCATGTATACCAGTATGCCTTCTTCATCACTCCATTAAAAAATGCTGCACATCAGACTGAATTATCTGCATTGTTAGCAACACCACTACGTTCATGGATCAAGACGCAGATAAAGGTTCACTAAGTACCAGCAGCGAGTGATGACTTGGTGTTCTGTGTTGTATGCAGTGACGATACGATGATCTACTCCCCTGTTGGTTCACTTGCCTCACGCGCAGGTAAGTTACGTTCCACTGCACAAGTACAAACTGAAGCTTCCCATGGGGAATACTGTTTGCACATGGAAGCAGGATTGCTTGCCTCATCGGGTGGTCGCTTAAACCAGGTTTTACTGTATATCATAGCCTGACTGGGTGGATTTGACAATTCAAGCTTAGGGGATCCAATCTCCGTTAATGCTACACTTAGTACTAGTTGCCATCATAATTTTCCGGCACGTGGCCACGTATGGTTTTCTCTACACGGCATGGAAAATATGATGCATCCTAGAGCTAAGTACCAGTGCTATTTGCAGCACCTGTATTGAATCACACTTTGGTCAAGAGCGGTTCCCAGCCGGTACACATGTATGCAAAGTGACTTTCGTACTTTTAATCTTTCCATGTCTTTTCTCTGTATCTCCCTTTTTTGGCTACATTTGCATAGGCTCTCCTAAAGGGAAGCGGCGCCGCAGTCTTCGGCAGTTGTCCCGAGTGAGCATTGCTGCTGCTGCTGTTCAGGAGAGCCTGCTCTCTGGCGACACATCTCGGCGATACAGCCCTCGTTTGGCCAGCCGTTGTAGCATTCCAATGGATTGTGTTGATGCTAATAGTGAAATTAGCAGCGGTGCTACACCTGTGCCGTCCAGGACTCAGGCCAGTACCTCAAGGAACGTACCATGCAGCGTTTCTCGGCCTCCGCCTTCGGTTTGCCGTGCTTCATCGCGAGCCGCTGCCACTCCACAATTGACCGTTCGCTCTCGACTGCCTATGAGCGAAGCCAAGGCGCGTGGTATCACGTTCAGTTTGTTCAAGACGGTAAGCACTACTAGTATCCTTGCCCAATGTTGTACTTGTATATGCATCATAGTATGCCACTTGTTATTCACTGTCTAGAGTACACACACACACACACACACACATACACACACACACACACTCACACACACACACACACACACACACACACACACACACACACACACACACACACACACACACACGGGATGCAATGGAAGAGATCAGCATGTCTGTACTCACACGTTCATGCTGCTAAACAACCACCAGTAGACTATGCTCAACACTATGCGCAACATAGTCTCCTGATACAGTGCGTATCGCCTATAGAGTTGGTCTTTGATTTTGAGCATTTCATTACTATAAACAATATTATCACTATGTCCAATACTACATGTACTATATGCAAGTGGGGTATCGAAAGACTCAGTGCGCCGTCCACAGGCACACTGTCGATTGAAGCTTGATGATTGGAAGGCACACTACTTGAACTTGAAGTAGGATTGACACCTAATACTCCGTTTTCATCCACTGTGTCCTGGCTGTCTGGGGGATAACTGTGTCTTTTCATTTATTTTGTTTGTGTAGCCGCCAAAATCAGCCGTTGGCCAAACATGCCGCCCGGTCGGACCTGATGAGGATACAGAAGACAAGGTTCTCCGTCGTCTATCATTCTCAAAACTGTTCGCCGTGGACACAAGTGTGAGTTCTTGCAATTTGTGCAAACTCGTTAACACAGTTAGAAAATGATTGTTGCTTGCGCCGAGTGTGCAGTGTGATGTGATGGTGGCATATTGCAATGCTTTAGAGTGGATGTACATGAATAGTAGTATTGTATGTACAGTGAACCTGTCTTTGCCAGACCCTGTGCCAAGCAGAATCCTGTTGGCCGGACAAATTTTCATGCACCAACGTGCTGTGGATCGAACGTACCAAGAGGAATCCTGTCATATCAGGACAGTTTGCGCTGAACCAAGGGTGTCCGGTTAGGGCATGTTTTCCTGTACTTGAAGCATAGGAAGGGCATGTATAGAGATGCACCTACTTAGCCCGGAACGGTGGGAAACACAATGCTACTTTCAGGTGAGGTGGGGGCTACTGGATTTTTTGGTTTGGATCCATGGAATTGGTGCTCGCGATCTTGTACCTTGAGCTGGGCCAGCGTATGAGGGCACAAAGTTTGGCGCCCAGCTCGGTGCAAGATCTACTGCGCAGTAGAAGTCTACGGCATGGTGTATGAGTCACATTGAGTGTACAGAGGCGCATGACCATAATGTATGTGTAGATCTATTCCATGATCCAGCAATATTGAAGTGGAAACTTTGCTGAAGTTTCACCACTACAATCATAATACTACAGTACAGGATAGGGTTCCGGTCGTGGGGGAAAACAGATGGTCGCCCTAGGCCCTGTGCAGGGGTATGGAAAAACAGGTTTTACTGTACTACAAGACCTTTGAACAAGTAGGGTAGGTCAGGTTACGCCAAGTAGGGTAGGTCAGGTGATGCCAAGCACACATCTCTTAGGCCTCGTGTACACGACAGCGATTGAAAAACGTTTTTCTTCATTTTCGCGCGAAAACGATAAACGTGTTTTTCGGCACACAATAGTGACGTGCAATAAGTTGGCCTGGTGGCGGCATGTTTTCAGTACGAGGCTCGCAGTAGTGAAACGTTTTTGCCGCGAGAACAAAACAGAACGAAAATGATTGAAAAACACTTGGAAGGTCGTTTTTCGTTTGAAACGTTTTGAACCGTTTTTCAGCATGCTCGTGTGCACGCTCCTATCAAAATCTGTGGAGGCGTGTTCTTTTGAAAACATTTTGACAAAAACGCTTTTCAATCATGTCGTGTAAAAGAGGCCTTAGGGGCCGTCCGTAATTATCGATCTTTTACACGAAGAGAAAAAGTTTCGTATATGGGTGGGTGGGTCAAGGGGAGTTTCGTTTTGAAAAATATTGATATGAGAGACATCCCCGCATTTTTGCTATCAAGTCAATCTATATTTCGTTCAGGGGGGTGGGTGGGTGGGGGAGGGTCCTAATTTTCGTTTCGTGAAAATTATCGATAATGCCGGATAGCCCCTTAGTGTGGCCCTGTGACTAGTGTGTTTTTGGCTTTTCTCCTGTGTAGGGGGAGGCATTGAATGATAGCAATAGCGTCACATCTCAGCCTGAAGAAGATAGAAGCTGCATGGCCAGCTCCAGTATTGCCTTTCCCAGTGCTGCTGCTGCTGTGAAGAAGAATGCCATAACTCCGGCAAAGAAGTAAGTGATCGACTGGGCTGTGTGGAGATTGTTGTCAGACGGGTTCTGACTTCATGCCCTAGTTCTGAATACCGTACACTTGTAAGGTTACCACAGTATCACAGTACTACAGCGGACACTGCATGCAGTAGCCTCTTACGTCCAAGACCATGTTCATGAGGCTACATGTGACCAACAGTGTAAGGCAAAGCCCTGCAAAAGAGTACAAATTTCCTAGTGATTACTGTCAATCTCACTGCAACAGGTCACAATCACAGCAGTGTATCTAGATTGACCAGACGAGCTAACTCTGATCCATACACACATGGTATCCTGTGCTCCTAAGCTGAGTGGAGAATTGACTAGAAAGAAGGACTGTGAATGCATTGGTATGTTATCGAATACAATACCTGTACTGTGTTTGCTGTTGTGTTGTGGTCTAGAACAAAGCTCTCCCGAGCAACATCACTGTCGGCACCGAGTAATCGCCACTGGCAGGAGTCCAGATCAGCCAGCAAAGTATGCCTTGTGGCTGGCTGTGTGTGTGTGTGTGTGTGTGTGTGTGTGTGTGTGTGTGTGTGTGTGTGTGTGTGTGTGTGTGTGTGTTGTAATCCCGGCACAAGTTGCTATGTCTAACATAGCTGTTCGCTATCCTCGCTTCTGCTATGGGCATGTGTGTGTCTATATGTGTGCGTCTGTGTCTGTGTGTGATTTTTAAATGACTTCGTTTGCTACCGCCCACTTGAAATACATGTAGAGTTTTTCTTGCACATGCCTTTTTTTACTTCAGGTAATTGAGATCGAGCCAGATTGCTTTGGTCCACCCATGCAGCCAGTCGTTGGAATTCGCTCATACAATTATCCACGGCATCATCTCCCCACTGTACAGCTGTAGCCCACACTTGCTGCAGTGATTTCCAGAGTGCTGAGTCGTTTTCAACAACTGTGGTTCTGAAGTTTGTTTGTGCATCTGCTGTTTGATATTGTTCTTTGTTTACCCAGACTCCTAGCACCATCCAGCGACCAGGTGCTGTCTCCAAACTGAAGAAGACCAAAGAGAACGAAGCATCATCGACTCGGTCACCTAGCAAACTGAGCCTGTCGTGGAAATCCACGACCTCATCCCGGCCAGCCGCCACGCCAAAGAAGCCCCTGGGCGACTCTAACCGCATGTGTCACACGTCCACCAAAGCATCGCCTCCCAAGAGGTCACATCTTGTGCGGTCCGCGTCGAAAGCTCAGCGGCCTTCTCAGAATTCTAATATGGCTGAGAAGATTGAGAAGAAGACTCAGAGTCGCATTGACAAAGTACTCGGCACATCTACATCGTCACATCGCAGCGGCGGCTTGGGTCGATCGCTAAGCTTCCGCCGTCCCACCAGCCTTCGGCCACTACCAGGGTCCAGTCAGACATCAGCAGTGAAGTCACCTAAACTGAAGGTGAGTCCCCAATCTCATGTGTTTATGTGGCTGGAGTGGCACAATGTATGTGGGGAAGCTAGCTCTAAAAGATGCGGCGAACTGAAACTCGTGTGCTGGTGTGATCTGCCAAGATGCCGCGTACGGAAACAAACATTCTGGGTAGATAGTACTAGATACATGTTCCCTGTTTAACTAGTATGGGGTAGTACTAGATACATGTTCCCTGTTTAACTAGTAGGGGGTAGTACTAGATACATGTTCCCTGTTTAACTAGTATGGGGTATTCCACAGTAGTGAAAAGATACTACCAGTACCGTAAAGTACCGCCAGAGCGCCCCGTCTCGCGAGAGCGCCCCACCTCGATTTTACAGCCAAGGGAAGAAAATCGTATGGCAGAATGCTACTAAGTTTGTACGATGTGAGAACCTTCGTGTGCTAAGGTCACACTTGGTATGCTTTTATGTGGAGCTCAAAGGTAAACTGGGTACGGATTGACTGCACAATGTGCAATGTTTGTACAAGGTCCGTGTCGTATGACCTACGGACAGGAATCCACCTCCACAAGGCGGCCACGAAAGGACGAAATGGTGGGGCGCTCTGGCGGTACTTTACGGTACTAGCACATGTACAGTGGAACCTGTTCTAAAGGCCGCCGGATATCTGTATGGAGTATTTGTTTGGTCATTCGATAACAAAATGGACTATTCTAATAGTGGATTTTGGGGGGTTGTTCACCACTAGTATTTCCCTACATTACCAACTGGCTGTGTACTACAATGTAGAGCAAAGTGTCAACTATTGTGTGTATTCTCTGTGCAGAGTACGCATGGTTCAACACAGATGACTGATGCAGTATCCCCAGGCGCCAAGAAGCGCAAACTCAAGGCAGCCAGCCGGGCTTCAATCTTCTGTGCTGAGCTACGCTGAGCACCGAGCAAATTCCCTTGTGCTGTTTTCTATGGCCTACCTGTACGAGTAGGTGCCACGTTTACTTCAACGGTGATCAGATACTAGCATCCATCACAAGCTCCTCTCGGGGCGTAGGTGATTCCCTACCTTTTGTATATGACCCACACAGACTACCAGGCTGCAGCTGTGCATGCATCTCAGTTTTCTTACATTGAAGTCGTATTGTCTGAAAGTATATGTGTCATCACTACGATGCAGTTACAATATAGTACACACTGCACACAGATTAGGTTCCTACCCTTGCATTATCCCCAGAATGTGTTTGGTGTCACTTACAGTCCAGTTCTTTTGGTCCTTTCTTCTTTTTCCACTTTTCTACCGCTGGTCATGGAAAGCCATGGACAGGCAACGGTAACTTTCATAATATTCCTCAAGACCTTCAAAGTTCAGACACATAGAGACTCTATTTTGATTAAAGTTTCTTACAACAGACCTGGTATTATTCATTATCTCATGTGCTGTTTTTTTCTTGTTGACAATCAGATTCCCCATTTTATCACAACGCACAGGCACTATTATAGTAATAGTATCCAAAAGCAATCAAGGATAAAAATGCCCTGCTCTATTTTTACTTGTGCTGTACTTTCGTGCTGTCATTGTCCTCATCGCTAATGCTTAGTAACAACTTGCAAGCCCACTGCAGTAATGCTGAAGCAGCATTCTGTCACCTGCTTCTATTCTTCTTCTGTTCTTTTCGTTTACATGTACATGGACCGGAACTAGAAATCCAGCTGTAGCCTACTGTTGCAATGTCCTGCGTGTAAGTGTTGTCATTATAGTACAGCGCTGAATCAGTAAAATCACCATCAAGGACTGCAAAGTGCCCATGTCCAGCACAGTTAGCGAGGTTCATGTCTATATGTCATGGCTTGTTTTAGCAAAACAAAGAGTACCCGTGCATACATCCCGCATCAGGCCATCAAGTTATTGGTATGATTCGGAGTTACGGACATTGCCCGGTCCCAGTCTGCCATGACAAACGAGGTATAATTATGTATGCACTGTAGCTGGATGCCGTAATCCAGGCTGATCATGCATAGTTATGAACTACTCCCGTAAAAGTCCGTAAATAAGTACGTATTTACTTTCGAATTTAGTGACCACACCCGTACTGACTTTCGAGCACGAACTAACTTTCAGACCTGACTTGTGTGTAGTGGAGAAGTCATTTTCATGTTGATGTGCATGCTACGTGCTGCATGTGTGCATCGCACCGGTACTCAGTGTCTGCTCCAGCGCCGGGTGAGCCGGGTAATCCACCCGGTTGGGCGGCGCTTGGACCTGGTTGAAAATATAGTACCGGGTCACCTGTGACCCGGTTGGTACTTTACACTTTCGAACTTTGAAAGGACTGACTACATGGCTTGTACATGTATGTGTCAGATACTTCTTCTTCTTTCGTAATTTTCTAATTCCTGTCCTCTCTTTTCTAAATGCGGCTTATCCATTAGCCTTTATATCATTGGGCGTACATGTGTACCCGGCTCCGACCCGGTTGAAATGGTTGCGCCAGGTACACGTGTACCCGGCTGTCCTACAATCCTGGAGCAGACACTGGTACTTATTTCGGGCAGTATGTTTATCGGGCTTGACTTGACTTCAACAGACAGAGCCAAAAGAATGAAGGGGTATTTCTTTCGGGCAGGTACTTATTAAATTTTACGGACTTTTACGGTACAGTCAGACCTCGCTTATCCCGTTCTCTTTTATCCGGATCCCTCACCATCCGGAAGAGAATCGTTGGTTACCGATTTACAGCATATGGCATGAATACATACAGTGTGTGTGTTCAATTTTCCGGTTCCCTCGCCTGTCCGGATATTTTGTGGAAAACGGATGTGCGCGGTTAACGCTTTCGTGATAAGGATGTCAGATTGGCAGAGATTGCTGCCGGGGAAGGCCAGTGATCCGGCATACGTCACCGGTTCGACAAACGAAACTGTTCTCCCCTCCCTGTAGACTCTGTTGTAAGTGGTGTGGCCGTGGTAGGTGTTGGTGACAGTGGTTATGCAGCCATCACGCTGTAGACAACAAGAATAAGGATGAAAAAGTGTTTTTATACAGTCCGAATTTCATGCACTTATCCTAAGCGCGACCATGATCACTGCGTAAAACACGTGCTTCATCCTCTTGTTCTGTTGGAACTAGCCCCGCCCTTCGGCATTGAGTACAGCAGATCGAGTTTGTTGAACAGACCCACACCTGCGCAAACCATGCCCGCCACCAGTCCAGGTGCATGCCTGTAGACGTGTGTGTAGGAGTAGTGCATGTGCATGTATGGTGTAAGCCTTGCTTGATAGTTTATACCAGGTAGATCTACCGTGATAATTCCAGACTGCCAATTTTTTTTACTTGGCCTAACCAGGGAGTAGTACATTGTACTACACCCTGGTCCTAACCAGGAGTCGTAAAATACGACTCCCTGGTCCTAACTGTCAACCATGGTCAACAAACCGGGCCTTCCTTCTAGCCAGTGCCGGTACAACATACCGTGGAGCTGCGCTGGTGGAAGTCGGATTGCCACTCCGGATTCGAAGTAGATTTGCTTCCAGCCTCTCCGAATAGACCGGATAAGCCTCTACCTCAGTATCCAGTATCTAAAAATAATAATGGTCAAGCAGCCCAGCTAGCTCGGCCAGTAGCCTCAACTGGATCCTGAAATGGCTGGCTGATCCTGCTACAAGACGCAGGCATGATGCAGTAACCACTTGCGCTGGCAATACAACTGAACGTCAGCTACTACATGTGCTGGATACCGGATCCGGAACCTGGACCAGAAGAGACAAATGTACCATGCCCATGCGCATATGCCATGGCACACGTGGATCTTTGTACCATGCCCATGCCATGGCACACGTGGATCTTTTTTGGTCACGTGGACAGTTAATCAGCCAATCACAGCTCGCCAACTTAGCTGACACGTCGTGCTAGCCCAAAAGTGAAAGTACAAGTGTGCCAACCACATTGCTCCGGCTTTGTACTCTAGGAAAAATTCAATAGGCTTGGTTTGGGAGTGTGTGTGCGAGACAAGAGAGTTCTCCTCGCCTTCCTGTAGGATGTGCCGCCTTTCTTTTCTTTTGGCTATCTGCCTTTTGGCAGGCGTAGGTGAGTGTTGGAAAGCTGAAGGTGGTTTCTCCCACTGATGGACTGGAACAAGTAAGCTTAGTTCCTGGATTCCAAAACTTTGCATGTCTATCCTTTGTGATGACGTGTTTTTTACCGCAGGCCTTTGCCGGGCTGCTGCCGAGGACACTCCAGCACCTACTGCTGAGCAGAACTTGGGAAAGAGCCACCAGGGCTCGGCCACCGATGATGAAGTTGTTGCCAGGTATGCCGCTCGTGCAAAACCGCATGTTGGAGATTGTACGAGAGAACGCGACGAATGACTATGTGTGACGTGTGGTTCACATGTTCACAAAGCATTGCAATCACTAAGTTTATCCTTTGTTTCCATGTGTTTCCCATCGCTGCTATTGCTGCTGCCACTGCTGCTGCCTCATCCTTCGTCGTTCTGTTTCATCGTACCCAACAGAGATGAAGAGCGCATCAAGGTAGGCATTGAGCTCCATCCAGGAAGACGTCTTGATTCTTATGACCTTTTATCAGGCTTTCATCCATAGCTGTATTGGGTGTATGGACGTTGACATTATGTAATAATTACTAATAAATATGCCTGGTAATAATTATCATAATAACTATGTGAGAACTACATGACTTGGGGCCGGGATTCACTATCTCACTCCACTTTGTAAGCATCTGATTTGTACAATGGGTTCAAAGTACCAATGCAAAACACACGATACTCTACATTGTGACAGGACCTTTTTCAGGAGTGATCCTCTTTTGAAAGTAACCAAATCATGCAGTTGAAAATTGTGTTTAAAAAGAATCAGCAGACCTCTCACAAGGACCTTCAGAGGTATCCCAACCTCAAACTGTGGGGTGTAGGCATACTTTCACCTTTGTATTGTTTTCTCGTTTTTTGGTGCTGTGTAGCTCGATGGCCTCAACGTTTCCCAGATCAAGGAACTCCGTGATCAGTCCGAGAAGCATGCTTTTGAGGCTGAAGTGAGCCGCATGATGAAGCTCATTATCAACTCACTTTACCGCAACAAGGAGGTAGGTATTTGGAGTTGAAATAAGATCCTCTGGGCATCATAATCAATGCGTAGATGAATTATGTAGTGGGTGCGTAATCCAGCAGAGATCACTGACATGCTCTTCAGCACATTCAAACTAGGCCCCTATGCATTGATAATTTGACTGGCTTCGTCATGACAAGATGAAGCCAGTCTGTGTCTGGAATTAAGTTTCGAGAATTTCTTCATTTTGGTGATCTCTACAGTGTAGAGATTCATCAGAAGTCATGTGTAATGGCTGCAATGGAGTTTGCCAATCCCTGGGGGGAAAGAGTGAAGAAACTTCCAGGAATACACTTATCGCTAAGGGCAGCTAGCTTGGCAACTATATCTAGCACAAGGGGAGTTCAACACTGGGCCAAATGAGGTATGGACAAGGGGTGCCGCATTAGTTTGTATTTCAAGAGTGCTGATGCAGCCAGAATGTTTCATGCAACGCGATTGCAGAGATGATAATCTTGTATTTCACACAAGATTTGGCAATACACGCTGGTCATTCCTTGCTGCGTGAACAAGAATGTTTGGATGTTTACTTTATCGTCTCAGTATGGGGCTACTTGCAGAAGGGAATGATGTGAGCATGTGCTATATGTGTGTGTGTGTGTGTGTGTGTGTTTGTGCGTGTGTTTGTATTGTGTAGATCTTCTTGAGAGAGTTGATTTCTAACTCTTCCGATGCTCTGGACAAGATCCGCTTCCTGTCCCTGACCGACAAGAACCAGATGGACTCGCAGCCCGAGACCACTATCCGCATCAAGGCCGACAAGGAGAACCACATCTTGCACATCACCGACACTGGTATCGGTATGACCAAGAAGGACCTTGTCAACAACCTGGGAACAATTGCCAAGTCTGGCACCAGCGAGTTTGTCGCTAAGATGGGCGAGAACCAAAACGAGGGCTCGCAGAGCGACCTCATTGGACAGTTCGGAGTTGGTTTCTACTCTGCTTTCCTCGTCGCCGACACCGTTATCGTCACCAGCAAGAACAACGATGATGACCAATACATCTGGGAATCGAATGCCGGTGAGTTCACCGTGAGCCGCGACCCCCGTGGCAACACCCTTGGCCGTGGCACCTGTGTCAGTCTGTACCTGAAGGAGGAGGCATATGACTTCGTCGAGCAGGATACCCTGAAGAACTTGATTGGCAAGTACAGCCAGTTCATCAACTTCCCCATTTTCTTGTGGACTAGCAAAACCATTGAAGTCGAGGAGCCTATCATTGAGGATGAAGACGAGACCCCAGCCACTGCGGACTCTGACGAGGAGGGCAGTGTTGAGGAGGCCAAGAAGGAGGACTCTCCCAAGACTGAGAAGGTTGAGAAGACTGTCTGGGACTGGGAGAAGATGAATGCCAGCAAGCCACTGTGGACTCGCAAGTAAGTGAGCATGTTGGCTATGCCTGTGATCTGTTTTAATGCTGCATTTTTTTCTGAAGCACCACCCGCTCATTATTTCCATTGGATATGTTTTCCATGTTTGCCACCTTGCTAACACGGTTTCCTAGGATTGTGTCTCAGATTTTATTTTACAACATTGCTCTGGTTACGGACCTTTCATCTTGGCTCACTGCTCATTTGTTTCGACTTCGTTCTTCTTCCCTTTTGCACAGCCCCCGAGATGTCTCCGACGAGGAGTACACCAACTTCTACAAGTCCTTCACCAAGGTAAATTACACTAGAGTATCACATGAAACTCTCAATTTACCGTATATTTCACTCCAGTTCCATCTTGCTCTTCTGTGTTGCAGTAAATGTACCTGGGGTTTTTTCACACAGTATTGCTTATATGCCAAAAGAGTGACTGATAGCAATCCGGCATGACCGGCTCATCTTTACTTTACTGTGCTGCACATGATGCACGTTTTTTGCAGGATTTTTTCCAACCGTGCTGCGACCCACAGTTAATTGGGAACTCGTGGCCTGGCATGAGTAATACATGGATGTGGCAAATGGGATCGAGGCCTTTGCCCTCTGGTTGGTGGATCTGATCTATCCTCCCCCACCGTTTAGGAGCCGCATCTGACGCCTGATCATGGGGTGGTGGCGTCCCACGGAAGCGGAAAGGTGGTTATTGACCAGGGAGTTGTACGACTCCTTGTTCTTGACCTGCCCGGTACGCGAACCCCGTCGAATTTATTTTATTTTTTACATGATGCACGTTCATTGCCTGTTCTTATACTAGTAGTAGATGTACACATGTTTGCTTTGTGCATGTTCTGCTCCTATAATAGGACAAGGAAGAGCAGGGCGCACACATGCACTTTGTTGCTGAGGGTGAGGTCTCTTTCCGCAGCGTGCTCTTCATCCCCAAGGATGCCCCCAGGGACTACGACTCTCACTCCCGTGACCCTATCTCACGCAACATCAAGGTAATTGCCTTTGTGTTCTTTCTATTTCATTTGCAGAAGACATTTTTATTTTCTGTTAATAGCACTTGGCATTGGATAAAGATGAACAGTGTTTGAATATTTATGGGTGCTTTCTATTTTTCTCTGGCCTAGGAGAAGTTCCTCCTGGAATAATTTAGGAACGGGTCTCTAAGAATTCGGAGATCCTTTGCACATGCAAAGCACCAACGGGTCTCGAGTGACATGAATGTACAGTGCTGGCAACTGAAATGTGACCCCCTTGGCGGCGCGGCGCGCCGCCAAGGGGGTCACATTTCAGTTGCCAGCACTGTAGTATGCCCTGTGCATATAAACCCGTAGCAAAAAAGCGCTCAAGATCCACACGTGACTTTAGCAGTAGTTCGTATGCACGGGTGCAGGAATCTCCAAGTTTCAACCACCTTCAGCGTGGAGAGCTTGAAGAATCTCCTAAAATTTCAGAGACGATATAATACCAGTTCTCCGACTTTTCTGAGATTTGCTGTTCATTTGGACTGGATAATTTGATTGACGTTGGGTAGACCGTGTCTAAGAAACGCTTATTCTCCATCTTCTACTTCCTACCTTGCAGCTTTATGTGCGTCGCGTCTTCATCACTGACGAGCTCACCGACCTGATGCCCAAGTACCTGGAGTTCATCCGTGGTGTTGTCGACTCTGATGATCTGCCCCTGAACGTTTCCCGTGAGAACTTGCAACAGCACAAGCTGCTCAAGGTCATCCGCAAGAAGCTGGTCCGCAAGGCCCTGGACATGATCAAGAAGATCCCCGCTGACAAGTACATGCACTTCTTCCAGCAGTTCGGCCAGAGCCTCAAGATGGGCATCATCGACGATCACAGCAACCGCTCTCGCCTTGCCAAGCTTCTCCGCTTCCACTCCTCCAACGGTACTGAGATGACATCCCTGACCGAATACCAGGAGCGTATGCAGGAGAAACAGGAGTACATCTACTTCATGGCTGCTGCCAATGTTGAGGAGGCCAAGAGTTCCCCATTCGTTGAACAGCTCTTGAAGAAGGGATACGAAGTCCTATATCTGATTGACCCCATTGACGAGTACACTCTCCAGCAAGTTGCAGAGTTTGACGGCAAGAAGTTCCAGAATGCTGCCAAGGACGGTCTCGTCATTGGTGACAACAACGACAAGAAGAAGCAGCGTGTCGAGGCACTCACAACCAAGTTCAAGCCTCTTGTCACTTTCCTCGAGAAGAATGCTCTCAAGGACAAGATCGAGAAGGTTGTTGTCAGCCAGCGTCTCCATGAGTCTCCTTGTGCCCTTGTTGCCAACCAGTGGGGATGGTAAGTACTTTTCTCAACTCAGCCATGGCCATGACCCTGCCATATAAACAGGTGCTCATGCCATAATGTGCATTTGTTATTGTAGCAGAGGTTACTCCTGTAGGATCAGATATGAGGGCTAGTAACGGCCAGCCATATGCACTGCAACTCCACCTTGCAAAATCAGGCCTATGTTTGAAACGGCCTTCTATAATTATGAGGCAATGCAGTATCATATTTTATTGAATGCCAGCGAGATAGGTTTGTAGTTTCTTGTGGTTGTATTTTTTGTCTGTGATATAGCACACAAGTTCACAAGTTATGTTCCAAAAGGAGAACTGCTGTTCTAATGTACCTGTTTCGCTTTTGCTGTTTTCTCGCTCCTCCTGTATTCAGGTCAGGAAACATGGACCGTATCATGCGTGCCCAGGGTGTGCACCGCCAGAACCGTGACTCGTAAGAATCATCCAGTTGTCTCCTTTGCTATTGTGTGTTACTCCTTCTAGAAGAAAAGGTTCACTTTATTCCTGTATGATTTAGTTCAGAATTATGGTGATCGTACGTAGTGTTGCGTGTGGTCTGAAATTGCTTTATGTTTGACAAAATCAGCCGCAACTGAATTGTTGCTGTTATTGTTGTTTTTGCTCCACAGGCATATGTTCGAGCAGAAGAAGATCTTCGAGATCAACCCATACCATCCTCTTGTCAAGACTCTCCTGACCAGCGTTGAGGTACGGCTGTGCGCTATGTCTGTTTGCTGTACATGTATTGTCTGCACTCACCAAAGGGCTCATGTACCAACACGGGGCGTGTGGATGTCTGAAGCCTTCATTTACTGGTCTGTTGATGCGATGTGTTTAATGAATGTTTTCTTCTTTTCCAACATTTCCAACCTGTGTCTTTCTTAGGAGGATCCAGAGTCTGAGCGCACCAGCGACCTTGCCATTGTCTTGTACGAGACTTCCATCCTTCGCTCTGGCTTCACTGTCCCTGTAAGTGACCAATATACATTATGGATATCGAGTGCAGTTTCTCCGAGAGTTGATCTGTAACATGAACGGTGATGATCGTGGCGTGTTGCTTTTCATATCCTGATTCTTGTTTTGACGACTTCTCCTTCCTTCATAGGACACCGTCTCCTTTGCTTCTCGTATCGAGCGCATGCTCCGTGTGAGCGCTGGTGTTGCCGAGGATGCTCAGGTATGTTCATTTATGCTGTTGGCCTGTGGTCCCAAGTCAGTACCATTCCCCATTGCATTACAGTCAGACCTCGCTTAACCGCACACATCCGTTTTCGACAAAAAAATATCCGGATAGGCGAGTGACCCGGATAATTGAACACACATACTGTATGTATGCATGACATATGCTGTAAAGCGGTAACCAACGATTTTCTTCCGGATGGTGAGGGATCCAGATAAGCGAGGTTTGACTGTATTTTCACTATGAGTGATAGCCATGTTTCCCTGGCCAGCAAGCAATGCGCATGGAGGCACATATATATGTACTGCCCAATAAATGTGCTTTGGGACACTCTAGCTAGTATGGAGAGTCATGCCCCCTAGAGTTCGTGAGTGTTTCCGTATGTAGAGTGAGCTGCCAACCAACTAAGGACTCGGCTGGGCTGTTACTCCGTTACTGTATTGGATTTGCTATAACTATTTCCCAACAGCCCAAATACGTTTTCTAACGTCGCGTACAGGCACTGCCTTCGCATCTGCCATGTCGTACACATACAGACCGGAGATCAGAGTTGCATACTTTTGGTGTTGTGCGTTCTTGCTATTGATTTCCTATGGTACCAGTTGTGAAATGTACACTCTGCAAGGCGCTGATAGGGTAAATCATTGCACACATGACGTGCAGAACTCGTTGCAGTACAGTGCGGATCTTTTCTATTGCCCCTGTTTTGCTTTTTCATTCCTCCGTCATTTGTATGAGTACATTTCATATTGTGGGGTTTGTATGCATCTTGATTTCAGATCGAGGAGGTTGCAGATGAGGATGAGGAAGAAGTAATTGAAGAAGAGGAGGTTGCTGAGGAGGAGGAGGTTGCTGCTGAGGAGGAGGAGGAGACAACCACCACCGAGGTTAGTTTACAAGCGTTTCAGTATTCAATCCGTTCCGGCTTGGCACTGGGCACAGCATTGATGGGGGCTTTTCCGGTTTCTATTACATGGGTTCCGTTAGGGATCTCAGCGTGTGAACTGCGCAGGTGAGATTTTCGATCACAAACACGTCCAGTGCAGAAGCCATGAAAAAGAACATTTTTTCGAAATAAATCAAGTTGACGAAGACGGTAGAAATGGCTGAATGTTGCGTCCAGGAAAGCACGTTCTACAGCCATCTCCAAGCTACCTATCTCTCAGAGGAACTATGGAGTGTCAAAGAGCACAATTTTTCACTCTTGGATGTAGCGTGAACACCTCTTCTTCTGAGCGCAATGTCTTCTCTCTGAGTGATAATGGTGGCAATGCTCACGATGGCTGATGCACTGAAAAAGTTAGGACAATCTAACCCGGGAAAACATCTATTTTTCTCTGAAGTGGGCTCTTGCCGCATGGCAAATTATAGGATAATTGACCGAGGCGATATCGCCTTGGCCACGCTGTCCTTTGCCGGGAATCACCATGTGTTCGAACGATGATGAAGATTATTACGCTAGTGTCTATCGTAACCATCTTTTTTTCCTAAAATCAACCATCGCCATTTTGTAGCTGTGTCCGCGAGCTGCACTCGAAACTCGATGACCCAATGTATGCGCAAACACCCTGCGCATTGCACACGCTGAGATCCCTAGTTCAGTTAGTTGTGAAGGAAAAATGAACCAGATGACCTCAGTGTATTTCCCTATAGCCCGCGTTGTTTGGTGAGTTCATGAACTTTCTTGGCGTTAACCCGTTCAAACCCCTTTTGGCAGTGGGTCCACGCATGAAATTCATTGTCGTGTTTACGTGTCTCGGGGTTTCACTATTCCAATGATGTTCTGTGGTGTTCTGACCTCTTTTCTTCTTTCAGGCTGATGCTGCTCCCGAGGAGGAGACCGCTGCCAAGGAGGAGTTGTAAGCGCTTTCCCCACTCACTTTTTTTTTTTACATAATTATCTCAAAGGCCCATTTTTGACAGTAGCAGACCGGCATCAATTTACGATTACATTGGAAACATTAATCATGCATCCGCTTTAGTTTCTGTCCCAGCATGTTTGGTACATGCTGCAGGTAGCGCAAGAGAGCAGCTAGCTATCTCTCAGTCTCTCGTAGTCACAAGCACACGCAATTGCCTATCTGGACAGAGTCCCAAAATGCAATAATAGAGTTGTGTACCATTGCTGTCATACTGCTGCTATTGCTACTGCTACTGCTGTACATGTCCTGCTGCTCTGCTTGGCCTGTGACCCCCTGCTGGTTTTCTCTATACTTGTGAGGTGTTGATCTCGTCTTATGAATTTGGTGGGCTGTTGGTGCGTGCTGAATAATGGGTGTCTCTCTGTGGGCCACTCAGCTGGTAAGCTACCAAAAGTACTCCAAATACAGAACCCCTAAACAGTGCAACTCCGGTACCGATACCGTTGATCTGCTCCTGTCAAATAGGGCTTGAAAGTGCTACGTCACAGCATAGCAACAATTTCAAAAATTCAAAAACTGGATCCACTTGGATCCAGTTTTTGTATGGATCCAAGCACATGTAACTACTCCCGCTGTAACTGTATGCACGGGCTTCTTGCCTTGTAATCTTGGGCCTGGCTCCACGTTCTCCGCGGCGGCACGACCCGATCTACTGTGCTGTCAGACTCCGGCTGAAAAATGGGGAGGATTTGAAATGCTTTTTCATACACATACTTCAGTAGTTGTTGATTGATTGATTGATTTTATTTGGATTCGCGAGACCAAACGAGCAGGATCAATAAGAATAGGAGTGCTCAATACAGTGTAACAGGGTAGCGAATGGTTGAGTTGTGCTATGTGACAATGTAGTGTGTGCGTGGGGTGGGGGAGCTGGAACTTATCTTGAAATTTCTTGCATTCAGTGAAGCATTTCGCACACAAAGCATCCTGGGTTTTGCCTTCACTGTTGTGTATGGTGGATTTGGTGTACATGTAGTTTCCTTTCAGTAATAATACCTGAGTGATCTTGGCGTTGAGTCAATTTTTTATGTTTCCACGGAAGTACGGTACATGTAAGTGGCATCAAGAGTACATAACCCCCAGACCTAGCTGGAGTTGCACACTCTTGGGGCGGGGTGTATATACTCTTGCCCAGTCTTGGTGGCACCAAGAGTACATTTTGGGTTATCTACTCTTGGTGGCACCAAGAGTAGATAAACTGGGTTATGTACTCTTGGTGGCACCCATATCCCCGAATCTCTCCCTCCTTCAGTTCACCATGGACATGGTTCACCAGGGAGTTGTCTAGACAACTCCCTGGTGAACCAAGACTCAAGATCTGGAGAATGAGAGTAGTAGTACTAATACTACTACTACTACTACTACTACTACTACTACTACTACTACTACTACTACTACTACTACTACTACTACTACTACTACTACCCCCCACAAAAGGGCACAAGGCCTCAGGGACCACCTAGGGGGGGGGGGGGGGTTACGTGTGACCAGGGAGTAGTAAAATACCGGTATTTTACTACTCCCTGGTTTGTCTATGGAGCATGGGCCTGCTATGGCACTTGTATTACTATTAGTATTAGTTGTAACAAGAGTACATAAACCAAAAGGTTTATGTACTCTTGGTTGTAATTATTATTTAACAAGAGTACATAAACCTTTATGTACTCTTGGTTGTAACAGTTGTAGTTTGGGCTGTGTGGTGCGGCGGCATGCATGGATGGTTGAGTTAGCTAGCGAGGATGTAGTCAAGTGCGTGGTAGTTTACCCGGTACTGCGGTAGCATTTTTACGACTCCCTGCTGAACTGCACATCACTCATCAGCTGATCAAGCTTGATCCTCAGGTTGCAAGGCCAAGGGGTCACAAAATGCAGTATACAGTCAACTAACTTCGCTTAGTATTAATCATGGTAATAACGACTGCGGATATAACGACAATTCGCGAATAACGACAGAATGTCCATTCCCAGAGCAAAGTACTTACCGGTAAATACATAATGAGACTTCGGGTATAACGACACTTCGCGAATAAGGACACTTTTTTGATGCCCCGCCGAATGTCGTTATAAGCGAAGTTGATTGTACTACTCCCTGGTAGACCCAGGTGCTCGAAGTCCGTACATGGTATCCTAAGTTCGTACGCCCATAATTTCATGTTCTGTTATTGTATTCGACTCAAATATTTTATGGAGGGGACAGTGTGGTATGTTCTCCTCGCGTACCAATTTTCAGGGATCTACGATAAGCAGAAGTCCCATACCACGGGAGTGGGTTTTCGAGTGTCCATACGAAATACAAATTGGGTTAGATTTCATGCAAAAATCAACTTTGCCAAGACCGATTTCGAACGGACACAGCGTCAAACAGACCTTCACTCAATCATCAAGAGCCAGCTTAGAGCTGACAATGGCCAGAGGAGAAGAATTTACAGAGAACCACCAATCCTTGCAGAAAGGTTGACACTCCTGGCATCTCCACCACTGTTTCCCGCGGTTTTCACAGCGCAGCTGCTTCTTCTCTGAGCCGACTAAAAACAGCTTGCATTTCGGCAACAAACTACGCTTTTGCAAGAAATACTGGTGGAGGCACATGCCACACATATCCCTTCGGTGCTTTCGTCGTAACCGAGGGATTGCAAGTTAGCAATTAGCAGAAATATGTGTGTATTTCGAGTCACCTCTGATCAGTACGGACTTAGAGTACCCTCTGCGACACCAAAATTTGATTAGAAAAATGAGCGAACTCCAGAGAAACAGATCGGATCGAAAGATGGCCTGGTTCAATCGAGCCTGGCCTCAGAACAAACTTGGACAAGATACCTTCCATCCACGAGCAGGATTCTGGCAAGTGATCATTGCTAGTGTGAGTTTCAGCTCGGCAAACACACACTGTAAAATTGTACGGACTTCGAGCACCTGGGTCTACGCATGGTAGATCTACAAATCAGACATACGCCTCGATTCCGCGTCGTTCCCGGTACGGTGGCAGCTACTCTACTCGATCGCTGTAACTGTACTGGAAGTGGAACACCCGCTAATGACCACCAGTACATGTATGTGCATAATGATGTGTTGCTGCACTGATCGCTGCGAAAGGTCATGTTTGCTAGAAAGTGGTTTGATTTTTATGGTTTCCTGCCCCTTGGCATTCTTCTGTTGAGTGAGGGTGCAGTTTGCAAGCACCATCTGAAGCAAAATTACCAACTTGGTTTTTGTCTTGCATGCTGCCCCTGGCCTGTGGTACAGTTGTGGGGTCACAGACCGTACACCTCTGATCTTGAAGAGGAGCGTAGTGATATTTTTAGTTTCGGACTTGACGTTAGACCATCCTCCGGTGCTTTGATGTATGGAAATGGGCTGAGCTGTTTTGTCTGCTTGGATTCGTGATCCTACCCTTCCCTGCTGCGCCTTCTCGTCAGAACAAGTTGCAGCCATGGGAGACGGTGAGGCAGAACTTTTGTCTTTAGAACTTTGGGTAGTGAATTGTTTTTGAAGTTGTGTCAGTTGTCCGAGGGCCCGTGCAAGCTTTGGCTCTACACGTGTCTGTTCTCAGTTACCTATGCTGATCCTGGTCTGAAATTGGTTCGCAGTGGATATGATTAGTGTAGCATTGGTTCGGGAGGTACCTTCGGTCAGTTATTATTCACTTGTGTTCATTGCTCAGTACACGATCTGGTTCAAATGTGTATCAGCCCCTCGTGGAGTAATCAGGTCAGCAACTGCTCTCGGCTGCGTACAGGTTGTATTCGATATGTTGGGCCGAAGAACAGTTGTTCTACATCCGCTGCTGGTCGAACGTTTCGGAATGGGCCAGGATTGGAGACCAGGGTGGCTGAGCAAAATATTGTTGAGAATTACCGTACTTACCGGTTGATGATAGGGACCAGGGAGAGGTCACTCAATTTTGGATTTCCGAATGTTGTACAAGTACTCAAATGCAATGTGTACTATGACATGCTGTCGGTGGGTGTGGTACTGAATAGGAAGCAGAACATCAGCACTTGCATTAGTGGGGACTGTGCAGTGAGGACATTGCAACCTTTGTTGCTTTATTGTGTAGTTCAGTGAAAAGTTATGATGCGTCCAACTGTAGAATACCAGCCAAACACGTGCATGTGGCTGTCACGAACTTTTTACCAAGAGTGCATACCCCCCTGCGTGTGCGACTCCACTGTGGGTGCTATCCCGGCAGAATTCAAAGTTGACGTCATTGCGCATTGTACACGTGTTTTAGACGTATCGTGAACAAATCCCCATTTGATCCTGTGCAAACTAGTTCAAGGAAACACGTGTGATGCGTTAATACACTGTACAAACGTCACAAATTACGCGTGTGAGGAGCATTGCATCGTAAACATGATGTCAGCTTGAAATTCTGTCGCGACAGCAGGGCATGCGAGAGTTGCACACTCTTTCGGGGAATTATGTACCCGTGCTATTACATGTACCACGGCACAGGCGCTATGTTACGGTATAATGTATAGTATGCTGACGTCTGCAATCACTGCGAAGACGTATTGTCGCACTGCTAAACTAGTTGAAAAAAGAAAATTTAGCTCATAAACACACATACCGGTAGATACACAACTCAAACTCTAACTCCCAGTCACCCAGACAGGTACATTCTACCAATTAGGTATAACATCACGCTGTGGTGCTAGCTTATTTATTTTTCCTGTTTTCTATTTTGTCAACACATATCCTGGGATTCGAATCCGTACTTCGCCCTGCATGCATTCCCTCAATACTCTTCGCATGCATACCCATTCTACCAAATTGCTTAACGTTATGATCCTGCCGTTGAAGCCCTATTTGAATAGTGTTGCCTGCTGTCTTTGACGGTACAGTGGTTGCGCACCAGGCATGTCGCGTCACGTTATGACGGCCCTACGACACACAGATACGAAATAAAGCGGCGTGGACCCTGGCTAGCGCCAAGCGTTACTAAAGTAACGTCTTTTGCATGGCTTTGGGAAAAATCCGTCCTCATGCAAAAAGGGATGGGTGGCGAAGAGCGCTGGCGGAATTTTATTTTTTTATTTTCCGGACACTTGTGGCACTGTATCCATGTGAAGATTGTTGATAATAATAATAATAATATCTTTATTAGGATGACCCAGAGGCTTGTCGCCTATCAAGGGGTTCACCGCTTTGAAGGATGTACATGTACATGTACACGTATGAGCTAAAGTGAAAGTAGTGAAAAGTTGTGCAGCGTGAATGCGTTGGGGAGCACACGGGGGGGGGTTATGTACATGGCGTAGGCATACCGGAGAGCGAAGCACTATGTTTGCAAGTGAGTTTGCGAAGCTCATTCTTGAAAACAATAATGGATGGTTCTGCAGTTAGTCTTGGTGGGAGGCAGTTCCATATGATTGTTGGAAGCGCTGCGATACTTGCATTGTGGAAATGGATATGAGGTGCCTTTACCTCTTTTGGTCTTGATAGCAGTAATACTGCATGTATGTGTGTATGACGGGTCAGTCCTGTTCAGATTAACTCAGGAGCCACACTTGCTGCCAGTACCCACATAACACCATGTTGTGCTTTCCTTCTTTTTGTTCTGCCTCCTCTGTGTAAGCAACTAACACGCTTGTTCTTGCTCACCTTTTCCTGTTGCTGACCCTGTGCACAGGTGGTTTTGTGAAGAATTTCGTCGCTAGACTGTAAGCACAGGTTTGAGTTACAATGGCATGGGTATGTAAAGTGTAAAATCGCAGGCAAGTGCTCACCATGGTGTTCACGAAAGGACACTGAGCTATGTGTATACACTACTTGAGCTGCATCGCATCATTATGCGGTAAAACAGTGGTGTTCGCATAGAAGCTATGTGCCAAGTGTACAGGCATAGGAAATGCCGTGGTGGGTGAGTGCTTGCCTTCGATTTTACAGGATCGTAGGGGTGTATCGAGAACATGTCATGTAAGAGGTGCACCCAGTGTAGCCTCGTTCTTATGATTATGATCTTCTCTGTCAACTAAAACCTGACATGTTTCTTTACAATCATCATCCGCAATGCGTCACGTTTTATTTTACTTGGATCAGTGTCGGTGACCCCCCCCCCCCCCCTCCCATACTCCTATGACGTAATTAGATCAAAACATCACCTACATGTGCTTCCTCACTGGTCAAGTCACTGCTTGAGCCAGAGTCACATTGTACATTTATTATCAGAGAAAGCGCTGCATGAAACTTGCCTCCACGCTTCTCTGTCATAATTGTGCAAAGTGTTCTCACTTTGTATGCTGTGTGTGTGTGTGTGTGTGTGTGTGTGTGTGTGTGTGTGTGTGTGTGTGTGTGTGTGTGTGTGTGTGTGTGTGTGAAGTCCATCCAGAGTTTTGGGGATTTCAGGGGGTGTCGGCCATTGGGCGGTTCAATAGCCAATTGAGTCATCTTTCCAAGATTCCTTTTGAGTAGGGCTGAAACGATTATACCAATTACTCGGTAATTGATCGATAATTCCTTATCAATCAAGTAATCGTTACGTTATAGATTACTCGTTAGGGATTTTGAGTCCAAAAAGTACTGAAAACTAGTGCTGAAACGATTACGTTTTTTCCTTAGTGGCTTAGCTGATACCATAACGATCGGCTTATCGGCTAAACGATTATAGTAACTACATCAGTATAAACTTTTCTAAGCACTCGCAGACTCCATTGCAGCCACTCACACATTACAGGGTACCTCACTTCAAACTCTCCAACTACGGTCTCTTCGCTGCATAGGTTCACTTCACTTCCAAAAATAAAAAAATTAGATATAAATGGAATGCACCAAATTTTCGGGCATTGCCCATCTTCAGGATGAAAAACCATTCAACGGTTCCCTTTTGGAATGGTTTTTCACCCTGAAGATGGGCCATGCCCGAAAATTTGGTGCATTCCATTTACAGTCAAATCTGTCGTAAGCGACCGCCCCTTGGTGCAAGAAAAAGCGGTCGCTTACGGCAGATGTTCTTTTACGGCAGATGTATGGTAAATCCGGCATACCAGGTATATGCTTCCATGTACTCAAATCGACGAGAATAATGTAATTTTTAATATCATTTTATCGGATATTCAACGACGACCATACCCGTATACTATAGTACGCGTATGCGACAGTAGATCGACACTACTGCCTGGACTTGAGTCGAGAGCTACAGCACAGCCTCAGTACAGGCCAGGCGCCAGTCGATCGCACTTGCAAGACAGCGCATTTTCACACTTTGCAGTTGACAGCGCACTGGCAGGTACAGTTTCGCACCTTACTGAACCTGGGTCGCGGTCGCTTACAGCAGATTTGAATGCAGCCACCGTGCATGAAATCGCGGTCGCTGGTCGCGCACAGCAGATGGTCGCTCTGGACAGATCAGTTTGTATGTGAAACCGTCGGTGCACGGAAAATCGGTCGCTAACGGTAGATGGTCGCCTACAGCAGAGGTCGCTAACGGCAGATTTGACTGTATATCTAATTTTTTATTTTTGGAAGTGAAGTGAACCTATGCAGCGAAGAGACCGTAGTTGGAGAGTTTGAAGTGAGGTACCCTGTAACTACATCAGTAAAATGTACATTCTGTGAATTTCAAAAAAATAACGAGTCTAACATCGCCAACGACGGAAAGCGGGCGCACAGATCCGATGATCCCGCAACAAGTCCGTCAGCTGTTCGGACTGACCAGACGAATACAGACAAGACAGAGGCAACTCACTGGTTGCAACCCAAGAGCTGATGGTGCCTTTTGCCTGTGACTTCGCTGACTCCGACGATGAAGTCAGAGAAGCCGGCCAGGGGTGCAGATCGGCGGATTTTGACGGATGAGCTGACTTGAGGCGCACCAACAAGCAACTACAGTCAACTTTGCGAATAACGACATTCGGCGGGGCATCAGAAAAGTGTCCTTATTCGCGAAGTGTCGTTATATCCGAAGTCCCATTTGAATGTATGTGAACCCATATTTTGTATAGTATGACAAGCATATCGAAATGAAGCTCTTTTCATGCTCTACGTCAATTTGTACTTTATTTTCGTATTGCAATTGAAAGGAACAATAAAGTCAATATCCAAGGGAAATAAATCGAAAAATCAACCTTTTGGAGCCATCTGCAGGGACATGTTCATGTACATGTATGAAGATTAATGTGCAATCATGTACAACATAGGTGCGCTGATCATTCCAACTATTTTGAAGAAAAGAAAAAGAAAAAGACCCCCCCCCCCCCCCTGGCTGTATCTTCTTGTATGTGTGCCTTATCCATCGCCACGGGTTCTGGTACTTCTGCATAACACTTGACAGGTACTTGAAATAGCTGTCAAAAAGCCAGAAAGTCGTTATTCAAGCAGTGAATATGACCTCGGGGCACTAAAATCATGTCGCTATTCGCGAATTGTCGTTATTCAGATAGTCGTTATATCCGAAGTTAAATGTATACAGTCAGATGGGACTTTGCTCTGGGCATGGAAATGCTGTCGTTATTCGCGAATTGTCGTTATATCCGAAGTCGTTATTAGCGAAGTTGACTGTAGTTGGTTTTCCTGTCTATGCTCAAAATAGGCCCAGACGCCAGGCCTAGCTCGTCGTCGAGCAAACTGGTTCGGGAACCGTTGACAGAACGGAAAACATGAAACTGAAGACCACTTTACTGTCTTTAGCTCAAGACTACTCGCACGTGGAGGGAACTCCAGCCCCTGCAGCTAGTGTAGACACATACCGAGCCTGCCAGTCCTGCATGCTGTATGTAAGAAAAGTAGTCAGCTCAAAAGACGGCAACGGTGATCGCGTCGATGTTTCTCAGATCGCGCTTGTACTTTACACGTACATCGATGTTGCAAGTGTACAGTCATGTACATATTCGTGTCGGACTCGCAACACTTTCGATGCATGCACGCTTTGTGCGATCCCCAAAAGGGGGGGGGGGGGGGAATCCCGCACCGAGCGTAAGTACCATTCTACTCGTTTAGCCGATAAAATCGAAATAACCGTTCGATATATTTCTTATCGAGTAAGTAACGAGTAATCGATATAATCGTTTCAGCACTACTGAAAACCCTCGTTTTGTGAAGTTTGAATCAGTTCCCACTGTGAGTATGCAGTTGCCAGGGACATGGTGTATATTCTGAGGTTAACAAATTTGTGGTATTATGATGGCTTAGATTTCGGAAACAGAGCAATGTTTGCACAAAATTCTGACACTATCTGCTAACGATTATAATCGATAAATCGATCGTTAAGCTCAAGAGTAATCGATAGGTGAAAATCCACGATCGTTTCAGCCCTACTTTTGAGTCTCTCTCCCCTCTCCCGGGGAGACCCACGTGACCAGTTTTTGGCAGTGAGCAACAAGTACAAGTGTGTGTGTGTGTGTGTGTGTGTGTGTGTGTGAGAGAGTGTGTGCGTGTGTTTGTGCGTGCGTGTGTGTGTGTGTGTGTGTGTGTGTGTTGTGTCACTCTTGCACCCCACTACCATGGATGTGGCCATCTCCCCATGAGGTGTGTACGTATGATCAAGAGTACATAACTCCCAAAGAGTGTGCAACTGCCTGTACAACCTCTGTCCAGTGCTGCGACGGCAGAAGTTCACCTCACGTGATATGGTTCAATAGGTTACGCTGGCAAAAAGGGCAGAGTGACCAGCAGAAAGTTGAGAGTGTGCGGGTGTGTTATGTGATGTGAAGTTCTGCCACTGCAGACCCCATAGACTGGAGTTGCACACTCTTGGGGATTCTGTACTCTTGGTATGACAATCACAAGGATATACATTATTTATAAAAAGTAAAAAGGACCAAGGAACTACAAGTTACACTATAATCCTCCATCCGAGTTCATTAATATACATTATGTATATTCTTGCTACAATGCTATTGTGTAAGTTTCTGCGCTGACTCTAGTACTTCCGTGTACTCCACTGTTGTTCTGGTAGAACGTACTTCGAAGTATTACTGCTGAGCTAGCTTCATGTCATACTTCTAAATGTTCTGCCTGAAAAAGGCCCATGATCTGCACCAGCGGCAGCGTACAACTGCAACATGTATAAAATGAAGTGGTTCACGAATTATGCTTTTGTTGTTGATTTTACAGAAACAACAATTCCAGTGGCCCGCCAGCTAGTTCCGTACCGGCCAGGCCGAACAGCTCAGCAGCCGTGTTTCCACCATCGCAGTCAAAAACTGCTAGTCAGACAACTAGTGGCGTCTCCTCAGTACGCCGTGGCAGTAAGCCACAGCATAATTTCAGGTCGAAAGAAGACAGTAAGGAAGCATGGCTCAGCGGCCATGCGTGCGTGTGTGTGCGTGTGCGTGTGCGTTCACGCTTGTATATGTGTGTGTGTGTGTGTGTGTGTGTGTGTATTTGTGCATGTGTCTGTTACTTTACAGAAGTCTTTATTTGCTTTATGATTTGCGTGTTTCTTTCTCGATAAGCGTACATGGTGCAGTAGGATGTGGCATAAGCAGAACGCAGTTACCCGTGGCATTTCCAGGTGCCTTGTATTCATTCAACTTGGGTTCTGGGCATATATTCTGATTCTGAGTCCGGAGTACTTTATCCATCCGGCTGTCCAGATGAGTTGGGTGCAGTGGCGGCATTGGAGTGCCATTCACCACAGTGACGAGTGCCTCTGAATGGGCAGCACAACGTGCAGAGTGTTTGGAAGCGGCCAGGATCATCACTGATTAGACTGAGCATTTCATTGCGCACATCTGAACCAGATGTCGTGTGTATATGGTGGACCCAGTAGCTGAGCCTGTCTCTGAAGAGGACTTGTGCGAGTTGCAGGAACGGACTGATCAGAGTTCACCCTGTTCTTGGGATGCTCTGTGCTTCGAATCTAGGTGAATCAGGATCTGTGCCATCGATAACTACCCCGTCAACAGCTGTGTCAACAGCATCCACACCAACGGTGCCTGAGCCTACATCGTCTGCGCTGTCAACAGAAACACAGGAAGGGTAAGTCTGGGCAGTTTGGGTACAAGGGGTACCACAGTTGTATTCTACCTCTGGGATAATCAGACGCATTTTTGTAATGCCATGCACGATGCGATTGCGAAGTGCCATTCATGGAAGATGTCAGCGAAGCATTGTTGCTTTGCTTGCGTCAAAGCGCAATGCGGTGTGTGCGGCTCCTTGGCATTTGCGTAGCTGGGTACAACTTGTTGCACAGATCTACAAGCAATTCAAACTTAATGTACTACTTTTACTGCAAAGAAGGTCCGAATCGCACACCGCGTCACAAAAGTTGAGCTTGGGTCAACTTCTGTGTGAGATCAGCCACTTGCGGTGGTTGCGTATACTGCTTAGCGAGTGCGATTTGGGGTTTCTGGATTTCGCGTCCGTTGCATCGTGTATCACGTTGCAAAAATCCCTATGTGAAACCCACTTTATAGCGCAACTTCTGTCCGTCTGTCTTTCTTCTCAAATCGGTTGACCTTTATGCACAGTGTTCTCCAAACTTTGCCCACAGCTCTCTATCCTTTCTCCGCACTCAGCTCTCGAACCGTTGCACTCAGTTTTCAAGTATTTGTAAACACGTCACTCAGCTCTCGAACCGTTGCACTCAGTTTTCAAGTATTTGTAAACACGTCGCTCAACCTACCTGACAAACACATGGGGTAATATAATAGCCAAAACATGTACTAAAAGACGGCGACTGCTCTTTAAAAGCTGTCCTCTACGAAGGTCCTGCTATCACAGCCTACTGTCATGCAGCAGTTGTCACATGCTCACAGGCTTGGGGTCCATGTCAATGTGGGCAGACTTATGAGCCTAACATAGATTGGACTGTCACTGGCTGTAGGGGCACGTCTGGCAGACTTGGGGAAATCAATTGACTGAATTTGTATATTTGTCTTGCCTTTTGATACTCGTACTTCCGTAGGCCAACGCAGACGCCCAGCTGTGAACTTGCAGGTGAGGTTTTCTAAACGCCCAGCATTTTTGTCTCTAGCTCTTCACTGTGGAGTCTCCCAAAGGTTACACATGCTTCACATGTGCTCTAGACAGTAGTCGTGAGTTAGTCAGTGTCACGCGTCAGTTAGTTGATTGGAGGCACGGGCTCCATCGTTGGGAACGTTGTGCAGAAAATTCATACAATCTTTCAGAAAATGTGTCATTTCCATACAGGTGAAGGCCCATTTTCGTGCCAGTCATATTGTGAAGGGAAATGGTCTGCATGCTCATGTTTTCTTTGAACTTTACTGGAAATCAGGCATCGCGGCGGTTTTATTACTTGAAGTATGTAAAAGAACGTAGTCAATAGTGAATACACTGGCAATGCACCCGAATAAAACTATGTGACGAAGTGTGTATGGTGTGTGTGTGTGTGTGTGTGTGTGCGTGTGTGTGTGCGTGTGTGTGTGTGCGTGTGCGTGTGTGTGTGTGTGTGTGTGTGTGTTCTTTCCATCTTTTTGTTCTGCCTCCTCTCTGTAAGCAACTAACACACTTGTTCTTGTTCACTTTTTCTTGTTGCTGAGCACAGGTGGTTTTGTGAAGAATTTCGTCGCTAGGCTGTAAGTACGGGTTTGAGTTACAATGGCATCAACATGTTTTAGTATAATGTAACAAAGGTGGGCATAGGAATAGGTATGTTATAGTACTTTGTAGCGTAGAATCGTGAGCAAGCGTTCATCACGGTGTGCACAGAATTTCCCAATTTGAAAAGGACGCTACGCTATGTGTATTCACTACTACAGCTGCATCGCATCAGTAGACAGGAAAGCAGTGGTGTGTGCGTAGAAGCTATGTGCCAGGTGTGCAGACATAGGACATGTTGTGGTGGGTGGACCGATGCTTGCCCGCGGTTACAGTATGGTAGGAATGTACCGAGAAAATGTCATGCAAGAGTGTAGCCTCGTTTTCGTCTGTCCTCCGTAAACTAAAACCTGGCAAGTGACATGTTTTCTGTTCATCACCACTCGCAATGCGCCACATTTAACGGAGCAAGTACCGTACTCACTTGATTAGAAGCCCCTACAAGGACTGTTCGAAATAACACAAGCCCCTCTCGAATAGAAGCCCAGACTACCATTCGCAAAGCATGGATTGACCAGGTAGTGCCGTGTATGAAGATCAAGTGCGCAAAAAACATCTCGTACATTCATATTGGTACATGTCCTGGTTGACGTAGTGTGTGCAAACTAATTCGGAGCCGAGTTGCTGTGAATATGAAAGTTTTAGAGATTCGATTGGAATACTGGTACGGAATGAAACAATAAAAACCCCTCTGGAATAGAAGCCCCTCTTGAATAGAAGCCTCCTCAAAATTGGTATTGAAAAAATAGAAGCCCCTGGCTTCTAATCGAGTGAGTACGGTACTTGGACCAGTGTCGGCATATCTCCCATACTCCTCCCATGACGTACCGTGATTATGCCCATAACACCGCATATGCCTATATGCGGAGGGGTATAAGCACACCCTCACATAATCTAAGGTTGCATTTGTTCGGTCATTCCCGAATGGGCATGGAATGACGTCGGTACCCTTCGCGGAATCGGAATGAGCGTAGCAAACAAACGCGCTGGCATGGATTCGAGAATCTGGCAAAAGTGTTGCGCCACTTTGGAAACGTATTACCTGTTGTTTCAGCCTTGCGAAGACTACTACATGCAAGTCCTGGTAGTTGATATCATGCTTCCGTAAGTTTCTGCATGTCCCTACGACAGTCATGATGAAGGAGCGGCCAGACACGGCGTGGATCAACGAGCGATCGTAACTAGGGTGCCTGCAGGCGGTGTTTGGCCGCTACGTCATCATGCTATACAACCTCGTATCAGTCACAGAAACGTCTCTGGCTCTCGTGTGTTTATTTGACAGAGACGAGGCACTGTTGTAAGAAGAAGTGAAGTGGCAGGCTCGGTGCCTCTTTGGGTCACTTTGTTCTGGCTCGCCTCCCTGTGATTCTAGAGGCCCTGCTCGACGACGATGAAGAGCTGAGGTGCGAGGGCATATTTCCAGTTCATCAACGATCCCGGGCGAACACTTTCTCAGGCAGCGAAGGGTCAAAATACCACGAACAAGTAATAGTTACTATATGCCGTCCCCAAAGTTACGGTACCAACCTATATACCCTGGACGATGTCCGCCAACATTTCTGTATATCGATAATCGCATTTGAAGTTTTGTTGGTGAAGCCATAGTATGCAGCAACCACAAACTTCACGAAGCCCCTTCTGCCCTAGGCCCTCCGCACATTTTCATTCCGCTCGGAATGAGCCCTCATTCCACTTTTTCTTAGGAATCGCTAGAATCGATTCTGCCCCCTTCATTCCGCGACCGGAATCGGAATTGCACCGAACAAACGCTGTCCAGTGCATCAAACAAACGCTCCGGAATCAAAACACGGCGGAATGACTTTGGAATGGTGGCGGAATGGCACCGAACAAACACAACCTAAGTGAACCCAATCCCATGAGACCATGCCACACTGACTGACGCCATCGAAATGCCATGTTCACAACCTCTAATGTACAATCTCCATTTTCCACAATGGCAGCACAGTTACAAGCGCATGTGCTAATGTGTGGGAACAATCGATCTGCAAAATGGCAAAACTGGCGTATAAGGCTGTCCCTGCGGGAATTTGCGGAAAAAACTCTCGAAAACTTGCGCAATAAATTGCGGCAGAAAACAACAAAAAATGCGACGAAAAGTGCGGAATGATGCAGAACTTACCAGGAATTAGTGGAATTATTTACAGAAAATTGCGGATTTGGGCCAAATCACGAAATTTGTTGCATCGTATATCTACTCGGGAGTAGTACGAGTCGTACTGTGCAAATAACCTACAGGATCATGGAAAGCACTGCGTGAAAAGTGCATAAAAAAGTGAGATATAGTGCAGAAAACAACAAAACGCGGGAAATCGCGGATTTTCCTGAAAATCGCAGGGTTGGGCAAAAATCGCGAAATTTGTTGTATCCGTGGAATCGCGATTTCCTGGAGGGACAGATAAGGGGTCGTCACAAAAGTTTTTTTTGTTGTCCGTGAAACGACCATCATTCATTGGAGGGGGGGGGGGGGGCGCAAGCCAAAATCGCAAGTCGAACGACGTACCGTATTTTCCGGGGTACATGTATAAGCCGCACTTTTTTTCGCTAAAAATCGGACCAAAATCGCCCCTGCGGCTTATACACCGAATATGCTTGCGCGAATGAATGCTTAGCATACATCAGTATGCATGCTGACGTCATGTGACATGTCATTCGACTCAGCTTCGCGCCTGTGTTGCTATCCCGGCACTTTTACTAGTTTTAGTGCGCGGGCTCCACCATACGGTACGCGTATACGGGGACTCTATTTTGCGTACTGCAAGTGCCGGTTTCCACACATCCTAGTATACAGCGATACGATAATACTACTTTTTGTGTATAAATAGTGTCGGCTGGAATCTTTCCCTGTTGTGAACAGGGTACTCCCTGGCCTGGTACATAGCTGTAACGGAACGAATGTTTGTTCCGTTGCACTAACACTTCATAATCTGATCTAACATGGTATTTAGCTCCATAACCATAATAAATTTGTAGAAAGGCCATTTGTCAATGAGTGTGAAAAATCTTGGTTTGTGGGTGCGGCTTATACTCCGAATACCAACTTTTAGTCAATATTTTGCCTCAAAAAGGGGGGTGCGGCTTATACCCCGGTGCGGCTTATACCCCGGAAAATACGGTACATGTTCATGTACATGCATGTGATTTTTTTCGTCCAGCATAGCAAGTTGTGTTCATTTCAGAGGAAGGGGAGGGGGTCCCAGTACAAAATGAATGATGTTCGTTTCAGGGACGACAAAAAACCTTTGCGACGACCCCTAAGCGTATGGGCTTTTGTGTGCGTCATTACAGTAGCTAAGTCATCTACTTACTCACTGGTCAAGTCACTGTGACAGAGGAAGATCCACAGAAAGAAATCAGGCTTCGTGATGTGCCGTATGTCTCCAGTGCTCAGTTGGAGCTTATATTATGCAGCTCTGCGAGCTTTCTGGAATGCCCACTTTCGCGAAAGTCGTCTGATCAGAACTGAAGTTATGCCCGGATACACGAAAGTTGCATTTCCTGTATGTCAATTCAGGTGGACTCTCATATGAACTGGCCACTCTATCATCTGTACATATTATCAAGCCTTTTTGTTTACAATAAAAGGATATTTTTTGTTGATTTTACAGAAACAACAATACCAATGGCCCGCCAGCTAGCTCCGTACCAGTCAGGCCAGCCAGTTCAGCAGCAGCGTTACCACCATCGCAGTCGAGAACCGTTAATCGTACTGTTAGTGTCCCCGCCTCAACATGGCCTGGCAAAAAGTCACAGAACAGTTTCAGGTCAAGAGAAGTTGGAGACAGTAAGCAAACACTACTCAGCATGTGTGTGCATGCGTGTGTGCGGGAGCGTGCGTGCGTGTGTGTGCGCGTGTACGTGTGTGGAGGGGGGGGGGGGGGTGACTGCTGAGCCGCGAGTCTACAGGCTTTCAACATTAATTTTGCAGTTTGCAAGTGATTAAGGCAAGGGTTAGTCCGTGAAAGATTGAGATGCTTTTCTACTGGGGTACTTTACTAGTCCATGGAAGATTGAGATGCTTTTCTACCAATAATTTGGATGGTTCAAAAAGGCACATGCATGTGTGCTGTACTACATGTACACTGTACACTGTACTGTTGAACCTCTAATGCACGCGTAGAGACCGCAGAGATTTGCTACTTTATTCTCTTGTGGATGTGCAGGCATTTGGCCAGCTGAGTCACAGATATCAGCATTCTTCCAATGGTTTCAGTGCATGTGGTTGTAGTATAAACTTGAATCCCTATAAGAGGATTGATCCCTATAGCAAACCTGCTTCCTATAAATGGTATACCGTATTTTTTTAGTATTTAAGCCGCACTTTGAACACTCAAAATTCACCCCGCGGCTTGCACGGCTTACACTCCGGTGATGATAAATTGATAATGGTGTGTAAAGGAATGATCATTCTTATACAGCAGATACTGCGCGAGTGCACGCTTTCCACATAGAACATTGACAGATGCAAGCTGCTAAATGTGAGAATAGTGTGAAGAGCTATTGTACGCGCTCATTGATGGAGGAACACACCATACAGGCGATGTAAGCCTTACGCGGAAATAACACTACAACTGATTGCAATACAGCGAGAATATTGATGCCACTAGAAAGTATGTTGTGTGTAGTGAGATGATGGTGCATTGTCCCGTGTGTGCAGGCGAGGCGAGACTCACTGCCGGGATCTGCCAACGCGACAGGCTCGGTTGCCGTTCAGGATTCACACCGCCCTGTCCGCCCGTCGACGGGATCGACAGTGGGAGTCCTCACTGATGCCGATGTGCATCACGAAACTGGTAGTCGCGAGTGTGATACTAGCAGGTCTAGCAGCAACCGCTGACAAACGAGAGGCCAGCTGGGGCATTCACTCCTGTCAGAGCTGTCTATACGAAGAGTCGACCAAGCAGCCCTGACTGGAGTGAATGCCCCAGCTGGCCTCTCGTTTGTCAGCGGTTGCTACTAGACCTGCTAGTATTAAACTCGCGACTACCAGTTTCGTGGTGCACATCGGCATCAGTGAGGACTCCTGCTGTCGATCCCGTCGACAGGGCGGTGTGAATCCTGAACGGCAACCGAGCCTGTCGCGTTGGCAGATCCCGGCAGTGAGTCTCGCCTGCACACACGGGACAATGCACCATCATCTCACTACACACAACATACTTTCTAGTGGCATCAATATTCTCGCTGTATTGCAATCAGTTGTAGCGTTATTTCCGCGTAAGGTTTACGTCGCCTGTATGGTGTGTTCCTCCATCAATGAGCGCGTACAGTAGCTCTTCACACTATTCTCACATTTAGCAGCTTGCATCTGTCAATGTTCTATGTGGAAAGCGCGCACTCGCGCAGTATCTGTTGTATAAGAATGATCATTCCTTTACACTCCATTATCATCATTATCATTCTCTACTGACGAGCTCGAAGGAGCGAAACAGCTGTCTTGAGGCCTAATAAGTATCTGTCAACGGATGTGTCCTTGCTGTGATGGTGTTTATGCTTCGTGCATTTATTCGGCTGAGAGCGCGTGGTGGTGACGGGTTTTAGTAAATTGGAGTATGGCCGAAAGCTCTGTCGCAATATTTAATTGTAAATAGGATAGATTTCGTGTATTTTGTTGCAAAAAAATGGGGGATGCAGCTCAAACTCCAGTGCGGCTTGTACTGCGGAAAATACGATACTTACCGAAAATGGAGCGTATGGAAGTGCACCCCTGGCCTGGATGCACTGAGTCCTGTGTGTGCAGCCTAACACGCATGACCTACATGTATTCTCAGAAAAATGGACCCGTTGCTCGTTGTTGCAGTCAGTAGTGCCTCTGAATATGTAGCACAACACACACAGTTAGGATCATTACTGATTAGAACGGGCAATCCAGTCTGCACATTTTGGCACCATGCACCGTTTTTAAATTGTACTGGAACACTGGATCGGCCATCAAACTCGGTCTTGCTTTCTTCTTGAGGATGAGTTTCGTTTGCCTCCACCAAACCCTTTGCTGATTATGTGCAGCCCAGCAGCCCTGCCAGACCCTGTAGCGAGTCTTTCCAAGTGTTATTCTCCCTGAAGCGGGCTTGTTTGAGTCGCATATATGGTCGGGATCAGAATATGTACACCATTCCATTCCATGCATGCTCTGTGCTTCAGATTTAGATGAGCCGGGATATACTCTGTCAACAACGGCGCCGGCAGCAACTGTATCAAAGTCCACAGTGACAGCGTCATCATCCGCACCAACTAAATCTCCGCCAACAAAATCCACGACAACAGCACCTGAGAGTAAAACTTCTGTGTCGTCAACAGCCGTAAAGGAACAGTAAGTTTGTTCAGTTTGAATACATGAAGGGCCATAGTTGTATTCTGTCTCAAAGGTCGTCCAATGTTACCAATTGTTTTCTGAAACGAAACGTTTCATTTTGAAAATAAGCATTGAATGCACAAAACCCCCACTCAGACTGATGAAATCAGTATGTTCCTGATTTTCGTTTTACATGCAAACGATTTGGGTGGTCTGGGCTTGGAAATACTAGCATGTTCTGTTTTGAAACTAATCAGTAAGCCTGGACAGTTGCTTAGTACCTGCCAGTGGGTGACATCTTCTTTGGCAGTTCCAGTCAAATAGAGTAGTAATGCGGACATGAGGTCGCGTTCCAAAGATTGCGCACTCACAACGTTTGCCACATTTGACCAAATTTCAGAGGGATCTCAAAGGCTTACATGTACTTTAATAGGCCATCCCATTTTGTCTGCCAGCCTTTGTCAATGCACGAACTGATGTACCAGCCTGTCAACAAGATAACGTTATCGCCACCCATTGACCAGGCACAGGCTGTTAGTGATGATGACGGGAGACATGCAGATTTGCAAGATGTGACAGAACATGATCTGCAGCTAGATAGAGCGTATGGTGTCCAGCGTGTGTTGACTGCCATTTTACAGACTATGTGGAGAGCTACATGTGGAGTCTTAAAACCATTTATTCCCGTAGCTATGCAAAATACGTTACTTCAGCAACGTCTGGCGCTAGCCAGGGTCCACACAGCTTCAATTCCGTGTTTGTTTGTTTGTGCCGTCGGCATGCCTGGCGCTATCCCGTACCTGTCCCGTACTGTACCATCAAAGACAGCTGGCCACAATATTCAAATAGGGCTTTCAAATGCAAGATCATAAATTCATAACGTGAAGCAACTTGGAAGAATGAGTATGTATGCGAAGTGTATCGGGGGAATGCATGCAGGGCGATAGTGCGGGTTCGAATCCTACATTGTAGGTTATGTCTTGAAAAAATAGGAGAAATGAAACATTTATAACATCCCTATGCTTTTTTGCCTTGGTCATCAAGGTGGTAGACGGTGTCGTATTACCCTCGAATGCAAAGAGAAAGTTTACTTCTTTCGCTCAGGGCCCGATGCTATGCTTTTTGCCTAGCTCATCATGCATGCTATTCGGACAGATGGAAACTTTTTGCAATACAATGATGTAGCCGATCAGTTCGTTGTTGTATGGTTGGGAATTGTAGCCATTATTATTTTTCTGGTTTTAGAGTTCGTATCGCAGCAGACGTTCTGCAATTCAAATCGAGCCGTCATGGTCGACGAAAAACACTATTTACATACACAGGCTCGGGGAGCAAAAGTCTCTCTGTCCCATAAGCTGCCGCATACCAACTAAATACAAACCATGCACTTCACACGCGCTGACTTGCGCGCGTGGCCCTTTTCACGAACCCAGACAAAGGGATTGGTCTATTATAATGCATGTACGAAGTCACTAGATTACACCCGCACCAGAGATGAAGGCGACAGCGCCAGACATCAATACGGTGACGATGTCGTATAGCATGTCGTACAACAGTACGATGAAATTGTGGGAGAAACCAGCGACCGCTTGGGAACGATGAGCATTGCAACAGTCTTATTGTGAGTGATAGTCAGGCCAAGTTTCTGAAGATCAGTAGTCATTGCTGATAACGTGCAGAAAAACTATATCCGTAGCCTCTTTTGCCGTCGGACAGGATGCGCATTATTGGAGACTGTAAAGTTATGTAATGTGCTCCACAGGCAACCATGCATTATTGTATTGTATCGTATTGTATGGAATATAATTTTACTTCATTGGCTCAACAGGTCAATGTATTACTACAAAAAGGCCAAAAAATCCGATTGTAAGGAGATAAAAAGGAAAAGAAGGAGCAAACCAAAAGTGGATGAAGTGAGAGAAAATAACAATCCCCAATAAATTCTTCAATTACTTTTGCCTAACTCATATTCAAACTGATTGAAACGTTTTTCAATACAATCAACAATCAATAATTATGATGTAGCCAATCAATGGAAAAAACATTTCCATCAGTTCTAATAACATGCATGATAAGCTAGGCAAAAAAGCATAGCGTAGGCCCTGACTCAGCTTCCAAGCTCTCTCGTTTTAGCCTTTGTCAAGTTTTACATTTTCGAATCTTGCCTTTTTGATACATGTACTTGTGCCCCTGTAGGGTCTCAAACAAGTCGACTACGGAGAAGTCAGCATCAGCGCTATCGACAAATGCAGCGGCCAAACCGGTGCAGACGGCAACTGCATCAACGACATCACCCGCACCAACGAAATCAATTGCAGAAAAATCCGCACCAGAAAAATCTGCACCAGCTACATTTGAACCAGCTAAATCTGCACCAGCTACATCTGCACCAGCTAAATCTGAACCAGCTAAATCTGCACCAGCTAAATCCGCTTCAACAGTGCCTGAGCCTAAAACTTCTGCATCGCCGACAGCCGTAAAGAAGGAGTAAGTTTGTTCAATTTGAATACGTATCTCAAAGGCCGTCCAATGTTACCAATTGTTTTCTCGAGCAAAGCGTAATTAAAATAGAAGACATCACATGGAAACGAGTTATGAAGCAACTATCCACGACTGTAACAAGATAATAAGCAGTCAGAAAGTGCGATAACAGGGTACAAACCTGACATGTTACTGTGACATTCAACAACCTTAGACCTAGCTCTCACACACCTCCAGTGCGCAAACCAACAGCCTTCCAGCTTGGAAGGTTCAAGGTTATGGTAAGAACAATGAGGGGAAGTCGTGGATAGTTGCTTCATAACTCGTTTCCATGTGATTTCTTCTATTAATATTATATTTATTGGCTCAGTATCCGAGTTGAAGGGGCACTCCGGGAATATTTTCGGTGGTGTGTTCTCTTCATGGGGGCCTTATATGGTCCCCAAGGAATGGGGAATTGCGAAAATTAGACCCAAAAAGTCGATATATGAAGCTAGGGAGGGCCAAGTTTGTCTCCTCTTTTGATGGTTTTGATGACGTCACGTGTGATTAGTATTCAAATTCTCTGCATTTGAAGATCTTAGTTGTTTGAATTTTCTGGTGATGAAGAACGATGTTTGGTCAACATTCCCAAGCTTCACAACTGCGACCATACTCTAAGGAACCTGAAGGACCTCCTGAGGTGCCCCTGGTAGAAGCGCAGCCTGATGAGGGCCAGGAAATTGGAGCGGACGACTTCACTGGTCGACAAGGAAATAACGATTGGTGTTCCGGCTAGAAATGTGGGGTGATGCAGAGGGCAGTCGATTACCTTCGCTGTCGAGAGAGCGCTGCAGCTGTTAGCATTGGCAGCCCTTTGACATGCGTTACACATCACCCCGACTTCGCGTCAGCTTGTCTAAACAAAACTGTTCTGACCATATGCGTAAAGAGAATTTCGGGATCCTCGTACTCGGACCAGTGAAGTCGTCCGCTCCAATCTCCTGGCCCTCATCAGGCTGCGCTTCTACCAGGGGCACCTCAGGGGGTCCTTCAGGTTCCTTAGAGTATGTCCGCAGTTGTGAAGCTTGGGAATGTCGACCAAACATCGTTCTTCATCGCCAGAAAATTCAAACAACTAAGATCTTCAAATGCAGATACTAATCACACGTGACGTCATCAAAACCATTAAAAGAGGAGACAAACTTGGCCCTCCCTGGCTTCATATATCGACTTTTTGGGTCTAGTTTTCGCGATTCCCAATTCTTTGGGGGCCATATAAGGCCCCCATGAAGAGAACACACCACCGAGAATATTCCCGGAGTGCCCCTTTAAACAAGCAACCCTCGAATGCAATGAGAGTTTATTTCTTTCGCTCAGGGCCCTACGCTATGCTTTTTTGCCTAGCTCATCATGCATGTTATGCGGACAGATGGAAACCTTTTGCAATACAATGATGTCGCCGATCAATTCTTTGTGGTATTGTTGGGAATTGTAGCCAATATTAGTTTTCTGGTTTTAGAGTTCGTATCGCAGCAGACGTTCTGCAATTCAAATCGAGCTGTCATGGTCGACGTAAAACACTATTTACATACACAAGCTCGGGGAGCAAAAGTCTCTCTGTCCCATAAGCTGCCACATACCAACTAAATATAAAACCATGTACTTCACACGAGCTGACTTGCACGCGTGGCCCTTTTCACAAACCCAGACAAAGGGATTGGTCTATTATAACGCATGTACGAAGTCACTAGATTACACCTGCACCAGAGATGAAGGCGACAGCGCCAGACATCAATAAGGTGTTGTACGGTATAACAATGTCGTATAGCATGTCGTGCAACACTAAGATGAAATTGGGGGAGAAACCATCGACCGCTTGGGAACGATGGACATTGCAACAGTCTTATTGTGAGTGATAGTCAGGCCAAGTTTCTGAAGATCAGTAGTCATTGCTGATAACGTGCAGAAAAACTATATCCGTAGCCTCTTTTGCCGTCGGACAGGTTGCGCATTATAGGAGACTGTAAAGTTATGTAATGTGCTCCACAGGCAACCATGCATTATTGTATTGTATCGTATTGTATGGAATATAATTTTACCTCATTGGCTCAACAGGTCAATGTATTACTACAAAAAGGCCAGAAAATCCGATTATAAAGAGATAAAAAGGAAAAGAAGGAGCAAACCAAAAGTGGATGAAGTGAGAGAAAATAACAATCCCCAATAAATTCTTCGATTACTTTTGCCTCACTCGTATTCAAACTGATTGAAACGTTTTTTCAATACAATCAACAATCAATATGATGTAGCCAATCAATGGAAAAAACATTTCCATCAGTTCTAATAACATGCATGATAAGCTAGGCAAAAAAGCATAGCGTAGGGCCCTGACTCAGCTTCCAAGCTCTCTCGTTTTAGCCTTTGTCAAGTTTTACATTTTCGAATCTTGCCTTTTTGATACATGTACTTGTGCCTCTGTAGGGTCTCAAACAAGTCGACTACGGGGAAGTCAGCATCAGCGCTATCGACAACTGCACCGGCCAAACCGGTGCAGACGGCAACTGCATCAACGACATCAACCGCACCAACGAAATCAATTGCAGAAAAATCCGCACCAGAAAAATCTGCACCAGCTACATCTGAACCAGCTAAATCTGCATCAGCTACATCTGGACCAGCTACATCTGAACCAGCTAAATCTGCACCAGCTAAATCCGCTTCAACAGTGCCTGAGCCTAAAACTTCTGCATCGCCGACAGCCGTAAAGAAGGAGTAAGTTTGTTCAATTTGAATACGTATCTCAAAGGCCGTCCAATGTTACCAATGCTACCAATTGTTTTCTCAAGCAAAGCGTAATTAAAATAGAAGACATCACATGGAAACGAGTTATGAAGCAACTATCCACGACTGTAACAAGATAATAAGCAGTCAGAAAGTGCGATAACAGGGTACAAACCTGACATGTTACTGTGACATTCAACAACCTTAGACCTAGCTCTCACACACCTCCAGTGCGCAAACCAACAGCCTTCCAGCTTGGAAGGTTCAAGGTTATGGTAAGACCAATGAGGGGAAGTCGTGGATGGTTGCTTCATAACTCGTTTCCATGTGATTTCTTCTATTAATATTATATTTATTGGCTCAGTATCCGAGTTAAACAAGCAACCCTCGAATGCAAAGAGAAAGTTTATTTCTTTCGTTCAGGGCCTTACGCTATGCTTTTTTGCCTAGCTCATCATGCATGTTATTCGGACAGTTAGAAACCTTTTGCAATACAATGATGTAGCCGATCAGTTCGTTGTGGTATGGTTGGGAATTGTAGCCATTGTTAGTTTTCTGGTTTTAGAGTTCGTATCGCAGCAGACGTTCTGCAATTCAAATCGAGCCGTCATGGTCGACGTAAAACACTATTTACATACACAAGCTCAGGGAGCAAAAGTCTCTCTGTCCCATAAGCTGCCACATACCAACTAAATACAAAACCATGTACTTCACACGAGCTGACTTGCACGCGTGGCCCTTTTCATGAACCCAGACAAAGGGATTGGTCTATTATAACGCATGTACGAAGTCACTAGATTACACCTGCACCAGAGATGAAGGCGACAGCGCCAGACATCAATAAGGTGTTGTACGGTATAACAATGTCGTATAGCATGTCGTGCAACAGTACGATGAAATTGTGGGAGAAGCCAGCGACCGCTTGGGAACGATGGACATTGCAACAGTCTTATTGTGAGTGATAGTCAGGCCAAGTTTCTGAAGATCATTAGTCATTGCTGATAACGTGCAGAAAAACTAAATCCGTAGCCTCTTTTGCCGTCGGACAGGTTGCGCATTATAGGAGACTGTAAAGTTATGTAATGTGCTCCACAGGCAACCATGCATTATTGTATTGTATCGTATTGTATGGAATATAATTTTACTTCATTGGTTCAACAGGTCAATGTATTACTACAAAAAGGCCAGAAAATCCGATTATAAGGAGATAAAAAGGAAAAGAAGGAGCAAACCAAAAGTGGATGAAGTGAGAGAAAATAACAATCCCCAATAAATTCTTCAATTACTTTTGCCTCACTCATATTCAAACTGATTGAAACGTTTTTTCAATACAATCAACAATCAATATGATGTAGCCAATCAATGGAAAAAACATTTCCATCAGTTCTAATAACATGCATGATAAGCTAGGCAAAAAAGCATAGCGTAGGGCCCTGACTCAGCTTCCAAGCTCTCTCGTTTTAGCCTTTGTCAAGTTTTACATTTTCGAATCTTGCCTTTTTGATACATGTACTTGTGCCTCTGTAGGGTCTCAAACAAGTCGACTACGGAGAAGTCAGCATCAGCGCTATCGACAACTGCACCGGCCAAACCGGTGCAGACGGCAACTGCATCAACGACATCACCCGCACCAACGAAATCAATTGCAGAAAAATCTGCACCAGAAAAATCTGCACCAGCTACATCTGAACCAGCTAAACCTGCACCAGCTAAATCCGGTTCAACAGTGCCTGAGCCTATAATTTCTGCATCGCCGACAGCCGTAAAGATGGCGTAAGTTTGTTCAGTTTGAATACGTATCTCAAAGGCCGTCTAATGTTACCAATGTTACCAATTGTTTTCTCAAGCAAAGCGTAATTAAGATAGAAGGCATCACATGAAAACGAGTTATGGAGCAACTATCCACGACTGTAACAAGAATAAGCAGTCAAAAAGTGCGATAACAGGGCACAAAACTGACATGTTACTGTGACATTCAACAACCTTAGACCTAGCTCTCACATACCTCCAGTGCGCAAACCAACAGCCTTCCAGCTTGGAAGGTTCAAGGTTAAGGTAAGACCAATGAGGGGAAATCGTGGATAGTTGCTTCATAACTCGTTTCCATGTGATTTCTTCTATTTATTGGTGGTTTAGCGTGTGCGCTAAGCCCTGTTAACGAACGTGGAACATCTACCACTCATACTTAGTCTGATGATCATGCATCTGATTATGATGTCATTGCTATACATGCGCATGCGCAGCGCGCGCCACTCTCCCACGCATGCATTCCAAATCTTGCTTTAGAGAGAGAGAAGGAGAAAAGCTAGACTCCTTTGTCACTTTTGCTTTCTGACGACTTGACTGTTCACTGGTTTGTCCGTCAGTGTCAATTTCCCCTTCCCTCCCAACCCCATTCGACTGGGGATCACTATCTCTCCGTCACTGTCACCATAATATTTCCTCAATAACAGTGTCAGTACAACTCTTGTCAATATACTTATATCGGGTGAGGGCAGTCTATCTCCGCAGCTGGCTCATTTCAATCACTACCGGTCGCAGCTCCTGCCCACGGCAGGCCGACCGTCTCTCGTTCACACTCTGTGTGCTCCAGGTCACAGCTCCTGCGCAGAGCAGGCCGACCTGTCTGTCTCTCTCTCACACACACTATGTGTGCACCGGGTCACAGCTCCTGCGCAGAGCAGGCCGACCTGTCTTTCTCATGCACGCCAGCTGCTCCGCCCAATATCCCTGATATGCCAACCAGAAAACAATGTGTTCTGAGCCGGGTGCATGCCTGTATGTGGAGAGTGCGTTAAATTTTATTTATTGGCTCAGTATCCGAGTTAAACAAGCAAAGCGTTTTCATCTATCATTTCAAGCACCGGATCCTGAAAAAGAGCTTGATATTCTCAATTCAAAGAGAACAGTGTGTTATATACAGGGTACTTTTATACTGAAGTTTCACTGTAAAAGTTTTCATTTTGAGAAGAAGAGAAAATCAGTAAGCCCAAACAGTCACTTGGTACATGTGGCCACCAATAGCTCACACACAATACCTCTATACCTCTTCCAAGTACAGTAAAACCTGTAATGGCGACCACTCGGTTATGGCGACCACTTTTCCTTGTCACGGATGCATTCACATTCAAAACAGCTCGGATAAGGCGACCACTCGCTCAACGCGACCGACGACCACCCACCCACGACCGCGTTGCGCACTGCTACAGGTACATTTACAAGGACGCATTGCACTGTGCACCATGCATGGAAGTCTTGGAAGACCTACACACCAGCGCAGAAAGTGTAAATGCACATCATAGTGCATGCACGACACTTGGCAGGTCTGAGGGCCCCCCCTGACACATGACTCATGAGTCGTGCATATATAATAGTAGCATAGGCGTGTCCAGTGTGATACACTGATCAAAATGATATGTCACATAATGTGTATTCTGGATATAGTCACGTGACCCACTGAACCTGGATAAGAAGACCACCTGGCCAAGGTGGCCACTTGTTCTCGTCCCTTGAGTGGTCGCCTTAGACAGGTTTCACTCTATGTAATGTTCTCCTTAGTTTGCTACCATTGTTGAGATGAGTTTCCCTCATGATAGTCTCATGAAAATTGATTAGGAAATGTGGGCACAGGTTATGCGATCGAGTCCACCAACTAAACCAGATTTTGAACAGTCAGACGTGCACAATCTAGCACAAAACTGACAAGGAGTACTGAGACATTCCACGGCATGAAAGTCAGCTTGAGCACTGCTGAAAAGTGACAGAAATTGGTAAGCCCGGACGATCACCACTATCAGTAGCTACCAATAGGTTGCATCCATCCTTGATAGGTTCAATCTGAATCAAGAGTTTGACAGAGTACGGTAATGATTGAAGTTGCATATTCGTAAGTGTTTAGTTATCAAATTTTTATTCTGCGTATCTTGCCTTCTTGTACTTGTGCCTCTGTAGGATCTGGCCAACGTTGACTTCTGGCTGTGAATTTGCAGGTGAGGTTTTCTCAATTCTGATATTTCCTGGATATTGTTGTCTCTAGCTTTCCACTATGGAGTCTTCTCCTAATTCACCAAATTTCAGTGCAAGATCCATCTTAAGGGTAGTGCAACCGGAGTGAACGGAATGGTTCTTTTAAACAAATCATCGAGTTTAGCTGGTGAGGCCACACAGCCCGGCACTCTTTTCGATCGCATTTCACATCGAATACGCCACCTACCCCGATTTCAACGGGTGTTTTTTTTGCAATCAACTACATGATTGTCATTTTTAAATGACATTTACACAAGAGAGATTGGCAGCTTTGTCACAACTCTGAGTTTCACATATTACTACGATCATCAGGCAACTGACGATCGTAGTAATACAGTCGTCCCTCTCTAATCCGGCACCTTTTGCAACGACATTTTCTGCATGATAAACAAGGGTGCTGGATTATCAAATCCTGCCCTCCAACCCGGCCCACATGTTATCATACATGTTTGTGTCGTACGTCAAAACGTAGGGATTTTCTGTGTCAAACCAAGTACTTTGTGGAATGCATGTGTATAACTGTATTAACATACACTTAGGAATATCCTATGTACTGGCATAGGATATTCCCAAGTGTATGTTGCATGTGTTGTGTATGTTACAATGGGCCCTGACAGTCTGCGATGTACAACTGCTGGATTAGAAAATCGAATTGTGTACAGTTTGAGTGATTTGTTGTAGAAAATCGCTGCTGGAGGCGGAATTCATGTGCCGGATTAAAGGGTAGAAAAATAACTGAAAAAATCCGTTTGCCAGAAAGTGTGCTGGTTTGCAAGGGTGCTGGATAAACAAGTGCCGGATTAGAGAGGGACGACTGTACGTGAAACTCAGAGTTGTGACAAAGCTTCCAATCTCTCTTGTGTACAAGGCTCTGCCCTACATGGGTATTGAGCACTCTTCGGACAGTGAAGCACACCACTTGATTACGTAAATGACGTTTATGTATACAACAGTGCTTTCGAGTTCGTGGTGTGTACCCATTTTTCACCTGTACGAGATGATCTTCAGTTACAAAGTCGTGTTACTTAACCTGCAGCTACGTTGTATTTCGCTACCCTTCACACGCCGGCATTGCTTCGAAATTAGTAACTGAAGCCACTCATCCAAAGTGGTTTGGTGGAACTCATTTCTAAAATTAATGATATCACAGTTCAGAAACAGCGAAAATGGAACCAGCCATTACCACACGTATGTCACGGTAGTAGGAATATTGCAATAATTGAAGTCTAAAAACTGTACTAAAGAGCACCATAGCTACTGTAAGGCTGCGTTCGTATTTAGCTACCTGGTAGAGTAGAGTAGAGTCACTCTACCGATAGAGGTAGATGGTAAAGGTAAGTGCACGAACGCTTTTCTACCGGATTTAGTAGTTTACACGATGTGTACGTGAAATGTTTCTTTTTTATATGGAGTTGTGTACAAATCCTTGATCTTGCTGGAAATCCCGTAGCTCTACGAACTTCTACCGGCTTCTACCAACTTTTCCTGGTAGAACTGGTAGAGGAAAGTAGAATCTACCCTTTTGAGTAGAATTTTTTTTTCAAAAAACGAACACTACCGAAAAAAGTAGTTTCTACCCAAACCTGTAGATCAAAAACGAACGCCCCCTAACTTCAGTAAGTGAAACCAAAAATTAATTCTAGATATCAGAATGTAGTGACTGCAATGTGATAGGTCAGATTTCAAACTACAAGTGACGAAAACGACGCGGCGATAAGGAATAAAAGAGACGTCGCTAGGGAAAGAATGCGAAAATCAAATCCTTTCAACACCAGTATCACGTTTGGCGTCTTGGACTGCATCTTCTTCACCACTGATGCCTGCATCAATCATATCCCGAGCGTCTTTCGCCATGTTGCCAGGCTTCGTGCATTGGATACGGTTGGTGTCCGCTGTCGTTATGCCACATGCCTCGAAACTGCGGACAGTTGTTTCACTTGAAACCTGTTCCCAGGCACGAATGGTCCAGTTCACCATGTTGAGCTTGGACGGTACCCTGGTGTTGTCGTGTGCGGTCAAGTCTATTCCTCGCCCTGGCACTTGCAGCCACTCTTCGTACAGCTTCCTCCCTCGTAGTTTAAATTTCTTGAGTGCACACACGGTGTTTTTTGTGTTTAGTTTTAGTTGACGTCATGAGGTACTATTTGGCTACCCGGACTGTACGAACTGTACTCAGTCGCGATTGAGTATCGATCTGGCGACATTTTCGGCGCATGTTCTTTGACAATCCGTTTTACTTGTATTTCTTTTTTAGTTCTTCTTCTCTCTTGCTTCAACACGGTCATGTAATTTCTTTCGTCTCCTTTTCTATCTTGCATATCCTCTGTAATCGTTCGTGCCATGTAAATAAATACTGGTCGGTCTCAGTTCCTGGAACTTTTGAGTGTAAGATACACAACGTAGTTTGTGCAAACTAACTCGAGGCCGAGTTGCTTTGATTATGACAATTTTAAAGATTTGATTGGAATACTGGTATGGATTGAAATGATAGTAGCCCTTCTCGAATAGAAACCCCTCTTGAATACAAGCCTCCCCCAAATAGTCATTGATAATATAAAAGTCCCTGGCTTCTAATTCAGTGAGTACAGTGAGTACAATCCACGGCCCGCGACCTTGCCCGTATTGCTAGTTATGAATACAGGCCGCGACGGCTGTTCAAGGAAAAATACGGTACAGGCTTCACGCCTTGTCAGTGGTGTACATAATATCGTATCAAAGTTGAATACTGCCTGAAATATAAAAATCGAAACTTTATTTCTGCACGCCACATTTGGTCGTCGAGGTAATGCCTGCGTGCGTTACTCTTCAACTACAATTGCGATATTTCCATCACATTATGCCAGCTCAAATATGTCCCACAGGTGCCAATTTTGCATATCTTAGCAAGTTTGCCTTGCGTAGTGGATGCTGAATTTGTGTTGGTTTTTCAATGTTGTCCCTATATGTAGCTCCTCCGATTAGACGCCGGCGGAATATTGAAGGTGAAATGGAGGTGGAAGAGTAAGTACATATGCAATAGCTTGTTCCAATGGGACGTCTTCCTATAACAATTGCAATTACTTGTCGACGTGCCTCCCACCACGTCCCACGGCATTGCAACACTTGGATATTTTGGCTACTTTCATGCTTGCTCCATTCAGTTAACCTTGCTGGGTGTGGGCAGCTATTTGATTCATTTCTGATGTGGTTACTGAAGTGTTTGATATGCACGGAGGAATCTTTCTTGCAGGTCGTTTTCTGGTCTACAACTACATATAATATTGTCACTTGTTGCATAACGTAGGCCTGGCACTTTGCCAAGGGCTTCCTACTAGAATAATTCTATGTTCATGTGCCTTGTTGCATCAAGAGTATATGAGCAGTATTGCGCAACTCCACATAATTATGACATTGGAAAAGCAGGATTTATCATCTCAGCAGCACTTATGAAGAGCCCTGGAAATGTGTTGTCTGCTGCTGCTTGCCTAGCTGGCACTGCGCTTGTACAACCCACGGGGTCAAAGGTTGTTGGTGTACCGTGACATCGAAGTGACATACTTCAAGTACAAGTCAATGTACATGTACATGTAAATGATGAATTCTGCTTTGATAAGCACCCACTTTAGTAGCACACTCAGCTGCGTATACATGTCATGTACAAGTACATGTAGTTCTTGGTTACCAGCTTGTATATGTATTCTAATCTTCTCTACCACGCTGGCGACTTTTTTCTTCACTTTCTGCAGGACGGAGACGCGAACGAAATTCATTGGATTTAGTGACACCGTTACCGTCTTCGAAGATGATCTTGCTGGCTCTCAGCATCTCTGTAAGTGCTGCCATGATTTGACTAGTACATGCATGTCTCTCTCTCTCACACACACACACATACACACACACACACAACACACACACTATCTCTCTCTCTCTCCCCCCCCCCCCCTCCCCATCTCCCAGGAAACTAGTTCTGCAGATACATGTATTTGCCAAAGTATCATGCCGGAGATAACGATTTTTGCAAGTGAGTGCGCGAACAGAACCTTCCTTCTTTCTTGCCAGGCCAGTTTTACGTTGGAACGGCAAAACGTTTGCACTGCGTTTCATGGCTTCAGAAAGTAGCAAAAGATGCTGACAGCGTTTTGCGGAACCTCTCTAATGATCTCACTCTCTCTGTAATGTTTGTTTGTTTCTGCTGTTTGTTCCTTACAGATCTGTTCTTGTTCAACTGGTAACGAGCCCTATCGTCGAGTTGCCTTGAGAATGTTTTGCACTAATTTGAACCGACTTCATGTGGCGGTCGCTCTTGATGTACATATATCTCTCCTGACTGTATTTGTTTCTCCTCAAGTTTCCCATTCCCATTCGTTCCTACGCAGATGATAATTATACTGCGTGCTATTATTTATGATACTACTCACCGCTGCTGAGATGGCGAAGCCCACCCGATTGTGTGACAACACTCTGTCCCACTCCCCCTTCTTCCCTTCTTTCTCTGTCTGATCACTTGTGTTCCTCTATTGTATTGTTAGCCTTGTTATCTTGTCGTTGTATTTCACTTTTCTTCCCGGACACTGCGGCTCTAACTGGTCTTGTAGTTCTACGCTGTGTCACTCATGTGCTGCCACTGTAATTCTGTGTGTGTACGTGTGTGTGTACGTGCGTGTGTACGTGTGTGTGTACGTGTGTGTGTGTGTGTGTGTGTGTTGGGGGAAGGGGCATTCGTAGCTCAGACCATTGCTGCTCATTATAAATATAATTATAATGCAATCGCATGAGGCAAGCACACGTCGGTATCTTGTTAGCACTGGGCTGCGGAATGGTGTAGGGCACAAACTCGATTCACGCGACCGGTTTTCATTGAGCACTACTCTACGTGCTCAAAGTAAGCATGGCGTCTCCAAACTTTATGCAAGTCCTCCCAGAGTGCACCATTCGGGCAAGTATCGATGTACTTCATGACTTGTACATGGCTGTACTGAGCAATGCCGCCACATGTTTGGCCATTGATTCCTGGAATTGCACACTGTGCCGGGCACTACAGCCCACACGTTTATTCGGAAAACTGCACGTTGCGCTGCTGCTTGAATCGGATGTCCCTTCCATGTTTCATTAGGCATATGCACTGTAGATCCACCTGCACGGCAGTGTTGTCAAGTTTCTCACGACAAGCACAGTGACTATTGGACCAGGAGATTACTGACTATTGGACCAGGAGATTACTGACTATTGGACCAGGAGATTGCTACAGTCACAGTGTATTCGGGCTTAGAAACAGCCAGTGAGATTTCAATGGGAAGAGAGGTGACAAGAGTAAATTCTTGCACTTCACATATGCACACAGTTGGCTATACATGGTAGACTCCTCCCTACCCCAGCCCTAGCCGCTTACGTATTGCCTATTATTTTTACTCTTCCAGTCTAGGTGAAAGTCTTCACGACTCCATGGCATGGGGCTGAGGCTGATCATGTACATGTCTGTAGTGACAGCTACAGGCCTCAGTCACCATGGTCACAAAGGACTTAGCATCATCACTCATGCTACAAGTAGTCCACCGTTTGCTTTCGACCAGGCGGTCGTATAACCCCGACTTTGCTTTATTTGCTTTGCATTCAAAGATCATAGCACATGCACAATGTGACTGTAGTCTACCATACCGGGCGCGCATGTATGTCTGTCAGTCTGGAATCTTGATGTCATGAAATCACCGGTCCGGCTCCGACTTCATGGTGGATCCTTTACCAGTAAACAATTTTTCCCTGTGACTTCGCTTCGCGGCGGGTCGAATGAAAACAGTCCTCCTCTGTTTTGACGACAAGCTCAATCTCTGAGCGATATAACCAACAACGACGACGACGTGCGGAAGGTCACACCGTACCGGCGCACCACGCAGGTATTAATAATCGACCTCCCCTCAGACTGGCGCTCTCGCGCGTAGAGCGGCAAAGAACTGTGCCTTCACTACAAGCATTGTTTTAGTTGCTTGAAGGGAGCAGCGGTGGAATTGAGACTACATGTAATTGGGAGTCCACTGTGGCACACTGAGCCCTGTGAAGCGGGTTCTACACCGCTGGAGATCTGCGACGCAAGAAGCCCGCCTTCTGAAGCAATACCACGCGATCCAGCTGAACCATGGCGGTCAGTTCTAGGAGGCCAAATGTGGCTACTAGCCTTGTCGTTTTGACGGGGATTCTCATGCTCTTCATGAGCAGTACTGCTGGCCAGGTCTTCACCGATTTCATCAACGATGCCGGACAGCCGTTCGACTTCCAGTGCGGCAAGCAGACGCCATTCTACGGTTACGGAATGAGCGGTATTGCCAGCGTCTTTCAGTAAGTGATGAGGAGGACCCTGCTTCGTTGTGGGCATTGCATTGTGTTTGTTGCCACTGTTTTGTCTCTGTCAAGATGCGTAAAGCCGTTATAGCCAGCTTACTAGTAGTTCGTTGCTCCTCAAACTGACCAAAGACTTCTTAGCATGTTAGCGGTTTAGCTCGCTGAACGCCTAATCAGGCTAACGAAGGTACACTGCACTAGGTCCTTCGGAGAGTCTCGTCACCTGGTCACAGAGCTCGACAAACTACACGTACAATGCTTGTACGTACCCGTACAATATTCGCCCATTCAGCAGAGGACACTAAAATGTCTCCCATTGCCTTTTGTGGATGTGTTCCAGCTCCACTACAGTTCATAGTAGATACTCACCGACACTACAGCCAGTACAGGTATAGATCCATTACGATACCTCCGAAGCTCAAACCGGCGACATGTTTAATCGAAGATGCGTCTGTGTGGTGATCTTGAAGATTTTGGACGATTCAAGCTCTGGAGGTTGTGTGGTGCATATGATATAGCTTAGTGGTGGATCGACCTGACCGATACATGAATGGGTGTGAGTTAGAAAGCCACATTTCTTTATAACATCCGAGTGTTTCAACCCTTCTATAAAAAGTTTTTAAAAAACACTGCTTGATTCTAGCCAAATGAGAGTGGGAAGGTGGCGCACTGCTATCCTATTTGGATGGGGAGCCGCTCCTGGGAACCTGAAACCAGGCTCCTGAGTGGGATATAGTGCTGTGCTGAACTGCGCGGCATGCAACATAACCACAGTACATGAATAATATAATTAATCTCCGGACAGCTAGTTGTTTCGACCTTGCCAGGTCTCGTCAGCAGGCAATACGATAGTCATCTCCCCCCGCCCTCCCCACACACATACACATACACCCTCCTGCAGATCTCCTTAGCTAGAAATCTGCACTGTGGAAGCATGGATGCGATTTTATGTGTCTTTATCTACTACGGTACCAATCCCCTGGTTTGCTCGAATAAATCCCATGACTGTCTTGAATCATCCTTTCCTCTCGACATCCCCTGCCCTCTCTCCGTGTGCAATAGATCGACAAGCTCACTGAGGGACCCATCTGATCGACGATGGAAAGTACTATGTTCACCGGCAGAGACATTGGCCCTAGATGCCGGCGCCCTGGTCTGCACGGAGTACGGGCCAATCAACTCCGCACCGGGGGTGGACCCGCTGGTATTCAGGTGCCCCGGGCAAGGCTTCCTGTCCGGCTTCCGGTCGACGTATGACAAGGACATTGGCGATCGCAGCTGGTGGCCGTTCTGCTGCAGACACAAGTTTGGAAGTGTTGTGGATTGTGACGACCCCGTCAGGTATCTCAACACACATGGTAATGACTTCAGCTACACTATACCCAGTACACTGTCGGAGAGCACACGCCGAGTGCTCGTCGGCTTGGAAGGCTCCTACGTGGGCATTGTTCCGTCAAGAAGGTAATTGCAATTCCATGCTTCTGCCTCTTTCATAGCTCATCTTGGTTGCTTTCAATGTTAGCTAAGGTGTGCAGTCCATGGTCGTTTGTCTCTCCACTTTCCTGGTACATTCATGCAGCCCTCGCGTATGTGAATCCATGGTAACTATGTGCATGTTGCCTTTCCACTTCTTGTTGCTTGTTGCAGAGATCGAACATGGAAATACACCCAATGCAAGCTTGTGGGTAAGGTTCAGAACACTTCACTGCTCCATTGCGATGTAGATAAGTCCCAGGTTGCACTCTGAGGTGCATATTCCATGCGGTGGTTTATGCTGCTGCGGGCCCAGCTGGATGAATACATTGAATAGGCTCCTGCCTAGTCACACGTGCATACATGCCCAGGCACATACACACACACACACACACACACACACACACACACACACACACACACACACACACACACACACACACACACCACACACACACACACCACACACACACACACCACACACACACACACACACACCACACACACACACACACACACACACACACACACACACACACACACACACACACACACACACACACACACACACACACACACACACACACACACACACACACACACACACACACACACACCACCACACCACACACACACACACACACACACACACACACACACACACACACACACACACACACCACACACACACACACACACACACACACACACACACACACACACACACACACACACACACACACACACACACACACACACACACACACCACACCACACACCACACACCACACACACACACACACACACACACACACACACACACACACACACACACACACACACACACACACACACACACACACACACACACACACACACCACACACACACACACCACACACACACACACACACACACACACACACACACACCACACACACACCACACACACACACCACACACACCACACACACACCACACACACACCACACACACACACACACACACCACACACACCACACACACACCACACACACACCACACACACACCACACACACACCACACACACACCACACACACACCACACACACACCACACACACACCACACACACACCACACACACACACACACACACACACACACACCTCAGACCTCAGACATGCCCATCGCGGGAGCGATGATAGCGAACAGCTATGTTTTAGACATAGCAACTTGTGCTGGGATTACACCATTCAACAGCTTGCAAGGCTGATGAATTGACCGCCACTATTTTTAGCCTGGTATCCACCACACAGCTGTTTGAAGTGACTTTTTCTGGCCAGCGAATCCCTATTTTTCATTTTTCCATTTTTTTTCTTTTTTTCTTTTTTTTCTTTTTCTACACACACACCACACCACATACTCCGGCATACACTGGCTGTTGGTAACCACCCAGGAGAATGAAAGAAAAGTCAGGAAGAGTCTGAGAAAGAGAAGAAAGACGTGTGTGACCATAATCGTCGGGAATCGAACCCGCAACCTATCGATTGGAAATCGCTGCACATACCACTGCACCATATGGGACACACTCACACACACACACACACACCACACACACACACACACACACACACACACCACACACACACACACACTCACTCACACACACACACACACCACACACACACACACACACACACACACACACACACACACACACACACACACACACCACACACACACACATACACACACACACACGCACACACACACACACACACATACTCACACACATACACATACTCACACACGTACACACACACACACACGCACACACACGCACACACACACACATACTCACACACATACACACACACACACACACACACCACACACACACACATACACACACACACACACACACGTACACACACCACACACACACACATACACACACACACACACACACACACACACACACACGTACACACACACATACTCACACACATACACACACACACACACACACCACACACACACACATACACACCTGTTCCTGTTCCTGTTCAGCACTGCCACAAGGGCCACGTGGCTCTCCTTAAGAGAGAACCGTGGAGGAGGGAGGCCGCTGGCACCTGTGTCGGGTGAGGTCGCTCCCGCGGCGAAAACGGCGGCCACAGTCGGGGCAGGACCATTCAAATGTCAATCGTGTTGCTGCAGTCGGGCGATGCGTACTACGGTGGCATTTGTGTCGTGATCTGTCAGACGGTCTGGCGAAACAGCGGTCACATGTGGGGCAGTGAGCTGCGCAACAGTCCCTTGCAATAGCTTGGGGATGGTCTTCACGGGGCTGAGGATCATGGGGTGTGCATTTATGCCGCGATAGCCCACCACGGCTGCGTAGCCACCGTTGACATTGGGGACATTGCACTGCACCGCGCTGCTCTGCTATGGGCTTGGCCCTTTCATCCAAGCACTTGTGACGGCGCCTGTCCGAAGGCCTGCTAAATACGCGTCGGCAGACAAGACATTGCACATTACGCACTGGTGACGAAGCTGGTTCCAGCTCACGGTAGATGTTCCTCCACCCTGGTCGTGACTGGGTATCTTCTGGCCAAGAGTCCTGTACGTCACATCGCTGTAGATCCGGACTCAGAGCGTCTCGCCAGCGCTTTCGTGGGCCGCATGCAGGTCGGGTCTCCGGTCGGCAGCCGAACAGAACAACCCGGGGTGTCCGTTCCATATCCATGCGCATAACGTGGCCAAACCATTCCAAACGGCGTTGCACAATCCGGTCCTTGATGGGCAGGGGTCTGGCATCATTCCACTGCTCCAGGATGGTGGTGTTGCTGATGTGGAAGTCCCAGACGTCAGAGCGTGACACACCCATGATGGTGCGGAGGCATCTCATGTAAAAAGATGACAGCTTGGCAATATCGGCTTGGAGTGGTACCCAGCACTCAGACGCATACAGCAGCAAGCTCAGCACACACGCCTCAAACACTGTTCGCTTGGTGGCCAGCGTTAGATTGTTATCCCGAAACACTGGGCGACTCAGAACGCCAAAGGCACGTGATGCAGCAGCTATCCTGGACTCGATATCCCGGGAGCAGCGGCCATCAGCGTGGATATTAGTTCCGAGGTAGCGAAACTCAGAGACCACCTCCACCGCATGGCCATTCAACATCAGCGGGCGCACATCCTCTTCAGTAACATGATGACCGGTGACCATGAGCTTGGTTTTCTCTAGGTTAACTTTGAGACCGAATGCACCTGCCACCTCAACAAATGCCGTTAGGCAAGTCTCTATTGCCTCCCGACGCGTGGCCATCAGGGCAGAGTCATCTGCAAATTGGCAGTCAAGGATGGAACGTCTAGTGTCTGTGCGGTGTCGTCGGAAGAACAGACGTTGCCTTGCATTAGTATGAATCGGAACACCAGCTCCGGGGATATCTGCGACGCGGGCATACCACCGTTGGAAGACTGCCCACATGAAGATGTTAAATAATGTGGGAGCCATGGAGCAACCTTGACGGAGGCCATTCCTCACAGCAAATGGATCGAGTCTATCACCATCAACGCAAATTGTAGCCTGCATAGAGGTGTGGAAGGACTGAACAATGGATAGGAGACGGGGAGGAACACCAGCTTTCTCCAGTACGCGCCACAGGCAATCCCGACTGACAGAGTCATAAGCCTTGCGGAGGTCGATGAACAGGAGGAAAGCTTTCCCTCGATGTTCAAATGCCTTCTCCACCATCTGGCGGACCACAAATATCATATCCGTACAGGATCGCCCTCGTCGAAAACCACACTGAGTGTCTGGTAAGAAGGACTCAGCCATAGATTGCAGGCGAGTCTGCACAATGCGGGCAAGTACTTTACCGGCAACATCCAAGAGGGAAATGCCTCGCCAATTATCGCAGCGACTCAGGTCGCCTTTCTTGGGAATGGGTATAAGATTACAGTCGACCCATTCCTGCGGTACTGTGCCATCATTCCAGACGCGATGGAGGAGTTCCAACAGAGACTCACTGAACCTCTGGCCACTGTACTTGATCATCTCCGGTAGGATGCCTGACTCACCGGCCGCCTTTCCATTGCGTAGTTTGCTTATAGCTCGCTGTAGCTCCTCAGCAGTTGGCAGGTCATCGAGCTCTGGGACTGGATCCCTGGCCTCTAGCTGATCAATCTCCTCTGGGTCAAACACGGACGCGACATTAAGTATGTTGGCAAAGTGCCGTCGCCACTGCGTACCCTGCTCTGCTCGAGACTTGCATATGTTGTTGTTCAGATCACGTATAGGCACAGTTGCCTTACTGCGCAAGCCTTGCCGTGCGGCCTGCATATCGTGAATACAAGACCATACGTGGGCTGAGCTGAAACGTGACTGTTCCAACTCCGCTGCCTTGGCCACGAACCAGTCATTTTTCGCCCTTCGCACAGCGGCGCGGGCCTCTCCTCGAGCCCTCCGGAATTCTACCAGTACTGGATTGTTGGACTGGCCAGTCTTGATCCATCGGGAGTACAACTCGTTCCGTCTGGCAAGTAGAGGTTGGATGATTTCCCGGCTGTCCACGTACCAGTCTGGTTGCCTGCGTTTGCTACGGCCGAGGACATCCCCTGCCGCTTCAGTAAGCGTGTCACGGAGAACATGCCAATGCTCCCCAGTAGTGGTGATGGGTGATGATAACTTCCCATTCAATACTGTCTCCGTCTTGGTCTGATATTCCCGGATCAACTCGCAGTCTACGTTTCTTCCCCGAGCCAGTGTATCACGGAACTTGGAGACATCAAACCTCGGCACTCCATGTTTAGTTGGTCTACGGTGCCTTTGAATAAAACCGATCCGGTAGCGCATGGCGACCATTGCGTGGTCCGTACCACACTCAGCACTGTGTATAACCTGTGAGTCCAAACATCGTTGCCAGTGATTTCTTGGAATAATGACGTAGTCAATGCAATGCTGTGTTTTGGTGCGGGGGTGTTGCCAAGTCCATCGTGTGTCGTATTCTTTCTGGAACCAAGTATTACAAATCATTGCCTCATTTGTGAGCAAGAAACTCATCAGCTCCTGTCCAGAAGAATTTGCCACTCCATGTCCAAACGGGCCACGCACGTAACTCCAGTCATCGTCAGCATGTAAACGTGTACCCACACGCGCGTTGAAATCTCCCAGTAGGATGTACTGTTCAGTTGCTGGGACGCCAGTGATAGCTTGTTGAAGGGCGCCATAGAAGGACTCCTTCAGGGTCTTCGAGCTACTGAAAGTTGGAGCATACGCACTCATCACTGTCACCCAGACGCTGTCACCGTCCTGGAGAGTAAATAGTAGTCGAGCTGACACCAAACGTGATCCGTGGGCTGTCCATTGACAGCCGCCAGCACGCCACGCTTCGATCGCGTCGCCGTTCAAAACAATACAAACACCTTCGCCACGACGGAAAGAAATTTCGCCAGCATTATTGTCATCGCGAGGGACTGGTCGTCCTGAGGCCAGCACAACAGCTCCCTCGACTGGATATACACCCTCGCCAAACCAGTGAGTCTCCTGTAGGCCAGCGACATCAACTCTCAAACGTAATAATTGCTGTTGACAAATTTGAATTTTCTTGTCCTCCACAACACGATGGGAAACAGCTCCAGTCTCGACAGGGCCGTCGCTCTCCACCAAGGAGCGGACATTCCAGGACACAATGCTCAACCTCCTCTCTCCTCCTCTCCGGTTTCTACGTGCCAACATTTTTCCCGTTCGTCGTTTGGCAAGAACTGACGGCGGCTTCTACGACGAGAACAGTGTGGAGTGACGGCATCAAACGCACGTCCTGAAGCCCACACTGTTATACCTCGACGTAGGGGACTAGTGAAACTTCCTAGGGCGGCCTTTGGGCCGCCCTAGGGCTGGTATAAACTCTTTGGAGATTCAGAAACAGGAGCTCAAAAAATTCAAACTGTCTTCCTCTTCCACTGGAAGCACACACACACATACACACACACACACACACACACACGTACACACACACGTACACACACAAGTTCATGACATACATGTACAAGTAACTTGAATTCTGGTGGTTTTCAATTTCTCATTGACTCTGATGCTACATGCAAAATTCCATTGTTTGCCTTTGCATGTGATTGTCGCCCACTTCCAGTGTAAGATTGAATACTAGCCTCTCAGGATTGCTTTTCAATACAAAGGTGCTTTGAAGATGCAACGCTGCACCAACAATAATATTATTCTTTTCTCGTATCTGTTATTATTGCTGTTGTTGTCATCTTGTGTTCATGTGTGTGTGTTCATATGTGTGTGTGTGTGTGTGTGTGTGTGTGTGTGTGTGTGTGTGTGCATGTGTGTGTATGTATGTATGTATGTGTGTACGTGTGTATGCGTACGTGTGTGTGCGTACGTGTGTGTCTGTGTGTGTCTGTGTGTGTGTGTGTGTGTGTGCGTGTGCATGTGTGTGTGCACGTGCATGTGTGTGTACGTGTGTGTCTGTGTGTCTGTGTGTGGGTCTGTGCGTGTGCATGTGTGTGTGTGTGTGCGTGTGCATGTGTGTGTGCACGTGCATGTGTGCGTACGTGTGTGTCTGTGTGTGGGTGTGTGGGTCTGTGCGTGTGCATATGTGTGTGTGTGTACATGAATGTCTACTGTAGTAAACTGCACGAAGCCCCCAGCACCGACCCATGGTGGCTTTAGCGGCGGTGGCCAGTACTTGTTCAACGAGACAGTGACCTACTCATGTGATGACTCCTATTACCTGTCGGCTGGATCAGCCAGTAGGACATGCTTGAACACGGGGCTGTGGAGTGGAACACTGCCCACATGTACTAGTAAGGACATGCATTGCAATGGATACCCGTACATGTATGCAGGAGCAATAGTGCGTTCGTACATTGGTGTGTTCGTACATTGGTGCGTTTGTACATAATCATTGGTGCGTTCGTACATTGGTGCGTTTGTACATTGGTGCGTTCATACATTGGTGCGTTCATACATTGGTGCGTTCATACATTGGTGCGTTCATACATTGGTGCGTTGGTGCGTTGCATGATCGTGTACAGTAACCGGTCAGTGTGTCTGATTTGAAGTGAAATTCCTATCCACCGCACCTTGTGTGTTCTGTCCACTATACAGAGTGTACGGCCATCAGCAACTGCAAAGAGCTGAGGTGTACTGACGGAAACGACCAATGGTGCGACGAATGCGATTCTACCTACCCAGGACTGAGCAGTGCCTACGTGAACACGAACCGCACGTGCGACGGTGAGTCATAACGCCGAGACCTGTGTTCACACTGTGTGTACCACTGTTCTAAGTCAGTGAGTGCGGTGCGCTCTGCTGATTCATCTGCGGGGTAGTAACATGTCAGATACATATACACTGCGAAGCCGCAACGTAGCACACCCTGTCAAGTTGACCTACTCTGATGAGGTGCATGCATGATCACCTGTACCAGAGCACCCCTACAATGACCAGGACCAATGGCAATGGGTATCAGGACCAATGCAATGGGTATCATTCGTACAATGACCAGGACCAATGGGTATCAGGACCAATGGGTATCATTTCCAGTCACTGAGTTACCCTGGGTAAAGGGACTTAGTCACCTGCGTGATGACCACTACCTTTTGGAGGTCATTTGAGAGGGCGGCTTTTAGACAGATTTTAATGAAGCATGCTTGAAGCAGTCTTCCCCACTTAGTGTGGTACTATGCCATCAGAGACCTGATATGGCAGAGCTACATACTCTTGGGCAGTATATGTAGTATTGGTGTCGAGCACCACTCCGACTTATGGCTTGGTAGGTGTGCATGTGTGTGCGTGTGTGACAGAAGTGTTCTATGTTCTGCATTCTCTACTGTGTGCATTGTTCAGCTATCTGTTCGTGGCAACGGCAGTTCTGCTACCCTGGTCAGTGTCCTGGTAGAACTGACACCTGCAACTGCTCGGCAGGCTTTACAGGGGAAAGCTGCTTGACAAGTGAGTACACTGTAGCAGCAGCCTGCTGGACAAAGTCAACAACACTCTGAGATGTCTTGAATGTATGTCATTGGCAAGGGATTTACCTGCTATCCCTGTGTTATCCTAGTAGACCGTTGTATTTTGAGTCTGGTAATCGGATGCCACATTTCCCACAAGCTGCCTTCCCATACACCTCCAGTATAATGGGTAGCACGGAATGCAAATTCAGGTGGCTCGATATCTCACACTGTGTCCTTCTCACGCAACTCAAACACAAACAAAATCGCACACTAGAGCCAACCAAAGAAACAAATGGCAAAAAGGAATGGCAAGTTTGCTCTATGACAATGAGCGCGTGCATGGAACAGGTATGTTTTATCAGATTCCCTGTATAGTGTCTATTATAGATTATGCTCCACGAGCTGAGGAACTTTCCATACTGTGCGGTCAAACCTTCATTTTGATGTGCCCTTCTCTTCAATTCTGTCCTCAGTTACGGCCGTGTCAGATCTGTCATGTTCAGTGGAGCTAGTGGACAATGGCGGTGGTAATCGTCAGCAGACTACATGCAGTGTCGCCAGCAGCAGCGGCGGCATGGCACAATCGCCAACGACCTTCTACAGCAATGTCCAGCTATCACTACTCAGCTTGCAGTGGGACGTGTCCTTCATTTCACCAAGCCCCATGCCTCTGCCAGCGTACATAGTCAGGTCTGGCTACTCGGTGGGTGTCGTGGCAACACACGTGTCCGGCAAGTTAACACGTGCATCAGGTATGTCTATAGACAAAGTTGAATACTACTGTTGTGGCCATTGAACTTTGTTGAGAAGTCAAGCGGCCACAGGGCGCTGGCTTTGCAGCTGTGAGCACTGCTGGTTCATGTTTGCAGTGTTTACGTGAACTACAGTGCGTGAACACGCTAAGGCAGTAACGGCCCCGGTCATTCCACCGGATTTCAATGTCCGCAATAGTAGATTGAGCTCTATAGCCAGGAGGGTATCACATGGGCTGGGCTGTATGAAGTGGTGGAGAGGCCGTGTGCTGCAAGGCGAACAGTACTTTAAAAATGCATCAGGTTGGATCAGTGGTCATGCATGCTCTAGCCTGCAGTCTTAGATCTGTGAAATCCTTGTGAAGAAGCTACTCATGATTACGGCAAAGTGTGGGACTCAATAGCAGGGGGGGGGGGGGGGGGCAGACAGCACTGGCACTTGAGCAAGTTGAGGCACTTGCCTTGACTGTAGTCTGTTTCACATTCTTCCTGTTGCAGCTCCGTCGACAGGTATTGAAGAGAGTCAGCTGAACTGCACGGGTGTTAGTCTGTCGCGTGATACGCCCGCTGTGGCCATAGTGCCATGCAGTGGCAATGTCTCACTGTCTACACTGCCTCTGCACCGAGACGTGTAAGTGTTTGGCGCATTGCTGCTGTGCTTTATCTCAGTTGTGATGGTGTGGCTGTTAGTACTAAACAACGTTCGCCGCTGTCTTCACCCAAGATCAGCCCGCCTAGGTCCTTGTTGGGTGTGATTTGTTTGCACATTTACAACTCTCATTTGTGTGCATTAACATGTACTTCTAAGAGTGTGGGGAAGGAGTGTGCGACACCTTCCAAAATCCACCTTGTCTCCGTGGCCTTGTTCTCACCATTTCTTCTAGCCAAGACTCACACTGTTAACTGACCATTGCAGCCATGGCCTGTGACACTAGGCTAGCCGTGATAGCTCACACGTACTTCGAAGTACTAGTAGGTGTGCTAAACCTAGCATGGTAAACGCTACAGAGCCAGGGTTGGGCAGGATTTGATGCCATTATTCACACACACACAGTTTGTCAGGTACAAGTATTTAAATATCAGTGTTTTCCAAACTGATTTGGTCACATTCTATCGGTCAGTTTAAGGTGTATCCTGTGTGAGTGTTCCGGTCAATTCTCGATGTTTTCGAGTAATCTGATCATAATATAGCAAGTACATGTAGTACTAACAGTTGAAAATTGAATTGTAGCCAATTGATGTAGCTGCAACTGAACAGAATGGGACCAAAGTCATATGAAGTGTGTTTGTGTCAACATACTAGTGTAGCTACAGTGGAGAACGCCTCAGTTGTTTTGTTACAGTTATTCGTATGGGTGAGATTTGAGAGCTTCCGGGACTAGTAGTGAATTACTCAAGACTACATTGCGAGTGATCGTGGTATGTTTGGGATGCAAAATCCCAGCAGCATGGTATTCAAGTAATTGTTTATGTAGCTGGTCTGTCAGCCCAGGCTAGCACAGCCATGCATTCATACTAGCATTGCATATTCCGAATGTCCTGTCTGACTGCTTTCAGATACCAGCTGAATGTGTCCGTGTCCAATGGAGGGTACCTGACCCTGCAGAACTTTGACACGTCCATGCCCGAGCGACACTTCTACCGTGGAGCAACACGCACTGAAGTCACGAACATTGTGTTTGACTTCCAGCCTCCAGTCCACTGTTCCGTCGGTGGGACGCAGCGGTGTAGCGCTGGCGAGGACATACTCAACGTGGGCAGTCCCATCACACGTGATTCAAACATCACTGTCACGTTTGGCGGATGGTTTGAATCACCCTCGTCCAACCCTATCAAGATGTACACACTGGAGAGGCATACACTGGAAGTAACAGCCAGCCGTACCGTATGCGAAAAAGCAGCAAGCAATGTGAGGCTAGCAGAGATTCCCGGAGCGTCAACGCAGCCCATCCTATCAGTAGATACAGCACTCCCGGGTGGAGATGATGCCTACTCGTTTGTGCTGGGTGTTGAGGATATCGCTGGTAATGTTCAGTATGCACGACGTTCGCTGATCTCCGACACACAGTCAAGCATCCGCATAGACAGTGCACAGCCAATACGCATTGCCTCCGCATACGCTAGTCAGATCGATGGGCAAACTGTTGCGTGGCAGCCGAACACGCACGACGACATAAGCATCACAGCGTCCGGACATTTCTACAATACACTGATGCGGAAAAACAACTTCATGCTCGGGCTGTGTAAGTTCCAGAGCCCTATACTGGACGCTTACGACCAGCCGTTGTCCGGTCCGTTGCCTCGCGATGGCAGGAGAAGTTCTGAAGGCATAGTTGAAATATACTATGCAGCCGTGGTGAATCCAGCCAGTATCATGATCGCGCCGGACATGAGCGCCTTTAAACGCTCAACGAGCACGGCGGTCAGCAATCTGACTCTACCCGTCAGCCGCAAGGACTCTGACACAGTGGTAGTGTGGTTGCTTGCTTACGACCTGCACAACCAAACTGCCATGGACTATGTGGTGTTTCGCACGGATTCCACACCTCCTGCACTGGCCGGCCTCACTCTTATTGTGAACACGGAGCGTACCAATCTCTTCAACACGGAAGATTTGACCAAACTTGCGTTTGAGTTTGAATCGCAGGACGAGCATAGCGGTCTGCAGTCGCTGCGATGGTCGATAGGCACAGCACGGTCTGGTGACGACATTGGGCAGGGAATGGTCAATATACGCAATGTAAGTGCTACGTACACTGTGCGCTATGTGCGTTCCCTCTGATAGTCCATAGGAGTTGCCACCTTGCACTCACTGAAGCAGTGTGCTGGAATGTACTAACTAGCAGTATGTAGGCATGTACTTCAAGTAGGACGGGCTCTTTCCTTTCCTTTTAGATTTCTTGAACATTGAAGCGGCCTGTGAAATGGTCAGTGGGTGCATTGAGTGTGTGATTGTTATTGTCAACGCCGCCAATCTGTTGATGTGTACAGAATGTCAGCTCCTGCTCACCTCCATCTTGCATCTGCGCCCAGCCTCTCAATGCGCCCTGCCAATCGACACGCTACAGCGTATCGCTCGCCTCCTTGCCACGCCAGAGCCTGCGTCAGGACCACGACTACTTCTTGACCATTGTGTCGACAAACAATGCCGGTCTGCAGACAAGCAGAATGTTGCAGTTCACCGTGGACGTGTCTCCACCCTACGGTGGTGTGGTGGTTGATGAGGCACCCGGTCGGCATGACGTCAACTTCCAGACTATCCTATACCATCCACACTCCTGGTCTGGCTTTGTCGACGATGTCTCCGCTATCAACTACTACCAGGTGTATGTTGGCAGCAGCTGCCTGACTGCTGGAAACTTCACGCACCCACCACAGTCGATGGTAAGCTGGCTGCTCGTGAATGCATCTGGTGCAGGAACTAGATAAGTCATGTTGCTTGTAAATACCCTGTACTGTGATACGTGCCAGAGTCGACGTGCCACTAAATAATTTCCGCAGGTGTTGGGACCCCTCGTCAAGGAATAAGTTACTGGAAGTCCTGGTTCTGTTGACGGTCCCCTGGGACAGGCGATTGTCTTGTCCGTGTGGTGCCATTGGCAGCTAGGTTTTACTTCAATCAGAACTTCTCCCTCACTTGCACTAACACTCTATGAGCTGGCACTAGACTGCCATGGCAAGCAATTTTCAGTGCCTAGTGGAATGAAGCACAGTTCTGATGAAATAGAAATATCTGTGGACTCTGTTTTTCTCGGTAGTAGGGTCTGCAATCACACTAATCAATACAATATTCCATACTGTGTCCAAGAGGGGTGTTTGATCATACAAGCCTGTGCGCTCAAATCAGATTCTTAACCAGAACTTCCTAATGGAGAGCGTTTGTGGTGCTGCTTGAGGGCCAGGCTGATTAATGACGTTTCAGCAGGTGTGTGGATATCCGGGAATTTGCCCGGAGTGTGCCTGATTCACTGCTGTACTGTGGTCGTGTTGTGCTACATGTATATGTGTATGCAGGTCACTAACACCACGCGCACTGATAACTTTGTGGTCCATGCTGCACCGGGTACATACTATGTCACTGTGGTGGCTGTCAACAACGCCTATCTCATCTCAGCACCGGTATGTTCGGACGGCGTCACCATTGACACGACGGCACCGGTCGTTGAGCAGGTGATCGTCAACAACACCAAGACCATAGCTGGCATTGCAAAAGACACGCTTGGCCAGGTGAGTTGTCCAGTGTCTACTGGCCGTTTCTAGTTTCTACTGCTGTGCCGTGGCTGCTTACGATACTGTCCATTGTGCAACCAGTATCAACTGAGTGTGGAAGTGACACTCTGCTTACACTTCTACTTGCTAAATGTCGTTTTCACTGTGATCGGTCAAGTGAGTTACTGGCAGCATTCGCTGCAGGATAGATCTTTGCAAAGAAAATATGCCGCGTCAAATATGGCACTCGCCTCATCTTGCCTACATTGTATTGACTTGGTCTAAACTTTGAGCTGATGGTGCGGCACTTGAGCGCATCATTATTGTTATTATTCATTAAAATCCCAGTCCAATATCTTGTTTGGAGGAAAGAGAAAACTGGGTAAATTGTGGTCAGGGGGGGGGGGGGGGGGCGTGGGGCCGCAGTGGAAGATGAGGGTCGTGGTGTGTCATTCCACTTTTAAAGCACAGCAAATGTAATAATTCTGAAAGTGCCACACACGAAGAATAAACACCGAATAAGTATGTAACTGTTCGGCATGATTAATTAGAACGTTCCATTGGCTTGCTGTCCTTGTTTGATTGCACCAAGGGAATGTTATTGTTTAAAAAATGGCAATGTACATGTATATTATTGTTGTATTCTGGTGTTCATAGGTGTGGTATATGGACACTGATCATCGCAGAGCGTTGGTAGACATGCCATCGACAGCATGTGTGGCACGCGCTGCACTCAATCCAGACAAGATCCGGACTGTTCCCGTCCACAGAACTAGACGGTATGTACTGGTAGTATCGGTGTTCATAAGTCAAAGTGTGCAACTCAAAATGAGTTTGGGAAGGCGGAATTCGGCGTTCACATATTTGCATGAGTTATGGAATCCACGATTTGACAATGCAGTCGTGTGCTGCATCTGTACGGCCTTTAACATCACGCATATCTTGACGTTGAAATGGCGCAAACAACAAATTGCTTTGCCCTGAACCCATACGCAGAGCATCTGCGTACTCTATTCCATGTACTCACAGTGAATGTAGTGAGAGTGGTCTAGAGTGGTCTAGAGTGGTCTAGAGTAGTCTAGAGTAGTCTAGAGTGGTCTAGAGTGGTCTAGAGTGGTCTATACGTGTATGCGTTCCTGTCCTGCTTACCAATCACATCTCTATTGACCCTCTTTGTGTAAACTTGGATAGTGTGACATGGTAGCTGAACGTTAGCTGAGTACTCCCCCCCCCCCCCCCCACAGGTATAGTGGTGCTAGTACATATAGATTGCGGCATATGAACAGGCACAGTGTCATGCATGATACTTATCATTGAGAAGATCATAGGAGTTGATGTCACATGACAGCTTGGTGAGTAGTTAGGTTGCGCCCACTAGCAGGCTATGTCAGATTTTAGTGGCACATTGGACTGGTGCTAAGGCACACGAAGCATGCCATTGCGGAGTTGATGTATTCGGAGAAGTAGTTAAGTACCATGTTGCTGCACTGAGCAGCATCAGTCTCATCCTTGTTTGTGTTGTGTTGTGTTATGTTATGCGGCTGTGCAGTGGGAGCATACACACCGTACCTAACTCCTGGTGCATGGATGCTGCCAACGCTACATTCGAGCTTTTCCTGGTCACGCCAAACGCCATGCTCCTGTCCTGGCAAAGCTCAGACATTGAGAGTGGCATGAGAGGACACACTATCACTGTGAGCACCCTTCCAGATAGCTCTCTGGGAGTTACTGTCGCTACATTTGAAACTCAACTGAATCGTCGCACGGCACTCTTTGGCAAGTATACAAGTGGTCTAGAGCAAGGCAAAAGTGTCTACGTGCACATAACAGGTCAGAACAATGCACTGCAAGAAACGGAGATCACAGTTGGCCCAATCTACATCGATGCAACACCACCGATCTTCAACGCATCACTCACTGTTGTCTGGGATCATTCTGCTGGTGTTCTCAGATCAGTCATCCCATTCAATGCGTCCCTGGATGCTGACTTCTTCACACCGATATCCTATTCATTGGCTGTGGGAGAGACTCCAATGGATGATCGCGTTATGGCGTTCACACAATGGACCTCGTCGCCCTCATGTACCACAGCCAGACTAATGTGCTCTGAAATCCGTGCCTCCGACCTCTCATCCCAGCTCCACTCCGGTCGTCTGTACTATGTGACGCTACATGCAACAAACGCTGCCGGACTCTCATCGACAGTGCAGGCCCAGTTTAGCTATATTGCAGGCATGCCATCAGCGGGCATGGTGCTAGACACTGCACCATCACCAGCCGCCGTTGAGCATCGCTCTGGTCTGGACTTTGCTTCCCAGGATGTTGATCTATGCATGACCGGTCCAGCGTGGAATGCTCGCTGGCATGGTTTCACCCACGCATCTCATGCCATTGCGTATGCCATTGGTCTAGGCTCCAGGCCACAGGCTGATGATGTTGTTCAGTTCAGACCAGTTCCAGCTCCGCAGCAACTCTCAGTTATGCTGAACGTATCCAACGTAACACTGCAGACTGACTCTACATACTACACCGTCATCAAGGCATGGAACGCTGTCGGCTCCATTGTGGTCTCATCGGATGGCTGTCGCATCCTCGGGGACACTGAGTCGATGTTTGCTGCGGCCAGTGTGCGGGATGGCCATTCAAGTGTTGACATAGACACACAGATTTCCCAGCAGACTGTGGGTGTAAATTGGCAAGTACCCAGTGGTCTGCATGTAAGCCGTGTGTTCTGGAAGCTGCAGCAGCTAACACCTGTACAAATGGACCTGACCGACTTCAAGCCAATCTCCAGCACAGGAGCGTCCACGCAAAGACATGTACTGATCGCCGGCAATCGCTATCGCTCAGTCTTGCGTCTCTGCAATGCAAACGCCTGCTACGGAGATAAACTATCGGACGGATTCCTCGTCTCTGGACCAACTAGGCCTGGATCCATGCGGGCCGTGTACAACGCCTCAGCATTGACGGTGCAAGTTAGCTGGGACTTGTTCAACACATCCGGTGACATGGCATTTGTAGACTATTACCAAGTGTCAATTGGAACTAGCGAGAAGAGTGCTGGTGAAGAGCTACTGCTTCCCTGGTCAATTGTTGGCAATCCGGTATGTGAACACTGCTGTGTGCTTTGCATAACGTGCACTATCCGTACATGTAGATAGTGATGCAGACATGTGTTAGCCAGGCAGCATGATGCCGTGCACTATTAGCTCCTGAACCCTGAGTATAATGTATTTTCCATACGGATCTAGCCTGAGTGAAGATGGATAATGGTGGCTGTGCTATAGTATAAGGACGGTGCACTGCTGTTCATCTGTGTGCATGCGTGTGTGCATGCGTGTGTGCATGCGTGTGTGTGTGCACATTCCACTCATCCACACTGCAATTATTGATCCTAGCAAGTTATACTATACACATGCAGTGCCTTGGGAAGTGAACACATCATGTTCTCCATTCTGATACCACACAAACAAAGCTATCCTGGAACAAGCTAGGAGACGGCAGTACTGCACTGTACTATGCACCTGAATCACTGGTCACCCTGTGGCTGCTGCTGCTGCTGCTGCTGCTGCTGCTGCTGCTGCTGCTGCTGCTATGCTTTGCCTGGTTGTTTAGGGCTTTATCCGCCTACGGGAGCCTCTGGCGGCCTATCACCAAGCATCTGCCACTGTCCGTGCTCATGTTGCTGATGGATATTTTGTAATGGCACACACGCCGGTTCTATGGGTCATGGATGATGGCAAGGTGGTGAAGCGCACCGACACATTAATCAAGCCCACAGTGTATGATCTTACTCCACTGCCAGTTCGTCAGCCATTGCCCAGTGTAAGCTCTGATTGGCGACTCGTCGAGCAGCAGTACCAGCTGTCCACGGATATCCAGTACTCGCCAGTGGCAACACGCATAGCTGCCTCATGGCCCTCGGTGCACTATCCCGAAGTGAGTTGGTCGTTGTCAGACCGCCGTCTATTCCTGCCATGCACACACGGGAGCACCAAGGCATGTGGAAGTGTCAAGGGCACTGTTCTCCATGCCGATGTTGCTGGTCTGGTTGAAGGACAGCGCTATTACGTGTGTATATCGGCACCAGCCACAACTGTGCATCATGAACTGCACAATGAATCACTGCCGGGAATTGCATCCTGCAGCGACGGTTTTGTTCTCGACAGCAAGACACCCGTCGGTGGATGTGTGTGGGCTGGTGGTCAGGCTGTTCTCCAGTCTAACTGCACAGCACCGTCATTCTCCAGCAGTACTGCAGAACTGCCTGTGTCCTGGCAGGCCTTCTCCGATGTAGAAGCACATGGCAAAGCACCGCACATGTCCGGAGTCAAATACTACCAGATTGGTCTTGGTAAGTCAACACCAGAGAGCACCAAAAAAACGGTTGTTAGTACTCCCTGGCCAACACCCCATTCCATCATATAATGGCCTGTGTGTTCCTCAATTCCATGTTTCAATCAATATTGGAATGGCAGCTATTGTTATACTTGTCAAGTACCATGAGGCAGTGTCTCCGTCATTTAGCCTCAATGGAGATACACCTTTCTGTGGGATTTGGGAAGAGGAACTGATGGATCAATGGCCTGTCTTTTCGAGTTAGCGTTCTTATTCCGTGGGTGCATTTCTTTATACACGTAGCTACGATGAAGATTGTGCTCGGCTGAATATGCAATAGGCAAAACAGGTTATGAGTAGGAGCCATTCAAAGATTTTAGTGCCAATGGTATGTGATGTTTCTCCTGCCATACTACTGCAGGAACCCGACCTAGCATGGATGATGTTGTAAAGTTTCACAGTGTTGGCCAGGCATTATCCACTGTCATGAGAGATCTCGCGATGCGATCATCCATCCAGTACTTTGCCACTGTACGAGGTAAGTTGCAGAAAGCAGCACATCCATAGAGAATGCAAAACTGGTACACGGCAACTAGCCAGCAACAGGATCCGCAAAGATCGCAAACCATGACCAGGGCATTGGCTTGACATGGGATGCCATTTTTTCGGCCCGAGATATTGATGAACTCTTCGATAGGCTTTGGCAGTATGCAGGAACTAACAAGTCACATTGTGAACATGGCTGAGACAGGTGCATGGGAACAATGCAGTGCAGAAATGGTTCATTCTCTACTTGTCAGACTATGTCTCCTGTTGTGATCTTTCCCAAATGTCTACCCAAGTGTTTTCTTCCAAATGTGACTCCTGAACGCGTTCCTGTCCAGCATGCCATGCGTGTACTGTTTGAAGTACAAGTATGCGGTAACACCATTGCTTCTCTCCACATTTTGTTGATACAGCATACGACTTTGCTGGCCATTGGAGTCAGGTCACGTCGAATCCTGTTCTGGTGGACCCGTCTCCACCAGATGCAGGTTGGATAACACTTGGGACAAGCTCGAGACCGCTTGATTTGTTCATTTCCTCGCGCACTCTCCTGGAAGCTAGCTGGCATGGGTTTATGGACAAGGAAAGTCCAGGCCTGCGCTATTCATGGGCCGTGGGCTCACGTCCAGGTGGTAGCAGTGATCTGATGGCCTACACTGATGTCAAATCACTGACGTACGGACGTGCCAGTGTTAACCTGGCAGATGGCGACATGGTGTTCATCTCCGTTGTGGTTAGTTCACCTGCTAATTTAGTTTGTGTGCGTGTGTGTGTGTGTGCAGTGTGTGCAGTGTGTGTGTGTGTGTGTGTGTGTGTGTGCAGTGTGTGTGTGCAGTGTGTGTGTGTGCAGTGTGTGTGTGTGCAGTGTGTGTGTGTGTGTGTGTGTGTGTGTGTGTGTGTGTGTGTGTGTGTGTGTGTGTGTGTGTGTGTGTGTGTGTGTGTGTGTGTGTGTGTGTGTGTGTGTGTGTGTGCAGTGTGTGTGTGTGTGTGTGTGTGTGTGTGTGTGTGTGTGTGTGTGTGTGTGTGTGTGTGTGTGTGTGTGTGCAGTGTGTGTGTGTGTGCAGTGTATATGCACGTACGTTGGATGTACATGTCAGGGTGGTCTGCAAATCGTGCACATCTTGGGTATCGGTGACCATTCAGCAACCACGGAAGTGGTGATGAACATTTGCCTCCATATATGTGACTACCATTGCTGTGTCATATGCAGGGAGTTATGGGTCGCACTGCCAGGCAAATTCACACAACGTTCTGTTTGATTCCTTCTGATCTTCTTTCTGTTCTTTAGGCAAGGAATGATGCAGACCTATCAACCCTCGTCACATCACCTGGCTTCCTGGTGGATACATCTGCACCTTCTCCAGGTGTAGTGTATGATGGTGATAATACTGTGGATGTTGATGACGTGTTTAATGATGCTGATTACACTGACCGTGCTGACAGGATGCTGTGTCGTTGGGCAGGATTTGCAGACCCGCAGTCACAGCTGGCGGAGTACAGTCTGGCCGTGGGCACGTGTCGCCAGTGCACGGACGTTCAGAGCTGGATGTCGGTGGGATTGCGCACAGGTACGTCTGTCCTGTGATGTGCGTTAATTCTGCCTGGATCATAGCCATTGTGCAGCGGCTGTGCTGGGCTGTGTGAATATGGCTTTGGTATATACAGCAGTGGCAGCTGATGGTCCAATAATGCTGAACACCACCGCATTACTTATATACGCAGATTGTGTATATATATATATACAATTTGTTCTCTGGAGCGAATTCAGCCTCTCCATGTGCGGATCTGTCTTTCTCCCCTTTCCTCTGTTTCTTATGTTAGTATACAGTCTAGTATGTTCAAAGTTGTGTTAAACAGTATGGCTTTCAATGCAGACAATGACTAGCGTAGTCCCACAATGCAAGTACATGTATGTGTACTGCATTAGTGAATGGGTTTTGCAATATTGTTATTTTCTGTACTCGATTCATCTGTTGCTGTAGCGTACAGTCGCAACGACCTGCCGTTGCGGAGTGGCAGGACGTACTACTGCCGAATCCGCGCGTGCAATAGTGCGCGCCTGTGCACGGAGGCTGTGAGCGATGGTATCACGGTTGATACCACACCGCCGATCATTGGCAATGTAGTGTTGCCAGCACATGTGACCAGTAACAGGTAGGTGCTAGGTGATGATAATGATTATAATGATGACTAACCGTGACTGGCATTCACTGTGGAGTGGTGCTGACTGACACTGGCATTCACTGTGGAGTGGTGCTGACTTACACTGGCATTCACTGTGGAGTGGTGCTGACTTACACTGGCATTCACTGTGGAGTGGTGCTGACTAACACTGGCATTCACTGTGGAGTGGTGCTGACTTACACTGGCATTCACTGTGGAGTGGTGCTGACTAACACTGGCATTCACTGTGGAGTGGTGCTGACTTACACTGGCATTCACTGTGGAGTGGTGCTGACTAACACTGGCATTCACTGTGGAGTGGTGCTGACTAACACTGGCATTCACTGTGGAGTGGTGCTGACTTACACTGGCATTCACTGTGGAGTGGTGCTGACTAACACTGGCATTCACTGTGGAGTGGTGCTGACTTACACTGGCATTCACTGTGGAGTGGTGCGTTAGTGTGATATCAAAAAGTACATGTACATCATAAGTTCGAATCAAGTGTGACTGGTGTTGAACTTGCAAGAGGAATCAAACCATTTGAACATCAGAAAATCCAGAGCAGACATTGTGCTCCGTGTCCTTGCATGGTTCATGGGCTAAACATGGCATTTTTTAAGCCTGTGAATACATCTCTCTCATTGCCAGATTCCAAGTGATCATCCAGTAGGGGCTATATGTACATGTACTTAGAGATGTACTTGCTAATACATGTACACGTATAATTGCTTTGCCAGTAGCATGCAATGTCGGCAATGATGCATCCTGAGTTCCTGATCATCCTATGCATGGCATGTGTGTTCTCTCTGTGCAGGTACTATTCCTGGGCACAGGCTGCTGGATTCCATGATCCGCACTCTTCCGTCATGTCGTATCGCTGGATGGTAGGTGCAACAGCAGTCGTCAGTAGCAGTGACTATCTTGGCCCAGTGTCTACCTTCTCCAGTCCTGTCTTTCAGTACACTAATCACACAAGCAGTCTCCTACCCACCAGCGGGACTGCGTATGTATCGGCCGAGGTGCGTAACCATGCCGACGCTGTTGTGCGGCAGCTGTCTCAGCCACTCGTGGTCGACATGTCAATCCCACAGCTGTCCAGCGGGCAGCAGGTGACGTTTGACGAACTCTGGGGTGGATCTATTCTTGCCGGTACGCAGACATCGGCTGAGGGCGTCCGCATCCGCTGGCAGTTAAGCACTCGACCAGCACGACATGTAGTGACGCTCGCTGGGGCCGATAGGCGCTTTGCTCACGTCCAGAAGGCTCACGGCAGTGCAACGTCAACAGTGCTACGAGCATCGCTCAGCGACGGCGAGACATACACTGCACACGTGACGGCTTGTAATTTAGCCGACACCTGTGCCACATTCTCCACCGGTCCTCTCCTTGTCGACTCAACACCACCGACTGTTGGCTACATACAGGCTATGAGCAACTCTTCGGCTCAGGCTACGGGTGGTACGGCATCACGAAACAACCCGTCCTACCAAACCATGCCAGATGGTGTACAGGCAGCCGTCTTCACCATTGCTGGGTTTTCCGACGCTCACAGCGGCATCTCTCAGTACACGGTCAGCATTGGCAGCAGCTATTTTGCACTGGACCTTGCCAACAATTCTCGTGTTGACGTCACCAATGTTGTCGCAGGAGTGCTCCGTGTTCCTCTGAGTAGAATCCTGCTGGCTGGAGAAAGACTCTTTGTGACGGTCGTAGCCTGGAACAAGGTTGGGCTGGGCTCCGTGCCTCTGCTGCGCAGCTTTATTGTTCACGCATCAACAACCGTGCCTGGTTCAGGCAGCCTGGTGTTGGAACGCTCTGCAGCCTGTCAGACTGTGAGCTGTCAAGGTCATTGCACGTGCCCGCTGAACTCCGGGTTCTGCCAAGCAACTTCCTCCACATGCCAGCCATTAAATGCAAGCAGCACATCGCTGGTGACCCGGCCAGCATCGGTCTTCGTGACACTCTCGCACCGCCAAGCCACCCCCGCTGCCGCTGTGTCCTCGATACCATCATCACGGATTGTCCATACTTCTTGGACCAGACCACTATCTACTATCGGTGATGTACAGTGGTATGACTGGAGTTTGGGACTTGCCGATGAAACACCGGGTTCAGGAGTGTTCAATCCTGCCACCGATCAAGTCTGGCATCCCCTTGGCCAGCGGGAAAGCACGACGATATCCCTCGCAGCCAGGCAAAGGCTTCAACATGGACAGCGCTACGTTGTGTATGTGCGTGCTTGGTTCAACAGCAGTCACTACGCCGTCTTTGAGTCTGCTGTGTTCAGACCCGACCTGAAGCCACCACAACCGGTTCCAGGAAAGAGATGCAGAGAAGTGGTATCAATGAGCAAGACCAGTGTGGATATTGACTACACATCGTCAACAGACCATCTGACGGTGTCTTGGACTGGTGTGTTTGACACTAGCATACCCAGTACTATAGATAGATACGAGGTTGGACTGGGAACAGCAGCAGGAGGTAAGCAATGGAAACCTGAACCAGCTTGGTTGGATGTTTGGGGGAACATGACAGTCCCTCCATTTTTGGTGGAATAGATGGTGTGGCCTGTGTTCCGTTCACATTAAATTCGGTATGCGGTATGCGGAATCGTTAGGTGGGAAACCTTTGCAGGAGATAAATAAGTTATTTCTGTGACCCGCATACATTCATGAAATAAACTTGCCACAAACTGCTCTTTGCATTGATATGACTGTCGATTGTGGACAATACAATGACATGATTCAACTGAAGCGATGAAATTGCAAAAGTATCTCATTTTGGAACTGCTCAATCTCATCTTCTGATGACAAAATTATAAACAGCAAAAGCTTCTCGCTTTCCTTGGTGTAACAAGATGGGGAGGCTCAGTATGACCTGAACCTGCGACCTGCATGACCGTACACATGCTGTGGAACAGTGGGTAGTGCTGGGCCCGCTGCTCATCCATGTACGCACTAGAGAAAAATGTCGATGATGTAGCCTCTGTAGCACTGCTAAACTCAACAATTGTTCTTCTGGAAAATACCACAGAAACGCTGTCCGCATATTATACACTCCAGCAGCAAAGAGTACTATTTTAGATCATTGTCAAATGATACCACCCGTATCTTCAGAATCTTTAAAAACTTCATTGCAGTGTGTTCGTTACACTTAAGAACACCTCCAAACTATTCTTACATATTCCACAACGAGCGTTCATCTGCACCGAATAAAAATGGCTGCCAACATGTCGCCCATTGGGTATCATCAGGGCAGTATCACACAGTATACCACACATAGTAGAACAAATGTACCATTGCAAGTAGCTTTCAATGCGCTTGTGTCCAGCACTGCTTGTGTCCGTGTTTCATCACGCTATGTTATGTGCTCCCCTCTGCCTGCAGTGGATGACACAGTTCAGTTCACAACGGTTGTGTCCACAGTGACCACGCACCGCTTTTCTGGCCTATCACTGCACACCGGCATGACATACTATGCATCTGTGATCGGCGTCAATGGCATCGGCGAGACTGGTGTAGCTCAGTCCGATGGCATACTGGTCGACACAACACCACCTGTTGCCGGAGAAATCCGCTTGCTCAACACAGCACATGGTGATAAGCCAATCGAGGCATCAGCCAACAGTTCCGACGTCAGGGTGCATGTGAACGGAGCCAACGACCCAGAGTCGGGCATCGCCGCATACAGCTTGGCCGTCGGGACTTCGCCAGGCCTGGCAGATGTACTGGCAGTGAACGGTAGTTCAATGGGTGCACTGCAGTACTGGCCACTGTCAGCTGCAGACCTTAGCCACAACACAACGTACTACGTTGCACTGACTGTCCGGAACGGAGCTGGTAAGTTTGCAACGCTCGCATCCTCTGCTCAACTAATCTACGACACTACCCGTCCAAGTACATACTCCTGTCCGCAAAGCAGTTCAAGCATCAGCAATCCTTCCTTTGAAGCTCCCGGAGCTGTGACATGTCCAACAGTGGTGCCGTCTGTTATGCAAGCTACATCCAGCTGGACACTAAACGCTACACGTAGCTATGTGGACGTGTCCAGCATGGCTAATACAGCGCATGGGTGTATCTCTCTGGTCTTTGGCGGAGGGGCTCTACAGCAGAAGATAGCAACCAGTGAAGCAGAGCTCTACACCGTCGAGATGCACCTGCGAGTGGCAAACTGCTTCGAGTCAACATGCCGCAATGAGACCCTGTCGGCCATTGTACTCTCTGTCAGGATGGGAACCGAGATAAGGTCAATCATGTTATCACCACACTCGCCTGCAACAGCATCTGCATGGACTGTTGTCAAGCTGAATTTTGCAGCAGAGTCATCGGAATCGGTCGTCAGCCTCGAGAGTCGCAGCTCAGTTGCAATGGTAGCCGTTGGCCTGTTCAATGTGTGGGCATGCAACGGACCCGCTCTGGATTCCGTTGCTCCGGATGACAGTCTGAGAGTGCACAACTCCACGACTGTATCACTGCAGCAGACATATCTGGATGACGACAGATCGCTGCTGCAGGCACGGTGGAACATAGCAGATGATGAAAGCGGCATACAGGAGTACCTCTGGGCGGTTGGCAGTGTGGCTGGAGGTGAGCAATATCAGAAATTCACGTCAGCTGGTCAGCAGTCGTACGGGCAGACCACCATGCTGCAGTACATGAGTCATGGAAGCAGTATCTTTGTCACCGTGCTGGCATGGAACAAGGCTGGCCAGGAGAGGCTGGTGTCGTCCACTGCACACCTGGTCGATCACACACCGCCGGCACTTGGCCCCGTCTGGGACGGCAGTGTAGATACTGACTGGCAAACGGGTCTGGAAATCAGTGTTCACACGCCGCAGAGTGTGGACAGTGAGAGTGGCATTGCGCAATGCTCCTGGACAGTTGGTAAGAATTTCACTGACACACACTGTTCATACTGCTTTGATTCAGTACCCTGGAATGTGCCCAATGCTGTCCTTGTTCACACTGCTTTGATTCAGTACCCTGGAATGTGCCCAATGCTGTCCCCATTTAATGCACCGGCAAATTTAATCGTTGGGGCTTGGGCCACATGGTCGGTATGCACTACACTATGCGGGTTCTCGTAGTTGCCCTAAATAAGGTCTCGCCTGACAAAGCAGTTAGCTGTCTGCAGCATTGAGAAACATTAATGATGAGTGCAAGCAAGCTTCAAGCATATCTGTTCCTTCTGGATTTGTGGTCATTTGGAGGACTTTGCTCACCACATCACCTTTCCCTATAATAATAATGTTTTGTTTTGTTGGATCTCTATGGCTTTCTTCAGCATCAAGTCGGTCACTGAAAAACGACATTCTTCCGGCAATGGAGATCCAAGCTGGTAAGGTGTCCAGGCGCAACTTGTCAGCAATGAACACGACTCACGGGCAAACTGTCTACTCAAGGGTATGCTGCACGAATGGAGCTGGCCTTGCGTTGTGTTCCGTGTCCGACGGCGTGACCATTCTAACCATGCCACCATCTCTTGACCGGGTTGCCGTCGACATTCAGGCTGCAGATCAGGGCCCATACGATGCGGAGGCCAATGTCATCGCTCAAGCCGACGGCCTGTATGCCAGCTGGGATGCCGTTCAGTGGCCGCATCATGTCTCACATTATCAGCTGCGCATTCCCGGTAGTTCAGCAGCATGGACAAGTGTGGGGACGGCTAATGGTGTTGTGCTGCGAGGATTCACCCTTGCAGATGGTGATCAGCAGCTCGAGCTGAGGGCAGTAGACCTGGCCAACCAAATCAGTGACACTGCACTAGCTAACTTCACGGTGGACACAAGTTTGCCTTCTGCAGCTGGTAAGAGTGCTTGCTATCAACCCTAGGAAGATGTGGTTTGGTGCATGAGCTCATAGTCACCACGGCATAAGTTAGTGTTTAGCACTGTGCTGCCCTGAAATAGCAGCCTTGAACCTTGGCGGGTGCATTTCCCCGGGTTTGTATGCAGGCAATGAATTGCACCGCTTTATCAAGAGTCATCATCTTCTTGGCCAAAACGGGTGAAGATAGATGGGGTGCACCATGATGAAATGCACATAATGCACACAGACTTGTAGAACAAGTGCCTTCATCACATTACATTGTTCATGCCTGATTTGCCCAGCGCTGGCTTTTAAATGATGCCGTTCCCATCATGGCTGTTACGGTTGTTGTTGCCATTGTTTTGCTGCTGTAGGAGGGAGTGTCAACATATCACGTTTGTCAAACGACTCCATCACGTTGGACTGGGATGATGTTTTCAGCAGTGGATCTTCATCACTTCGTTACGAGGTATCTCTTGGTACAGACTTCACTGGCAGTGATATTCTAGCCACGGCATGTTGCACCCGTGACACAACACTGCTTATCAAGTCTCGACTGCTTGCCAGAGCGGCAGCACAAAGCAACGTGCACCTCACACTCACCGCTGTAACCGCGGCTGGTCTACAGAGTACTGTGATGCGTGTACTGGCTATGCCTCCTTGCTGTCACTCCCCAGCAAGCAGGTAAAGAGCACCCTGTGACCGTGCTGGCCACGAGGGACTGCACTGCATTTATAGTGTCACACAAAGGCAGTCACACACAGTGACACAACATTGCATCCGACCCAGGGATTCCCCCGGACAAGTAAAGGGTTTATGATTGTTTTTGAATTATTTAGGGATATGATGTTGAGATTTTTGACAAGCTCAGTTTGAGTGCTAATTCTTGATGTAAAATAGTGTGCAATACGTTGTCAAACCCTTTGTACATGTCTACCAAAGAACTCACTACATATACTGTTTACTAACAATTAGAGATCTATTTCAATTTTATTGACGCATGCCATCCCGAGGCAGCAGCTTTATCTGTACCCCATTTATTTTGCTTTACAAATATAAGCGGAATGAGATGATTCACCGTAGCGCGAACAAGCAGAATTAGATAATCTCTGTGCAAATTGTTATATTCAGTCTCAGTGTCTTAGTAGATATCCTTCTCTTCTGACTCTTTCACTTTGATACTACCGTAATCTTCATCTTTTTCACTCTCGGTCTTTTAGTGCGAGTAACTAGATTTCCTTCTTTACTCCTTCTTTACTCCCCTTGCTGGCCAACTCTTGCCGGCTGCTTTGCCTTGTTTCTACTAGAATCTGTTTCTCAGGAGCCCTAATGAAAGTGCCTTAGTAAAAATTCAACTAATGATGCGAATAGACACTTAACATCATGTCAAAATAGTCTCTATTTCATCCAAGCCACTAATGGTGATACGAGCAGCAGCAGCAAACAATTACACGCACAAGTCAGGCAGTCAGAGCAGTGAAAAATAGCACCTAAGAAAGCGCAAGTGGTGCCAACTACATAATGAAGCCACCACAACACAGAGCATAAAACCAAACAGTGATTACACAATGTTGCAACAGTGGTAACTTTTGCACAGTCTTCTTCAGCACAGTGTGCACACCCAGTTTGGGTTTCAGCTTGGCAACATACACCGCCTCCAAGCCAGGTAAAATGTGTTGCACGCAGGCGCTCGGATATTGAAGTGTGAATTGAATTAATTGATGTGGTGTTTGGTACCACTCGCACTCTAGGTGCCATTTTTACCACTGCTCTGACTGCCTAAAAGCTAGCTACAAAGTACAAAGTCAAACCTTGTTAGGACGAACACTGATAAGGCGAACTTTCCTTTAGTATGAACTAGGGCCAATCCTATGTTTGGCCAGGCATCGTTTCAAGTCAAAATTATTCGCTTCGACGAACTCTGTACGGCAAACTTTCATGAAGACGAACTAATTTCAAGCGTGATTTGGACAAAATCAGGATGTAGTACGAACTTTCGGTCCCCATGGGTACGCTGGCTGTAGTTATTTTTCTGATAGTCGAGGCCTCTTGTACTGGCAAAACATGTTACAAGGCGGATGTAATGCTGTCATGAATTCATTGCACATTGCTGGGTTATGACTTATGTTATGAAAAAATGTTTTTACATTTGCCACACAGCATGCACCTTCACATAAATACAATCCATATGATACGCATATCAATGTTTTTGTCAGATCTGGATATGAAGAACTCCGGATAAGACAAACAAACTCGTCCGGTCCCTTGAAGCTCGTCCTAACGAGGTTTGACTGTAGGTTAAGTCCTCTCTGCGCACAAAGTGCTCAATACCAATACCCGGAAGGGCAGAGTTTCGCGCAAGCGTGAAACTCTGAGTCGCAATGAAAATTTTGTTCCACAATACCGGTAAAAGCTAGTTAGATTTAAGGACTTTTTGCTGCTGCTCACATCAATAATGTACCGACCTTGAAGAGTAATGGTGCGAAAGGCCTCGTCAAAATTTACAGAGACTTCTGTGCTTCGTGCGCTAGTTTGTTTTCCTCCAACAAAAACTACATATCCTCTACAAACACAGGCCAGACACAGGTAGCGAATGCAGTGGTGTGGAATTCGAAAATTTCCATTGAACTCGGGAATTTTCTTCGAGCATCTTTGACCCCAAGTGCTTTGGGACATCATACTGTCAAGCCCAAATTTGGATAAGAGTACTACATACCGTATTACCTCCATTATAAGCCATGGGCATGGGCTTCTATTTGTTCAACCAGTCCTCACCCTGGGCTTATATTGGAGACTGGGCTTCTACTAGAGACTGGGCTTATAATTTTTCAACATCTGGTACTCAATCTGCGGACAGAACTGTTTCCTTTGTGGACTCATCAGCGCAGCACAGAGGAAATGAGGCCAAACCTGATAGCAAAGAAAAATAAATTTTCCAAAGCCATTAAACCAGGCCGAAACGTACCATCTGGTACAAGTATTTTTTCTTCTACTTTGAGGTACCAGTAGCACACAATTTCCCACCAGGTATCGTGAATGTAGTTTTGCACTTCCTGGTTCCTGAGTCTGCACATTTTTATCTCGGGGATCACAGACCTGCGCCATAACATGTGTGTATGTGATACTGTGGACGCCAAACATGCATGGAGATGATCCATACAGGTCTCCATTATAAGCCTGGGGGCGTCAGACACGGTACGGTCACTACGGTATTGACCGTACCACTTTTTGCCCCAGGTACCCCGTGAATCAATAAGATACACTGATCTGGACTCTAAATTTCCAAAATTTTCGTCTCCGCCATCCCTCCCCCATAAGTAAACTGTACTTCAGATGACTGACCGTACCACACTAAAATACCTTCCGACGCCTCTGTAAGCCCTGCGCTTATATTGGAGACTGCGCTTGTATATCTTCGAAGCCCTCTTGGAGTGCGCTTATAATTGAGACTGGGCTTCTATAAGAGACTGCGCTTGTAATCAAGATAATACGGTAATATGTTCTCCTAGTCCCCAAGGCCAGCACATACAGCACATCATGTTGCCAAATTGCAATGGAGTTCGAAAGAAGTACAGTACTATAGCAGTTATTATAGCAGTTACATCACAGTAACACACATGCACAGATGCACAGATGCACACACACACACACACACACGCACGCACGCATGCACGCACACACACACCATACACACACACACAAATACACACACACGCCATACACACACACACGCCATACACACACACACACACACCATACACACACACACACCATACACACACCATACACACACACACACCATACACACACAGCATACACACACAACATACACACATACACATACACACACACATACACACACACACACACCTCAGACCTCAGACATGCCCATCGCGAAAGCGATGATAGCGAACAGCTATGTTAGACATAGCAACTTGTGCTGGGATTACTGGCGGTCAATTCATCAGCCTTGCAAGCTGTTGAATGGTGTAATCCCAGCACACACACACACACACACACACACACACACACACACACACACACACACACACACACACACACACACACACAAAACCCTGACCTTGATCTTGCCCGTCAATTGACGATAGCGAACTGGCGTTGTTTGCAGAACGTAACGTGGTGTTTCAACCCTCTGGAGGAGCGGCACAGCACACTTTGTCACAGCGGCAATGGAAGGAGGGCGGCGATGGTGAACTGTCTGGGGTCGCTTACGATAGGCCGTGTGCCACTCCGCACGGCACCTAGCGACATCCATCCAGCACCCCTGTTCAATGCAGCATGCGTCCATGTCTGAGAGAATCACATCCACCTCTTCTTGGGACCGTGGCGAGGGCGTGTGGCCGTCAGCTCTCCAAACAGGCAGCACTTGGGAAGACCATCATCCTTCATACGGACCACTACTACTAGTATGTCCAGGGCAAGCCATCGCAAACGGCGCTGTTGCCTTGGAGTGCCGGCACAATGTCCACATTGGCCCTGAGGGCCTTGGCGAGGTCAGATGATGTCAAGCGCCCGAACACTCCAGATAGAGATGCACACAGCTGCTCCATGTGTGCATATGGGGAGATAACCATAGGCATAGTCACAGGACTGACAACACTGGTACATGGTGGGAATTTGTACAACTACTGTCAGTTCAGTCATCCGGCAGCGCAGGTACTAGGTATATATACTGCAAATGTCCAGATTCCCAAAATAATCAGGGCAAAATGTGCACACAATTTCGTAAAATCTTGAGCCAGAGGAGAACTTTGCAGTCCAGAAAGAACTGCTACGTTGACTTGTACAGTGTTGGACAAAGCAACTCTCACGAGTAGCTTCCCGCAGCCATTGGCTAGCATATACATGTAGAGTTAAAACTCTCATTCTGGATGACAGAGGGATAGAGAGAGTTTAGTCGGCACAATTTATCTTCATGTTGCACTTGCAGAGCATGTCTACGTTCTACAGTTTACGGTCTTGACTCGTTCGGCGACGAAACGAGACAGGCATAGTTTCCCAGAACAATGGTTGAACTAAGGAAAGTTTGGACAGAAAAACAGTCACGGAAGCCGGAAAGGGAAAGGGCATTCGCTTCAACGCCGGTCAGTGGAACCAGCTCCCTGACAAGACTTAGTGACATCGACAAACTCGAACACTGCCAAAAAAAACATGAACATGTAAATTGTAATGGCTTTTTCTTGGTCCGGTAGCGTCTTGTGTTCAAATTTGACGCCATATTCTGTAGCCAGGGAAACCAGCTAGGGATTTCCCCCAGAACCTGCACCCAATACTGTATCCAGATAAAAAAAGCCAGACAGCCTGAGCAATTAAATTTTCTCTTTGAAATACTACTTGTACAGTACTTTATTTGAAATTGAAAGTCATACCAACATAACCACGGGGGACGATGGCTTTCTAGAAAGAGTCGGCTTATGCCGTGGAAAAGCTTCAGTGTAGACGTAGGCACTGCAAGATACTCTGCTCCATGGCCATGGCCGAGGACTTGAAAGCTGCTATATCCAAGAAGTACAACGTTGACATTACCAAGCTAAGGTTTGTGAAGTGAAATATTATTCTGACGCACTGGGCCTTTGCTATTGAAATGAGCAGAACTTGCTGAGAACGAGTGATAAGCCCCTTATCGATAGAGTGATGTTGTGGAAAGGTCAATGCAATGGTGCAATGTGAAGATTCACACAAGCACACGTCTTCTTTGGCCCAGCTTGCTTGGTCTTGTGCGTGATAAAAGTATGAGTTGCTAAACTTACACTCAACACAAGTTTTAGGTGCAACTCGAGTGCAAGCAAAGAGCGAGCCTCATGCAACAGTTAGAATTATGTGCCTGCTATACTACATGTATGTAGGTCTTTTGAAGGTGCAAAATTGTCACATTGGAACAACACGACATTGCATTACTTTGTGACTCAGGAGAGAGTTTTGGAGAGAAATTTTATACAAGCAAAGAATGGCTTGAAATGAAGAACCCCAGGTTTACGTCAGGTGCTGCTTAGCACCTGGCGCTAAGTGACTACCCCCCCCCCCCCCCCCATATGTTCGACTAACTCTATACTAGTTATCTGAATTGTTTGCGTCACGCATGTATTTAAAATTGTGCGCTACAGATATCACAGTTCACACTTATGTGTGCGCTGACATCTCCAACAGATTTCCAACGCCACTGTCTGCGCCGAAACCATGATCTTCGAAGATGCCAGCACTGCACGATGTTGGATAAATTTCTTCAATTGTGCTTCGTTGATTTCTTTTTGCGGTTGTTGTGCACCACTGAGCAGCACCAGCACTGGAATAGGCTTCCTCCGTATCAGTCACTGGTGCTGTGTGGAGGTCACTGCTAAAGGTTTCTTTAGTTTTTTAGGTTATGTTCAAGTGCAGTCGTTTCGTTACTTGCCACGTTGGTGCTGTCAAACACATGGCAGTGTCCAGCTACAGTGTGCTTTGAAGAAAAGCAGGTTTGCTTGTTACATTTTGATTTCGTTGATGTAGTCATAAAGAACGTCGGAATCTGCTCAAGAAAGAAAAGCAGCGCTTGAAGAGACGCCAGGCCGCAGTGGAGGCCGAGTGTGAAGCCGGTGAGGAACAGTATGAGAGTGTAGCGCATGTGTAGCACCTGCTAGCAAGGTGTCTTAGTTGCTAGGTGTGTTGGTGGGAGGAGAAGTTGAGTCGTCTGCCAGAGTGTGCTTGTTGTTGGTCGTAATCATGTGTGTCATTCCTTCAGCAACTCTGTACTGGGGATATACACGCTTCTGTAAGACTCCCACGGCTCAGTATGATACCAGTTGTGTTATTACAGTCCATTTCAAAACTATAGACGCGTAGGGTTTTTGAAATATTTCAAATTTGGCTGGAACTTTTTGAGAATAGTTTTCGGAATATTGCTCAGGTCCGCTCCACAATTACTCTCATATGAGCCCCGGCCAGCGAAAACCAGCACTTGTGTACTTGATATCAATCATCAAAATGTGACGTCAAAGTTTGGGACGCGCAGTGAGCTGGCTTTTGAAGATTCTTTTTCGATCGAGTGGGTGTCTTTGTTGTCAAAGGAATTTCAAGTGTCTTCAAATGTCTCTGGTCAATTGATTTTAGCGCTAGGTGAGAGCTCGTCACACGGAGGTTGAGTTTAGACACAGCGATGGCGACAGGTGTCGCGACAAAGACTTAGGTCCAGAGTTGTCAGCGTGAGACTCCCTGTACGAAGCGGCACTGAAAGTTAGTTCGCGATCGAAATTATTTCTTTGGTGGCGATCTCGCTGAGTTTGTCCAGCAGTGGCGAGTCTCATATGCATAGCAACGAAGAGCCCTCATAAAATCGACACTGGATACTGGTGGCGACGATAGTCAGTGCTGGAGTATTAGCGACTGCGAGGAGAAGCTGAATGTCGACCCGCTGAGCGATCCGTATTTCTACATCGACAACAATGATGTTGCCGACACTGATGGAGGGCTTCTCACGGCGCAAAACAGAGCGTAGTATTATCAGTACTCTACCTTGCCAGACGACGCCAAGCTGGCTGCTGCCTGTGCTGAGAAAAGGGATCCCTAAAACGTCAAACCGGCTGAACGCTTTGGGGCAACATCTTCACGTGCTACAAAACGCGAGTATTCGCTCATATCATTGAAATACAATTATGCTGAAACCATGGTCTGAGTGAAAGTGTGCAAGGGAGTGGACGTCAGTGGTATTGGTCAGTACATCTATCAGTATGGCAAGCTTTGGGACAACGCTCAAATTGCCAGCACAGAGGTACCTGAACACAATTTGGAAGGCCAGCCACCAATCATCGTTTTGCACTCTGGTGTTGTAAAGAAGGTAGTGATGTATATGGAATATCGTCACAATCTGAACTACTCATGCCTGCAGCACCAAGAGGGCAAGCCTGACTTGCATTCTATTTACTTACATGTACCTGTTCCACATCACAATCAGAAACTGTAGGATCAACTTGCATGGAGTCACTAGGCATGGATGCTGCGCCAACTGTACTGAATCTTGACCTGTGTGACTTCAAACTCTATTTTTCATGCTTTCGCTTATTAGATTGTCACCAAACTTGACAACTTGAATGATTAATAGTGTAGAAACAATTTCGAGGGAAAAAATAATTTTTGAAAAAATGACACATGTTCAGGTTTCTGCTGGCTGGGGCTCATATAGTTTCTAAACGATTGGATAACAGACGCCCAATTTGGAAAAATGTATGCACAAAGTAATCACAGATTTTATGTGGTATAGATGCTGGCATAACGGTTTTTGCCTAGGTACGCGTCTATAGTTTTGAAATGGACTGTAGTGCAATTTACAGCTGTACTGTTCTGATGGTGGTCGGGCCTTGCTTTGCCAATTTTGAACAGATGAATACTAGTCAGTGGCACGCGCACGCGCACGCGCACGCGCACTGTATTACAGCACTCACTGTATAACCCATGTGTCTTGTGTGACTGCTGTGTTATCACAAACTACAGCTGGTAACAATCATGACTCGGATGTTAGTCTGAACAGCGAAGATGAAGCCACCCGCCGGCAGAAGGAAAATGAGGAACAGTAAGCGTCAAGGAGTCTTTTCTATTCTCCAGTCACCATAGGTATACTAGGTATTGGTATGACAAGTGTAAGGTGAATGCTAGGTGTAAGGTGAATGCTAGGTGTAAGGTGAATGCTAGGTGTAAGGTGAATGCTAGGTGTAAGGTGAATGCTAGGTGTAAGGTGAATGCTAGGTGTAAGGTGAATGCTAGGTGTAAGGTGAATGCTAGGTGAAATTGGTGCTTCCCACCTACCTTGAAACATGTTCATGCTGTGTGTGTTAAAGCAGAAAAATTAGCTGATGAATAATTTCTTCCAACTCTGAAGAAAGGTTATTTGTCCGATCAATAATTTGGTAAATTACCGTTGTTTCGGAATTCACTGGTGTGTACTGCCAAGAGTACATGCCGTAGTAACCCCCCCCCCCCCCCCCCCGAGTATGCAGCTGCTGATGAGTAGATGTATACTGTAGCGACTCGGCGGAATTTCGTAGTCTTTCATGATGTAGCCAGCTGCATGTATGCATTAGATGTGAGGTTGACCGCGCACAGTGCAGTTTAGTGTACAGTTAGGTGCATTGCATCATGTGAAATGGCATAATTTTTGAAGCCAGTCGTGATAGGAGGTGTATGTTGAATAGGTGTATGTTGAATAGGTGTATGTTGAATAGGTGTATGTTGAATTGCACACTCTGGGGACTTTTAAAGTACTCTTCGTAGTGACTTCATGCGAAGTGAAACGAGCGCAGAAGTCACTCCGTTGTTCATTGTGTGCATGATTCTTCAACAGGCACATTTGGTTAATATAGCTTTGTTCTCTATCCCTCCTTGCTTCTTTTTTTTTGCAATGTCTCTAGGGCACGACAGCATGACCTTTGGCTGAAGAGAGAGGAGGAGGCTCAGCTTATATTCCAGCACAAACAGGCGGAACTGGAGCGTGAAAGGAAGCTCCGTGAGGAACAGCAGGTAATTCTATGCCGCTCTTTCTAGCTGCCCATACACTTACTGGTATTGTATACATGCGTAATGTATGCAGACCAATGAATAAACACAATATTCGTCTACACATTAAAAAATAATAAAAAGCTAACTCCAGGGCTCACATGAGTGTCAGTCGGACTGAGTTGTTGCACTCATAGGAACGCCACCACCCTCAATTAGCAGGTTACTCTCATGTCTGATCATGTGGTTGATAAATCCTTCATCTTCCAACCAGGACTTGAACCTGGTGCTCTTTGTTTCTCGGCTTCATTGTACATGTACACCTTCTACTTCGTGTAAAACTCACATGCTCTCTCGCTCTCTCTCTCTCTCTCTCTCTCTCTCTCTCTCTCTCTCTCTCTCTCTCTCTCTCTCTCTCTCTCTCTCTCTCTCTCTCTCTCTCCCCCCCCCCCCCCCCCCTCTTTCTCCCCATGCAACCTTTATACAGCTTCGATTGAAAGCTGAGCTGGCGAAACTGGAAGAGGAGAAAGCTGAGAATGACCGAGTCAAGAATCAAGTGGACAAGAAGAAGGAAGAGCGGCGTCAGGTCGGCATTTTCTTAGTTTTCCTTTCCTGGCTCTCAGGTCTGCGGCCGCAACCCATCATGGCCTTCATGTATCCTACTTTTGTGTAGTTTAGGTATTCTTGAAGCCAGGGATTAAATGTGTGCTAGCGAGTGAACTTCCGGAAACTATCGGGCTTGGGCAATGACGTTTTGTCTGGCCTGTATCTGGTCTTTAGTAACGTTAGCACTGTGTTGAGGGCAAGATATTCACCGGGGCATATTGTATTCTACCTAGCACTTTCAGTATTTCATCTGGGGTTGAGAGTACTAGTACATGTGCTCATCATCTGCATCTAGGATTTTAGCAGTCATCGCTTTTTCGTACTTCAGTAGTCACACATTGTATTGTGCTGTACATGTACTGCTACTACAACACACATTCAGTGTCTTTCCTTGACACTAAGCAGATCGTCAAGCCCTGAGCGGATGTTGGCTGTCGTGTCAGCCAAACAAGTGACCATGTATCTTCCTCCGTTGTGTGCTTGGTGTTTATTAGTGTTAGCTTTGTGTGCGTGTGTGTGTGTGTGTGTGTGCGTGTGTGTGTGTGTGTGTGTGTGCGTGTGTGCGTGCCTGTGTGTGTGTGTGTGTGTGTGCGTGCCTGCGTGTGTGTGTGTGTTGGACATCAACTGAAGTACCACTGCACTCAGTCCATATGCAGTATTCCTTACGCCAGAAACCATATGACTCCACCTGAGGAACAACGGATTTGATAGTTCACTGGATAGCTGCTTTTGTACAGTTTTGTTTTGATGGATGTGCTGTTTTGTTTCGTTCTGTTACTTTCTTTAACCACATCGACACGCTACCAACACAGGGTGTCATGCAGAGCTTGACAACGGCAACTATTGGTGTAAGAAACATCCCTTCTAAATTTGCATTGTCCTCTCTCTCTTTCTCTCTCTCTCTCTCTCTCTCTCTCTCTCTCTCTCTCTTTCTTTCTTTCTCACTCTCACTCTCTCTCTCTCTCTCTCTTCTTTCTTTTTCTTTCTTTCTCTGCCCCTTCCTTCGTTTGTTATCGTCATTGTGCACATTACCTTCTGTTGCACGCCAAAGAATAGCGTTTGACCACTACAATGAACTTAATTGTCTTTATACGTGTTTTGCTGGTTAGGCAGTCACATAGGAGCGTCTTTGACTGATCTTGCAATACCGGTCTTGCTGTGTTGCTGCTGTTTTGTTTGTAGGAAGTTCAGTATTCCAACCCACCAGCTCCTGAGCCAAAGCCTGGAGAAAAGGTAATGTTTCTTTTTCTTTCCTGCTTTGGGTGAAAAATGGCCAAGAACAGAGAAATTATCCACATGAGAAGTACACAAGTTACACAAAATGTTTTTCTCAACTCTGTGATTTAGTGCAATGGTACTTGAGTTTCAACACAGAAAGATTGCCTTTTTTACAGTTGTAGCAAATGAAGTGTGACCTTTTAAAAGAATACAATAGCTGCAGGCTGTGTGACCCTGGTACTACAAGCCTGGGCAGAGCTGTGAACATGGCTCTGCTTTATTCATGAAAATTTCACTTTCCACGGTTGTAGTGCTAGTACTTTGTAGTGGCTGTGGGTGGATGTTCAGCATTATGACTCTGTCATGTTCATATTCCATGCTCTGTGTTGCCTTGCAGCCTCGCGAGAAGTGCATGTTCTACTTCAAAACTGGGGCCTGCCGGTTTGGAGAGCGGTAGGTTGAATATTGGTGTGTTTGTACATACCGTATGTGAATGGGTACTAGTACATGCGCTGCTTGCTTGCCTGCAGTGCGGGTATCTTGTAGCACTGTTTTGAGCTCTCAGTGATCCGTGCTTTGTATACTCCGCTGAAGACTGACTGCCAGAATTTTCCCGGTCCATGCTTACATGAAAATGCCTAATACACGTGCAGAACTATTTTGTAGGCGCCTCACTATGGAGGCCTTCACTGAATCATAACTCCCAGCTTCTATGTACAGTGCATTATTGAGGATGATGGAGTTCTTGAAATAGAAGCATGCACATGTATGCCATGGTGCATAGCTGTCTCAGTGCCACCTGGCTTCTTGTTGTCAACTTCTGGATAAATTGTTGCCTTGCCATTGTCCAGACTTACTGCTGATACTGATCACATGATCAATACCTCTTCCTTTTACTGTTCCAGTTGTTCCCGAGAGCACGACAAACCGACCATCAGCTGCACCCTGCTCATTCGTAATATGTACACAAGCTTGGAGCGTCAGCAGCAACTCATTGGTGGCCAAGATGGTGGCCTGGAGGTAAGCCAGCGGTGCCTTTCCTGGTTTTGCTTTCTGTCGAGTTTGCCTGCAAGTAGTGTGTAGTGTAAATCAGGCTTCACCGCCTGTATCCACCTGCTGAGAAGGCAGTGGGTGTACTTGTGCAATGCTGACAGCCAGAGAGTCTGAAGTTGATACTGCTGCTGAGTATGACCACATTGTGCTCTGGTTGTGCTATTCCTCTTTGTGAAAGCTGCTCACTTCTCTGCTGACTATACCATAACTGATAGAAATCACCTGCACTTTCTTCCCCGATTCTGCAGTTTGAAGAAGCAGATGCTCGTCAGCACTATGTCGAATTCTTTGAGGATGCCATGCCAGAACTCGAAAAGGCTGGGAAAGTTATCCAATTCAAGGTATAGTGTGATGGCAGCAGAGATGCTGCTTGCTCTGTCAAGTTATATGTAGCACTCAGTGGTCCACCAGCTCTCTATATGTGTTCACTCCTCTATATGTCATCACCTGTTTACTTCGTACCTATATGGCTTCACTGCGACTTTCTCTATATTACTCCAGGTCATTCTCTATAGAACTCCAGACGCGACTTTCCCTATATTATCTCCACTCAGGTTGAGACTTTTTCTGTATGACTTAAACTTGGATTGCCAACTTCTCCATACAAAACCTGAGTTGGAGTCATACAGACTCGGGGGAGAGAAAGTCTCAACCTGAGTGGAGATATATAGGGAAAGTCGCGTTATAATTATAGAGAATGACCTGGAGTTATATAGAGAAAGTCGCAGTGAAGCCATATAGGCACGAAGTAAACAGGTGATGTCGTATAGAGACAGTGACGACAAATAGAGAAATGATGCCATACTGAGTGTAACACTTATGCGTGAAGCTACATTGTAGTGTGCAACTCTTTGCCTTCTGAGTCAAGGCTACACAATTTTAGGGTGGAAATGCATGGTTGAGAGGGCGCCATTTTCAAATCTGTTTTTATTGTAAAGCTGCATTGAATGGAAGGATTTTACCTGGACGTACAAGTTGAGCAAAAATATCTTTTTTGAACTTGCGTGACAGGCATGCACGATCATTATAAAGTGTGCTTTCTGCTTGTGTTGTTGCCTTTGCAGACTTGCTGCAACTATGAAGCACACCTGCGTGGCAATGTTTATGTTCAGTACCGAGAGTAAGTTCTCTTCACAGACCACTTGCAGACCTCTTGCAGTGCCGCCTTGGGTGGATTTCGCTGTGGTGCCTCAGTCAAGTTATAATACTTCCATTGACTGTACTTGCCAGTCATCAGCCGATTCCCAAGCTATGCGCACAGAACATTGCAATCCGTCTATACTTATTTTTAAAATACTTGTTTATGAAAGATCGTTCTTTCTCTCTCTTTCTCACTCTCTCTCTCTCTCTCTCTCTCTCTCTCTCTCTCCCTCCCTGCCTCTCTCTCTCTCTCTCTCTCTCTCTCTCTCTCTCCCTACCTCTCTCTCTCTCTCTCTCTCTCTCTCTCTCTCTCCCTCCGTGCCTCTCTCCCTCTCCCTCTCTCTTTCCTCCTACAGTGAGTTGGAGTGTGCGGCTGCATACAAAATGTTTCATGGGCGCTACTATGCTAGCCGCATCATTTCTTGCGAGTACACGCCGGTCACCAACTGGAAAGCTGCCATATGCGGTGAGTGTTTGTTTTTAGCTGCCTGTGGTGTGCCTAATGCAGTGGAAATGTGATGCATGGCATTGCGCTGATGGTTGTGCTGGAGACATGTGTAACTCTAACTGAGTTGCATGCACATAGTTCAGTGGAACATCCGTTAGCTGAAACCTTCGCATTCGAGATGCATTTCCCCAGTCCTCCCTGTTCTGAACCAAGTGGTTTGGGCAGTCCTCGCACCTTCCTTCACAGGGCACATTTGTCTGGTTGCTAGTGTGTCCGTGGTAAAAAGTTCCACTGTGCCAAAGTTATTATACCATCACTTAGCCAACATATGTGGAAATGTGTGAACCTGTGCCCTGAGTAACAGAAACATCTCATTAGTACTGTATTAAAGTCAACAAATATTCGGCGCATATTTATTTTCGGCTATTTTCAGCCTGGTCATGTTTGGCCGAAAATTTGTTGCGGTCGAAATTTTGTTTTGCAAGGTTCAGTTTGACTGTGTATACAGGCGTCGCAGAACAGGCCGAAAATTTGATGCAGCCGAAAAGGATTTAGCCCTGGGAGGCCAAAATTTGAATGGGCCGAAAATGTGTAAGACTTACAGTAGTACGCTTGTGAGAAGAACGGCCATCTTCACCGTGCTATGTTGTTTGGTGTGTACCGTTCCTACAGGCCTGTATCGCCAGGGCCGATGTCCAAAAGGCAGGACATGTAATTACCTGCACGTCTTCACGAATCCAGACAGCGCCTTTGCCGACATGGATCGCTCGACGGGAGGTGGCGTTCCACCGTCATCTCAGAGGCAGTGGGAGAGTAGTAGGCGTGGTTATGATAGAGAGCGCCGGCCGGCTTCTTCCAACCGTAGCTATCGCTCGTCACGGTCTAGATATGATGACAGGTAAGCAGCAATCGCTGTGTTTATTGAGGTTTTCCCCAGCCGTCTAGTTTTCCAGGAGTATTATTCACAATGAAGTTTGTTGCTTACATAAAATGTAAGTTTTTTTTTTTGTTTTACTACCACCACCCAATGCTGCTGCAGCAGCAAGGTGTTGCGCGCAGCACTACGGTGATTTGAGCGCGCACACTCACACATCTCTTGCTCTTCAACAGAAGGTGAATGGTGCATGCCACCAGGGTGCATGTACTGCACATGTACTGTTTGTATTATGCGGTGGAGTAACCGTTATCTTCACGGTGTTAGCACGGTACATTCAGTGTGTGATTGCTCTTTGATGTCCTACTTCTGTACATGTACTTGCATTTGAGACTACATGTACAGTACCGTCTCTTATGTTATCACTTTCAACTGCAACCCAAATCTATACATGTACTGGCACTTGAAACTACATGATTGTTCAGTTTCATCTGTTATGTGATCACCTGCAACTGCAACCCAAATCTTTCCTCTTGTATGTGTCCAGGGAGTGGGAGAGGACCGGCCGCCACTATCGCCATCGGCATCATAGCGATGACCAAGACTGGGATCGGCGTGACCGAGACCGAGATCGTGACAGAGATCGTGACAGAGACTGTGATCGTGACAGAGATCGTGACAGAGACCGAGACCGAGATCGAGACCGAGATCGTGACAGAGATCGTGACAGAGATCGTGACAGAGACTGTGATCGTGACAGAGATCGTGACAGAGACCGTGACAGAGACTGTGATCGTGACAGAGATCGTGACCGAGACCGTGATCGTGACAGAGATCATGACCGAGATCGTGATCGTAGCAGGCATCGTGACTACGATCGTGACAACGGCAGAGGCCGAGAGGATGACCGCTATGACAGGCATGCAAGAGAAAGCCGAAGGGACAGTCACAGGTATGCATGACTCTATGAGTGTGGTGTGATGGACAAACTCGAAGAATTAGAAAAACTAGGTCATCAGATCACTATTGACAGACAAATGCAGTGTAGCTCTGCATCCACACTGGCTGTTGACGGGAAATCAACAGCATAGACTTCCATAGCCTTCGCAGAAGTCATGCAAGCAGTTTGTGCTTCTTCAGCATTCATGAGAAGAAACTATGCAGAAACCTCTCATAGCTGTCTGAGGGAGGGGGTAGTTGTTACGTAGGTTAGGTAGTTCAATGATACTCAGTCTAATTAAATGCATTGTATTTAATTGGACTGAGTACCGTAGTGCCTTGTATTAAAGCCTGTCTCATATAGAAGACTGTTTTGAATACAAGCCTGATTTTCAAGATACACTGTCGGCACATAAGCCTCGTTGTAGTGATGACACACATAGAAAGTACCTGGGTTGAATAGAAGCCTAGCCCTGACATTGGCTTCTACAGGAATAAGCCCAGCTTTAATACGCAACTTTACGGCAGAAACTGCAAAGTTGGGGAGTTACCGACGATCTTGAACCAGTGTGTGTATACACTATACAGTAAAATTCCCCAGATCCGGACGCCCCTAATCCGGGCACGTCTGTCTGCCGGGCACCTTTCTGACCCATCTAATCGCAAAAATAATAATATTTTTAAAATTGGCTTTTCAACGAAAAACGGCCCCAAAACTATTGATTGGCATGAAAACTGTTTACTTGCATGCACATGATGCAGTAAGTATGTATGTATGTTCCTAGTTACAGGCAGTGCTCGGTCCCAACCTGCCCGGATTAGGGGAGTTTTACCGTAGTATTCTAATGATGCACAGCTATCATCATACGTGTACTTGAGCTGCGATTGCATGCAAGAAATAGTAGTGGCCTTATGACATCAAGAGTACATAACTGGTTATGTACTCTTGATGACATGCAGAAGCAGCAGAAACAATTTTTGAACAAATACAGTTTTGTGCAATTGTCTTGTGTTGTGTGACCTAATAGATCTGACTACAGTCCCGACCGAGGTCGCCACAGCGTAGCTAATGGTGCCAGCAGCCCTGAAGACAGGACTTCGTGCGACAAGGACAATGTCCGACATTGCAGGAAAGACGGTAGAGAAGAGGATCGGCACGGACAACCTGTGGCTCACCGTGAGCACAAGCACTCATCCCGGGGGCATGCCAGTAGTGGCTCAGACAACGAACAAGATGACTGGGCCAGGCGGAAACGTCGCCACCGACACCATAAATCACGTAAGGATTACGACTCGGACGATGGGTCCCCCAAGTTGTCGCCACGTCGAAAACGCCACCAGAGAGATGATGCTGTCGGTGCGCAAAATGGTGACGAGGAACGCCAGCGTGAGGAGACAAGGCAAACACCTGATGATACACCGGCCTCACCAAGACGATCGAGGTCTGGCAGTGTAGATGCTGTCGTGCCATCAGCACCTGCTTTGTCTCCTGATAGGGCTACGCAGTCACGTTCTGCATCACCTAACCAGGAAGGCAAATCCCGTCACCGGAAGAAGAAAAAGAAAAAGAAAGAGAAGAAGTGATCACCGGAATGTGCTGATAAACTTCAGGGTGAGGTATCCTGTTGCTATGCGATAGCGTGTCCAAGTGCTGGTTATTCACTTGCATACTGTATTCTGTCGTCATGTTGGGAAGCATACCACATTTGACTAATACGTTGAGATGGAGCGCATTGATGCTTGTCTGCCATATTCCCTGTTGCAACAGTAACATAAAACGACTAAGCACAGTATATGACAACTGATGTAGTGTACGCCTCGCCACTGTCCAGCTTCATTATTAATTTTCATATTTGCATCAGAATGCCGGTCATGCCGGCTTTGTATCTATTTCCGCATCCACCTGCTGGTCAGGTTTCACTCTTTGTTTATTCACACAACTTGACACAAGCAAATCACTGTCTGCACAGTGCATTGTTTTGTGAAGATAAAATCTTTCACAATTTGTGACGAAACGAGTACGAGACAAATACCACTCTGGGCAGCCAATGGAAGAAAGCTCACACTGTACTCATTAGAAAGTGTGAGAAGTCGCTCATGACTTTTGGCTACCAGCTCTCGACCTGTACGCAGGTTTGCGAAACGTTTGCTGGTTGGTTTGACGAGGATATGACCGTGGTCCCAAGTCCCCTATACTAGTGAATGGGAGTGCACACGTATAGTCTACAATTATTCACACATATCCGCCGGATGAGTACGCGTGGCCCATGCACCATGGGGACCCACGAATACAAACCAGCATATGTTCCCTCAGCAATACAAGCAAGCAAGCACGCAAAGATAAATGAGAGCAATGCAGGTCGGTAATCACAGCATGTAGATCTGTACTTCGAAGTACTTGTACATTTGTTGTATCTCTACAGTTTGTCCCATGAGGTTCTGTGGAGAGTTGTCCCCACCGTGTCACACATTTGCAATCACACAGGGTCAGTACAATCATGTACATGTACATATACTCAGTTGAGTGACATGTACTGGGACATGTACTTTGAACCTAAACAGAAATTGTAACACACATTCCAGTACATTGCACATTTTTTTCTTGTGGGCATTCCAATACTGCAGTGCGAATTTTCTTCTTGTGGACATCGCACAACTTACCAAGTAACTAAGCGCCAGGGTGTCAACGTTTGCAGCCCAGACCTGCAAACGCTCACCCGGCCGTACCCACGCATTAGTGCAGAGTTATTCATTGGCCCAGGTTTTATTGAGCATGACCATTTCGTAGTAGGGGGGGGGGGGGGGGGGGGGAACATGTCAGTACTATGTGCTCCTGTCACACCCCATGATGGTCAAGACTTTGTTCCAACAGGCAACACACTAGTACCTACTTCAATGGCAAAACAATTATAATGTTCTGTGTTCTCAATGGGGTAAAATCACCTTTTTTTAAGCAATAAATTTTTTAAATATATAAGAAATGGAAAGAAGAAAAACTCGCTTGCTGTACACACGTGTGCAAGTCCATAATCCTGTCCTATTCATCCCAGTCACAGAAAATCGTCAGCGATCACCAGGAAGCCCTGCGTAAACGGAGGTGCGTGGAGAGAGGACTACCAGCGCCCGTAGGCCTGAAAGCCGACAGCTTCGTATGGGAATCAACACACTCCAGGCGTGCGATTTCGCAAATTTGCCAAATAGAGCAATAGCAGTACTGTGAGGGTACTGTGAGGTCCTGCAGTCAAGGCATACTAGCCTAGTACTGAGTACATGCAATATAACCACGCTAGCAACTACTACAGTACAGCCTTTTTAGAATAATAGCACATCCGATGTATATACAAGGCAAGATGGCCAGCACTGGTATCGCTTCACATCACCAGGCCTATAAGCTCAACCAGATCACCAGGCGTGTGCGTCTAGATCACATATCTTGCAGTCTCCCACTCACCATCACGGTTCTACCTAGAAAATATCTGTGCTGCAAGTTCATTCACTCATACTTGACTAGACTGTGTGCTGCACATTAACCCGGTCCAATGAGCAAGGCGGATGCAGCAAATAGCAGGAAGACCACGGCTCCGATTAAGGTTACAGTCCGTACGGAGATCTTCTGAGCGACAAGCCGACCACCCACCACAGCCAAGCCGGTGCAGAAGAGATGGCCAAGTGTTCCTCCGGTTGTCACTCCTATCGGGTCCTCACGGGCAGCTAGAATGATTGTCGCCAACTGCGAGCGGTCGCCCCACTCGGCTAGAAAAGTCAGCGTGAAAGCCTGAATCCAAACTGGCGAAACGACTTTTAGCATCCGTGCCCACTTCAGAGATGACGGCTCCACCGTTCCACCTCCACCTTCGACGTCTGGCCGTGACGACAGTTCGGTCTCCTTCTTTTTCAACTCTTCGCTGACCTCCTCGAGCTCCTCCTGTCCTTCATCTGCTGCCATGTAGTATCCCTCTTTGAGCATCTTCAGTCCAAACAGGGCAAATAACAGAGATGATCCATAATACGTGTACGCACGGGGAATAATAGTTGTAGCATAGCCCAGTGTCGTGGACATGACGGTCATCAATCCCAGAGCTGAAACTGCGCCAGTCAATACTGTGAAGCGAGCATGGCGCATGGCCATGATGGCTGCGATGAAGAACGTCTTATCTCCCAGCTCCGACACAATGATCACCGACAGCGACGCGACGAAGCCGTGGATAAACCCGGCATTGGGCAATGCTGCTTTCTGCTCTGGTGAGACAGTGGCAACGTCGTCCGAGGCGGTTGGCTCATATTTATCCATCGCGTCCTCTGCTTCTCCACCCGAGCACGCGCTCAATAGCGCAAACAGCACTAGTGCTGCATAAGCAGCGACGTTCGTGCCCATGATCCCTCTCCCTCTCGCTTTCAATATTGGCAGCAGTACTCGTACAGACAAAGCCCAAAGATCTACCAACAAATGTTTGCTAAACACGATCCAGTAATACTCCAAAACGTGACAAAGGAGAAAGGCTTCTGCTATCGCCTATTCAAGATTTGCTCCTGTGCCTTTCTTGGAAACCTCCACAAGGAAAGGAACAGCTCCTCAAAACCTAGCTGCTTTCGTTCGTCGCCACGCCAGTCCACGAGAACATTTACCAATGCAATGAAAGATTCCCAAGAATGACCCTGACTGTCTTCTCGACAGTTTTCTTCGACAGGTTTCCTTTTCTCGATATATCCTGACTTGAATTGTGTTTTTCGTAGATCTATGTATATGGCGTAGTAACACACACAGAAGTGAGCAATAGCAGCCCGGTTTTAGCGCCATCGTGCGCGCTACATGACAATCACGTAGTTGCTATGGAGAGATAGCGGCCGGTCCACGTCATGTGCATGCCACGTCTACGTGAAAGCTTAGCTGCTAGCTGATAGTGATAGTGCAGTGATAACTGATAATGATCTGATATGTTCAGCACGTGCATAGAACCGGACAGGCCGCGCCGTTACCGACGCGACGGCGCGGCCGCAGCGCTGTGCTTGCGGTACGCTAGATACGTCCGCGGCTCGCGCCAGCTCATAACAGCCGCGACCAGATCAAAATCAATGTCATGAAGATGTAGTGCTAGCTGCTACAGAATCCTATCCTAGTTATCACCAACACTGGCAACAGTGGTAACACCCTCTGGCCCAGTCTGGGACTGACCAGTGAGTTGGGTTTGGGGGGGGGGGGGGGGGACAGCCGCATGAGGGAGAGGAAAGGAGGACCGTCCTCAGTGGCTCACTACGCCGAGGACTCTAACTCGGACCTACCTTCCGCTTCGGTCAGACTCGGAGGACTCTGAGCTACACCAGGCTGAGGCCACATGCACGTACATGTACACGTAACAAGCACAGTTCAACGCTGACATAGCTCTTGAAAATTGGGTGAGAAGAGGCAACTGCAGCCAGTGTCAACACAGTGAACACTGAACAGTGAACAGTAACTGACGTCGGGCCTTGACGGAGAGCACTGGAGAAGTTCCGAAGCTTCACTCCGACGGGCTCTGATATCTGACCTGAATAGAATGGCTGCACCAGGCTGCTCCCACTCCCGTCCTCCTCGCGGCTCAACTATTTTAAAGGGGAAGTACACCCTAAAATCAAATTTTAACCAGTTGTAGTCTTCGGGGTGCTGGGTCAAATGGTCTTGGTCCGAGGAAGCTGAGACGCTCCTTTCCTCCCTTATTCCCAATCGAACTCGCGCACTTCCACCGAAACTGGGTGATTGCGCCCTACTAGACGGGGATTTGTATGCAAAATGTCACTAAAGCGCCATTTTGTTCTTATAAAAGCACGGATGACCGCGATTAGCCCATATGCTGTAGTCTTTTGGATGCTGATTCGACTGGTTTGGGTCCGAAAAGGCTGCGATGCAGCGTTCGGCCCGTATTCCCAATCAAACCCGGTTGAGTAAGCGGTCACGTGCTCGTGCGTACACCAGTCGGCGCCAGATCACTCTGCCCGCAGGCTACAACTTTCACAGCGTTCCTGTCACTCGAGTTGAACCTTTGAGTTGAACCCGTCGGTGTGAAAGTTGTAGCCTGTAGGCATGGTGACCAGGCGACTGGTGCATGCACGAGCATGTGACCGCTTACTCAACTAGGTTCGATTGGGAATATGGGCCGAACGCTGCATTGCAGCCTTTTCGGACCAAAACCAGTCGACTCAGCATCCAAAAGACTACAACATAATTATGGGCTAATCGCGGTCATCCGTGCTTTTATAAGAACAAAATGGCGCTTTAGTGACATTTTGCATACATATCCCCACCTAGTAGGGCACAGTCACCCAGTTTCGGTGGAAGTGCGCGAGTTAGAGCGGGAATAAAGGAAGAAGGGAGCATCTCAGCTGCCTCGGACCAAGATCATTCGACTCAGCACCCCGAAGACTACAACTGGCGAAAATTTGATTTTAGGGTATACTTCCTACTAAGAATCCAGCCCCGAGGAGATATTCAGCTTGTTGACCGGAATCACGAGAAAATAATCTACCCACTCATTACCCCCAGAGCCACTCCGGGTTTGGACATCCATATTCGGGTGGCTCCACGTTCACAGTATGACACACATGTACAGTGTATGAAAGATGATTTTTAAATAGCTGCTGCATGCCTCTGCAAGAGTCTCCAAGACCCCTGGTACTGTAGTATGTTGGAAATCAAGTCTTCAACACATTCAACGGCCTTCAGTTAGCTCGGAGGGATAGTGTTCGGTAAAATAGAAATGGGCAGTAGCCTTTGACAAGAGTAATGGTGTTGGTGAGTGGCTGGGTGAAGACATTGAAAACATATTAACCCGGTGGTTTACCAATGATTTTTAGTCTTGTGAGCTCTTCCAAGTTTGTTGGTGGGTGACTCAGTTTTCGGTTCCTGCACAGAATTCCAACAGCATCGATGGAAATAAGATCTACAAAGTAGGTGGGATCCAAATGCGCACTACATGTATGACGAGGTACATTATATACCACCGAAAGTAGTGTTGCGCACATTGACATCCGTCACAAGTTGAGAAGTCAAGCGGTCATGGGACACTGGCCGTGCAGCCGTGAGCACTGCTGCTCCACTTTTGCAGTGTGTACGTGAACTACAGTGCATGTACACGCCCAGGTAGTAACGGCGCCGGCCCCGGTCATTCCACCGGATTTCAATCTACAACAGTACCAGGAAATGGAACAGGCTATGAAACTGAGAACGGTGTGATCGCAGTGGATGTAAGAACTACTGTGGTATTATATTAGCCCAGCCAATCTGAGGTTTGATATATTCACCAACATGAACACACTGACATTTGGCCGGGCTCAGAGGTTGAGGATCCGTTGCTGAGTGATAAAGCGAACTGCATAAGATAGAAAAAGCTCTTTGCAGTTCTACACTTCATTCCAGTACAAGCCAGTGCTTCCGGTCAATCCTTGTTTACGTAAAACATGTACATGTACACACACACAACACTGCCTAGACCGGCCTTGTTTGTACATGAACTACAAACTGTTCATTGTTTTCGTATCTGAAATGTAGCTGCAAGTCAAATACAGGCAGGTGAGAACCACTGACCTGCTTTATCAAGTTTTGGATAGTTCCAGTGATGGCCGGTTACTGCAAGCACTGAGGTAGAGGCCATCGCGGCCCAGCCACAGTTGCTATGAGCGCGTAGTTGTGCGTTACCTTGTCAGATAATAACACTGACAGCTGCTGGTCATGAGATATCAATGCCGCGTTTAGGGCGCCAATCAGCGAGGCTTTGCTGTGAGCTACTTACATCAGTTCAGGCAACGTAACTACTGATGAGCATGTTGGTTGGAACTAAATCAGCATGGCCGAGTTCCTGGCAATCAGGTGTATTGAGTTAACCTTCTACAGTATCAACACTAAGAGGTGAAAGGCCGAAAAGAATTCTGAACAGCAAAGAAGAGCATTACAAATGAACAACCCCAGTCAGGTTGCCGCGGAATGATTTGGCGCAGCCACAGCATGGCTGACTAGTAGTCCACAGGTTTCATGTTGACTTGGGGACTAAAAAAACTCAACGTGTTCTTACATCGTTCTCACTTTGGTGGTAGTTGGCAGTGCTGGAGATACTCTGGAGGAACAAGACCACAAAGCACAAGACCATCCGATGAACTGTAGAGAGATCGCACGTACCCAGGCCTGCCCATGATCGGCTGTTGCTTCACCGCATATGGAAGCATGCCGTACGCAGCGTGGTCTGCGGCACTTGAATTGACACTGGAGTCCGCCTGACAAGTGGGTTGCTTGCAGGCGAGAGGCATCGCAGGATTGGTTAGGTCTGGTGCATCACATTGGGCATAGTGTTGAGTACTTTGCAACTGCCAGCCGGTTTGATCAGCAGCTGTTGCATTGCCAGTGGGTGACGGAAACCATAGCGATGATTGTGCAGCATTCAGAGATGGATTCCATGGGTCACGGCTGATTGTGCTGCCACGCTGAATTTCAGGTGAAGTGGAAATGTGTGGCTCCTTCGTGGAGAGGTGATGGAGAGGATGAAGTGGAGCGAAATGCTGAGGAAAGTCGAGAGGATGTAAGCTACCTTCTTCAAATAACGCCTCGTCCTCGGCAGAAGATCGGACTGCCTGATCTGGGGACATCTTAGTCATGGTTGGGCCACAGAATTGGAATGGAGTGTCATCGTCAGGTGGTCGACCTGCACTTGCATTCTGCCTGATGGAAGAGTCTGCAATGTACACGCACATACATAAATGGCGGGCTTTGCTTTACTGACCGACCTATTCACATGTACAACGGCACAACCTGCAGTGCAGGGGCATATCAATAAGTCTCGCATTGGTGCATTTTTACACCACAGACTATGCCTACTTTGGGCCACCATCGCCCAGTGATAGTCATTGTGGCCGATGTAGCCAAGACACCACCTATGCCTACTCCATGGCGCTTTACTTTCCTCTCTCAATATACTAGTACATGATACTGTTTCAGTGTGCAAATTATGAACTCCAAACAGAACACTGACAAGAAAGATATATTGCCTTCTCCTAAGTTCGAGGAGTTGAAATAGGAAAAGTCTGAGGAAAAAACTGACTGCTACCACCGGAGCTCAAACCAGGGACCTGCATTTATGGCCAACGATACTCTACCACTAAACTGTGGTGTAGTCGTAATCCCAGACAGTTCAACACTTTCTTCAGAATTCAAAACCTTTGCTGCCCGTGAATCTACACAGTCTGGTGCAATGCAATACTCACTGTACCCCTACACACTTCACGTGCAGCCTACTAACATGCTATAATAACGTTATACATACATCATTAAATGTAGCATTCAGCAAATGTTGGCACGTACCCTGCGCACATGCCTGTGCATAAGCTTGCCGCACAGCTCTGCATGCCAAATCGCTTGCCAGGTAGATATGCAGGTAGAGATACGTGGGCAATCCACCGCAGACCGGGCAATCCATGCACTCCGTCCTCACCACTGTTGCCGCAGTGATCTCGTATTCCACCGACATGCTAGATAATTTGCTTCTTTCGCCACAGCTCCAACACAACAGGCAGCCTGGTGTCTCCAGCTTCTGCTGGAGAAATGCCACTGGGATCTTGTGCACATCTTCAAGACCGTACTCGGATAATGCATATTCAATGGATATGACCGTGGCAGGATGCTGCGGAAAGTTAACAGCGCGAAACCAGCCAATCTTGGGTGCCTCCCTCTCGAATAGCCAGGCTGCATATTCTGCAGAACTTTCTGGTGCCTCTAAGTCTTCGTAACGTTCATTTCTGCCACCCGGACGCAGGGCGATGGGTGAACGTTTCCAGGGTGTGCTCGGGAAAGGCCGATTTGTTGGAAAAGAGCCATACGGATTACATGTATTGCCTTCAGGGTTTGTTGTGAACGGCATACATCTCGGACGTGGCGAGTTTGACCAGCCATGGTAACCTGAAATGCTTAGGTGTCCTTCCTGGTCACGTTCAGTGGTCGATCGAACTGGTTGCTCATGGCTTCGCCGTCGCTCCCATTCCCGACCCAGTGCAGCAGGTTTAGGCAATTTTTCTGCAGAAATGATGGAGACATCTCTTTGGCGTTCCTCGTCCTCATCGGCTGCAACCACTGGCAATGTGGCGTGCAGGTCAGCAGAGGTGCTGCCGGTGGTTGCGCCACAATGAAAGCTGTCCGGTATGTGGGCCTCCTTGTGGCTGCCCTCCGGCGTTTGTAGGGCGAAGGACGCCGATGGTCGAGCTAGCAAAGACACGTTGCCGGGGGTCAAACCGAATTTTTTTATGTTCTCTGCGAGAATGCTCTCCAGTAGGCGAGGGAGGGCAACCTCTCCCTGGACGTTTCGCTTGTCCTCCAGGTAGTTCTGTCGAAACGCCAGCAGATCGACAGCATCTTCTCGTCGCAACCGTACGGGAATCCTAATCTCCTGCCATGAATGGGTGGCACCGAGAAAGGAGAACTGCCAACTATTTGAACTTGTAGTGAGGCTTGAGATGGATGGTGGAATGTGCGCACGTTCTGCCATCTTACCAGCAAGACTGCCTTCGCTTGGGCGCAATAGAGTTGACCGCTGATACCTGGAGGATCTCGTCGAATTAGCGCGCCCGCTAGCAACCGTGTTAGCGCTACCCACTTGCACACTGACATCTTTACAGTCCTCCACTGCATATTTCGTGAGGTAGTCCCGCGCCCGGTCATCTGTGCTAGGCTCATTGGATTTTGACGGTTCTTTCGGATGATCGGATTGTATTTGGGAAGAAACTGGGCTGATCAACGGCTCGATATCATCAGCGGTAACCTTGTGTTGGTGAGCCTCACAATCGCCTGGTTGCGTTTCCTGGCAGTTTGTCCTGCCGTCGCAGCCAGTGTGAAGGTCAAGCCTCCTCTGCTCCCGCACCCGCCGCCGCAGTGCCCTGTGGCCCTCGTTGTCCCGACCTTCTGATGCCGCAGGGCGGCCGTATCGGCACTCTTGCTCTGTCGCTACCTCTGGCTCTGAGCTGAACTTCATGCCGACTCGCGACGGGACTACCTACTAGTAGATCTACAAGGGGCAAAAGCAAGCGAGGCATAACAATGGCGTTCTTCAGCAGTGTCCACACCACGCAAGAAAGAAATGTTTGTGGACGGTGCTGCAAGTTACACTGAACGTTTGTGGACGGTGGTGCTGCAAATGACACTAGTGACCTGGGATGGGCGAAGGTGCGCTTGACCGTCGAATTTATAGTCCGACGCGACGGCGGGCAAGCGTGCAGTGAAGGACGAGGGAAGAAAGACCCACCAGGACGCTACCACGTGCAGAGCCAACCCATCGATCGTGATCAATCCGAACCGCTTACGCAAGGGTTGGCCTCGATGGAAGAGTTCCAAGCCAACCACTGAACCACCCGAAGGGATTTCGGCGAAAGCCCACGAAGCTCGAAGGTGACGGATAATGCCGGGAAGATGAAGCAAAGGCGTCGATGATCTTCATCTATGCGAGCAGCACGTGAAGCAGCGAGTTCACCGAACCATGACGTATGGACTTTGCAAGTACTTCTGACGTATGAAGCCTTGAAGGTAGGCGACGTGGCTTGCGCGGAATTGCCGAAGGAATACGCATGTAAACGCCATAATACTAACAAGTGCCAAGCCATACCGGTTTCAAAGTCGGGTGCCACATGCACAGCCATGATTGGAATTCCGACTTTGACTGCTCTGCTGCAGACCATAGTTCTAAGCCATGGCGACTGTACGCACCTCACATTGTCACTGACTACAGGGACTTGGCTGCGTATTATGCATTTCAGGCACGGATGGATCACTGGTTTATTTCGTTCACGATGGGCAGCCAACACACTGGATGGCCATTGATATGGCAAAGTGTGACGACTGACGTGCTCAACCAGTCTGGGTTGTTGATCACGTATTGACCTGATCATGGAGACATCAGGCAACTGACCGGTGCCATACGTGTGTACGGTGTGACCTGACAGCCCAGTGTGGCATACCATCACGGCCAATGGATTACATCATGCCTTGGCTGACAAACTGCAGTCACCACCTGCAGCAGAGCATGCCAAGTCCCGCTCTCCAGATCAGCCGGCCACTCAGAGCTGGGCAACATTGGCCTGCCGTCGACGTCACGTGTCTTCGACTTGACAGTGTAAGGCCCAATGCTCATAGGTTGATAGCAATGCTCATAGTGAATGGCAGACATAGTAGACGCACTGTCTGGACGGCTATGCAATGTCAGTGCACAGAAACCAATGCACTCAGTGACTGCATTCTTGGCCCTGACGTCCAGGCATTGTTTTCTGTTTAGACAGTGAATCTGTCTTCAGCATGTATAAGACATGCCCTGAACACAGTCAGGGAGCCGTACTGCCGAGACCTGATCATTGCATGGGCAGCTCTCACAGTGTTCATTGCTAGCCACTGCTTCAATCACCGTGCTGCCCTACATTTTACATTTCATTTAGCCGAGTAGTCAGGTTTTTCATTCAGGCTTTTCTAGGTTACACAAAATAATGACAATATATCGTATAGATACTGTATTGAGTGGCAAACCAGTGCTAGTGGGCCCACTTCATACACTGACACCAAGAGTACATAAGCCGCTTTATGTACTCTTGCTGACTCACGTCAGACACTAACATCAGACAATGGCGCAACGGCATCGACTCTAGTAGGAGCAGCAGCAGTAGAGCCTGAGTACATGCCGGTGTGGTGCTGTACTGTAGTAGGCATCACATGATCTTTCTCACACTCTTCGACAGAGTGTACCTGTAACACATTGACGAAAAACTGGTGCTGAATCAGTCTCCGCAGAACAAGATGTTCGGGCACCGAACAAAAGCTGGGTGTTTCAAGGCTCCGAGGCTCCATAGTTTGGAGATTTCAGGGGGTGTTGGTCGTTGGGCGGTTCGATAGCCGATTGAATCCGCGTTCTAAGATTCCTTTTGAGTTCTTCTCTCCCCTCTCCCGGGGAGACCCACGTGACAGTTTTGGCACGGTGAGCAAGTACAGTGCAGTGTGTGTGCGGGCAGGCAGGCACGTGTGTTTGACCCTTTGCGTACTAGATTGTGTGCATTTTCGTGAGGAATGCACATTCAGCTAAGCCACCAAGATGACATCAGCAATATACAGGGTGCATTGTGGTTGTTAATCAACTACTTCGAAGTCCTATTCCAGATAAATGATCAAGGTAGACCATGCACACTTGTTATGTCCTGACTGAGTGAAACTTGCAGTGCCATCAATGTGTGCAGCTCACGCATGTGACGACAGCCTGGAATCCTGGAGCCAACCCAACGTTAGGTTGCACTGGCAACCGATCGCCCCTGGCCGCAATCAATGTGTGACAGGATGACCTTCTCTTTGTACACACAACTGTGCAGGAGATATACATGCATCTACTGATTCATTTTATCCGAATGCACGATAGGTGACCAGCTAGAGTAACCAAAGCCATACATGGACATTGTTTCATGTATACTTCAAAGCAGGGAGTAGTAAAATATTGCTTTTTACTACTCCCTGCTTTGAAGAACAGTGCTGCTCAATGAAATCAGACCATGTAAAGCAGGGAGTCGTAAAATACTGGTATTTTACGACTCCCTCATGTGAAGCAAGTGTTGTGGCCTGCACCAGTTCACCATCCCAGTGCTCGCAGGTCTAGGGCTGTACAGCTCGTACAGCGCCTGGCGTGTCATTCACTCGCTTGATCAGATTTCAATGAGCAGTACTTGGAAGTAAGTTGGTGGCTGGTGCCATTGACTTTTGGCCATGCATGTTGATCTATCCCCAACATGCAAGTACGCAAAAGAAAGGAAACCGATAGGGAAAATGTTCCAAAGTGAAAACCATTACCATAATTATTGTCCGGAGTATAAGCTGCATCCCCCCATTTTTTTGGCCACGAAATACAGACGTCTGTCCTATTTTATCACCATTAATTTGATCATCGGAGTATAAGCCGCACCCCCCCCCCCCCATTTTAGGGGTGAATTTTGAGTGTTCAAAGTGTGGCTTATACTCCGGAAAACACGGTACCTTGGCCCCAGGAAACAACAGAATGGTTAATGTCAAAACTTTATAGTGGACCGAAAAGACCAGGACACACAGTTACAGCTTATGGTCCACCGGCCTTGTTCACCAAGACGACACAACAGATAACGGAAATAGTATCACAAACAAACAGAAACGTAGGCAGAAAATTAAAAAATAAGTCCAGAGGACTTCGCCAGTTACCCTATACTGGAAAACAAGCTACACCAGGTGAAAAACGCCAGCAAAAACAGGAAAAGAAAGAATGGAAACTAATGTCACTAGGCAGCAGTGAGCTGTGATCAGCCAGCATGCAGGTTCTTCAGTGCACCAGACAGCACAGGAAGAAGGGGACCCATCACAGCAATAAAAAAAAAACTTAAATCCACAGCCTGCACCAATGGTAGTAGGCCAGCTGTGCGATGAAAACTGGTGAGAGAAAGCGTGTTCCATTGGAACGGTATGGCAGGATTCTTGAAAAGTCCGCATCAGCTTAGGGAGGAATATCAAAAAAGAAAGTATGATGACTTTCGTGGACGCCTGCAGTACGCTTTGATAGTGGCATGCAAGAAAGACTGTACTCAGGGTATGTGTATGTGTGTGTGTGTGCTATAAAGCAAGCAGCACAGGTCACACTACATGCTCATCAACCACCCGCCGGCACCCACCTTCCCTTGCAACCATGTTCCCTTGCTCGGCGGCAAGAGCAGCAGTGGCGGGCGGTGAGGGCTGGCGAGACGGAGTAAAAGAGCACGATCCTAATGTTTACATGCTGGGTTAAGAATAATATTGTAGACGTGCTGTCTTGCGCGAACAAAGCATATATTGACACTTTTATGACGTCGTCTAGGCGTATGGTTATATATATGGAGGGTAAAAGTATGAGGGGGGGGGGGGGGGGATACACTCGAATTGAAAATACCATGATTGAAAGCAATAATGTCAGCACAAACACCGTCGCTGGCCGCACGGACACTTGCCGTCAAGAGTGAAGTAGCTACTCTGACACTTGCCGGCAAGAGTGAAGTAGCTACTCTTCATTCTGTACACATGAGAAGACTTGGTTACACGCTGGAAAGCAGTATGTTTGCCGGAAGGTTATCTTCATCGATACTGTGGGGCAGGCACAGAGAACATACAGCACCAAGAGATGCGCTCGGCTAGAAGCTCTGAATGCAACGAGAAAAGCTTCACCACACGGCTATCCGTGGAAAGAATCCTGGAATGGCAGCTCATGGGTGACCAGAAGGAACAAAATGAATGCAAAGTCCGCCATGCAACGTGAACTGCTGATTTGCCAAAGCATGGAGCACTACTAGTGAAAGGAATGCACATGACAAACTGGCTACTTGGCGACTAGATTCTGACTTTCCGGAACAAAGGGTTGGCATCACGGAGGAGCAATTAGCACTAGTAACAATCAGGAGAGTTTATTCAGACTACGGCTTGCCTTCCTGAAAGACATCCACTCAGCGTACACGAGTCTTTAACATTGCTGTGACAAATGTCCAGACTGCGGGTACACTGGCCCTCGGTGCACGCAGTACAACACGTACCTGGAACACGCGGTGCACGTTTTCACCTTCGGAGACCCCATATGCAGAGTTGCACACCGTTGGAAGTCAAATGCTCTTGGTAATAACTAATGCAACCATGAGCCTTAGGACAGGGTTTCCACAGCCCAGAGCACCCCCCCCCCCCCCCCCCTCCCCTCTCCCACACCGACATACACCCCATGCACGCACACAAAGATACACAGCTGCACACACCTACACTGATCCATAGACACGCTCACAAGAGCACGCACGCCCATGCACAGTGCTCTCCGAAAGGCAAGGTTAGGAATTATGGGATGATCAACAATCTTAATAACTACCACATACTGCTTACCAGATGTATTCTCCAAGGACACTAGCTTAAAGTCAAGACGCTGGTTCGACTGGAAACGATATGTCCGCCAAGCTTCAGACTGATACGGATCATAAACGACAAAGTCACGGGTCGTAGGCTTGCTCCCTAATACAGCACACAATGGTCAAACCAAACGGCAATAAGCAAACGCTAGTACATGTACATGCATTCTTTCAACTTGGAAGTACAGCTTTACCTCTCTGTGTACGCTACTGTCTGGTGGTACCATACCTGAATGCACATGTACTTAGTGCTATTCACCTCCCATGTGTGTGGCCATGTCTGGTTTATCATAAACCAAAGTACATAACACTTCCAACAGCATGGTAGAATGCATGTACTTGCAAGCAACGGTGCTAGAAAAAAACTTGACAATGGAAGAGTTGTGCTCCACCAGAAACCCACTCACCATCCAAGTCATAGATGTCCAGAAAAAGGTGACATGGTGAGGTTGTGATGATGTTCTCTATTAGCAACGTGTCACCATCTTGCAGTGTAAAGGTCACATGATCTGAATGCACTGCCTTCACATCAGTCACCGGCGTGTTCTGCACAAACAAACACACAATACGGCCACACAAAGAAAGTTTGCATTACAGCACAGCCTGGGCCCTACAGACTGAGAACCGCTGAAAAGCATAACATACATGGATAAGAAACGGAAAGAAGAAGCCTAACAAAATTTCGACTTGCAGGAGATCGGTACGACGAAAAAGTTCGAATTACACGGAATGTTCGAATTTGCCGTATTCGAATTAGAGGGAGTCTACCTGTAGTATTATGCACGCTGAGTCGACTGGTTTTGGTCCGAAAAAGCAGCGGTGCAGCATTCAGCCCTTATTCCCAATCGAACACGGGCTCATGCGCACACCAGTCACCTGGTCACCATGTTCGCAGGCTACAACTTACAGCCTGTTTGGGCGCGTTCCTGTCACTCGAGTTGAACCTTTCAGTTGAACCTTGGTGTGAAAGTTGTAGCCTGCAGGCACAGTGACCAGGTGACTACGCACACACGAGCACGTGACCGCTTGCTCAGCCGTGTTCGATTGGGAATAAGAGCCGAACGCTGCATCGCAGCCTTTTCGGACCAAAACCAGCCGATTCAGTGTTCAAAAGACTACAACATGTGGGCGAAATGGCGCTTTTAGTGACATTTTTCATACAAATACCCATCTAGTAGGGCGCAGCCACCCAGTTTCGGTGGAAGTGTCCAGTTCGATTGGGAATAAAGGAGGAAGGGAGCGCCTCAGCTTCCTCGGACCAAGGCCATTCGACTCAGCATCCCGAAGACTACAACTGGTGAAAAAATGATTTTTAGGGTATACTTCCATCGGGAAAGTTAACAGGATGAATAGCACGGGTCATACAATGGGGCCTGTGTAAAGAAAACGACTATTTTATTGCATCTACTAAGATGTAAATTAAAGTTAGGGTGCCACTTTCCAACGAATGGACTGTGGTACTTCTTATTATAGTGTTTCTTCACGTTGGCATCAATTCCTAGTAGAACCAAAGGCCTTCGCATGGGCCGCAACAATCAGTTTGGTGGACAAAAGACAAGAGAAAGCACCGGCAGAATGCAGGGCTAAAGCTCTGTCCAGGGTGGAAGTTGTCCCAGGTCGAAAACAAGGGATAAAAACATGGGTTATCAATAAAAAGGTTGAAAGCATGGGCTATGATATAGCCAGTAATATTCGCCACTATAAAGCTAGTACTACAGGTGGAATCCTGATAATTCGAGCACCAACATGCCGGGAAAAACTTCTAATTATCGGGACATTCTAATTATCCAAACATGTACCCACAATACATTATGTATGTCAAAATGCTCTCATTGACACGCAGAGCTGCACTATGCACCTTAGACACAGATTTAGTGGACACTGAACTGCCTGCGCCTTCAAACCAAACTGATTTGCAGAAAATGAAGTGAAATTCTAATTACGGTTTGCTAACTTCGAATTATCAGCACAAATCCCACACATTTTCTATGTAAGTGGATTCCGTGGGACTTCTAATTAACCGGACATACCCAGTTCGAGGTTCCAACTATCAGAAATTGTTATGTGGAAACCGTATTGACAGAAATCGGTCCTGGAAGAAACTTCTAATTAGAGAGGTTTTGCAGAGCGAACGTTCGCGCGAATTTTCGTTTGACGTCACGAAAAGCGAAACTTCGTGCGAACGTTCGCAGTTTTGAACGCGAAAGTTGCAGGAAACGCGAAACAAACTTTCGCAGTAATTTTCGCTCTTTGTGGACCGCTGGTCAGCCTGGTGCACGGTGAGCCACCCTCAATCTTCATGTTTGTGCTTGATCTCTACTCTTGGCTTGGTCCGCGGGTGCTAGCTTTCCTATACATGTACTTGTGGCAGCCCGTGTTGCTTCATCTCCGGAACCATCTCTGATCTCCTGCCTGCTCGTCTTCTCACTGCTCAGAGTCGGTTACATCAACGACTTGGTGCCTTTTTGAATTTCAGGTGTTGATGCGTCAGATTACGGCACAAGCCAACCCGTTTGTCTGTGGGTCTCCGGCCATGGACAAGGTAGTCATAGAGCTCTCGTCTCAGGCCGTGACTCAGGGTGCCGCCACTCGCAACAACAAAATAATCGGATGAAGACCACTTCTCAAACAAGCGAGTGCACGCGAAAATTTCTTGGAGCGAAAAACATGCAAAACACAAATTTCGCGCGAACGTTCGCAATAGTTTTCGCAACCCGGAACGCGAAAATCATTGCAAACGTTCGCTCTGCAAAACCTCTCTATTAAAGAGGAACTGTCACCAACAAATTTCTTTGTCTTATCTTGTAGTTCTTTGGCTCCTGATCACGATGGTGTTATCCGTTTTTCTCTGCGATGGCTGGAAGTGGGTGAAAACTTGAAAAGAAGGTCCCCAAAATTGTCCCGAAGTACCGAGTGACGTCACGCCGGACTTGACCTCCACGCGTACATTCGTCGTCAAAAACGAAGTCAAGCCCGTGTGCTGGTTGATCGAGCTAGCTGTTCCAATGTACGGTGCACGTGTGCCTTTTGAACTGTAACACAGATGGGTACGTCGTACCGAAGGAGAATGCCAAAGAGGCAGAGACCTACGTGCAGCTACACAGCCAAATCAAAATAAAAAGCAGCTGAGCTTTCACCTTTTTGACTTCTTCCGCGAGGATCTAAGTAAGTTTTATTTTGTGAGCACGGAAGTACGTTGTTGTTTTGAACTTTTCGTGTGAGGAACAACACGATGATGAGTGCGTATGCAGAAAACAGTACTCCTCCGGCCGGCGATAGCACCACCAACCCGAGCCCCAAAGGAACGCGATGTAGGTACGTGAAGGCAATTCATCTGGCGATGTTGCTGAAGATGCAGATGACAAACTCTGACGTCTTTCATTTCAGAGCCGGGTGGGCAACACCGCCACCTTCGATACAACGGCATAATTTTCAAGTACGAGGTATGTGTGTCACACTAACAGCAAACAAACATCCTTCGACTCCTTCGTAATCACAAATAAAACAAAGAGCTGGAGCTTCGTGGAGGAAGTACCAGTGCGACAAACTGCTGTCGACTTTTGTTTATTTTGTCCCTTTTTGGCGTTCTCATTGTGTACAACGTACACATCGAGTGTCCGAGTTCAGAAGGCAAGCGTGCACCGTACATCGAACAGTTGGCTCGATCGACCAGCACACGGGCTGGACTTCGTTTTTGACGATGAATGTACGCGTGGAGGTCAAGTCCGGCGTGGCGTCACTCGGTACTTCGGGACAATTTTGGGGACCTTCTTTTCAAGTTTTCACCCACTTCCAGTCATCGCAGAGAAAAACGAATAACACCATCGTGATCAGGAGCCAAAGAACTACAAGATAAGACAAAGAAATTTTTTGGTGACAGTTCCCCTTTAAGCAGTATGTTCTAATTAAGGCCGCGGTCACACCAAGCGCGATTCAGCCATTCAGCGGAAAAAAGCGCTTTTTGACGTCATCGTCGCTACGGAAACGGCTGAATTTTCGGCTTCAGCCTTTTTCAGCAGTCAGCCGTTTTCAAAGCGCTGAATGGGAGCGCTGAATGGATTCAGCCACTTTCAGCCATTCTGGCGCAGTGGCGGGAAAAATAAACTCGTTCAAAGCGCATCTTGGCATGATCTTGCAGCTTGCATCGTGTTCTGCCACCTTCCGGCTTTCGTTGTTGGTGAAACTTCTCTCCTTGCCTTTTAGTCGGTCATCATGGAATCCTGGACAGTAGCACTGGAGCGGCGACTACTGGAGCTTTGGTTTGAAGCAAAAACCAAGTATGAGACCACTGTGAAAAAAATACCAGAAAGAGAGCGTGGATCTTGGACGAACTGAAGACGTGTGCTGGAGAAGGCGGACGGGAAAACAAGATAAAATCATATTCAAAAATGAGCGGGAAGAAAAAAAACTCTAGCACACAAAAAAATCCAGCCGATTTCGCGAAGTGGTGTGACCAACCGCCCAAATTCAGCACAAGCCACTTTCAGCGCAAGCGGGAAACGGCTTGTTTGGTGTGACCGCGGCCTAAGCCATATTGGAATTATCAGGATTCCACCTGTACATGTATTCTGGCTATTAACGTTTGTGCATCGTATCATGTCATTATTCGCTCAGAGTTTGCTCAATTGTGTCAATCATTCACAGGGTTCCCTGTAATAAGACGACACCGTCTGTAGGGTTCCCCTATTAAAATAATAAATACAACTACATGTACTACTACTACTACTAATAACATGCGTCTGCACATCCTTGCACTGTGAGTGCGTGTGCGCGCATTTTTGATGCTGGAAACCCCAACACGTGACAGCTTTTTTTCAAATTTTATATTTCAGGCTTTTACAGTCCATTCAGAAAAAAATGAACTTCTAGCTTTTGGCCATAAATGGGTCAAACGTTGAGTTTTTTTAGAATTTTTTTCTGCAATCCCATATGGAATCCTCTTCCAATTATGTTTCTGAAGTTTTTTTGTCCAAAAAGCAAGCCATAGCAAGAATAGGATTTCGGCCAGGTTTTGCCCCAAAAGCACTGAATTGGGAAAAACCATCAAAATCCAGGCCGTTTGACCCCGCCTGCAACAGTGCATTCTGCGGTTCGAACCCCAGTTCAGGCACCCTTTTTGGACCCTTTTTCAAATTCCAAAGTTCGCAGCACTGCACTGTGTACGATGAAATCACGAAAAATCGCCAAATACGGGAGCTCGCCAGAGCCAGGACCCATTTTTTTATGAATGGACTGTAGACCTCACCAGAATATGCTGCGAGTCTCGATAGAAGCAGACTGGATGACGACTTGTTACAGACATTCCTGCACATAAGGAAACATGGCGTACAAGGGAGCAGAAATAATCAGGAGCATTGGAGCATCTCAAGAACAGCTACAGCAAAACAGAGACAATACCACTATGTTCAGAAAATTACTGCTCTCTCAGGCTGGGCGATAGAATGCTATTAGATAGTAGAATTTTTCAGTAGTAACCATCAACACCCACACCCACTCACTCACCAGGCACGAATATATACTTGGACAGTCCAAAAAACTTGGCCTCTTCTTGGATAGCAGCAATGCTGTGCATACAAACACAATAATTGAAAATCCATTCACATGACCAAAATTGGCTCTTTACGCAACATATGCATGTCTGCCAATCTCTTGTTGCACAAGCATACACAGATACACCGGTCGACTACTAGCACCTGCTGGCCAGGAGACAGCTTCCCGGCCATGACACAAAAGCATGCACAAGCTGATTCAAACAGGAAAAAAGCCATATAGCACAGCACAGAGCACAGCCTACTAAAAAGTCAAACATATCTGCTGCATCCTTGCATGTACGTGCACCACTCAATGGGATAGTGTAACATTACCTGTAGAACGGAGGCGGGTAGAAGCTACCAGTTCGACAGAAAGCCAGCAGACATTCAAACAAATTGCTATCACGGTCGAAAGCAAAAGCACCCCGCTGCAATAAGTACACACAAGACAGGTTTGTATATCATAAGTACACAACCAAAAAAGGCGATGATCCATGAAATTTCAACTTCTCTCACCTTCCCTCACACCTATTTCACTCGTAACAGCTTGCCTCTGAATTGAAAAACCAGTCAAAACTGTTAACCCTTTCAGTGCCAGAGGTACTTGACAAGGGTCACTTTACTCAGTGCCAGGCATCAGCTGACGTGGTACTCCACTCAGTGCCAAGAGATTTTATTCCCGTAGCTATGCAGAAGACGTTACTTCAGTAACGTCTGGCGCTAGCCAGGGTCCACACAGCTTTAATTTGGTGTTTGTTTGTTTGTTTGTTTATTTGTTTGTTTGTTTGTTTGTTTGTTTGTTTGTTTGTTTGTGTCACGCCTTGCGCTATCCCGTATCTGTCCCGTACTGTACCGTACTAGCAAAGACAGCTGGCCCCGATATTTTTGTTTGTTTGTGCCATCGAAATGCCTGGCGCTATCCCGTACCTGTCCCGTACCATCAAGGGTACGGTACCAACAATAGAATGAGTATATATGCGAAGTGTATCGGGGGAATGCATTCAGTGCAGTAACATTTTGTGTGGATTTGTGTGCGAGGCCGAGATCCCACTAGCAGGCTGGCTGGGCCGCCTGTCGACCAGCCCGGGAATCGCATGTAGGCCGATAGCATAATACTTATAACGTATATACAGTCATGTAGATCTTTAGCAGGGAGTCATAATGTAAACGACTCCCTGCTGTATGGGGAGATTTTCTAGAAAGAACTACGAAGTAGGGAGACGAGTAAATGCAATCAGAATGGATGTTAGTTGCCGTCAGTATAATAATAAGAAGAAGAAGAACGTCCGTGATCGGCAGAGTCAGCGCCAGTCCCAGGAAACGTCAGGACAGACATCCCGTCAACTCCAGAACGCCCGTGATCGGCAGATTCAGCGCCGCTCCCATAGCTATGCAGAAGACGTTACTTCAGTATCTCATTGAAACGTTTTCGCAATACAATGATGTAGCTAATCAAAGGAAAAAGCATTTTCAGTTCTAACAACATGCACGATGAGCTAGGCAACAAAGCATAGCGCAGGGCCCTGAGCTTCCAAGCTCTCTCGTTCAAAATTTCTCTAACGGACATGGTAAATTTCAAAAACGAAAATATCTAAGATAGATCCATCGTATCAAGACTTGATGTATATACGAAACATGCAGGATAGAAAGATTTTGCAAGTAAAAAAATCCGAATTCAGTAGCGGTTTTGGTTCTCAAGCTACATGTGTTCTTGTGATGATTTGCATGAACACAGGAATGTAGCGATGCATTTCCTCTACTTGCACTAGTTTACTTCAGCAACTAAAACAACTACATGGAAGAAGAAATGGAGCAAGATGATCGTGGGACAATCGGTGGATCATAGCAGATGGCCGTTCTAATCGTGGTGGATGATTCGATAATTACGTAGCGTATGGAATCTGCGGAAACATTCTCCAGGGCACATCGCGCGCTGACATTCGGTGCACTAACACTGCACAAAACGGTTTGTTTCCTGTGGTGCGGACGTTGGCTGCAAACGCAGCAGTCAGGCTTCGAGTTCTCAATCTTGTCTTGGAAATGTCTGTCCGTCAGCCGTTGCGTTCTCCACGTCCGCGGCACCAGTACCAGCGGGAGTTGACCGCCGCCTGGGCTCTCCAATGGGCCACTGCGTTTGGAGAACACATCGTCGATGAGCTTGCGTTGGAACTGCAGTAAATCGTAGCTCGTCCCCTTGATGGTGTTGTAGACGATCCAGGCGTTATGGACGGACATTTCGCAGAGCTGGTGAAACAGCACGAGATACCAGCGACGGTGGCGGTGAGGAAACTCGTAATATTGTAGCAATTGATTGGCCTTGTCCACGCCGTCCATGAAACTGTTGTAAGTGGCGATGCAAGCGGGTTTCCGAACTCGTCAGCTTCCGCCAGGCGCGCGGCGATCGCGGATGTCGACATCGACGATGCTGCCGTCATGGATAGTGGACAGTGCTGTGACCGGTTTCTTGTCAGGCCAGGAGCATGCAAGCAGGTTTCCATCTCGCCAGAATCGTGCCTCCGTTCCCCGTGCTCTGTTGTCTTTGCACCCTGCAGGAAGTCCTCTCCTGTTTATGCGGACGGTGCCGACAGCTCCGAGCTTGCGATGGTGAGAGAGCCACTGAAATAGCGACGGTGAACTGTAGTAATTGTCCATGGCCCAGATGTTGCACTAATGCTCTGACAATCTTGCTACTTTTTGATGTATCTTCTAGCTCTCCTTGTGGTACGTTTTCTCCTGTATCTTTTCCTGTGTAAACCTCCCACTCGGACACGTAGCTTGTTGTCGATTCTGCCATCACGAATGCCTTTATATCCCATTTCGTAGGCTTGTTGGGAAGGTATTGTTTGAATGTCAATCTCCCCTTCAAGCCAATCATTTGTTCATCTATAGACACATTTTTCGATGGGTAGTAGCAAGAGTACATAACCCCCCAGAGTGTGCAACGCCTGATCCAGCTCTGCATAGGGTCTTGGTCGAGCGGAATCGGATCTTTGCGTCATAACACCGTACAAATCTGAAGGGAACCCGGGGAGTCGCGGGTACTCTTGGATCAAAAACAATGGTGCCCTGCCTCGAGACCGGCCTTGCACTGGTGTGGAGTGTACGCATGACATCAGAAGATCCGATTCCGCTCGACCAAGACCCTATGCAGAGCTGGATCGGCGTTGCACACTCTGGGGGGCTATGTACTCTTGGTAGTAGACACAACGAAAACGATCGAGAATCAGTTGCATAAATTTTCTGATCTTTGCCAGGGGATCGATCTGTCGGCCGGATTCGTCTCTAGCGATAGTTGTGTTGTTGGTGAAGTGCAGACACGATAGTAGTAGTTGAAACCTATTTCTGGGCATAATCATGGGGAATCCGGGTGTCTTCAGGAGCCAGTCGGTTGTCCAGTGATCTGCCATGCTTGGCTGAGTAACAATACCCATCGCAATAAGCATGACAAATAGGACTCGAAATTCCTTCTCTGTCGTTGGTACCCATTTTCGAATTCTTGCAGAGGGGACGCGATCGCCAATTTTCTCCAGTCGTTGGCCGGCATACCTATTTGTCTCGTCGACGGCGACCTCTATGACAGCGTCGGTCACGAACATATCTAGGCACGTTTTTGGTGTGACATGCTCTTTGTCACCAACGTCGAGCGTGACACCTGGCGTGCGGGAAAGTTGCGGCAACCAATTTGGCGCACGGTCTTGAGGTGCGGCCGTCGGGTTCCATCCTAGAGGCAATGGTGCTGGTGCAACAACGTCCTCCTCATCTTCCGAATCAGAGCCTCCCAAGCCTTCAAAGCCCTCTTCGTCTGAGGACGCCTCAATATCCATCATAGCGCCAACATCTTCCGGTGCTGCCTCCTCCACCTGCATTTCCTCCTGCTCGGGTGACGCAAATTCCGCCATTACGATTTCATCTGACTTCGGACTCGATTTTCGCGATATTTATAGATAGCGACCCTGTTGTTTCTCGACTGTTCTGGAAACATCGTCATCTCTAAATTTAGATTCCGTAAACCGCTGGTCACAGGTCAGAACAGTTTTGTTCCTGTGGACCCATATTCAACCTGAACTCCACGGGCGACTCTGTGGATTGAACTTCTTGTGGGCGACTTGAGTCGCCCGTGGCACTTGACAGGTCATCATGCGGGGGCGACTTGAGTCGCCCGTGGCACTGAGAGGGTTAATGCACTGTGAAAGGCATTCCCACAGAACACAGTACTTCGAAGTACAATGACCTCAGCCACAAGAGCAGGAGGTAAGCTAACTTTCAGGGTAGTGAAGTCATCAAGAGCACTTCGTCACAAGCAGTGTTGATTACTCCTCCATCAAAAAGACCCATATGTCACGAAAGCAAATCGCAAAGGCTACGTGCAGCATCAGTCAGATCTAGCATCACCCATTAAAGGGGAAGTTAAGGCTAAAATCAAAATTTCACCAGTTGTAGTCTTCGGGGTGCTGAGTCGAATGGTCGTGGTCCGAGGAAGCTGAGGGGCTCCCTTCCTACTTTAATCCCAATCGAACTCGCGCACTTCCACCGAAACTGGGTGACTGCGCTCTACTAGATGGGGATTTGTATGCAAAATGTCACAAAAAGCGCCATTTCATTCTTATAAAAGCACGGATGACCGCGATTGGCCCATATGTTGTAGTCTTGAGTCGACTGGTTTTGGTCCGAAAAGGCTGCAATGCAGCGTTCCTCCTTCATTCCCAATCGAACATGGTTGAACAAGCGGTCACGTGCTCCTGCGTACACCAGTCACCTGGTCACCGTGCCTGCAGGGTACAACTTACTAGCCTGTTTGACCTTTTTTGGGTGCAGTCCTGTCACTCGAGTTGAACTCGAGTTGAACCTTGGTGTGAAAGTTGTCGCCTGCTGGCGTGGTGACCAGGTGATTTGGGCACCCAGGAGCACGTGACCACTTGTTCAACCATGTTCGATTGGGAATAAAGGAGGAACGCTGCATCGCAGCCTTTTCGGACCAAAACCAGTCGACTCAGCGTCCAAAAGACTGCAAAATATGGGCCAATCGCGGTCATCAGTGCTTTTATAAGAACGAAATGGGGCTTTTTGTGACATTTTGCATACAAATCCCCATCTAGTAGGGCGCAGTCACCCAGTTTCGGTGGAAGTGCACGAGTTCGATTGGGATAAACGTAGGAAGGGAGCGTCTCAGCTTTCTCGGACCAAGACCATTCGACTCAGCACCCCGAAGACTACAACTGGTGAAATTTTGATTTCAGCTTTAACTTCCCCTTTAAGCACTAGCACACTCATCTCCATGCGCACAGCAGCGTGTGCGCGCACACACACATGCACACACACATGCACACACACATGCACACACACACATGCACACACACATGCACACACACATGCACACACACACACACACACACACACACACACACACACACACACACACACACACACACACACACACCTCGCCATGCACACGACAGTATATAGTCCCACCAGTACCTCATTCAGCTCCATTGTAGCCTGGCCTGAGAACATTCTGCCGATCAAAGAGTCCGGGTAGCGCATGAACGTAGACGCTAGCACCTTCATAGCAAGAACAAAAAAAACGAAGAAGCATATCAGAGTGCTTTTCGGGTGCTACAGCTGCAAGCACAAGATTCAATACAGGACGTTAGTGCTCAGAATAGCAGCATGACAGTATGGCGGGAGTGTGATCAAACGACTCCAACACAGAATTGTGGGGGCGCTATCGATTCAAGAAACCACATGCATGGAGGAATGCGCACTTTCAAATACCCCAGTACACAGAGGCACAATCAAAACTCCACTTGCAGCTGGGTGAAGCTTCTCCAATTGCATTTACTCTCACTTCTCCCACTGTGCACTGTGCACTGAATAACTATTCAATTTCCTCCAATATCGTGCTCGCATATGCCACATGCCTGAACACAAATGCATGTACACGCATGCACACACTGATACAAAGAAGAGGAAAATCAAGTACGGCAAGCCATACCGGGAATAATCTGCCCCCAACCTCCAGCAGCACACTCTGGTCAAAATTTCCACCCAACCTGTAAGGAGACAAGATTCAATAAAAAGAAAGAAAGAATCTCTTCGTGGTGATGGTCCCCGCAGTGATACGGTATAACATTTCAACTCAGACCACATCAATGATGATGACTCACTTGCTTAGCCATCTAAAACAGGATCAGAATTCCAGCTTGCATTTTTCGCTTCCAGTCCACAGCCTCTAAATTCTACAAATTGCATCACAGTCAGGGTGCGCTTACACAATACTCGAAACTCGCATGCATAGCAAAGCTGCCACTAAAAAGTGGCACACATGACCACAGTTCTGCTATCCTGTGAGGTCGAGCGGGGTCTTGAAGCAGGAAGCCCTTTGTGATGACTACCCTACTGTATATATTAGAGGAGGCAGTTAGCTGGACTAAACTCTACCTCCCAGGCAGTGTCCAGTCTTAGTAAAGCTACACTACATTGTACTGCTTTTAAAGCACCTTTCTCACCCCGCTAAATTATTTACTTGTCGTGCAAGCACGAGCCCCCTTTTCCCGTCACATGCACACTCTTTCCCTTTCCCACAGCACTAGCCATACATATGGTGTGCGCATACCCTTACAAATAAAAGGGTACAGTAAAGGGACAACATATTGCAATACGTACCACACATACCGGGATACATGCACATGCACAGTCAACCTCGGGTATAACAACAGCTCGTGAATAACAACACAATCTTCACACCTAGTGATCATTTGACTGCATACGCTCAACCTCAGTGATAACAGCACTTTTCTCATGCACAACCTCAGGTAGTTATTCACGGGGTTTACTGTATAAGCATGCAAGGTCCTACCAAATATAAAAACAATGTGACCATTCCATGCCGTCAACATTACTTACTTGCGAGGAGTTGTCACGGCAGAAGGCATAACTGCTGTCGAGGGAGTGCTTGCAGTCGGAACAGAGGTTGAAGCAAACGCCTGCTGCTCTTCCTTTGTGTGCCCAAAATGGCCGCGGCCAACCTCAGGCAGAGTTGGTGGTGCCATGTTAGTGTCAATAGTCTCGTCGGTCTTGCCCCGATCCACCTCGTCATCCTCCTCCTGCTTGGGAGAGTTTTCAACTGATGATTGCGTAGGTTTGCCCGGTTTATCATCTGCTGCACCTGCAGCTGCAGTTGCTTGACCCTGGCCCTCGGCGCTGGATCCGTGTTGTCCACCAGTGGCAGTGGCAGCACCACTACGCTCAGACACTGGCATTCGCTCAGCCATAGGCAACATGGCATGCGAAGGCAGTGCTGGTGGCGGCAGTGGCGGCGGCATACCTGGAACCATGCCCGGCATCATTGGCATCGTCCAGTTGAAGGGCATCATGTAGGGGTTGGGTTGCTGGAACATGGGTGGACCAGGCATGGCCATCTGATGTGCCGGGAACGGGTAATGGCGCGGATGCGGGTACATGGACGATGGCATTGCTGCTGGATAGTCTGGAGCAGCGGCAGAGCTCATGTCGGACTCATGCACTGCAGCACTGCCCTCACTAGTACTCTCATTTTCAGCCTGGCCATCTGCGTGTTTGGACGGATTATCAGCGGGCTGTTGCCGTTGCTGCTGGAAGGAGGAGGGTGGCAGGTTTGAATTCGGCTGAACGTGCATTGACTTTGGGTCAAGGTTCGGCTTATCGGTTGAAGTGGCAGGCAACAAGCTACTTTCCTGGCCAGCAGAATCACCCACACGGTGTGCATCGTCTGACTGCTGTGGTGGGTGCTGCTGCTGGTGAGGAAGCTGCTGGTGCTGCTGCTTATGTTCCTGCTGCTGGTGCTGCTGCTTATGTTCCTGCCGCCGGTGTTGTTCGTGATGTTGCTGTGGGTGATGATGCTGATGCTGGGACTGCTGTTGATGCTGGGTGTAGCGCGTCTCCTGTTGTCGTTCATGTTGTTGCTGCTGCTGTTGTAGTTGTTGCAGCTGCTGCTGCTGCTGGTGGTGCTGCTGCCGTTGCTGGTGCTGCCACTGCTGGGTTTGGTTCCCTTCTGGGAAACGAGCTGCTGGCAGAGCTGCTGGTGTGGCAGACGGTAAACTATCAGCTGATGAAAATGGTAACGATGGTGGTGATGCAGAGGCAGCACCACTAGGAGCAGATACTGGCGGAGTTCTTGTAGCAGAGGAGGCCACGGCAGGAGTAGCCGTACCAGAAACTGTACCATGCTGCATGCTACCCACATTGACACTGCCGTCGGGTGGACCACTCCAAGACGAAGAAGGAGGCTGGAACTGGGACATGCCGTCAGACTTGAGGCCCGGAGGCACAGCGCGCGTTTGCTGTGTTGACTGCACCACACCAGGGCCAGCCTGTAGAAGCTTCTGTGCAGATTCCTTGATTCCTGTATTCCCAGATACACTATGGGCTACTGAACTCCTGGACAGCATTGCCTCTCCGCCAGCACTAGCAGGAGAAGCAACACTTGAATTGGAATTGGCCAGGACGTGTTGTTGCCCAGATGGTGGCACCATTGGATCCTGATGCTGTGAATTCAGGGTCCTGAGAAATTCGTTGCTGCCACCAGCTGGCAGAGTGGAGTTGATGGTGTTGGAAAGGTTCTCGCCCGGCTGACTGACAGCACCAGAGTTGTAGGCAGTGTTCGGTGGAGGCACGTTACGACCAGGTGAGCCACTAGCCATAGCTTGAAAGTCGCTTTGCACACCAGCCACGGCAGGCAAGGGTGCATGCTGATCGGACGGCAATGAGTGAGTCCAGGACTCGCGTGGCGTACTGGTGAGTGGTACAGCCGGTGTTGCAAGCTGACCCCCTGCTGATTGTGATGCTGGCGGTGGCACAGCTGCTGCTGCTGCTGCTCCTCCTGCGGGAGATGGCGGGTATGGTGGCATTGCTGTCATGGGAGGGTTGTGGACAGCTGGCTGCTGAGTACGCAGGCTTTCCCCTGTGGGCGGGCGCTGCTGGATCAGAGACCTCTCCAGATCCCCCTGCAGGACAGCAGAACCATGACCAGGCAGTGTCACCGGTGGGTTTGGATAAGGAGACCTTGTGACACCACTGCCAGTGGCTAGAGCAGCGCCAGCAGCAGCGGAAGACTGACGATCATCAGCAGACATCATTTCAGAAGGCCTGTGACCTGTGCTACCGCCGACCATGCCTCTCATATCGGACGCAATGGAGGTTGCAAGTAGCATACTGTCCTGCCCTAGTGCATTTGGCATGGCACCAAGACCCATGCTCACAGCTCCATGCTGCATTTGCTGAGCAGATTGCTGGGCTTGGGGCTGAGCACGCCTGCGCTGTTGTGGATCTTCATGAAAACTAGCTGTCTGCAGCTGAGCTGGTACATTCGAACCATGCTGCTGAGTCCTATACTGCTGTGCACTCCCTGCTTCCGCAACGGCTGGAGCAGCTTGCTTGTTCAATGGCGCCGCGGTATGCTGCTGATGTTGATTGTGGGGTTGGCGATGCTGCTGCTGCTGACTTTGTTGATGTTGTGAATGGTGTGCATGCTGTAGCTGCTGCTGGACATTTGCTTGGGTATGCTGTTGAGCCTGGTTAGGATATTGTGGAGAATGGGAGTATGCCAGTTCAGCGGGAAGCTGCGCAGTCAACTGCTGTTGCTGCTGTGGATGGTTTGGCTCCTTAGGTGTTGCAGTTTGCCGTTGCTGCTGCTGCTGCTGGTGCACCGGTGGTGGTGCCTGCTGTTGCCGTTGTGGTGCTTGTTGAGGTGGTTGTTGTTGATGTTGTCGCAAAGGCTGTTGTGGCTGTGACTGTTGATGCTCGTGCTGCAGGGGTTCTTCAAGTTGCTGCTGCTGCTGCCGCACCTGGTTTCGTTGAGCTCGGGGCTTTTGACCGCCCTGAGCGGCTACCTTTTCGCTTTTCTCCTTCTGAGGGGCTTGCTGTGGGTGTGGTTGGTGCGGATGCTGGTGATGTGTACTTGGTGCGTGCTTGTGGTGCTGAGCGTGGTCCGCCTTCCCAGAATGTCCGTCTTCACGAGCTGAGGTGTCATCATTTCTGTTAACACGGCGATGCCTATGAGCATCAGCAGTACCTGCAGCACCTTGTGCCCCATTAGCGTGTGTCACACCCGCATGGCTTGCACCAGATTGGCCTGGAGCGCGTAGGGGACCGTGCTGCCCCTCGCCTCGCCTGTCCTTCTGATTCCCACCGCCAGTGCCGTGACGAGGTCGAAGCTGGTGCTGCTGCTGCTGCTGCTGCTGCTGACCACCAGTAGAGCGTGCACCTTGCTGTTGACCATTCGCCATTGGCTTGTTCCTAGCTCGTGGCTGTCCACTAGGATCAACATCATCACCACTTCTGCCTTGACGCACCTGGAAGCGAACAAAAATAATAGAAGCATAACCAGTACTGCATTCGGTCATTTTTCACCTAAATTGGAGGAGAATGCGGAAGCGAAAATAGATTATTTTAATATTATACGAAATGTTCAAAGTTTCTACTCACCCTGGTCGCGTTCTGGCCGTGGTGGGTGTCCCGTGCAGACATCACTTGTACCGAAAGAAAATACAAGGGCTGAAGAGAAGTGAGACTAGGACAGGACTTCCATGAGCATCTCGTAGGCTCTCCAAACGACCACAACTAAAGTCAAAATAATTGCACGACCTTCACAACAGGTACACTGCTGCTGCTGAAAATGTGAAATTCAAGGAGAACTTTACACAGAAAGCATGCTGGAACCATGCACCACGCTACGAATGTTTCGTGCGTATCAGCTCATCACCATGATGATGAAAGCTTGGGTTTTGATCGCCATTTTGTTTCGATAATTATTTGGGTACTTTCCCTAAAAACATTTTCCTGTACGTGTACTGTGTAGTATCAAGACGCTAGACGTGCACACTGCCTGCACACGCACTGCACTGCAGTGGTGGCGCAGTGCTAGTGCTACAAAAATTGTAGTGGTGCATTGTACAGAGGTCAGTGTACTGTCTGCCATCCACATCCATGCACTGCACAATCCAACATGTCACAACGTCACGGAAGGTTTGTTTTGCTTTTTTGAAATGATCAGCGCTGAGTGTTTATCTTTCCTGGCATAGACTTGTCAGCCCGCATAAGTCGACTGAAAAGAGCAAGGACAGGGCAATGAACGGCGTTCTCGATCTCAGGAAGAGCGATAGCAGCAGGGACGACTAGTGAAATCTCCGGGCATGTCGCCGCTCCGCCGCTTCCTGTGGCTTCTAGCGGCACTTCTCGTTACGATAACGGTCGCGACTTGGGTAGGAATGGTGAAATGGTGGACGGCGGTGGAAGAGAGGGGCAGCAAAGTCAAAAGCGAGGCGAGCCACTTGCCAGGTCGCGAGGAATATAGACAACTCCAGAAGCTGGTGCTGCAGAAAGAATTCCTAGAACCCGCTGAGAGTGATCGCACAGGCTCGAACACATCACGTGTTGACGTGGACTTCATCAATGCTAGACTCGCTCCTGCAGGACACAGTCGAGCGGTACAGGGTAATGGAGGTCGTAGCATGGTGGGTGGTGGTCGGCCCGTCAGCTCACTGGAATCGCTGCTCAGCGGCAGTGCCACAGAGCACTACACGCACAATAGCCACTTTGCTACGTCCGGTGGCAATAAATCACGGGACGATAAGAACCTGCCGACTTGCTCGCCTCCTGACGGCGGCGTCACTAGCAGAGAGGTTGACTTGGAAAAAGTGCCATCGGAGAAAGAGCTGATCGGTGCGTACAAGGATGTGCGCGCCGGTGGTCGGTGGGCACCATCGGATTGCCGTACTGATGAGCGCGTGGCTGTGATTGTGCCGTTCAGAACTCGAGAACTGCACTTGCTGATCTTTCTCAAGTACATGCACCGGTTCCTGCAGCACCAGCGCCTGCACTATGGCATATACATTGTGGATCAGAACCTGGGAAGTGCGTTCAACCGGGCTATGCTGCTTAACATTGGCTTTGTGGAGGCACTGCGTGACGACGGCTACACATGTTTTGTGTTCCATGACGTGGACCACATACCAGTGGATGATCTGCTGCGGTATCGGTGCGGCAATGAGCCAGTGCACATGGCCGCCATGACCGACAAGTGGAACTGGGGCTTGCCGTACGCGCAGTTTGTCGGCGGCGTCACGATGCAGAGCAGCGAGCACATGCTGTTGATGAACGGCTTCTCAAACAATTACTGGGGCTGGGGCGGTGAAGACGACGATATGACACAACGATGGATTTACGCTGGCCTGCGTCATCACCGACCAGCCGGCGGACATGGTCGCTACGCAACTATAAAGGTCAACCACACGCGCTCCAGCAAGCCTAATCCGGCGCGCATGCAGCTGCTGAAAAACAGCAAACAGCGTATACCCTACGATGGCTTGAACACGCTTCATTACAAGCTAGTGGAGAAGATACGCCATCCGCTCTACACCCGCATTCGGGTGCTCATCAAACGCATTGGGTTGCGGTAGCGCGTTAATTTCGCATGGACACGGCTATGAGCGATAGTTACTGTTACATTGGTCCATGGAGGGCCGCGAAGAGAGAAAGAGAGAGAGAGAGAGAGAGAGAGAGAGAAAGAGGGGGGGGGGGGGGCTCCTTATCCCGT